CCCTAACCCTAACCCTAACCCTAACCCTAACCCTAACCCTAACCCTAACCCTAACCCTAACCCTAACCCTAACCCTAACCCTAACCCTAGCCCCTCAAGTGTTGCCCACCGTGAGTCGCGCGCTGGGATGGTCGACAGGATTGGGCGAGGACATACTCAGCGTCAGCAAGGGCTTAGTCTCGTGGAAAGAGGCCGATCTTGATTCATCGTTATCGCAAGAGCAAGAGAGAACGGAACGACGGAAGCTCGAGCAGAAGAACCGCGAGGTTCGCGAACGGAGTCAGCAAAAGAATCCGCTAGCTCGCTTTCATCCGCCGTACTCGTCACATCTCAAGTACGGCTTGGACGCCTGGAAGAAGCCCAAGATGCGAGCAGAGGATCTTCCATGGCATCCTAAGACAAACCGCCCGCTCAAGTCGGGCGCAGATCTGCTGTTCGACTACTTTACCGAGGAAGGATCGATTCAAGGCATGACCGAGGACTATCTGCTGTGCCTGGGCAAAGCACCCGGCCTCGACAATGAAGCGATGACTCAATGGACGCTCAGAGGATTGAAGTCGGCGTTCGAGGCAGTCAAGTCGATATCAGGAGCGCCGGCACATCTCGTCGTTCTGTGGGGCGGCGAAGACTTCATGATACCGCGCAAAGGAAGGGAGTGGCTTGACTCGGTGCTCAAAGATGCGAAGTTTGCGAGCACGATCAAGTATCAGCAATGGGAGATGGCGGAAGGCGGTCACGATGCCACTTTGTTCTCTGAAGAAGTGATGCTGGACGTGATCAGGTTCGTTGCCGACGACAACACAGAGTCAACCTAGTCGCAGATGGCTTCGTCTTATCATTGAATTGTACAGCGGCATTACAAGTAGGCTACACAGGGATCGTGGTCAGCGTAACTCCAGCTAGCTCGATGATCTGCTTTGAAAAACGCACGAGCCTATCCTGCATCTCTTCGTCGCGACTCTTTTCTGGCCCATCCTCTGGGACAGCGGGCGGACAGATGAAGTTGCCGCCTTTTGTCGGCTGTGTTGCGCAGTACATTGCCGAGACGCAGCCCTGAAAGATACTCTTCTTGATTGGATTGAGCAGGTTCCAGGCGTACCCGAGTATCGGGAAAGGCTCGTGGATCCATACGTTCGTCTGACGAGTATCAACGACGCCAGGATGACAAGCGTTGAAGACGATATCGCTGTGACCTGCCTGCGAATACTTTCGATTGAGATAACGCGAGAAGAGCAGATCCGCCAGCTTCGATCGCGCATAGAGTGCTTGCGCGCCGAGGTCGCTCTTGAAGTCTTCCTCCGTTGCGAAGTCGACATCGTTCGGCGTCTGTGCGGCGAGATTGGAGCTGAATGACACGACGCGAACCTTCGTTTGCTGATCCTTGACAGTCTTGTTGAGCAAGGGCAGAAGTGCGTCGATGAGCACGACATGGCCGAGATGGTTGATTGACATGTGCGAGTCGATGCCGTTGCGGTCGAGCGAGTGCGTCATGATGCCCTTGGCGGCGTTGGCGATGAGGATGTCGAGTCGATCAGTCTCCTGATTGATCTCACGAGCGACTTGCTGGACTCGCTTCCAGTCTGTGAGGTCGCATTGCTTCCAAACGATACGAGCGGCAGCGTCCTTCGGCAGCTCGTCGTCTTCGGCAAACGCATTTTTGGCTTGCGAGATAATCTCTTCGGACAAAGACACGACGAAGACCTTGTCGATGTTGGACTTTAGCAGCGTGTGCGTGCAGCCGAATCCGATACCCTCAGAGCCGCCGGTGACGAGAGCGACTTTGCCTGAGAGATCGCCGACTTGATCAAGACTGAATTGGTGCTGAGGATCGACGAGCTGATGCGGGTCTCCTGACAGTGTCGGCGCAACGCCCAGGTTCTCTGCGATGGTGTGTTTGACGGTTTGCATGGCTGAAGAAGTGTGGAGGGCTCGTGTGTGAGCGAAAACGATCCGGTGTGCCTTTGATTGCAGCGAGAAGCGTGTGGTGCGAATGCGAATCGTATGGTTGAATTGAGAAGTCAGCGATCGAAGACCAGGTCGCATGCTATGTGAATTGAGCGAGCAACGAGCACTTCTTCCATTGTCGGCAGACATGACTGCCATATATACATCATGAAGATACGCAAGGCCGTTCGCGGAGATGACGAGCCAGACGTGTCATACGACGTAGCTTACCGCATCAACGACGCGGGCTCAGGGCGAAGGATCTTGAACAGCCTTGTTTATTAAGTCAGCGAGGTCTCGTCAAAGCATTGACCGGGCGGAAGGGACGGCAAGCCATGACGAGGCGTCGAAACAATGGCAAGATGCTGATTCACGACGTTTGCTGATTCACGATGCAAAGAAGCGAAGCATGTGGCGTCGACGGGTGTGCTCAAATTGACAGGTTTCCACAATGCAAACAAAAATGGATTGCCGAAATGGCGGCTCATCAATTCACGACGAGAAAGAGCGGGGTGACGGTGAGCAGCAATGCAAGATGCGACTTCCATTCAATGCCTGAGCGTCAACGTTGGATTCTTCGAGTGTGACAAACATGCTCATAGCCATCCACAAGGTCTGTCTTGACCTGGTCGAGCCGTGAGTCCATGAGAAGCCAAACAGACAACGAACGAGTTTCTTTCAAGTTTCGATTACGTTCGCGAAGCTTGAAGTCGGTCTCACCCGGATGGTCAAGGTTAAACTCAAAGAAGTCGGACGGTCGGATGATGGACAAACTCTTGATGGCAAGGAAGGTGGCTTTCTCGCCGAAAGCGTTGCTTACCGAAGTGGTCAGCGGCGTCGAGGGAATGCTGACTTCATCTCGGCCTGTCAAGCGCAAAATGGCCGTTACCGAGGTGGGGTCCCAATCCTCAGCTCCCACTTCATCAATTTCGCCATTCTCAATAAACACGAACGACCGGCAAAGTATGTGACAGGATATATGATTCTCGTGACAAGTGGCAAAGATAGGTTACAAGACTGATAAGACCAGAGGCGGGGGGATATCAAAGAACGAACGAGTGTGCGGTGAATTTACATCTTCTTCTCGCTGCTGCCGGACGACTGGCGGTCGAAGGCGGGTGCGTTCGGGTTGGCGGTCTCGAGGACGGCGATGGTGTTGTTGTTCTCGGCGGCGACCTCGTCGACGTAGACCACCTTCTCGACCTCGTAGTTGGAGTCGCGGATGTTCCAGATGACCATGCCGGCGAAGGGGAACGAGAACATCATCAAACCGAACACGGCGGCGATCTCGTTGATGTAAGGCACCTCGGTAGCGTCCATGGCGAAGGCGACGGCAGCACCGGCCGACTGAACCGCCTTGTACATGCCGGCGAAACGAGCGAGCTCGAAGGGGTCGTTGGTGATGGCACCCATGATCCAGTAGGCGAGACCCTGGTAGAAGGCATCGCCGAAGTCGTAGAGGATGAAGATCGACATGGGCTCGGCAAAGGCAGCGTCGTTGTAGCTGATCTTGCGCTCCCACTTGGTAGCACGGGTGATGGGGATCTGGTACTTGATACCCCAGCTGTAAGAGACGATGGTGAAGACGACGGTGAGGGCCAGGCCGCAAAGACCACGGTTGCGTCGCTGCATGGGGAGCTTGTCGAGCAGAAAACCGAGGATCAGTGCACCGAGGATCTGACCAACCGACTTAACCACACCGTTGACTGAACGGGCCGATGAGTCGAACGACTTGAAGGCGATAGAGCCTTGATAGGGATAGAAAAACTACCCCACCAAAAAAAAAAGCCCCACCAAAAAAGAAGAGGACGAATGCTCGGATGTCAGCCGTGATCGTGATAACCACCAAAAGCGGTCAAGGAACGGCGATGTCGAGGCGAGAGAGTCTATCAAGATACTTACGTTGGAGGCGAAGAACATGGGAATGAGCAGCATGATCTGCTTGTTCTTGAGGGTGCTGAGAAGCGCGTAAACCTCCTCGCGGACGGTGTTGCTCTTCTGAATCTTGACGAGGGTACCGTCGGTACGGACGACGCGGTTGGGAGGGAGCAGGGTCCAGGTGAGAGCGACACCGACCATGATGACGGCGAAGAAGGCGATGTAGGTGGAGACCTTGACGGCGTCGAGGCCGCCCGCCTTGAGGTTGATGCCGAGGGCGATGAGACCGCCCATGAGCGAACCACTGTTGAAGATGGCCCAGAAGATGGAGAACGAACGACCCTTCTCGGACTCGAGGGGGTAGGAAAGCATGATGCATCCCTGGGCAGTCCAGAGCAGCGCAGCGCACATGCCGAGGACGGCACCAGAGAAGATGAGGAACCAGTCCTGCGCCTTCTCCTGGTAGACCCAGAGAGCGGCGAGGTAAAGAGCGTAACCGAGCGAACCGCAGAAGAGGGTGACGCGGGGACCAAAGATGTTGTTGAACGAACCGGCAACGAGACCCGTCAACGCGAAAAGGGCGTAGAGGATGGCGTTGGTGATGTTGGATAGAGTGATCGACTGGGTACCACCGGCACCGAGGTTAGACACGGCACTGAACATGCCGACGGTGGCAAAGCAGACGAACGAGACCAGGACGACCTGGCAGAGGGGCGATGTGTATCGCCATGACGAGTGGACCTTCATGGTGAGCGGGTGTGCGTGGCGGTGAGTGGCACGGCTGATGTGGGTGGCGTTGCGGGGGTGGGATGCCGGGAGAGAGGTCGATGCCGGTCTCAAGGACGCCAAGAAGGGTGGAGGAGAGTGCTTGAGGGATGTGGGTGACAGAGCAGGGGGATAAGGGAGGAAAAGGGCGGACTAGATATAGTGTTGAGGCTAGGGACGATGGGATCACATGGAGGTAGCACGACAAGGACCGAGCTGCTGCTGCATTGGACGAGACCAAGGCTGAGGAAGCGAAGCTCGGTATGCAGCGGCGAGCGACTATCTCATGCTCTTGCTCGCTCGTGTGAGTTCAACAGACAAACACTGTGCCGGTCGGCGCCCGCGATGCGAGGAGCATATCTCTACCCCAGACCGATGTTTGCGAGCGGCAGAGGAACCAGGTTGGTGATAGCGAGCGCAGCTTGACCGACGAAGCTCAGGAACGCTTTAGAGGAAGATTGCGTCGGCAGCGAATCGGAGCGTTGGTAAAGTCGAAGGCACGCGAGTGAATCGCCTCACGACGAGCTCGTACAAGCCAAACCGGCAGTTTCCTTCAGTTGTGGTATTGCAGGGTCGATATTGAAGAAGGCTCTGATGCGGGGTTGACCGGCCGCTGTCGCGGGCTCTGCTGCAATTCGGCAGCAAAGAGGCAAAGGGTGAGAGGAAAGGCGGGAGAGTGAACTATGTGCCAAGCCCTCTTGTGATAGGCATTGGAAGAGCGACGGGCATATCAGCAGAGCTTCGGGGGTCGGTGTCCCAAGATGACCGGTCCGCTCGTGCATGAGCGCGGCAAGCGAGTCCAAAATGCTCTGATTGGCAATCCAGGGTTCATCTAGAGGTTCCATTTGGGCACCTATCGACTCGAACCCAGCGATAAGCGCTGGCATCGCAGAGATGAAAGGTTGACCGTTTCGTACATGCCGAGTCATGCACATCGTGTGATCACAGATAGCGACCTTCGCAGCTAGTCATGAAAGTGAACGTTACATGCTTCCAAAGCTTGTGCGGTTTGAAGCCAATCTGGCACAATGGCTGTCAGACGGCTTTAATGATTGCCCAGGGTTTGATGGCAGAGTCGGACCTCGAAACACCACAGTTCGGCTAACCGGCAAGCAGAGGTGGGCTTGACGGGACTGGAACCCTAAAAGTTGGCGCTTTCAAAGAGCACCAGCTTTGACCCGCACTCAAGCCACGCTGTCCAAGATCTGACCTCTCATCGGCCCGACGTCGGTACGAGCTACATTGTCTGGCTCGCAACATTGCCACGCTTCCCCCGCGTTCTGCACGTTGCACCGATCGTGCTGGGTGGATGCCAAGGCAAATGGTCGGCGTGCGATGAGCTGCGCGGTGATCAGGTGTTCCTGACGACATGGCTTTGCCGAGTCATGTCAAGATGTGTGGCTTGTCGTCTGTGCGACTCTGCGATGCCTCGCGTCCTGCTGTCACATGAGTCTCCAATTGGGTCGGGCGCGTCGGCTTTCGTCTCGATGCCAAAGACATAGCGAGACCGAAACGGAGGCGGCAGAACGGAGTTGCAGGCGTGCAGTCGGTCAAGCGCTCGTGCCTCTCTCACTGAGAGGACGTGTCAGGCATGGCCGCAAGGGTCCTGCGACACTCTGATAGCAGGTCGGGGTGCTCGCCGTTTAGACCAGGTCGGAGCTGCAACGAGACTGACAAAGTCCGGGGAGATATGGCTTGACCGGCCAATTGTGCTGATAACCGGACGAGGTCTCATGACCCAAGATCGGCATTCACGCCGGTGCGGACTTGCAATCGCCATTCGAGCAAACGCAGCGTTGCCGCCATTGCATCGGGAGATGAGGGCCAACGGACGTTTGTAGAGCAAAGCAATCAGCGCAATCAGCGCAACGATGGATGATCCGTTCGTGTCTCGTCAACCTCAAGATAAAGGCCGCAGCCGATAAGAATGTTCCTTTCGCATCTCTCAATCGTGTCGGTCATTTCGGCCCGCTGAGCATAGGTATAGCCCCTACGCCTCGTTGCGCTCATCCGTCATGTCGGCTATCGTCACTGAGCAGAGCAGTGCTGGACCATATCGGCAGCTGGCGATACGGTGATTGGCCACGCAGGTACGAGCAAGATCTACGCGAGGAGTTGCGATGTCCGGTTAGTTCCTTCGGCTAACGGACCGGTTTCGAGTAGATTCGTCGCTGTCATGCCGATGATTGCAGAATGATATGTAGTGTACAGAATGGAGGTGCGAATCGTCACCATTTGCGACCGAGCTGTCCGAGTGAAGGCGAGATAACGATAAGGCCGTCCGCCATAGAGATAAGATGAGTCCACGTTGACCGATGATATCAGGACAGCGTCAACATCTGCACAGTCGAGTCGTGCCTAGTAGTTGCGCTATCGATACGGGCGAATCCGCAAGTGAGAGACTTACCTTTTGCTGTACGCAGGCCTTGAAAGCGAGAAACTCCTTTTGGCACATGTTGCGCTCAATGTTTTCGTAGTTGGCGGTGACGCATGCGCCGTACGTACGGGCCTGCAGAGCAGATGAGGGTAGGAAGGTTCAAGGCTACATTTCAGCTCGTCTTGTTCGAGAGCTGGATTACAAGCAGCGGCCAAGAAGGAGCTGGGGGGACGTACCTCGTTGGAGCACTTTGCGGCCGCCTTGGCAAAGGTTTGCACGGGGGCCACATCCCTCTGCCTGATCGCACCGGGTCTCATGACCGACGATGCTTGCAATGCAGAATCACTTGAGGTGTGAGGATGGTGGTGGCGATCGTCCTCGAGGTCGGTCACGATGAGAACCAAATTCTCAGCGTGGAAGTGAGTGCGTAAGGATCGGTGACAGATCGGGTATGTGCAGCATTTCTAGATCCTCGATTGATCCAAGATGTCGGCCGACATAGCTGACCCCCAAGGTGCGTGATTGAGGAGGCGCAGGCTGCGGAAAAATGAAGAGTTTTGCCTGGGAAAGTCGAAAGTCACAGAGTGGGCGCGCGGAGAATGGGCGGTGGCTCTGACCACTCTCGGCTCGCTTGGTACCGAGGCTCGGATTCAGGGTCCTCGCGTGGCTAAATGTGGTCAGGGCGAGCTTCAGGCGGAGGGTCTAGATGCTGGTCGATTTGGGTCTTCTAGGCTCATCATGGCATTCAGGTGCGTCGTTGCGAGGTTTAGACTACTCTCCGCTTGTGCATGAGGGAATACGACCCAGACGAGGATCAACCGGTGGCAGCATGGTGACAGGGATTGAAGCACCGCCATTATCCGCTCCTCGATACGAGCAATCGCGGATCAGCTTCGGTGCAAAGGGGCAAAATCGGGGACGACAAGGTGGCTTGCTGCGTGACGATTCTGGAAGAGCGCTGAAGCCAGGGTACGCACGAAGTCGAGACCAGGCTGTTCCGATCCGCAATGCACTGTGCATGGGTAAGGCCTCTTTTTGTGCAGTGGAAGCGCTTCTGGGATGGAATGCAGGGAGAAGCAAGGCAGCGAGTTTCATTTGAGCTCCGGAAAAATAGGTGCATGGTGGAACCAAATTGCATGCTCTTGTCCTTCCCGCTCGCTTCGGGCACGCGCTCCGCCTTGGTGCTTCTTCTGGCCCACGCTCCGGCTACTTTATCCTAGCCCGTCAACCGACTCGCCTCTGTTGGCTGTACCGCTCCACCGCCGACACCTCGTGCTCCCTCGTGCATACATCGCTTTTCAACATTGCACGACCCATCTTCCCTTCTCACCATCAACCCCGTCGTCACACACCATCCACCCAAACGAGCCATCCTCACGATGAAGCCGGAAGAGCTGTTTGCAGAGGTCGCCGACCCTTTTCTGCGACACTGTCTCCAAGTCGTCCAAACGACGCCGACCAACTTTACCTATATTGGCTCGGGTGCCAAGATTGCCTATCGCTGGCTCAATGTCGAGGACGATGCGTTCCATCGGATTGCCGCCGACAACGGCATCGCTTTCGCATCCACGTCATCTTTGGCATCGCTGACTCCGAAACGATCGGAGGTGCCGTTGCTGCTCCACTGTGACTTTCGCGCGGGGATGGATATGTGGGATCCGCTCTTCCTTGCGCATCTTCTCAAATCACGTCCGATGATCATCTTTGACCCGTGTCACTGCGGACGATCCGTCTCGAATCGCGATACCCGCCCCTACATGGGCTCGTTCTACAAATGGGCCAAACACGCTGTCGCCATTGCCGACTCGCTCGGTGTCGCCGAATACGACGTGCTCGGATTGGCCATGGGTGGCGCAGCTGCTCTGCTCACGGCCTTGTATCCGAGTCCAGCGACGACGCGCGTACGCAAGATTGTCGCAGCAGCCACCACGGGTCCTGCCATCTCGGCGCGTCTCTACGAAGAGTGCTCGCGCAGCTCCATGTCCATCCCGTGGCCGCGAGACGACTGGAACCTCATGAATGCATCCCGCCTCTCGCTCAACGACGGCACCAAACCCGAGGAAGTCAAGCAGGCCTTGAAACACACGTCCTTCACCGATTCGGATGCGGGTCAGCAGGCGCTCGAGCATCACTGGGACCGCATCAACCAGTTCGCTCAGTACCGATCCAACATGCCCTCGGAAGCGCCCTTCATCGGACTCTTGGAGGATCGTCGGGAGCTTGGTCCGTTGCGATGTCAGCGACTGGCGTGGAGGAGCTGGGAGACGCTTCCGCAGCAGCGCGGTGGCGCCTACACCGATCCTATGGCCAAAGTCAATGTGCCTGTCCTCGTAATGAACGGCATCAACAACACGCTCATCCCTGCCAGCAGGAGCTGGGAGCTCATGTGCCGTCTTCCCAAGCCCGCGCTCAACCTCTACGAGGACTCCGGGGCGGGCTTCATCTGGCAGTATCCAGAGCGTGTCGCAAAGGACATCAACTACTTTTTGGACTACGACCACTCGAATCTTCAGCCTCAGCTGCTGCCCTCGGCATCGCTGCCCCAACCCACCGCGCCACTGCCCAACTACCCGCCACCCACGCAGAACACCGCGTCGGTCTCTCAGGCGAGTGCAGCGCACAGCTCGTACGGCAACATCCAGCACCCCTACTTCCCCGATATGCCACCGGGGTATCAGCAGGCCTCGAGCCAGTTCCACCCGCAGGAGAACGAGCGCTTGCAGAGGGCTTCCAAGCTTTGACCCCGTCCTCTTGTCTATGTTCTGTTCCATGTGTCTCGTAAGGGTTCTCAATGTCACCGTCCTCTCCATTCTCCTGCCTTCGTGCGTGTGTCAAAAGACAACGTCACACCAGCCGTAAAGAATCTTGTGTGTTGAAAGGCGAATACCATTATAAATTTATACAGGGGTCAGACGAAACCTCTGCGCTCCTCAAATCCCTTCTAAAAATCCCACTTCCTACGCCTCATCGTGTTCGCGAGAGATCTTGGAAGGCGCTCTCGATGCAATTCTTGATCTCGCGGTAGCTGACGACCAGACAGCTGTGCTCGTCCCTCGAGGTGAGCATGATCTTCTCGTCCGTACCTGCGTCGAGCTTGTTCAAGTTCGACAGGATGTGGCTCAGATCGACCACGGGACGACCGGCTTCGTCGACAGCGTGGAAGACGTGATCGCGGAAGAGCTTGATGACGTACCGATCGCCCGTCTCGGCCCAGCGCGGATCGTGGTCGAACTCCGGTCGCTCGTTGATGAATCCAAACTTGCAGAGCAGGCGTACGAGACGGCCGTTCTCGAGTTCTTTCATGAGAGAGTTCTCCATGAGATCCGTGTAGTTGAGCGCAGAGTCCATCTCGTCGGCGCAGTGGCTGCCGAGAACTCGCATCAGTTCCGATACGGTGCGCGGCACTTCCGTCTCATCCTCCGTCTCGTAAGGCGCGGACGACTGGCCAAGGAGCCACGAGACGACCTGCTTAAGCTCGGCAGAAAAGCGACCGGCAAACATCGCAAGGCTCGATGCAATGTCGTTCGTCGCAGAAATGCTGTTGAGGCCAATGCTGAGGATGAGCGCGCCCAAGTTGACCAGATCTTCCTGCTGCTGCGCCTTGAGCGCATCTGCACCGTTCTCGTCCGGGTTGTACGCAATGACGTCGAACACGGAACAGCAGTTGATGCGGACGCGGTTCTTTCCCGTTCGCAGCACCTTGCTCGCCTCGATGCATCGAGCTGCCAGGTTGCTCGAGTGGATCGAGCGGAGCGACGAGGTGAGCTGGCAGAGGTAGCTCCACAGCGTGCGCTCAGGCACCTGCATCGACACGGGCTGCATTCGACCCGTGCGACGATCCGGCTGAGCTGCTTTGATCGTCATGTGCTCAGCGTACAGCGTCGTCGCCAGCGGATGGTAGTCGTAGACAAAGACGATCGACTGGTCGCCGAAGGCGCGCGTGGTGAACGCTTCGCGGACGCTGACGATGCTCGGATGACGGATGCGACGCCAACGCTCCACCAGTGCGATGGCCGCTTCGTGCTGCAGACGGAAACCTTCGAGTCTGCGCAGAACGTATCGCTTGCCGTCGAGCGTGCAAGTGGCTTTGTAGGAATGGCTGCGGTATCCAAACACTTTGCTGTGATCGCCCGAGGCGCCTGTTGCTCCGTTAGCGCCTGGTGCGCCCATCCGAGGGTCGATCAGCCCGGGAGGCATGCCCATGCTGGAAGGTGCACCGGGACCGGGGTGCTCCAAAGGAACGAGAGAATGGTAGACGTGCAGCTCCTCGGGCAGGTTGGGTCCTCCGAGCTCGGGCGGCGGAATGCTTGCAAGCATCGCCTCTTGTTTCCGTTGCAATTCCTCGCGCTGGTTTGGGTTGAGGAAGAAGGCGTTGGCGGTGAGGTGGTGCGGATGAAGGTTGGAAACGTGCGGGAGCGGCGGGGCGTAGAGATGGTAGTGAAGGGGCTGTCGAAGCTTGGCAGCACCGTTGGCAGCTGCCGAGTAGTAGTCCATACCTCCGCCGATTCCGAGACCAGGCGGACCTTGAGCAGGTGTTGGGTCGCCAAACTCGTTCATGTGCTCGTACGGGTTGAAGGGTCGCGACGGTTGGCTCTGCACTGCAGGCTCGTGCGAAGAGCCAGCTTGCGATGGGTCAAATGCGCTGTTCATGGGGTCGACGTCGTAGCTGGCGCTGTACATGCTGGGTGTACCCGGTCCATTCTGAGTGTATGCGCCTGGGGTGAATTCTTTCGAGTTCACCGAGTCGATCTTCATGTCGCTGACGTCCGAGGCGACGCCATCGACTGCTGACCTGGGAGCCGGAGCCGGTGAAGCTGCTGGCAGGGAGGGCGAAGAGCCACCGTTGACCTTGGGCACAAAGACAGCAGCGGCGACATTGCGAGCGCTGAGTGCTCCCTTGAGCGGGCTAGCTTGGACATTGGCGCCGCCTCTGGACTTGTTGGGTGAGGTGGCAGAGAATCCGGCCGAAGTAGCTGTGAGTCCAGAAGACGTGAATTGCGCTGCAGGTGATCTGGGCGTCTGGCTGGGAGAGTTGGCGGTGGATGCTGAAGCGTGATCAAAGGGGCACCCGTCATTCTGGTATTTGCAATGACCGTAGATAGCTACGTTGCGACATGGCTTGCGCCCTGAAGCGGTGGCATTGGAACCGACAGGCGACTTGGACGCTTCAGGCTGCGAAGCACCGCCAGCAGCCGTGGCAGCTCCATACGAGAGACCCGGTCTCGCTCCAGGAGGAGGAGTAGATACAGGGGCTATGATGGGAATGGCCGAGCTACGGGTGGGCCTGGGAGGCAGAGCACCGTTGAAGGCAGGCGAATTTTGCTGCTGCTGCTGCTGCGAATGATGGTGCTGCTGCATGCCAGGCCGATTGTGAGATTGAAGATGCGGTTGTTGTGGTGGTGGTTGCTGTTGCTGATAAGGCTGATGAGAAGGAGGTTGTGCGTGGTTGAAGTGGGATGGAGGCTGTGCTTGTTGCGGTGGTGGGTAAGGGTGCTTATGCTGTTGATAGGGTGGTTGCTGCGATTGAGAGTAGTGATACATCGCTGATGATCGACATTTATCCTAATTCGCGACGGGATCGTCTGAAAGAGCAGAGCAGGATCGTGGTCCCAGAAACAGGGTTGTCGTCGTCGTTGCTCTATCGTACCCTGTGAATGCGATCGAAAGCGTCCGAGATGGTGGTCAGGAGGTGCTTGTTGGCTCGCTCGTCATCACGATGCCGATGCGCTTCGAAAGATGCCCTGCAGAGAGGTCGATCAACACGACAGGCAGCAACGATGGTGATGATGGTCAGCGTGAGATGGTGACCAAATTGCTCGTGCGCCTTGATGCGATGCTACTACTGTCGTCGGCGTTGAAGCAGGCAAGTCAGGCACACTCTGGCTCTCGCCCTCTTGAATGTGGTCGGCTGCAGAGCGCTTTCTTTTTTCATTTTCGATTCTGCATGCTCACTGGCCAAATGCCTTTCACCAGAGGATCTAACAGCGTGGAAGAATTCAAGATTCGAGAGACAGACGACAGAGCTTGCCTGTCCGTCTCGGTCGCTCGATGCGCTCTGCATTCTGCAGCTTTTTGCACACGGGGCGAGAGCGAGAGAGAGAAGAACAGGGCTGAACCCTTCGGTTGGCAAACACAGAGAGCTCGGGTTTCGCTCAGTTGGTCCTCCGCCACTCCAACACCGTCTCATTCGTCTGCATCCTTCCTGCAACGGAGCTGAATGCCCTTTCCTTCTCGACCTGCCCCACCCAGCGCTGCCTCGTATATCTCCAAAGGCGTACCTTCCGCTCCCTCACGAAGAGCACTGGCTAAGCGAACGCCCTCTCTTCGATGGTCTCACGCTGCTCCGGCCCTTCCGATTTCTAACGGAGCTCAAGTCTCCCGCCATTACAGGTTTTGACGTCGGCGTCCTTCCGCGATAGACCATGCGCTGCTCATTCAGCACCTGTTGAGCGCTCTTCGCATTTGTCGACCATAGTCATCCTGCCTTTTCCCATGGCTCATAGACTCGGTACATGCGACAAAGCAAGACTTGGTGCGAAGTGTCAATCCCTCATTCGCGGTGACCACAGTCATGTCGTCGAATCACAGCAACACCGCCTCGGCGGCAGCGATGTCGCCAATAGCGTCACCATCCGCACCTGCTGCGGAAGGCTCGGACACTGCCGTCACCAGCAATCTCATCTCGGAAGCTCTGTCGTCAGCACATTCAGCGGCGTCACTACCCCCGCCGTCTTCGCACCCTCCTCCGCCGCCAGCATTCACCCCTTCGCCATCCCCACCGCCACAGTCTGCATCCACCATCGCGACCAGCAACAATGACTCTGCATCGCACCAACACACAGGCGCCGCCGAAGCTTCCAAGGCTGATCGCTCGCCACCTGATATGAACCGATCCAACTCTTCTTCGTCAGGAACGCCATCAGCAGTCGACGACGAGAGCGCACTCGGCTACGACGAAGGCAGCTCTTCTGTTTTTGCGCCCAAACGCAAACCCAAAGCAAAGCCCCAACCTCAATTGATAGACCATCTCCCGCTTGCATATGACGCAGCCATGGCTACGTTCCAGGAGATCACATTCAACGACTACCACGACAAGAAGCTTGGCAGGCCACCGGGCAAGTTTGACGACTACATGATCTGCGATTGCAACTCCACCTCCGGCAACGAGGACATGGCCTGCACCGACTATTCGGGCTGCATCAACCGCATGACCCAGATCGAATGCTCGTCCTCCAAGTGCCGATGGGGCAAGCAGTGTCACAATCAGCGGTTCCATCGAAGACAGTACGTCAACGTCGACATCGTACAAACCGAAAAGAAGGGTTTCGGTCTTCGTGCGGGTCAGGATATCCAAAAGGAGGCCTTCGTCTACGAGTACGTTGGCGAGGTCATGAATCAGCCCACCTTCCTCGATCGCATGCAGCAGTACCGCGTTGAGGGGATCCGCCATTTCTACTTTATGATGTTGCAACCCAACGAGTATCTCGATGCAACCAAAAAAGGCGGAAAGGGCCGTTTCATCAACCACAGTTGCAACCCAAATTGCTCTGTGTCGAAATGGCAAGTAGGCAAGCATCTCCGCATGGGTATCTTTGCCAAACGCAACATCGTCAAAGGCGAAGAGCTCACTTTCAACTACAACGTCGACCGCTACGGAAACGACGCGCAGGAATGCTTCTGTGGCGAGCCCAACTGCGTCGGCACCCTCGGTGGCAAGACGCAGACCGACCTCAGCGGCATGGACGACCTTTTCTTGGACGCTCTCGGCATCTCGGACGAAGTGGAACAGACAGAAGCCAAGGGCTCGCGGCGGAAACGAGGCAAGCGACTCGACCTCGACTTCATTCCTCAGATGCGACCGATCAAGGAGCACGAGGCGACCCGTGTCATGACTGCGGCGAGACAAGCAGGGCCCAAGCGGGAGATCCTGGAAAAGCTACTGCGCAGGATGGAGATGACCACCGACGTCAACGTGCAAAAGTCACTCGTCAAGCTGCACGGATTCATCCTCATGCAATTCTTGCTCGAGCAGTGGTGGAACGACCGTGACATCGTATTGCTCATCATCAATGTCCTTGCTCGGTGGCCCCTGATCGCCCGCAACAAGGTCATCGATTGCGGTGTAGAGGAGCAGGTCCGTGTCGTGGCGGAGACATATCGGCCGAAGGCAGAACCTAAGGCCGAGGATGCAAATGGAGATCAGCAGGCGAGTCTCAAGACCGAGGACGCGTTGAAGGAAGAAGACGCCAAGGTCGAGCTCGATCTGTACGGAGATGGCACTGCAGAAGCAGAGCCGCCACAAACACCCGTGCTGGTGGGCGCAACACCAGCAGAGGACGCCGAGATATCGTCCCGCGCCGAGCACCTGCTCGAGGCATGGAAGAAGCTCGACATGACCTACCGCATCGCGCGCAAGGACGCGCTCAAGCAAGATGGCGACGACGTTAAGGAGGAAGCAGCAGCGGTCGTCACGACCTGGGTCGATCGTCGAAGGCTGCAGGATCTGGAAGACCCGCTCGAGATGGATCACGCACAGGCACCCAATGCTGTGTCGTCGGAACTCGGCTCGGCTCTTTCGGGCGATCAGGACCTGCGCGAAAGCATCCCCACATGGCAGCCCCCACCTGCACCGCCTTCGATGGCGAACAATGCGTCCACAAAGCGAATGAACGGATTCAGCCACCCGCGGGCCTCGCCAGGCAGCTTCACTCCAAGCCGGCTCTCGGGACAGAGCCCGCTCACTCCGGATCAAGTCACCTCTGCCCTCTCCTCGTCCTTGGCTAAGTCGCTTCCAGGACTCATGTCGTCCCTGAAGCAACAGCCACTTCAGACGCAGCAGCACCAGCAACCTCAGTTGGTCGCACCGCCAACCAAGTCGATCGAGGACATCATTCGCGAAGCCAACGAGCAAGAGGAGCGTGCGCGCAAGGAAGCCGAAGCAGCTGCAAAGGCGGCGCGCGAGCTCGAACTCAATGGCGGTCTCTCCAGCGCCTCGTCGCGCAAGCGCCCCTCGTCGTCGTCTCGGCCTTCAGACAAGCGTGTCAAGCATTCGTCGTCGTCGCGACACACCAACGGTGTGGACGCTGCAGACTCCTCGGCCTCAGCGTCTGCCGATTTGGCAGCGAGCAACGAGAAGCGCCTTCGCAAGCTGGTGGGCGAAATCGTGGTGCGTCAGATGTCCAAGCACAAGGACGAGCTGGAACGCGAGAGCTTCAAGCGTCACGCAAAGGAGCTGACCAACGTGATCGTGGGCAAGGAGATGCGCAATCCCAAGTCGTGGCCCCCTGCAAAGGGCGCGACGCTGACGGAGCTGTCCAGTGACAAAAAGACCAAGATCAAGGCGTTCGCCAAGGAATACATCGACAAGCTGATGGCCAGAAAGGGAAAGGGCAAAGGGTCGACGACCCCGACGAACGAGCCGAGTGCAAGTCAGTCAGTCAACGGTAGCGTGTAGGCTTGTACACCAATGTATTCTTAGCACAGGAAAATGTCCCCATTGACACTGTCACTCGAGGAGTTGGCACACACGGACAGAGGGTTGTATGATGTGATGCATTCGTGATTTCGCTTTCGCTAGCGAATGAGGTACTGACGCTGGAACCAGAGCGCCAAAGCGGCGATGAGCAGGGAGAGGAAGATGGTCGTATAGAACCCCATTCTTGTCTCGGAGATGAACGCCAATGCGCCACCTGCACTCGCCGCCTTTTCCAGCAGCGCCTTCGCTGGGATCGGAATCACTCGCAGCGTGTTATCCGCACTGGCAGAGACGAGCAGGTTCGACGCCGGGTTGAACTTGAGGCATGTGGGTGGGAAGTCGTGTGCGTGCAGAATCTTGAGCACGGGTCGTAGGGTCTTTGCGTCGAGCACGCCAATGGACAGATCCGACGATCCGTACGCCAGGAACTTGCCGTCCGGCGAGACATCGAACACGGTGACGGGACGATCCGAGACGTGGCGCGTCTCGATGAGGTCCCAGGTATCGGCGTCCCAAGCGGTGACGAAGCTCTTGCGGATCTTGGCTTTGGGGCCTCTGCCGCCTGCAGGGGCAGCGTTGACGACAGTGAAGAGCTTCTCTTTGCTCGCCTCGCCACGACCAAAGCGTGCGGCCCGGAAGGAACAGGGGCCCTTGCCACCGAGGGCCGGATTCTTGATGGTTTGGATGGTTTGCGCGTAGCCTTCGGCGGACCGTGTGGACTCGTCGGTTGGACTCGCTGCATCATCCGAGTTAGACTCGGAGAAGGGCTCCGTGGCATAGACGACGAGCTTGGATGAAGAAGTGAAGACGACTTGCGTGTTGGAATGCGAAAAGTCGGCGTCATAGAGCTCGCTCCTTTCAAAGTCTTGGGAGGGTATCGAGATGGAGGTGTCTTTGGCCTCTGCGGCGGCAAGGGCGGAGGATGAAGGTTCGCCCGCGTCGTCCCAGATAGGCGAGAGGGCTGGGTATCGGTGGAGCGCAACTTGACCGTCTGTGCTGGCCAAGGCGAGCATGCGTCCATTCGGACTGAAGGCAGCCACTTTGATGTACTGCTCTGGGTCTTGGATCTGCATCGACTGTGCTGCTTTGGCAAAGTGAAGCTCCATCTTGACGTCCTCCTGCTTTGCTTTGCCTTTGTCTGCAGATGAGGCTTTTTCGTCGTTTGTTGAGCCAGACTTTTCTGTGACCTCAGCCTCTTGCAGCGAGTAGTCAAAGATGCGGATTGGCTGGTTGTTGCCCTTCTTCATCTCGTCTGCCGTATTGTTGATGCCGCAGATCAGCTGCGATTTGGAGGTGTTGACCGACATGGCCATAGGAGCATCTTCGTCTCGAGACAGCTTGAGCTCGTCCAGCTTCTCGATACTTTGCGTCTGGAAGTCTACTCGCGCTGCGACGACGGCATTGGTGACGCCTGATCGGCCCGCGCCTCCGCCGCCTGAGTAGACGATGACATCATCCTGGATGAAGCCGACCGAGTAGATCGGGATCTTTGCCTGCACCGGGAAGTGCTGAGTTCTGGCCATTTTGAGGTCGTCACAGCGCAATGTTGCTTTGCTGCGGGGTAGCCGATGTCTGCGGTGATGGTTGAAGGATGGTGAGTCGGAAGGTGCGGAATGTGATGCCAATCGATTGAATCACGGACTCGGCTGTGGCTTGTGCGTGATGCTGAATTTCGCAGCGGCACGTCCGAGAGAGAGCTGTGTGTCTTTAGGAAGAACAGCTCGTGCAGCGTGCGGGCTGCGCGAGCCTTAAAATTCCTCTACTGTATGCAGGTGGCCTAGCAGCGTTGGCTGAGAAGAACTTGCGCTCGGCGTTCACGACTGTGGCGGGGACCCTGAATGGTTGTCTGTGGACGGTGGGTCTCCTTCGCCTCGCCCACTTCGACCACGTACCGAACCATCACATCGATCCGCGACTTCCACAATGGTCTCTGACGTGGGTACAAGTATCGCTTCGTCCAAGGTGGCGCTTCCAGCTGAAGCTAAGCGCCAGCCGCGCCAGCCGAAGACCTTGACTCGCGCTCAGCTAGCGGAGCGCATCGCCAATGGGGAGACGCTCGTCTTGCACCGACGAAAGATCTACAAGCTGGACAAATGGCTCTCGAGACACCCTGGTGGTGAGCTCGCTATCCTGCACTTTGTCGGGCGGGACGCTACGGACGAGATCGAAGCCTACCATTCCGAAGACACCATCTCGCGCCTTATGTCTCGCTACGTGATTGGTCACCTCGACGAGGCGGACTGGCACAACTACCGACCGCTGGTGCCACCAGTACAGCTGGGCTATCGCAAGGGCAGGTTGGATCATCCACATGCTCAGGTAGCAATGTGGCGCCACCGCAACACTCCATCCACTTCTGCGGTCAGCTCCGACCGAGACAGCCAAGAGCCAGAGCTGTCTTCAGACTCGACCGATGAGGCCTTGGTCGAAGGAATGCTTTCCGATACGTCGGAGCAGACCCGACCGTCACGCTCCTCACCGTCTGAGTCACGGCGTAAGAGCGCCGTCAAGCCCGCCGCCCCGTCCACTCTGATCGTTGAAAGGCCCAACGGGTTCCCCTTGCCAGTCGATCTACTGGAACCGCCACCTGTCCCCGAGTCGGTCGATCCGATCCGCGAGCACCAGATCTCGGAAGCCTACAAGAAACTGCATCAGCAGGTCAAAGACGCAGGTCTATACACCCTCAAACCCGTGGGATATGCGCGAGAAGTGGCGCGATACCTTTTGCTCGGGTCCATCGCTTTCGCCTTGTGGTCATGCGGACAATCTCAGCTACGACTCGAGCAGTCGGCCACTTCGGCTGCCTCTTCGGCATCTTCCGCATGGTCATTCAGCGCTTCCACCACATCATTCTTGCTATCCAGCTTCTTCCTTGGGCTCTTCTGGCATCAGCTCACCTTCTCAGCGCATGACTCGGGCCACAGCGGCATCACCCACTCCTGGCAGTGGGACCGTATCATCGGCACCACCATCGCCGACTTCATTGGCGGTCTCAGCATCGGCTGGTGGTGCGACAACCACGACGTCCATCACCTCGTCACCAACCATCCCGAGCACGACCCCGATATCCAGCACATGCCCTTTTTTGCCATCTCGCCCCAATTCGTTCTGGCTGGCCAGACTACCATCATCAATGCAAACGACAGCAACGACGCATCCGCCAAACCACTGGGACTCTGGTCCTCCTACTACCGCCGCGTGCTCGAATTCGACGCACCCAGCCGCTTCCTTCTCAAGCATCAGCACAAGCTCTACTACATCGTCATGGCCTTTGGTCGCTTCAATCTATATGCCAACTCGTATGGCTTCCTCGCCACCAAGGCGCGTCGAGACCGCTGGTGGGCACTCGAGCTTGTTGGTCTCGCCACCTTCTGGACTTGGTACGGCTACGGGCTGCTCGGCTCTCTTCCTTCGTGGCCCGTCCGCATCGGCTACCTTCTCATCTCGCACATCGTCACTTCGCCGCTGCACGTCCAGATTGTGCTGTCTCACTTTGCCCAGTCGTGCGACGATCTGGGGCTGAGCGAGAGCTTTGCTTCACGCCAAATTAGGACCACCATGGATGTCGATTGTCCGACATGGCTCGACTTCGTGCACGGTGGATTGCACATGCAGGTTTCGCACCACCTCTTCCCGCGCGTGCCGAGACACAACCTCAGAGAGGTGCGCGACCGCTTCGTCGTGCCCTTTGCCAAGAAGTGGGGGCTCGAGTATCATGAGTACAGCTTCACAAAGGGCAACGGAAGGGTGTTGGCAACGCTCAAAAGAGTAGCCGATCAGGTTCACATTCTTGGCAAGGTGGCGCAGGCGCAAGCGAAGGGCGAGCTCCAACACTAACGACCTGTATCCTGCCTTCGAGCAATATCGATAGAAGTCTACATTCGCAAACGATCAGTCGACGTGCTTAAAATCATGGTTAATGACAGTCCATCCACACGGTCCTGACTGTTTGACGCTGCGCACTGTTTCAAGTACGGCGGATCTTGATGCTCAGACATGGGCACGAGCGGCAATCTTTGTGGTGTGAGGTACGGTGTTGACCGCGAGCCTGAACGAAGCTTCTAGCGAATTTGAACCCTGGCTGACACTTTTATGCGCCGGTCATGTTGCCGTTCTTTTGTTTCTTCCTCCACCCCTTCCCATCCTTCTCACTTCTCACAACCACCATCACCATCGCCAGCTGAAATCGACCGGCAGCTTGAGACAAGATGTCGAGCACGGACAACACCAACGACGCCAACGCCAAGGCAAGCCCGCCGCTTGGCCTGCCTGCACCGTCCGACGTGCCTTCCTCAGACGAGCCAAACAACGTCATCAAGCTCGACCACCTCGGTCCCATGATCGTCAACTCGGACGGCACCATCTCGCGCATATCAAATTGGCAGAACATGAGCGAGATTGAGAGGGAAAGGTCGCTCAGACTGCTTGCTAAGCGGAATAATGCAAGGATGGGGGCGCTCAGGGCAGGTCAGACGCAGTGAATAGACGACGACAGCCTCCTGGCCACACTGCATGCGCATACAGCGATCGCACAGCGTGTCAGCACAAGCTCACAATCGCAAAAGCCGAGACGGTATCGAGATCTAGTTGTATGGAGAGGATTCAGAGACCGGGATTTGCGCCATCAGCCTCCGCAACAATGATGAACATCCTCACCAAGCCGCCCTCCTCGCTCCAATCCTGCACCACATTGCTGAAAGCACCCAGCCCTTTCCGCATCCCCCAACCGCCGCCTCTCCACGCCGCGCCCTCCGTGGCAAACGAACGCAGGAACCTCGCAAATCCAGGGAACACATCGGCTGTGATATCGCGCATCTTGATGCCCTTCGCAGGGAACCCGCCCTCTGCTCGAAGGATGTCAAAGTAGCGGTCGACCGGCCAGAGGTTGGCAGGCTTAGTGGACGCCAGCATGCACGTGAAGCTGTGCTTGAGGCGTCGTCCGAGCGAAGGCGCCTCGTTGGGATATTGTGGGTTCCCGAGCGTCACGCTGGACGAAGGTGCGCTTGACGGAGACGGATACGCCGAGAGCAGGTCGACAAATGCCAGCCTGCCACCAGGATTCAAGCGCGCCTTCGCGAGCCGAATGTACTCTGCCCGATCGCTGAAGTGGAAGGCGCAGTCGAGCGCAAGGATTACGTCGTACTTCTCGCCATCTCCTTCACCACTGCGGAGCCACTCGAGCACGTCTTGCGCCCACACTTTGACCTGCGGTGCCTCCTTCTCACCGTCTAGCAGACGTTGTTGCAAGCGCTCAGCAGCAAACGCGGCTTCTTCTGGCAGACTCGTCACCGCGTGCAGCAACATCGGCTGGTACTCTTCCAGCAAGAACAGCGTCGATTGGCCTGCTCCGCATCCGACGTCGAGCACTTTCATCCCCGGCTTCAGCCCGGCCGCGGAGTACAGCTGCTGGGCGAGCGTCTGGCAGGCCAGCGGAAAGTCCAGCTGCGAGCGTGACAACTGGGGCGTCCAGAAGCCCATGTTCATCCACGCGGTGGTGGGCGGCTGTGTGTTGAGCGCGAGACAGGACATGGACTGATACGGCTCCTTTTCGCCCGAGCGGAGGAGTAGGAGAAGGGTTCCGAGGAAGAGGGCTGCCCAAATGGTGGACGGCGAGCCGAGCGAAGCAGCGCGGAGGCCGGTCACGATGGAAGTGGCTCGCTCTTCGAGACGCTGGGTCAGTCGGTCGAAAGAGCTTCCCGTGGACTGAGAAGATGTCATAGCGGCAAGTGCCAACCGGTCAAAGACGACCTTGCCGCCGACGATCGTGGCGTCGACTTTGGCAGCCCTCAACATCGCCGGTGTGACTCTGTCCTCATCCAGAATGTTTCGATCGAGCAATGTGAAGTCGGCTCTCTTACCGACAGAGATGCTACCAGCGACGTCCTCTTCGAATTGCGCAAACGCTGCGTCCTGCGTGAACCCTTTGAGTGCCTCTCTCCTTGTCAGCCTCTCGTGAGGGTACCATCCGCCAGCGCCATGAGGACTGTTGCCATTCGTATCGAGCCGCGTCACAGCGGAGTAGATGCCGTGTAGAGGATCCGGCAGCTCCACAGGAAAGTCCGACCCGAGGGCCAAGCTCGCGTTCGCATCGAGAAGCGACTTCCACGCATACGCACCGTGTGCCGCCCGCTCCTTCCCAATACGAGACTCGACATACCCCATATCGGAGGTGCAGTGGGTGGGCTGCATGGACGCGATGACGCCTAGTTCTGCGAAGCGGGCGAGGTCGGACGGCCACATGAGCTGGGCGTGCTCCACGCGGGGCCGGAGCGTATGTGCTTCAGCGGCGGGGTGGGAGCGGAGAAAGTCATCGTAGGCATCGAGCGTCAGCGTGTTGGCACGGTCGCCGATAGCATGCGTGCACACCTGCCAGCCTCGCTCCAGCCAGTACGCAACCAACGAAGGCAGCTCAGCCTCGGGGATGAGGAGCAGACCGCGCTCGCCCGGCTTGTCGGAGTAATCGTCCCACATGGCAGACCCCCACGAGCCCAGCGCACCGTCATTGAACAGCTTCACTGAACGCAGCGTGAACATCCCGCCCTTACCTTTCTGTACGAGTTTCGGGTCTGGCTTGACCTGATCGATTCGGTCAGCGCATCGCCTCTCACCCGGCGGGCAGGCTAGCATCGAGTAGATGCGGAAGCGCAGCTGACCATCTGCATCCATGCGCTTGTAGAAGGCGGCCGCCTTGAGGTCTGTGGCTGCGTCACCAACGGCGGTGATGCCTACACGGAGCAGGCCTTCCGTGGCTGCGTCGAGGAAGATCTTGCGCTGATCGTCGGTCCATTCAGGCACCACTTGGTAGGCGAAGTTCATGGCGTTGTCGATGAGTATCCCCGTGGGCCTGCCGTCTGCGTACCGAACGACAAGGCCTCCTTCGACTTTGTGGTCCTCTGTCGGGGACGCAGGAAAGTCTTTAGCTCCACGCATGACCATATCCAGACCAATCTCGCTGAGCCACAGCGCATGCACGTCAACTCGACGCAGCACGATCGGAAAGCGACGCAGCAGCTCCGACCGGCCCAGGTCGGCGGCGGTGGGGAACTCGGCAGGCGTCCACTTCGTCTGGTCCCATCCTAGACCTTCAATCCAAGGCACCGTCGTGGCGTTTGCGCTTGATGCTCCGCCGCTCAGCGCGTACGCCATCAAATGTGGCTTCGAGCGAACGTAGGCCTCGAGCCTATCGATGATGTCTTGGACCGAAGTAGAGCCAACTAGGTCCGCCACGGTGCGAGACCAGCCGTAGTCGAGGATGTGGCCGTGAGCATCGTGAAAGCCAGGAAAGAGAGTCTGACCAGGACGCAGCCTCCGTAAGTCGCACTTGCTACGTCTGCGCAGCGCTCCGTCCTTCATGTTGCCACTGCGACGGCTGAGTCGTGCCGCCTTGTTGCCGTGTGGGACTCGTCGCTGCTGATGCTTTGCAGAAGCAGCTGTAGTGGATGAGTCGACACCTTCGCAGAAGCTTGGTAGCACATCCTCTTCCTTCCCAACGTGGGTGATGACTCCATGCTCGACTGCCACGCATTCGGTGAATGCGCCGTCTTTGGCAAAACGGTGCTCGTCGCCGGTGTAAACGGAGCCTGCCGTGGACGTCGGAGATGCGAGGTGAAGGGATCCGCGCTCATCAGGTGAGCAGATGGCGAATCGTTCGGACAATGCTGCAAGTTGAGAGTTCTGGAATGATGCCGTCGCTTTCGAAAATGCGAGGGCGCTGACCGACAGGAGCACAGCAGCTGTCGCTAGTGCGACGAAGGAGCGCAGCCAGGAATGCCGTGTGCGCTTTGATGGGCCCTTTGGCCGCTGTAGCACTTCTTGAGCTGTGGATTTGATTGCAGCATCAGGCGGATCCGCGCCCTTTCTTGTTGTCGTCGTCATGTATGTTGTCGGCTAGACATCTGCTAGAAAGCTGCTGTCCAGCTCGAGCAGAAGTGATGGTGTTGGTCTCGAGGGAAGACCGAAATCTTCGGGCCGGCGAAATGGCCGGCTATCCAGAAATTTCGCTCTTATGTGTTAGGCCTCCATCCGCTAACTACTCAATAGAGAAAAGTGGAGGCTACGCACGGTGATCGAAATACGCGTTGCGAAGCCCAAAGACCAACACTTCCACCTTCATCTTCCATCCTTCTCACCACACACTCGCCGCTCAGCCCTGGACGAACACTGGCTAACGAAAGCACGAAAGGCTCTTCGCATCATCGAATCTGCACATAAATCCTCGCCCAACATGTCGTCTTCCGCAGGCATGGACGTGGACCACGCCGACGAGCGTTACCTCGAAAACGCTTCCGCATCTTCCTCGACACCCGCATCACTCAAGCCATACTACCCCAAGTTTCAGCAGCTACACGATCGCAAACTATGGTACCAGCTCACGTTGACCATCGAAGAGTTCCTCAACCACCCAGACTCGCAAGCACCACCGATCCAGATCGACCTTTATGACAAGTTTGTTAGCCGCTTCTCATCCAAGATCAACCAGCTCCAGCTCGCCGCCATCGGCGTCAAAGTGGCACGTCAATACCCAGACCCAGCAAAAGCGCTCGAGTTCCTCGAACAGCTGGCGACAAAGGTGGACTCGCCCGAATCGCAGGATGCATACGTGTACGCGCTGATGGAGGCGGCGCACTTCAAGCTGCTACTGGGCGATGCGGATGGCACAAAAGTGGCGATGGACAAATGTGGCAAGATCTTGGACACGTTCGATGCGGTCGAGACAGCCGTTCACGCGAGCTACTACCGCGTGTGCGGAGACTTCTACAAGGCCAAAGCCGAATACGCCAATTACTACAAGAACTCGCTGCTGTACCTGGCGTGTGTCAACGTGGACACGGACCTGACCGATGAGGCGCGGGTGCAGCGTGCACACGATCTCAGCATCTCCGCTCTGCTCGGCGACACGATCTACAACTTCGGCGAGCTGCTGCTGCACCCGATCCTGGCATCGCTCGGGAAGAGCAAGGAGCACGCGTGGCTCTCGGAGCTGCTCTTTGCGTTCAACGCCGGCGACATTGGTCGGTTCGAAGCGCTGACCCCGCATCTGCCCAAGGAGCCGATCCTGGCCGAAAACACGCCGTTCCTGCGTCAGAAGATCTGCCTCATGTCGCTCATCGAGAGCGTCTTCAAGCGCGCCGCGGACGACAGGACGATTGCGTTCGCTACGATCGCAGCGGAGACCAAGCTGCCCACGGACGAAGTGGAGCATCTGGTGATGAAGGCGTTGAGTCTCAAGCTGATCAGGGGCACATTGGACCAGGTGGATCAGCTGGCGAGGATCACCTGGGTCCAACCGAGGGTGCTCGACCACCGCCAGATCCAGGCCCTGCAGTCGAGGCTCAACGGGTGGTGCACAAAGGTCGAGGAGGTCAGCGAGTATGTGAAGAACCAGACGCCCGAGCTGTTCATCTCGGCGTAAAGTCGTTGCAAGTACACCTTTGCAATACCATCGCAGTCGCTTTGTGACGTTTGTGTGGTCTCGGCCTATATGAGAGTCTGCACGATCCGTGAGAACGACGGGAGCAGAAGCCCTTGAAGCTGAGCAGCTCTCTAGGCGCTTCTTGGGGCGGAACGGCAGGCCTGGCGATTCTACGTCGACCGTTGTGCGGAAGGGACGCAATCGCATTGGCTTATGGGCGGCTACTTCGGACGACGAGGGAACTCCCCGTCTGTCGCGTCGACCGAGGCTCGTTGGTCCATGCAAAGCGACGACGCATCTGCCTCCAACACAATGAGATCCAATTCGCGCTGCCACACTCGAACGAGAAATGATGCTCTTGGATTGGAAACGAGAATGGCTGAAGGAACGGCTAGGTAGTACACAGGAATGACAGAGACGGTATGCAGAGGAAAGACAGTGCGATGTGTGGAACGATGGACATGTGATGGAAGCCGAAAAGATGGAGGAAGACCAAGCAGAGGCGAGGCTTGTAGAGGTAAGTCGGGGAGAGTCTCTAGAGGACGACGCACTTGCACGAGCCAGCATCGTTGTGTAATGCCTCTTTGGTCTTGCTTTGCGAGATGGCGCCTCCCGTTGAAGCGCCTGTGCTCCTGACCAGCATGGCTGCCCTTGTTGCCGCCTCAAAGACTGCATCGACGCCCTGGTTCTTGAGACTGGAGCACTCGTGATACGACTTGGCGCCGATTTGCGCTGCGACCTGTTTCGCCTGTTGCTTCTCGACAAAGTGCCCTTCTACCGGTTTCCCTTTTGCGATGGCATCCTCCCGCAAGTCCTTCTTACACCCGACGAGCAGCACGGGCACCGAGGGTCCGCATATTTGGCGCACTTCCTCCATCCACTTGACCTGCACGTTCTCCAGCGAATCGGGCGTGTCGATAGCAAAGGCGATGAGGATGACGTGCGCTTGCGAGTAGGAGAGCGGTCGTAGTCGTTCGTACTCCTCCTGCCCTGCTGTGTCCCAGAGAGCGAGCTGGACGGGCTTGCCATCGAGCCGGATCTCGGCGACGTAGTTCTCAAAGATGGTGGGTTCATATTCTTGCGGGAACTCGCCGATCGCGAAGACGCAGAGGAGGGAGGTTTTCCCACAGGCACCGTCGCCGACGATGACGAGCTTGCGGCGGATTGCAGCAGGCGCCATGGCGGGTCTATGGTGTGGGTCGTTAGGTCGTGTCTAGCCAAAAGATGGGCGAATGTCTGCGGACGGTCGTGTTGCAATTCTAAGCTGCGAAGATGACAAGAGCCTGTGCGCCCGTATCTGGTAGGACTTCGTAGCGGATGTGAGCTGCTGCGCAAAATGGGAGAAGCTGGCGGTGATACGATCGTGGATCTCTTCGAAGTCACGGCGCCTTTTGCGTATGACCAATGGAATGTGGCTCTCTATGGCGCGTTGGCGGGGCAGAGTAGGGTCTCAGTTCGCAGAAGATCGTGTGACTGCTGCTGCTGCTGCTTGAGGTGATGGTGGATGCAAAGGAGCTGTTGCGATGGAAAGCTGGTCTTTTGTGAACGGGAAGTGGTGGGATGTCAACAAAAGTGCGATATTCCTGCGCCCACCAAGGCGCTCTCATCGAAATTCGCATCTGAAGCGCAAGGACCACACAAGCTTTAGAACTCTAATCCTTCTTGCCATCTACCGATTGATCTGCACTTTCGGCGGCCAGTAACAAGCGAAGACGAAGCGAGCAGATCGGCACCCTCATATGAGCCCTGCGCATGCTGTGCTGTGCTGTGCTCTGGCTGACGGGCCGAAAGGATGCAGGCCTACAAGGGGAGGGCTGTGCTGAAATTCAATTCGCTGAAGCTAGAGCCTCACTTTCATCCCTGCAAAGCTCTGTTCTACCCTCATGAAGCTCTCATCACTCGGTGGTAATAAGCTCTGATGTGACCAGTGTAGATGATTGCGGACGTCGTGGCTCCTTCAAGATCATGCCAAGATGAGGCGTTGATATGCGTATAAAGCCCGAGTCTTTGATGATGGAAATGTATATCCGCGAGGCTTCATGTCGAATGATTTTTGCGGTGGGAAAATGCACAGCCCGCTGCTGTCAGCCCTGCGCACGCTCCTCGATCCGGCGTTGCTGCCCCTGAGCGCTGTCTTGACGTGAAGCTGCAGCTTGTCGCTGTGTGGAGGCATGTCCATTTTTGGTACCAAGATGTTAGGCTCCTTTAGGAATCTACAGATCTCTCTGCCCGATAACTCAGTGTCGAAGGTCAAGAAGAACTCGGGAAAATTTCGGTTTTCAAGGGCTGATTCTGCATGGAAAATTTCAGCTGTGGAGGCCAAGGAAGGTTTGTGGTTGCAGCTGGCTTTCTCGAGAATTGCTCAGCTCTAGGGAAATTTTATGCCGACGAGTCCAAATTTTTGAGGTTGCAGATGGCGAAGAGGTCGTGTGGCTCAGGTCGAGTTAGCAAAGCCAAATTGCCGAAGGAAGCTAGGGTTGACCCTGATCTCCTCGTACCTCACTCCATCCTCTTTCACCCCTCGGATCACCCACGCGCTCTTCGCAACCATCACATTCCATCGGACAAGGCGGACGGACATCACCGACGATACATGCGCAGCAACACATCGGCAGAGTTTCGTATTTGACTCACTCCTCGGCTCGCCCGAGCAGCATAGGTCCTGTAGACTGCGCCACCTCGGACACCGTCCCGACATCGATCGCTGCCATCCCAGTAGAGTCTCGGATTATCCGTCACCATGCTTGCAAAGCAAATATCGCTCGTTCGAGGATCGTCGTTGGCATCCGCTGCTGCCTCGACGTCAGCCTCAACATCAAGATGGTCGCCAACACCTTCCACACTGGCAGCTTCGTCTGCACTTCTTCGGAGGCCAAGAGCCATTGCAAGCCATCACTTCAGCACAAAAGGCCCTAGCAGTCAGGCGAGTCCAGCTGCAGAGCCACATCGAGATCATCACGAGCAGGACCCATCAATACCGTCGCAGCAGCAACATGACCCATCCACCAGTGGCTCTTCAGCACCATCGTCGTCATCAGCATCTTCATCAACATCAGCCTCTTCATCAGCATCAGCATCCTCACAACGTAGCGACCGTCGCGGTAGATTCATGCCCTATGCTTTCGCTACAGGCTCGCCACTCACGCGTCTCCCCACCCCATTACCCCCCGACGTCGCCGAGCGCTCCTACATCCTTCGCAGACAAGTGGGTCCCAAGAGCAAGACCGGAACGCCCATCCCCGCTTTGTCCCCAGGCATGCTCGATCCAGCCATGAACAGCCTCTCCTTTGGCGACCTCTCCGGCCTCACCATGAGCAGCACAGACGAGACCTTCTACCCAGCAACCAAAGCCATCGAGTACCTCGGCATCCTCAAAGCTTGTCTCGGCACCGGTCTCACCAGTCGTGCGCACAAGGTCTTCTCCGATTTGCGCGGTCAGGCTGCCGCTCGCTCGCGTGAGCTATGGGAGCTTCGAAAGCGTCTCGCTCAGGGCATCGTCGACCAGAACGATTGGCATCAAAACCTGGGCGAGCTCGGCGAATACCGCTCCCCTGTTCAGATCTGGACCTACAACTCGATGCTTCAAGCCTATTTCCGCAAGGCGTATCAGGCAGAGTCACTGGACGGTACCGCCGAATGGCTCGACCGTGCATGGCAGCTCTGGCGCGACATGGAGACCTCGTCATCCACCACACAGGGCGATCAGCCGCCCTCGCCAGACCCCAAACCCAACCCAGCCACCTTCGCCACCATGGCTCGCGGCATCGTAGCCTTGCAGCGCTCCGGCAGATACCCTTCCTCGGCGCCTGCTCTGGATGACCTCGTCCTTTCCATCAAGCGCGCCGACTACGGCCTCGACAGCATCCTCACCTCGTCTGCCTTCAACCCCGAATCGGCGCAAGATCTCGATGTCAACGGTCCACTCGGATCGAAGAGCATCGACCAGTCCCGCGAAGGCGAAGTTGATGCCCAGTCCGTACTCCGCAGTCTCACCGACGTCGCCAGCCAGATGGGTGAGAGCGGCATCCTCAAGGAGCTCGAGACAGCACAGAGCATTCTCGACGGTCGCCGGGTCCTCTCGGAAGCACAGTCGAACAACGCAGCGTCCCTCGAAGACCCGCTTGCCGACATTCCCGAATTGCTGCCCGTCAGGACCACCTCGAAAGTGACCCGTCTCGGTCAGGACCCAGAGAACAAAGCCGGTGAGATGCCCTTCAATCTTGCCTCTTTGAAGGAGAACCTCTCCATTGTTCAGGAAGCTCGTCGCAACATCACCGACCCGTACGAGCGTCAAAAGTGGCTCGAGCACAGTGCGCTCGAAGCAGCCAGAAAACGTCTCGAGCACTCTGCCGAAAAGCTCGAGGAGCTTGGTCTGCAGACCACCGGCGCACTCCAGTCCAAGCCTCTGCAAAGGTGGATGTGGGAATGGTACAACAAGTTGCAGACCGTTCTCGAGGAGGACTTGGCTCGTCTCGACCGCGATGCCAACAGCAGCACGTCAGACACCAGGGGCATCATGTCCATGGAACAGCAGATTCTCCCCTTCCTCCGACTGCTGCCGCCATCCAAGCTCGCACTCATCACCATCCTCGAGCTCATGCGAATGAGCGGAAATGGCGGCGTCTCGGATGGCATGAAGACCACCCGTGCTCTGCTCGCGGTCGGACGTGCTCTCGAGACCGAGTACCACTCCGACGTCGTGCGCAGGAACCCAAAGATCTTCTCTAATGCCCACACCGCGCAGACCGTACTTCGAAGCCGCGGTCTAATCGATCTGGCCGCTCGTCGCGAGATCAAGGCTTGGCAGAAGCAACAGGAGGACGAAGGGATCCTCACCTCGATCCCCAAATGGACGCAGGCGGTTCGAGCCCGTGTCGGAAGCTACCTCGTGCAGCACCTCATGCACGTTGCCACCGTCAACCGCAAGGCTACCGATCGTGACGGCATTTTGTGGGAGGAGGACCAGCCCGCCTTCTACTCGACCTACCAGTACCTCGGAGGCAAGAAGTTGGGCGTCATCAAGCTCAACGAGGTGATCGCCAAGCGACTCGACAAGGACTCGATCCAGGAGACATTGCATCCCCGCCACCTTCCCATGCTCGTACCACCCAAGCCATGGACCTCGCACGACTCTGGCGGATATTACTCGGTGCGCCAGAGCGCCATGCGATTCAAAGACAGCGCCGAGCAGGGCTCCTACTTGCGGGCAGCTTCTGACAACGGCGACCTCGACACGGTACTCGCCGCTCTGGATGTCCTGGGAACGACATCATGGAAGATCAATAAACCGATCTTCGACGTCATGGTCGAGGTCTGGAACTCGGGCAAGGACATTGCAGACATGCCTCCCGTCGAGATGGAAGCAGCGGAACCGCAGAAGCCCGACAACTACGAGCACGACATCAAGGCTCGTTCCGTCTACCTGCAGCGACTCAAGCAGTGGAACCAGCAGCGCGCCTCGAACCACTCGCAGCGTTGCGACGTCAACTACAAGCTCGAGATCGCCCGTGCTTACGTCGGCGAGCGCTTCTACTTCCCGCACAACATGGACTTCCGCGGACGCGCCTACCCGATGCCACCGCACCTCAATCACATTGGCAATGACCTTTGCCGTGGTCTACTGATGTTCGCTGACAGCAAGCCGCTGGGCAAGGCTGGTCTGCGCTGGTTGAGGATCCACATCTCCAACGTGTTCGGTTACGACAAGGCCAGCTTTGCCGAGCGAGAGCAGTTCGCCATCGACCACGAGGCCGACATCCGCGACAGCGTGGAGCGACCGCTTGACGGCAACCGATGGTGGCTAAAAGCCGACGACCCATGGCAGTGCTTGGCCTCGTGCATGGAGCTCAAGGCAGCTCTCGAGCATCCCGAGGGACCGGAAGCGTACGAGTCGTCCCTTCCCGTCCACCAGGACGGCACCTGCAACGGTCTCCAGCACTACGCCGCGCTCGGTGGTGACCTGGCCGGTGCCAAGCAGGTCAACCTGTCTCGCGGTGAGCGACCCGCCGACGTCTACTCCGGTGTCGCCGACCTCGTCATCAAGGTGCTCGACGAGGAGGCGACCAAGGGCGATCGTCTCGCTCAAGTGCTCCAGGGCAAGGTGACGCGCAAGGTGGTCAAGCAGACGGTCATGACGACCGTCTACGGTGTCACGTTCATCGGCGCCAAGAACCAAGTCATGCGTCAGCTCGCCGACCGAGGCGATGTCCCCGCCGAGGACCTCTTCGCAGCCGCCAGCTACCTGGCCAAGATCATCATGTCGTGCATCGGCAACCTGTTCTCCGGCGCGCAGAAGATCCAGGACTGGCTCTCCTTCTCCGCCAAGGTGATCGCCAAGTCGATCCCGGCTCAGCGACTCGAGGAGGCCACACGACCGTACCAGCCCACAGACGCGAGTCTTCGTCGCGCCGACGCGCGCGGCTACTCGCGCGACACGGCCAAAGCCGACCGCATCGTCAAGGAGCAGATGACCTCCGTTATCTGGACCACTGCGCTCGGTCTGCCCGTCGTCCAGCCCTACCGCAAGTCCAAGAAGAAGCAGGTCTCGACCGCCCTTCAGACGGTGTTCATCCACGACCCGCTGTCCAATTCGGAAGTCTCCCCTGCCAAACAGGCGTCGGCGTTCCCGCCCAACTTCATCCACTCGCTCGATGCGACGCACATGATCCTCACGGCGCTCGAGTGCCACGCGGCCGGACTGACGTTCGCCTCGGTGCACGATTCGTACTGGACGCACGCGGCGGATATCGATACGATGAGCGACATGATTCGCGAGACATTTGTTCGATTGCATAGCCAGGACATTTTGACGAGGTTGCGAGAGGAGTTCATGCAGCGGTACGAGGGGTATAAGGTGCCGGTGGTGAGTTTGAAGCGGCAGAACAGGAAGCGGGGCGGCAAGGCGGCCAAGGGTGAGGAAGAGGATGAAAGGGATGCTGCGGCGCCGTCGGATGCGGTGCTCGCCGTGCCCGAGGACCAGCTGGCCAAGCTCAACGGTCAGGAGGGCGATGTGGTGCTCGCCAAAGCTGGCACGTCGTCCGATGCCGACAGCGCTGACGGCGAGGAGGTCACCGAGGATGACGTCGCAGAAGAGCAAGACGAGGCGGAAGCACCAAAGAAAAAGCTGGGTCGCAGGAGCAAGAAGGACAAGGACGCAGAGTGGGAGACCAAGTTCAAGGCCAAGTTTGTCGATCTGGCCGACATCCTGCCCGCCATCCCGGCCAAAGGCTCGTTCGACGTCAACGAGATCAAGGGCTCGCTGTACTTCTTCTCCTAGAGGCCACACCCATCGCAAACCACATAGACCGGATTTCTCACGTTGTAATTCTACATCACTCGAAAGCATGAAGCAGCACGCTGAGAATGTGACATTGAACGACTGTGAGAGCTCAAGTTCGGACGGGCGCGTGCTTTGCGAGGTACGAAGGCTGATCCCAAAGACTGGCCACGAGCTTCCTCGGTCCCGTCCACGGTGTCCTTGCATGCTGAACAGCGAGATTGTCAATCACCAGCACATCTCCCAACTCCCACTCGACATGAGCCTGGAGCTTCTCGGTCCAGCGCAGCGCCTCCTCCATCTCGTCCAGCGGGATCGGCTCGTCCTCCGCCCCACTCTCATCCTCCAGTGGCAGTGGGAACGACGGTGGGGGGAAGAAATCCTTTTTGACCTCCGAGTAGTGTGGGGGCTGCAAACACCCATGCTCCTTAGAATACGAGTATCGGTTGCCGACATTGTTGAAGTAGGCAGGCTTACCCAGCGTTGGATGGATGCGAATGCCGGGAACACGCTGAAAGACGTTGATGGATCCATCGGGGAGCCAGGTCCATGAGAAACCTCGTTCGTGCCACGCACCCAGCTTGCCGCCTTGCTGTCCATCATCGGGACTGCCCCACCCACCTTCGCGCGCCAGATCGAGGATGTGTTCTTCCACCAACGCCCGCTTTTGCTCCTCGCTCAAGCTGTCCAGATCCACCTTCTCGTCGGGTGTCGGTCCGAACGAGTCGGCGTTATACAAACTATTACCCTGAACACTATCCTTGACCTTGGCGACGGGGTGGTGGATGACAAACGTCAAACCGCGCCTTTGGATCTTCTCCACATACGTCGGCACGGTCGCCTTCAGCCGGTCGTACAGCGCGATGCTGTTCACGATCGGCGTCTGACCCCCGGTGTCGGGTGGGGAGAGGCAGCAGAAGGCAATGACCGAGGGATAGTGTGTCGAGAGACCGTACTCGTTGTGCGAGCCAATGGATTGATGCGGTGGGCCCTCGTTGGCGGTGGCTACATTGGGCGCCATCGCGTGCCGGATGACCATGAGGCCTTTATCCACGTGATACTGCCAGGTGTTGGGGGAAGACGCGTTGCCAGCGAGGGCATGCATGAAGCGGCTAAAGTCGTCGGCGGTGCGGATGGGAAGGGACTTGAAGTGGACTGCGCCGCCATGGGCGTCCATCAGCTGCTGCAGCGGGGAGAGCGTGTAGCTGGAGGAGGGCGTGGGAGCCAGCGGCTTGACGGCTTCGACCAGCTGCGAGGTGGTCAGGTCGGAGGCGTGGGTTGGCTTAAGGATGAGCGGGAACGTGACCTCGGGCTCGTTGGGGTTGCTCTCGGTCAGCTTGAGTCGACGTTGGTAGGGGTGCGAGGCTTCGACAAAGGCGGTGTCTCCTGCAGCCTCCACAGCCGACGACGAGGCGACTTGCTTCGCGGTCGGCACCAGAGTGGAATCGTTGGTCACAGCGACGGGTGCCATCGCGTCGATCTCAGCTTGTTGACGGAGGCACGTTGTCGTTCAGCAGGAAGAGCCGTCCGAGGGTCAAGTTTATAAGTTCGCCAAGAGGACAAGGTCCCACCTGCTCGAGCTCATGATCCGATTTAGCCGACCGTCGACAGCTGACTCTTCGACAGCTGATTGACCCGCCGTTGCAAGGAACCGGCCAAAAGTGTGGGGTATATGGCGGCAATGCAATAATTGACCTGTGCTGAGCACGCCATATCCGAGTCTTCGGGTGAACCTCCAGGCACGAGCGGGACCAGGAACAAGCGGGCTGCCAAGAAGCTGATCGCTATCTAAAAGGGTTATATGCTAAATCGGCGATTTTTGATCGGTGTTGTTAGACCGTTAAGGCAAGTCGGCCTGAGTAAGGGGAAAGCGACTGGAAAGCAAAGCCGCTTCCTTCCGCATACGAGTCGCAATGGTCTCCGCAGTCTTCCGAGTGTTTCGTTCGAATTGGTCATGGCGATGAGCGAGCTGCAGGGTTCAGACGGTGTGCATGAACCATCTAGTCTACACAGGGTGCAAAGGACGGCTAGGAGTTGCTCACTTGCCGCTACTGCCGGCGTCGATCGCTGCGAAGGGCCATGGGCAAGATCCGTGAAATGCGCTTGACCCGGTCTCGGAAAGATCCTTTCACGAAACCGCATCCGCAAGCCTCCGCCCCCGCAGAGCGCCCCACTGCCGCTCCCACTTTCACCCGCCATTCGGTGCCACGGCAGGCAGCGAGCGAGAGAAGCCGGTCACTCGTGTGTGGAGAAGACGGACTTGTACAGCACAGTGATGCGGTATTGCTGCCAGTCAGCAAAGTTGTATTGGCAATCCGTCGATCCTGCCTGTTCCGTCCGTTGACGTCTGTCGATCTTTGTCTAGCGTCCTCCTCGCTCACTCGGCCGGCGACGAGAAGTCGAGTCAGCAGCTGCGGCCCGCTCAACAGATCAGATCTGCAAAGTCACTGATAGCAAGAAAAAGTCTGACCGAGGAAACAGCGAGATCAACGCAGTGATAAGGGAGAGCAACGAAAAAAAGTGAGCAAGACTCCACATCTTGAGATGCGTGCGCAGATGAATACAAATGCCAAATACATCAGCCCGATTCGGAATTCAAAACGGATAGAGCCGTCCAGTTGGACGCTCAGACCAAGAGGGCTCGATTTTCCAAGGGCTTCCTTCGCTGCAAAGCTTCTGAGCAGCACCACGGAGCAAATCGATTATTCACGGGCCAGCTGACTGCACCGCAAAGGGTGTTGAGCTCAACGCATGGATCGCTGCCTCCTGCGCTGCACTTCTTTAGCGAGTGGATCAAAACCTCTCTCGTCACCATCGTCTTCTTCCTTCCGCTCCACCATCGAATCTTCTCCTTTCGTATCCAACCCCAAAACACTAATCACAATGTCCCAGGTCAACATCGGTATCAACGGGTAAGCATCTCCATTCGCTCTCTTGCCTCGACGTCGCCGTCTCCCCATCGTGGTCGGTGGCGATCACCATCACGGCTGCCATTCACGCATCCGTCGAGAGGTCTGCTCGGTGGGGTCGTATGGTGGTCTGCGGCGTACCCACGGCTGTTTGCTCGATTGATGGCGCTCGACGGGTCGTCATCGTCACCGGTGATGGCGACGACCAAATAGCGTCTTCCGTGGCGACTGCGACGATGTGACAGACGCAGCAGGCATTGGTCATTCTACTCGATGATCAAGGAATCGGCACTGACTCTTTTCGCTTCTCTGCGCTTTCTCCTCTCGACAGTTTCGGCCGTATCGGTCGTATCGTCTTCCGTAACTCGGTCGAGCACAAGACGGCCAACGTCATTGCCATCAACGACCCCTTCATCGACCTCGAGTACATGGTCTACATGCTCAAGTACGACTCCACCCACGGCACCTTCAAGGGCGACGTTTCCACCAAGAACGGCAAGCTCATCGTCAACGGCAAGGAGATCCAGGTCTTCGCCGAGAAGGACCCCTCCAACATTCCCTGGGGCCAGGCTGGCGCTCACTACGTCGTCGAGTCCACCGGTGTCTTCACCACCATCGACAAGGCCTCCGCCCACATCAAGGGTGGTGCCAAGAAGGTCGTCATCTCGGCTCCCTCGGCTGACGCTCCCATGTACGTCTGCGGTGTCAACCTCGACTCGTACGACCCCAGCGCTCAGGTCGTCTCCAACGCCTCGTGCACCACCAACTGCCTGGCTCCCCTCGCCAAGGTCATCCACGACAAGTTCGGCATCGTCGAGGGTCTCATGACCACCGTCCACGCTACCACTGCCACCCAGAAGACCGTCGACGGTCCCTCCGGCAAGGACTGGCGTGGTGGCCGTGCCGCTTCGGCCAACATCATCCCCTCGTCCACCGGTGCCGCCAAGGCTGTCGGCAAGGTCATCCCTTCGCTCAACGGCAAGCTCACCGGTATGGCCTTCCGTGTCCCCACCACCAATGTTTCCGTCGTTGACCTGACTGCCCGCCTCGAGAAGGGCGCCAGCTACGACGAGATCAAGGCCGAGATCAAGCGCGCTTCCGAGAACGAGCTCAAGGGTGTCCTTGGCTACACCGAGGACGCCGTCGTCTCGCAGGACTTTGTCGGCGACTCGCACTCGTCCATCTTCGACGCCGCCGCCGGTATCTCGCTCAACAACAACTTTGTCAAGCTCGTCTCGTGGTACGACAACGAGTGGGGCTACTCGAACCGATGCCTCGACCTGCTCGTCTTCATGGCCCAGAAGGATGGCGCGTAAGTAAGTAAGAGTATGAGCTATACAGCCTGCTTCTTCGCCCCGATCCTTCCTTGCTGCCTACGCTTCGCGAACGGACTTTGATCCGCTTTGTGTCTGTTTGTCATGCAATACAAAACGTCGTTTGACATGTGACTGACACCCGGTGTGTCTTTGTTTGATTCTGTGGTGCAGAGGAGCTTCTTCAAGGCTTTGAGATGGCGACAGGCAAGTGAGGCGGTCGAAAGCGATCCTACGCTGTCTCGAACTCGATCCTCTGTCAATGACATCGTTGTCTGCTCGACTTCATCCAAGTCTGTGAGCGCGCGCGTGTGCGATGAAGTGTGTGCTGGCAAGAGCCCGCCTGGTGCAGACACGCTGTGAGACTTTTCACCGTGAGCTGTTGGTGTGAGCAGCGGCTAGCTCAGCCCGCTTCTTTCCTCTGGCGTTGTCACTCAGCGAAAAATATTATGAAGAATTGGGGCCTGAAATGTGGGGCTTAAAAGTAGATCGGCTTGCGGTCACGATGAGCTCCTGTTGCGTACGACCACACGAGTACTGGCTGGTAGAGACTGCCTATCGTTGGTCCACTGTCTTCGCCTACAGTGGTTCCACTTTGCTCAGTGGGGCCGCGTCCTCGTAAGAAATCGCCATAAAAGGAAGGTCATCCTCCAGTGCATCTCTCAGATTCCTGGCTGCGAAGCCGGGAATGTGCTCACTAAACATTGAAGAAGGCTGGACAGGAAAAGCTGACTGCGCGCACATAGCATTGCCAAGACCAACCACGGTCTCAGCGAGGGCGCCCCCCTTGTTATCCGTGGGCATTCCGTGGATCACAGTGAGATGGTCGACCCGGCGTTCCGGTTCTCCGCTCGTCAGCCCGCCGCTTTAACCCCGGGCGCACGCATCCACAGCTGAGCGTGACTGGCAAGGCGTCATCTCCCTCACGTGGAATCAGTCAAAAGATTGAGCTTATCCAATCGAGGCAGGAATGAGAATTGACCGACGCTGCTGCCTTGGCGCATGATCGATTCTGGCAAGGCAATGACGTTGTGCGCGGCTGAGCGACGGAAATGCAAAATGCCGCGCGGTTTCCGGTCGTGCTCTGCAGCTGTCAAAAACAGCCGCACGCAGGCTTACCACACCACAACCAAACTGCCCTCACGTCAAGGAGAGCGAGAAATTTCTAGTGACGTAGCGCTGGCTGGATCTTGAGCACGCTTCTGGCGAGCACGATATACTCGACCCTTTGCCTAGGGTCTCTTCATGTACTGCCGCACCGCGGGATCTGCGTCCCGGGGGCTCCTCTGTTTGACATGCGCACATTCCGCTTACCCTCGCTCGCTGCGCCTGAGAAGATGAAAAGTGTCCTATTCTCCGATGTCGATGCACACAAAATCTCGCCGCGGTCTTCCCGGACCCCGTCATTCAATGTCCCATCTCTCGCGCAGTGCATTCGCTCCACTGCGTTGTGCGCATCTTGCATGTATGACAGATCTGTCATCCGCTACGGAAGTGTCTGTTTGCGATCTGCGTAAGCGAAGCGTTCTTTTTGGTCGCTCCTGCTTTTCGATGACGGGTCTGCCTTCGATGAGTTTGAACGTGTATAAAGGAGCCATGCCTTTGGAAACCAATCCCATTGTTCACCATCCACCCTCCAACCTCCCATCGGCCCATCCAGCAAGCGAACACCTGCGCCAATCATGCTGGTCGACTACGGTAATGACCACGGCAACGCGCCCAACCTGCACCATCAGCCGAACCCCAACGAGCCCGCCCACCGACCCAAGCCGCACCATGCTCGACCCTACCCTCTCCCCTGGTACCAGGACACTCTCTGGGGTGGAATGATCAACAAGCTCTCCAAGGGCAAAGTTCTTCCCTTCCCCGAAGAGCGAGCGGACTTTGTTCCGCCCGAAGAGTATCTGCCTGGGTACAAGAGCAAGCACGCTTCGACCAACAGGACGGGGTCGCACGATTCGAGGCTCTCTGGCTCGTCCACTTCGCCCGGCTCCGAGACGACCCACGTGGGCAGCCAGACGCCCAAGACGCCCAAGACAGGCAACTCCTCCTCCGCTGAGGATGGCGACAAGTCGAACCGAGAAACGCCCCCGGACAACATGGAGGACGACACCGATCCGTACCTGATCGACTGGAACGGCCCCTCCGACCCGGACAACCCGCAGAACTGGTCCAATCCACGCAAGAATTTTGTCACGGCGCTCCTGTGTCTGCTCACCTTCTCGGTCTACATGGGCTCGGCAATCTACACGCCCGGTGTCGAGCTGCTGGCCAACTACTTTGGGGTTGGCGTCGTCCCCGCTACGCTTGGATTGTCGCTCTTTGTGGCAGGATATGGGCTTGGTCCGATGGTGGGTTTGAGCAGTATTTCGGAGATCCCTGCTATCGGACGGAGCATGCCATACTTGGTGACGCTGTTCCTGTTCGTGGTGTTGCAAATCCCGACCGCGTTGGCGACCAACATTGCAGGGTTTATGATCCTGCGTTTCCTCGCGGGTCTGTTCGGCTCTCCACCGCTGGCAACGGGCGGTGCGAGCATTGGTGATCTGTACGGCGCACGAAACCGACCTCTTGCGCTCGGCGTATGGGGTCTCTCTGCAGTTTGCGGTCCCGTTCTCGGTCCTCTGATCGGTGGATTTGCAGCGCAGAGCTTCGGCGCAGAGGGCTGGAGGTGGACCATCTGGCCCTTGCTCATGCTCTCCGGCTTCACCCTCATCATCCTCATCGTCACCCTGCCCGAAACATCGTCCAGCAACATCCTCTACCGTCGCGCCCAGAGACTGCGCAAACACACGGGCAACCCACACCTCCGCTCCAAGGGCGAGATCTTTTCCGCCACGCTCACGGGCAAGGAGTTGGCGCTGATGACTTTCGTCCGTCCCTTCCTGCTGTCTTTCACCGAGCCCATCGTGCTGGGTATCAACTTCCACATCGGTCTCGTGTACGGTATCCTCTATCTCTGGCTAGAGGCCTTCCCGATCGTGTTCGTCCAGACCTACGGCTTCAACTACGGCGAACTCGGTCTGGCCTTTATGGGCATCTTTGTGGGTGCGATCATCACCTACTTCTTCTTCGTCCTCTGGCACCGTTATTCGTACGGCCCGACGTTTGATCGTCAGAACGGCAAGGTGGCACCGGAGAAATGGCTCGAGCCGGCCATCGTGGGTGCGTGGGCCATCCCGCTGTGCATGTTCGGTTTCGGCTGGACAGCTAATGCGAGCATCCACTGGATCGTCCCCATCATCCTCTCCAGCTTCTTCAGCGTGGGAACCTTCCTGCTGTTCCAGTCGGGGTTGGCGTATCTGGGCGATTGCTACCCGGAATACATCGCCAGTGTCTACGCGGGTAACGACTTTTTCAGAGCAAGCATCGGCGCTGCTCTCCCACTGGTCGCAAGGGCCATGTTCAACAACCTCCAGGCAAACGGGCCCGCGGCATTCCCCGTCGCTTGGGGAAGCACCCTCATCGGCTGCATCTCAGTCGTCATGGGCCCCATCCCCCTGTTGCTCTGGAAGTACGGCCCCTGGCTCAGGTCCAAGTCCAAGTACGCGATCGACCCCACCGCCGGCGGCGACAGCAAGACGGACGAGAAGCAAAACAGCTCGGCTTAGATCTCATGCACGCTTGGTTTCCCCCCTTCGCTTTTGTACACAGCCTAGATTAATAATGACATCGCGTATCAATGTTCCTCGCTGATGAAACCCTGGCGTGTGTGCTTTGTCCTCGCGAGCTCGTGTCGAGAGGGTAGTCAGGCAGCGAGTCTCACGACGGCAAATTGAGCAAGCTCTCCTTCAGACCGATGGCCACGTCTCTCACGGATCAGCGCGACAACAGACTGTCGACTCAGTTTCGAGACAACAACGATCAATTGCAAAAGACAACAATGCGAGACAGACAGGGACGGGGATTCAAAGACGTGCACGACTGAGCATGACTCGTCGAACGAGCCCTGGATCAATGCCAGCGAGCGTATTCGATCTCGCTCTCGGCATGCACCTTGGTGAGGCGGTCCCAGTACGACGAGGGGAGGTGGGCGACAAAGCGATGTACCAGCGGGATGCGCTCCAGCAGCCAAAAGTAGGGCGGCAGCATCACCTCGGGTCCTGCGCCTCCGTGCGGAAGGTGCGTGATGATGTTGACGGGCGTCTGCGTCGGGAGCAGAGTGCCCGGACCCGTGTAGACCCTGTGGACATTGTTGCCGAGCTGGACCTCCTGACCGACGTGGGCAAAGTGAAGCTGGCTCGTGGGGCTGATGTGCTTCAGAGCGCTATTGTCGCCGGCATCCGGAAGCATGGTCGCAACAGCATCGCGACGGTTGGTGACGCGCCAGAGTGCTTGAGGGTGATCGAGGTCCCTGTCGTGACAGGCCTGGTTGAAAGCCGACACGCAGTCAGGGTCACCGATGATGGGAGTGCCGAAGCAGTAAGCGTCGCGAACAAAGACCTGGTTGCCGCCGTCTTCCGTCTGGCCAAAGTCCTTGGGGGAAGCAATGGCACGAGAATAGAACACGCAGGCGAGCGCAGCTCCGAGACTGTGTCCCGTGACGAACAGGTTGACATGGTCGCTGTACGAAGTGGCTCGGATCTGCTTGGCAATGTCGTTGATGGCAGTGCGGATCTCGGTGTACGGGAAGGCACCGGTGGCATGGTTGAGCTGCTGCGGGAAGAGCTGATTGTAGAAGCCAGCGTGCACCTTGGTGTAGCCGGGCAGCCAGGCACGACCGTCCGTGTAGTCAAATGTGAGGTCGACGGCCCACTCCTTGAACTCGACCGGGTTGGTGCCCTTGAAGGCGAGGATAATGAAGTTGAAGTCTGGGTTCCAGAAGGCACCGCAGAGAGGCGAGGTGTTGGTGCCAAGCTCAGAGACGCTCGCATAGTGAAGACCCCACTCGTTGGCGACCTGGTTGATCTTGCGGTCGGCAATGTCGAGCTTTTTGCGAAGGTCTCTGCCGGCGTCGGTGAGGTCGTCACGACCGCACATAAATTGTTTCCTGGCTTTCTTCGAGTAGTGAGCAGAGCAGGCAGCTTTGTGGTATTCACCGACGTCACGCTCGTAGACGAGTGCAGAGAGCATCATGAGGAGCTTCGAGACCTCGAGGTCAAAGTTGCGCTCCTCGGCCGTCGAAGGCTGGGCGAATGTGCCCGTGGGATCCGACATGACAGTGAAGGCCGCATCGCGGATTTGCTTGTTCTGCGGATTGGCGCCGAACTCGAAGATGAGAGGGTATGCTGCGAGGGGCAAGGTTTCGATCGTAAGCCTCCGGCTATGAGAAAGAAGGCTGCAGGCACACCAGACTTACCCAGGTTGCCGAGGCCGATGTTCTTTCGAATCGAGATCGGCTTCCAGATGGACTGAACATAGGGCAGACGCCAAATCGCGCTGTCGGATGAGGAAGCGAGAAGTGGTAGCAAGTGGAAGGGTGTCATCTATCAAGACCCGTGGGGAAGGCGCGAGGAACCGCGATGCGGGTAGCGCCTCATCATTTAATGATCTGATCCGCACTCACCTTCCAATGAGGCCACCGAGGAGAACAAATGTGCTCAGGAATGCAAAAGTGAAGGCGGTCGCAAAGCCGATTGGGTCCAGCACGAGCTGAGGCAGGCTGGTGAGCGTATACCACCACGTTCGAGGAAACCAGACAAAGAGGTAGTAGAAGAGGTCGGAGACGGTGGCAGAAAACCAGCCAAGGATGCCGGTGCCGCTCTCGGAGACGTGAGCAACTTCGTTGACCTGCTTCTTTCGAAGCTTCTCGCAAAGCTCGTTGTGCTTGTCGGCGTGACCGGGCCCGATGAGGGGCTGCGAGTCGGTCACAGCACGCTTGCGGACGTCGGTCGAAGGTGGAGACACGTTAGGCGCCATCGCGACGGAATGGGTCGAGAGATGGCGGATGCTAGTCTTTTGTGATGGCGGAAACGTCGAAGGAGGCGGGATCCGTGTGACTCCCTTTTGTAGCTGAGCAGACCGCTTGATCGATTGCGAGGCCAGTCACAATCACAGAGAGTCGATGGCGCAGCGACTGAGCTGAAGGCGGTCGATGTGACAAAGAGGAAGAGAGAACAGAACGGCCCGAGGCTGGGTCAACCTGTAGTGAGGCTTCCTCGGAAGACTTCCACTCACAAGATGGTTGTGACTGAAGTGAGGTAGGTTGACTGGCGGAAGGCCCGGTGGTTAGCCAGAATGCTAAAGCGGCCGGCCCGTCTTGCGGCTGCTCAGCTCGAGGGTAGTCCCAGCTCGCCGGCGTCGGATGACCCGACAGATGGTGGTGAGCGCCGGCAAGTCAAGCGCCACAACTGTCGGTACAGCGTGAGAACAGCAGACTTGCAGGATGGCAGTGGCTTCGTGGTAGGCGATAGCCAAGAAGACCGAAGGCGTGAACGGGTGAGCATCCAAGAACGACCCGAGTGAAAGGGTCCCGTGGGAAGAAGCGCCTTCGCTCGGCTAACACATTCGAGCGGAGTTCTGGCGGCAATTCTTCTCGAGCGTGTCTTCCCAGGCCGACCTGTCAAAGGGCTTCGTCAGCGGCAGGGCATGTGAACGACAGGCACCGTCGAAGCCATTGTGGTTGAGCGACACACTGCGGCCTCAGCAACTCTTCCTCTTGGCCATTCGCACGATCCCGCCTCCCTTGACAGCCTGCAATGCTGTAGAAGTGAGCTGCGCTTCTCGAAACCTTAATTTCATTTCAACGCACAGACAGGCGCAAGGGTCCGTTGACAGGCAAACGCGGGCCCGACCATGCAGCTTCGCTCGAGCCTCGTCCTTCTTCATTAAGCCATGTTCTTGGGCGTTCTGCGATCCATCGTGGACAGTCGTCTTCTGCAGGCCGTGCTTTCACGAGCATCTTGGCCTCAGCAGCGCCTCTCAAGCTCAATCCTGGCTTTGCAAGCTCAGTCATCGACGGCTTGACCAGCCGGACGTGCGCGAAAGGATGGTTTCGACGCCTATCGACACTTTTGGTCGAGCCTCGATTTCGCCTTCTAGGCATTCCTGAAAGTCAATCGAGCACAATCAACCTTGAATCGAGATGTGGCTTCAAGAGCCTAACCTTGCAGGCAGTCAAAGCCCAGAGGCAGCGGCGACAAAAATCAAACGAGTGTTAGACTTGAGCAACTCCTGCCACGAACAAATTCGCCAACCCAAGGAAGTCGGGCATGCAAAGCTGGAAGAAAAGAGTTTTGCGCTGCTTGCTACCGAAATTTTTTCGATTTGGCTGCAACACCAAAGCGTCGAAGTGGAGTCGCAGCGACCTCATCCTTCCCGACCTGATCGTCCACCATCCCCACTCTTAGTTCCTATCACTCCTGTCCGCACTCGATCCTCGACACTGTCATCATCCTCCTGAGAGAAGATCGCCGACTCGATAACAACACCCAATACCAGTATCGGCCCCCACCGCACAAATCCCAAAGCCCTAGCCGGCCCTCTTACACAATGCCACCGAAAGGCTCGAAAAGGTCGTCCAAAGCGGCAGCTGCCGAGCAGCCAATGGACATCGACGAGCCATCTAGCTCGCAGCCACAGGCTAGCGGCAGCATCTCCAATGATCCGGTCGCTGCCAGCATCATCTCCGACTCGCAGACCTCAGCAGCCGTAGACAAGCGCCGTCTCGTCGAGATCCTACCAGAACGTGTCGGTTCCGTCGCCAACACCGATTTTCCTCTCCACCACCCAGGCGAGAACAACGCTTTCTCGCTCGCATCTGCCAACGATAAGCTGAAAGTCATCGTGACGCGCCTATCGGATGCGTCGTGCGAGTTCGACCTCATCGGTGTCGATGCGTCCATTGCGAATGCCGTGCGCCGAGTGCTAATGGCCGAAGTACCGACGGTGGCCATCGAGCACGTGTACATCTGGAACAACACATCCATCATCCAGGACGAGGTGCTTTCGCATCGATTGGGGCTGGTGCCACTGGCGATCAACCCGGACAAGGTGCTCATGCGCATGCCTGGCGACGACGCGGATGACAGCAACACCGTCGTCTTCCACCTCAAAGCCAAGTGCGAGCGCAACAGGTCAGCTGCTCGAGGCGAGACCGACCCGGACAAGCTGTACATCGGCCACAATGTCTACTCGGAGCAGCTGCAGTGGGATGCCAAGGGAGGTCAGGACGAAGATTTTGCTGATTCCCCACCTCGCCCCGTCCACGACAAGATCCTCATCGCCAAGCTCCGTCCCGGCCAAGAGCTCGATCTGGAGCTGCACTGCGAAAAGGGTATCGGCAAGGACCACGCCAAATTCTCTCCCGTTGCAACAGCGACCTACCGCCTGCTCCCCCACATCCAGCTCCTCCAACCCATACCCACCGAGAACATCGACAAATTCGTCGCCTGCTTCCCACCCGGCGTCATCGGCGTCGAGGGCTCAGGCTCGGAACGCAAAGCCTTCGTCAAAGACGCACGCAAAGACACCATCTCAAGAGAGGTGTTTAGGCACGAGGAGTTTGAGGACAAGGTCAAGCTCGGCCGCGTCAGGGATCACTTTTTGTTCGATCTCGAGAGTACAGGCATCATCAAGCCCGAGAGGCTTTTGCCCGAGGCGATCAAGACGTTGCGCAGCAAGATCGCGACGTTGAGGAAGAGCTTGGATCACTTGGAGACGAGGGGGCTGGACACGTCCATGGCGGCTTAGTGCGAGAGATTTGCAATGTACGCTCCTGTCGTAAGAAGCGTGCCTGTGTGGCTTCTCTCATTGAACGCGTGACTGAGAGGAACCTGGCAGCTCAGACTCGGAGCACATCCGACGCACGGTGACAGATTGAACGACAATGAGTATTGAAGCAATGACCTTCTCAAAAGGCTCTCCCCTCCTCTGACAAGATCCTCTGCTGCACGCTGTCCACTTTCCTATGTCCGCTTCTCCCCATCCCGCCACCGAATCCGGCCCACTTATCCTTCAGCTTGTCCACCGCATCGTTCGCCTTGACCCAGCTGTTGCTCTTCTCCAGTCCCGGTCTTGAATACCCGTAGCTGGCGGCGTACGATTCGGGGCTATCCCTCTCGCCCCCCGCCCTGGTCGCCAGCAACGCCATCCGGTTCGTCACCCTGAACGCGTACCCTACACAAACCCATACACCACCCAACACCCCCGCCAATCGCACCAGGAACTGCACCAGCCCCGTCGACCGTTCTCGGATGGTCATCTGCAGCGGCTCGATGTCGTACTTGATAAAGATGCCCGGCACGCCTTTTCCGTGTTCGATCTGTCTCGTATAATCTGTAACGCTGTACTGGTGCGTGTGCAACTTCCTCCCCCTTGCGTCTATGAACAGAGTCGGTACAGCGGAGACGAAGTATTGGAAGACCGTAAAGTGCTTATCCGTCGTTTCGACGGACGAATCCAACGGTTGGGAGATCTCTGGGAAGTAAGGACCGAAGGAGAACTCGTGGATGACGTGACTGAGGTTCATGAGTTTGTGATCGGTGTGTTCGAAGCTGAGATATCCGTGGCCGAGGGTGGTGAGGTGCAGGTTGCCAGTCACTCTCTTGACCTCCATGCTGCCGTAGACGCGGCAGGCGGGACCGTCTGGGACGATATGCGCCGTCTTGGCGAATGCGATCTGACGAGAGAACTTGCGGTTCTTAGGCTTCTTTCTGTACAAAGGCTTTTTGCGTGCTTGATTGATGGTCTTTTGCACCGAAACCTCCCGAACAGGGATCGCATCGAGTCGGTTCGAATGTCCAATGTCAAACGTCGTCCCATCCTTGGTGAACTCCGAGTCGGAAACGTGCAATCGGTCCCCAACAGCATCGCGAACATCGATGGTCAGGTAGTGGCACTTCATGGCGACCGTCATGTCCAGGTTGATCTGCATCGACGATTGAAGCTGATCATCGACACGGAACGAGTAGGCGCGCTCGCCGTAGAGGTACGACGAGAGCTCGGTCCATAGCAGCGCCAGAAGCGTGACGGTCGAGATGATGGTAAGGAGACCACCGCGAGACGAGCGCTGCGTGTAGATGGATTGTGTCTTGGGAAACGCATCGAACTGGCGGATCTTGGGCAGCCTGTCGAGCGAGTCCAGGAGGTCGGCCATCTTCGGTGATCACTGTATCGACCTGCTCCGCCGTTACAGTGCCAGGATGCGGTTTCGGATAAGGTGATATGCGCGCCGACGAAGAGGCTGCCCGGATCTGCCTAGAGCGTGGTGCTGTGACGGAGCGTACTTGGTGAAGCTGGTGACAGCTTGCAAAGGAGATGAGCTGCACGGACGCAGCTTGCAACTTGAGTTCAGATCTTCTCGGCGTGATTTGAGCGTGGCGCGAGTCCAAGCCTAATTTTGGCCCAAACCGCCAGCTTGCGGGGGCCGCTTCCCCTCTCAGACTTCCACGCGTTACAATCGGGGCCCATCTTCACCGGATCGGGGCTTCTTCGCGGGCAACATGTACATCGCTAGTGATTGTCTCTATTGCTTCAGGCCGATGATCTAGAGCACCGTCAATGGGTCTCTGTCTGTCTTGGAGACGGAGACGGAATACCGACTTGGCAGTTCTCTGCGAAGCCAGTGCTGCAGGACGTCTCGCAGGTACTTCCTTTCCGTGTTGGTGTGATTGGTCACAATGACGGATGCGCCTGCCGCCTTGTACGCTAGAATCTCGTGATGCGACAGCTCCCCGGTGAGATACAGATCCGCCTTGACACCGGAAAAGACGCTGGACCCGGAGCCGGCACAGACAGCGATGCTGGAGATGGGCTTGTCGGACGCCTTGCAGCCTTGCACGTGCGGAAGATCGAGGTTTTGCTTGACTCTCCTTACGATCTCGTCAAAAGGTTGCGGCGCCTCGAGCTCGATGAACCTTCCCATTCCTGCAGCCTCAAAGCCTTTGGGCGTGTTCTTGGAGTTGCTGAGGGCAGGGAAGACGTTGGCACGGAATTCGTCGAGAGCTTCGGGCGATTCGAGCTCCGCAAAAGCATCCTTGGACGAGACCACCTTGCCAAGCCAGTCATTGATGCCTCCAGGTGTCGCGTCTAGACTTGTGTGAGGGCAGTAGATGCTGACGCCTGCTGCAGCGAGCCGCAACAAGCTCGTCTGCTGTGGATCCGCAAAGGTGAGGGACTTGAGCCCTCGGAAAATGATGGGATGGTAGACGAGTGCGACCTTGACATTGTCGGCAGACGACAGGATCTCGTCGCATACGTCTGTGGTCAAATCGATGGCGAGCATGACCCCCTGCTTCTCGTCGGATTCTGCCGCCTGTGTCGCGGGCGGCGCCTGTAGCAGGATGCCGACATTGTCGAACGAGGTGTCGGCGAGCGAGAGCGGTGCAATACGGCGCATGGCTTCCATGATGCTGGTCAAGATCGGATTCTGCTTGACCGAGCCAGTGATCTGCCAGTTGGGTTGCGACATGACTCCTCGACGAGCGATGTAGCGCGGGCTTGATGATCCTATCCTTGCGATCGGAGCGGTTGTGTGAGATGCAGCACCGAGATGGACCAATCTAGCCCGAGAATAGCTGCAAGTCGTTGTTCGCAAAGCTCCAAAGGGGCATATGAGGCTCATCAACGCTGCTTGGTGAGTTGAAAGCTGTTTGAGAAGAAGCCACAACCTTGAAAGCTTCCACCGTACCGCACGCCCAAGCCAGCCGCAACTCCCCAACCTGACAAGGTGGAGGACCCGCCAAAAAAAATGCGAATAAGAAATGATTTTTTTAACAACCCTCTTGGCGGAGTTTTGCGTTACCAGACTGCGCAGACGCCGGGGATCCTGGCCAAAAATACACAGGAAATTGATAAAGATCGGTCGATTTTTGTGAGGCTCTCAGTTGAGGTGTGCAGCGACTCAGCCGCGTGTTGGTGTGACTTTTGTGAAATCACGAGGTGCGGGCCAGCAGTCACGGTGACGCTTTGTTTGCGTTGAAAGTCGCTTTCTGCCCCTATCACTACCACCACCATCCTCTCCGTATTCGCAATCTTTGTTCAACACCATCGACATTGTCGAGCAACGACAACAACTCACCCCGGCCGTCCCCTATCGCATCCGCACTCAGCGTAGTCATCGCGCCTTCGAAAGCTATCCCTTTGAGGCTCGACGTGCACATCCCATCTGACTAGCTCGGCGCGCCCTCGCACGACCAGAGATCCGTGCGCCTCGCTGCTGTACCGGGACATTCAATCGTCGACTATCAGCGCAGAAGCGCCGTCCCTTCATCCACCCATCGATCGCTGATACCGAGCCTCGAGTATCTGTCGGCGCACTTCCATCAGTACAGTTCGCACCCCGCAAAGCAGCCTCCCACCTCCGACCGCATCCGCAACAAACATGGCTGCAACAAGGAATCCACGACAGCTTCAGTTCAAGCTTGTCTTGCTCGGCGAGTCAGCGGTTGGCAAGTCGAGTCTAGTCCTGCGATTCGTCAAGGACCAGTTCGATGACTACCGCGAGAGCACGATTGGAGCCGCTTTCCTCACACAGACCGTCAGCTTGGATGCTCAGACCACAGTCAAGTTTGAGATCTGGGACACGGCGGGACAGGAGCGATACAAGTCGCTGGCACCCATGTACTACCGTAACGCCAACTGCGCCGTGGTAGTGTACGACATCACGCAGCCCTCGTCGCTGGACAAGGCCAAGGCATGGATCCGCGAGCTGCAGCGTCAAGCGGATCCCAACATCATCATTGCTCTCGCAGGAAACAAAGCCGACCTGGCGAGTACGCGTCGTGCCATCTCGACCGAGGAGGCTGAGAAGTACGCACAGGAGGAGGGCCTGCTGTTCCTCGAGACGTCCGCCAAGGACTCTTCGAATGTTTCGGAACTGTTCACGATGATCGCACGCAAGCTGCCATTGGAACAGGCAGCTGAGCAGCGCGGTGCCGCTGGACGTGCTGGTGCGGCGGGTGCGGGTGCTGCAGGCGCAAGGCCAGGGGTCAACCTCGGAGGCCAGCAAAGCGGTCAGCAGCAAGACGCCTGCAACTGCTGATGCGTCTATACCATTGCACCGAGCAACGTTGACCTTCTGCCTTCTTGACGAACACTTACGCTGCGATGTACGAACCTTCATACCACTTACTTTGCTTTGTAAATACTCTGCTGTCTTGCATGGTCACAGCCGTGCCGTTCTGATCGAGTGCGAGCTGTTGTGCAGTCTGTGGAGGAGAGCAAAGATGGCGACAGTGCGGTCGGACCGTCGGAGGCGAGCAGGCGAGAGACAAGGTCGTTGCTCAATCGACTTCGGTCACTGAGCTCATTCAATAGGTGGCACATGTGTCAGGGCGACGTGGAAGTGGCGAGCAAGAGACGACCTCGCGCTCGTAAAGCACAGCCTCGGCTCTTGCCTGCTGCTTGTGTTCACTTTCATAGACAGCTGGATGCGAGAAGCTAACCCTGCCTTGCGGTGGCGCTGCTTGTCATTTCGATCCCTCGTGGTCGTGCAGAAGGGCTCAGCCCACACAATAGGAGGTGTTGATGAAGTTGAGCCTGATTGCCTGCTTGCTTGTTTGCTCGCTCGTGAGACCATTGCCGAAGTGTGCTGCGATTTTTGCTTTGCCGTCGGATGTGTGAATGCTGTGCTGGTCTGAATTCCTCGCGAGGCTCAGCCAGAGCTCTGCTGTAAGGCCCAACTTGTCTCGCCTTCGCTTTTTTTGGCAGTCAGCTCTCCACACGCCGCACCGACCGCTTTTTCGGCACCATCATCTAGCATCACTCCTGTCCTGCTTGGGTCGCTACTACCACCGGCTCTTACTTCGCATTCACCATTGCTGGCACCAATCCGCACGCATTGTGTCTTGAAGTCGAAGGGGACCGCGCTACCAACAAAACGAACCCACTCCTTGCAGCCACTTCCCATCCCGTCCGGCTTTCTTGGTCATCGGCGCAGAACTTGAACCATCCGACCACCGACTCAGCAAGCAACGACCTCTGATAGTCACCACTTCGATATCTTCACTTTCAAGTCCCTTTCCGTGCCAGCTGCCTTGTAGACGGCTCATCCGGTACCAACCCCTGTCGCTTGACTGAGCGCAGCCTCCACCCAAGCTCTGCGGAACAGTCATCTACGCTCGGCTGCCCACCGACACAACCTCTGGTCACGCTGCATTGGATTCCCACGGTACAGAGGCTCTCTTCTATCCACAGAAATGGCGATGATATCGGGAGTGCGACCGAGTTAGCCCTTCTATAGATGAAGAAGTTCTTCAAGGGAAAGGAGGCAGGGACCATCACACCCCTGCCTCCCGCCAGCCCGCCCGTCTCGAGCCCCTCATTCGGAACACCGCGACTGTTTGAGGAGTATCAGGCCAGAGTCGCATCTCAAACCGCATCGGCAGAGTCGAATCGGCCGCTCTCCTACCAAGCACCCTCTCTCTCGTCACATCACCCTCGCGAGTCCTCCGACGAAGCCCGCTACGCCCAATCACATTTGTCAGCATCCTCTTCGCAGCGTCGTCGCAGTCAGCAGCCCGGCGTATCGCCACGCCAGAATCAGTTTCCTTACCAAGCCAGGGCAACACAGGCGGCAGATGCTGCTTACGATTCATACTCGGATCCAAGCTCGAATCTCCGACCTTCGTACGATCGCAGCAACCACTCCGACTATGATCTTCGCAGCCAACCACCTTCACAACAATCTCACGCTGATCGAAGACATGCCAGCAAGCAGCTCCAACCCTCCTCAGGAATGGCTGCGTCCTTGCCGCCACGCTCACTCCGTCCAGCCCAGCCAGCTGTTAGCCATCGTCGCGATGGCTCGATGAGCAAGCCCATAGCATCGGAACGTGCTTTCCCTCCCCAGACTCGGAGTGGCGCAGCCAACTTCAGCCCTTCGCACTCGCCACCGACGCATCATCCATCTGCCGACTCTAATTGGGTGCGTCATCGCAGGTCCCAGGATTCCGACGACTCGGACCGCGCCGCCTACGATGACACCGCCGCCCCACGCTCCACCGCCTATCCAGTCTACGCGGGTCCTGAAGGCGAGGGCGATGCCGGCGAGGTGCTCATCTCACAGGGTCGCTACGAAGAGACCACTCTTCGTGACCCGCCCAAGGACAAGAGCAAAGGAATGAAGCTCTTCGGATTCTCCACGGGTAGCAATAAGGACAAGAAGGCTAAGCAGCATCGTGACGATGCCCCTTCATCGTCACCTGTCCCTCGAAGCAGTCGTGACAGAGACGATGCTCACCTCATGTCTCCGCCCGTGGACGCACATCCAGACTCTGCGCCCGAACGCTCCAGAGAAGGCGGCTGGATGGACCGCTGGAAGAAGGGCGCACACCAGTATCAAGCGGCGCGGCTGCAGGACAAGGAAGCGGAAGACCTCGTCGCCTCACGCATCGGCTGGATCACCGCAAACGCTCACGAAGAGCAAGACTGGATGCATGTGCTCCCCATCATCGACCTTGTGAGCCAGTCCGAGGCGGCGAGCAAGGAAGCCGCTCGGGCTCTGCGCAAGGAATTCAAGTACGGCACGGTGGATACGCAACGTCGCGCCGTACGCCTTTGGGCGCTGCTGACCCTGAATGCCAGCGATCGGTTCCGTCTGCAGGTGGCAAGCAGGCGCTTTTTGGAGTCCATTGAGGACACCATCGCTTCGTCCAAGACGCCACTCAGCGTCAAGGAGACGATGCTCAGGGTGCTTGGTGTGCTGGCGTTCGAGTTTAGGAACGATGCGGACTTGGCGGCGGTGACAAAGTGCTGGAACAAGGTCAAGCCGAGTGACAGACCGAAGGACGGGGAGCCGCTGAAAAACGATCTGTTCGAATTCAGGCTGCCTCAGCCCTTTCAGCAGCAGCAACAATCACAGCAGCAGCAGCAACAAGGACCATGGCGTCGTACGTCGCAGCGCTACTCTGAGCCGTCAGCTCCTCACCCCGAACTCGCATTCTCGCCCCCTCAACAACCGCCGCCTACCGCCGACCCGCCAACGCAGCTGCATCGCCTGTCAGCTGCGTTCCCACGCACCCAGAAGCCTCAGCCGCCACCCCCCTCACAGCCAACCTGGCAACTGCCGACCTCCAACGGTGGCCCCGTCGACATCATCTCGAACCTCGAAGCGGCGGCAGCATCGATGGAGTCCAAGTCCTATCCCGCCTCGATCGCGTCGCAGCACGACATTGTCGCGGCAGACGAAGACGTGCGTCGGCTGCACGAAGAATGCCAGATCGCACGGAGCAACGCGGCGGTGCTGCTCGACACGCTGCTGCACGAAGGCTTGCACGGTGACACGGCCGAGCTGATTGACGAGTTCTATGGGAAAGTGGTGCATGCGCAGGAGTTGATCGCGTCGCAGATCGCATGGGCGAGTGCGCAGGTGGAGCGGGCGAAGATGGCCGGCGGGGAGGGAAGGGAGGAGGCGCTGTTGGCGGATCTACTCGAGGCACACGGGCGGACAAGTGAGGCGGTGCGTGCGGTGGACGAGGCACGGCGAGTCGCAGAGGAGGAGGAAGAAGAGCGAAGGGTTACCGAGAGGAGCAAGGTCGAGGTGCGACTGGATCGGTCTGCTCTGGCGCAGGACAGCACAGGTGAACTCTACGATCTTACTGCGACACGGGGTCGAAGTGGGATGCTCGGCGTGGAACGTGGTCCCCAAGCTTCCGGTTCGAGGTCCCCCTCTCCGAGCGGCTACAGCAAACCGGCGGTGTTGAGCCCAGGCTCAGGCTTTTCCAGCAACAGCTCGAGCATCCTCTCCCCTGCATCGCACACCACTGTTTCCCGCGGCTCGAGCGGCGCCACCGCCCCACCACGCGCGTCACGACCCCTCCCCGTCCCCCGCTCAGACCAATCATCCGACTCGAGCATCCACCACTCGTCCGCTGCGTCATCGCAGCATTCGCGCGATGCATCGCTCACTCTGCCCGGCGGCACGGGTGGCGGCGGAAGGTCGCCCCTGCCCCAAACGCCAGCTCTCAATATCGATACCTTGCAAAAAGGCGCCATGGAGGAAGATGACTTGCAAACGCCCGTGGTGCCCAGCGCCAAGGCGTTAGGCAAACGAAGGGCTGTCAGTGTCAGGTACCCGACTCCGCCACCGACGAACGGGGAGACGCCGCAGCTGCCACCCTTGCCAGGCAAGACTTTGGCCAACGGAATGGGAGGGTTGAGGTTAGGTTGACGCAGAGGACCAATGCCAAGCATTCATGACAGACATCGGCTCTCTCTCTGTGTCTGTGTGTCTATGTGTCTTTCTGCGTGTCTCTCTGTGTTGTGTGCAAAGATCTGACGGATGTGGTTGACCTTGGGCGAATGTTCGATGTGAATGCATGCGCTGTGTCAAGTGCTCCTCCAAATCAGAAGCTCCTTCTTCTGCGACACCCAGCAGGTCCCTACTCGCCCTCCTCGTACTGACTAAACACCTTCTTCGGCTGAGTCTTCTTCCACGCCTTATCAAACTCCCCCTCGCCCTCCTTAGCGGCATACTTCAGCAGCGCCTCCCGTGGATCGACCCCTAAGTCCTCGGGAGGCGCCCAGATGCTCTGCACGGTACCCTGCATCTCGCCGGCCCCGATGCGCCCGCCTCGCCCTCTACCTTCCATGGGCGCCTGAGGCATGCGCGTCTTCGTTGGATCCGCACGGTCTTTCGCCAGTCTACGTCGTTTTGCGGACTCGGATTGGCCGATGTTCTCGCCCATTTCGATCGGGTACGAGTCGACACCGTCGAAGTTGGTGGATGCGTAGAACGATGAGGTGGTGGATGAGGGACGGGCGAGCGCGAGGAGGATGCCGTTGCGTGAACGAGACGAGTCGTAGTAAAGCGAAAGGGATCCATCGCGGTGCGTGGCGAAGAGCTGGTCCGTGGGTGCAGACCAGTGTAAGCGGATCGGCTGGCTGGCAGTGCGCACAGAGGAGACCGTCTCGAGGTTGAGGCTGTCGAGCGTCACGATCTCCCCTCCCATCGCCTTCTCCGTTGAGATGCAGGTCACGACCGTTCGCGCATCGAAAGGGTCAAAGATGACACTGGTATGCGGCGAGCCGTTCTCCAACCCATTCCTCGTCACTAGTGGGGCTCGTATCGACCGCGTATCCCACAGTTTGACCGTTCCGTCCCCTCCCCTCGTCACCACCTTTCCCCCACTGACCGCGATGCTGCTGGTCCAGCTCCCTACCTCATGCGCACTCACACCCGCCCGCGGCTTCCCATTCAGATTCCCGCGCAAATCCCACATACCCAGCTCACCATCCAACCCGCTTACCCAGAGTTGCTCCTCGTGCACCGCAAGAGCGGTCACTTTGGTCCGTCCGCCACGCTGCTTGCTCTTCAACACCACCATCCCGTCCTGCCCACGCTGCATCGTGTCGGCATCCCAGATGCGGACCGTGCTATCGCTGCCACCCGTGACAAACCTCTCTCCAGCCCAAGCACCGCACGTCAGCGCGCCCACATGACCCGTGGTATTGCGCATATCCCGAAGGTACGGGTCGCCCGCTTTGCACCTCCCCAGCTCGGCACCATCTCTCGTATACAACGACGCCTGACTCGTACCGTTCACCACCAGCAGCGTCCCCCCGGACGGGCTGAAGGAAAGGTCCAAAACCGGGTAGTTCTCTACAGGCTCAAACAGCCGGAATGGCTTCAGGGTGGACGTAAGACCGCCGAAGTCGTAGAGAGAGAGCGTGTGGTCGTACGAGCCGAGGGCGAAGCGCGAGCCGGACGCATCGACGGTGAGCGCCGAGAGGGTTTTGGTGTGTGTACCGGCGAAGAGGGTGGTGGATGATGTGGGTGGGAGGGTGTGTGGCGGGATAGGTGGAGCTGACGAGGAGGCTGGTGGGGGTGCTGGTGGACCAATGTCGTCGTCCGAGTCATCGTCTGAGTCGTCGTCGTCTGAGTCAGAGTCGAGCCCTCTCGCTCGCCTCTCGGCGGCTTGTCGCTCCGCCTCGAGGTTGGCTGCCCGCTCCTCGGCCGTCAGCCCGTCGTCCTCTTCCTCCGTTGCTGCAGCAGGTCGCTTGCCGAGCACTGTCGAGCTGAGACCTTTATCTACATCCTTGGCAGCCCCAGCTGTGCTCGTAGAAGCGGATCTCGAGGCCGATGCGGTGGACGCCTTCTTGCCCGGCCGCCGCCCGAACGACGCCGGCATCATGGCTCGCAGCGCTGCTTCGTCCATCTTTGCCGCCTTCTCGCTTCTGGCTTATCGCTCTCTCCGCGTTCGAGCTGCGTTGAAAGCTAGCAGCGAAATGCTCTGTCGCACCCGTGCGTGTCTGGTGGCGAGACCGAGAGGCGATGCGAATGGATGGGATGGTGAGGGCAAAGAAGGGTACAAAGCTCAGCGAGCTGCACGTCAAAATGCCAATTCCGACTTCCGACGCCTCGCTTTTGTGGAGCAAGCACTCTCCCGGCACCTCCTCGTTGACAGCAGTCACACACAAGATCCTTCCGAATACGTTGCCATTCCGTACAGCAGATAGAAAGACAGTCTGATGCTACATGATACATAAGACTTCGCAGGAAGCACAGATGAGAGACGATTGCCTGCAACGAGTCAAACTTCGAACGCGGCGAGTGTTGCCTACCCCTTCTTGGGGATACTCGCCAGCCTCCACCCATTGACATTCGCCATACTGGCCGCGGTCCCGCTTGTGCCGATCTCAGCGCTCGCTGCGCTCTTCCTCCTGGCCAGTCCGCCGAAGCTCTCGCGCACAATCAGATGCAGACACGTCACAATGATGACATCCTTCAGCTCCTCCCTCGTCAACCCCGCTCCGTCGGGGCCCAACCCGGTGCCGCTGAGATCTGGTAGCGGGAAAGGCACCGCCAGCTGACCGACGAGCTTCGGATGGTGCGGTGCGGGAGACAGCGTTCCCAACGGAATCCGCGTAGTAGGTCCCAGCACGAGGTGGCAGTTCCACGGCGTCTCGCTGTCTTCTGGATCAGACTCGTCGCCGGAATCCTCGTCGCCGTGGTGGATGGTCGAGCCGGCGGTGGTCGACTCGAGCGAGCGACGCGGCGAACGGTGGCCTGTGCCAGAGACAAGCGAGGCGGGACGCGAGGTGCGAGCTGCATCGCCCGTGCTCAGACGCGGAGAACTGGTCTGGTCAACGCCGAGAGATTGTGTCGTCGCCAGATTCGGTTGACGCGGGAGCGAGACGTTGCTCCGACTCGCTTCGCCCGTGTGCCGGTCGACACTCGTCACGGATGCGTTGAGGGATAGGCTGGAGCGGAGCCGTGCTTGTGCTTCGGCGGTCTGGCGTCGAGTCGAGGACTTGCGAGAGTTGCGCGACCATTCGAACCGCACAGGAATCGAAGAGGGTGGTGGGTGGATCTCGTTCCCGCCCATGCGATTGACCATGTTGAAGCGCTTCCATACGCTCGTCAGCACCGGGTTGGAGCCTTCCAGATCCAGCTTGGCGGGCACTGAGGTTGGCTGCCTGCCAAGAGCATGAGTTTCGTGCGGACGCCGATTCCACTTGCGCACCGTCCAAAAGTACCCCTCCGTGCGTTTGCCATCGTGAACTCCTGCGCCAGGGTGCATCTGTGGGATGTCGCCGGTGTTGTGGCCTTTGACGGCATCGTGCTGCGACAGCTTGCCGAACAGGCTTGGTGCTGGTGCCGATCCACCGGTGGCGGTGCGATCTGGAACATTGCTGTCGCGACCAAAGACGCTTCCGCCTGCACCACCTGCAGCGCTATTAGGACGGACACCGAGCGAAAAGCGTTTGAACTTGCCGAGCAGCTTGCCACCCAGATTGCCCTCCACACCGCGAGCCTCCGGCGTCATGGCCTCGAACGAAGTCGGCGGTTCAGCGTTCGAGGAGGCTGCCGCCGCTGAACCGGCCACCTCGCGCGCAGGAGCTGAAAATGCAGAACCATTGTCGACGGCACCACCGGACGAGTCCGTCTCGCTCCTCGGTGAGATGTTGGTGGCGTTCCCGGCTTGCACCGTCAACGATTCCCTTCCGGTCGCTGCCTTCTTTTGTAATGTCGCTAGATCGTTTACGCCATGGATGAGCTCGGCGGGTTCGAGGATGCCAAAGCCATCGAGGTCAATGCCCTTCTTGACGTACTTTGCTACCTTCTGATCTGTGCCCGCATCGCTGACTGTGGTGGACAGGATATGGTGGAAGTTGAGGTTGTAGAGCGGTGTGACACGGCGGCCTGAGCTTGCGGATGCGACCGAGCCCGAGGTCGAAATTTCCGATCCTGCGGAACGAGTCGACCCGATCGAATCCCTCCTGCGCAGCTCGGTCGACGGCGTAGTGGGGAGCTCGCTGCCCGCGGCTGATGATTCCATAGAAGCCCTTCGTTGAGAGCTTTCGCGACGGTTCTGGAGCTGTTGCGGCATGACCAGCTGGATCTGCAGGTTGAGAGGGTTGCTCTGTTTGCTGGGAGGAGGCTTGACGATCACAAGCAGCTCAGGTGGTGCGATCTTCTTGCGACGACGGGCCATGGAGCTGCGTGCAGCTTCGGAAGGGGCTGCGGCGCTCCAGGCTGCTTCGCTGTTGACGCCGCCAAGAGTCGAGCCCAAAGCCGAGAGTCGTTCGTGGCTGAGCTCGTTGGGAGGGCCGCTCATGGATGTTGGTCTGCTGGCGCTCGGTTTCACGACGGAGCCGTCGTAGGGATGCGACCGCATCGAGAGATGGTCTGCTTCGCTGCTTGCGATGGAGCGTCCGTTGAGTGTTGCCTCGGAGGCTTCGCGGTGGTGGTCGCGTGACGACCAATCTGCTTCCGAGCCGTACTGAAAGTGCGCCTTGGGCGTCATGGAAGTGGCACGATCGATCGGCGACATGGGGCCATTGCCGGAGCTGGTTACTCGTGGTCGGCCAGGATCGGTGGGCCCTTGTTCTGCATCTCCGCTGAGCTTGCTGGGGCCGATCCAGCTGGCAAAGAGGCTTGTCATTTTCGAAAGTTGCTCCTGCACCTCCTACCGACGGCGAGAAGCTGTTGCGTTGCGTTGAGTGGTTGGATGTGGAGCCGGATGTGATGCTGATCCTGAAAATGAGGCCCGCCCAGCGCCAGAACCAAGCAGCACGACAGGGGATCCGCAAGATCAAGAGTGTGGCATACGAGAGTGGCGCACGGCTAAGATGAGGTTGCGGGAAGCCGATTTGACGGCGGCGGCGGCGTCGAAAGATCGATGCCGTCCTTCTTTGCGGTTCCTGATGGCGTCCGTGGATCCTTGGTTGGAAAATGAAGTCGAACGAGTGGGTTCAATGTTGGACAACGAGCGGCTGACGCCCGGACCAGACGCCGGGATGAACGCTTGCCAGAATGATTGTGGTTGTGATCCAGAGAATCGGGTTCAGATCGCCGCGCCTTTGAATGCGAATGCAGCTGAGGATGATCCAGGGTTGGCCAGAGTCTCGATGGACAATCCGCTGGTCAGGGTGTTCGGCGTCGATGGGGTCTGCGGCGGAGAGGAGTGATGGTGGGAGAGAAGCAGGAGGCAGAGGTCAGAGTACGAGTAGCAAGGTACAGCCAAGACGAGGCTTGCAGGAGGCTTGGCTTGAAGGATGGAAAGAGAGAGGATGAGCTTTGATGATTGAATGGCGCTCGGCAAGCTCAGTCCGAAAGTGGTTCTGCGTGCTTGCCGCTGATGCATGTTGAAAGGTCAAAAAAGAGAGCTTTGGATCCCGCTCCATTGTGACTGTACCCGTGTGCTTGGACGGAGCTAATATTTATTTTTGTTAAAAGCAAAAAGGGGGGGAATCGAGGTGGAGTGCACCACATCGTCACAGCCATCTGTCTGATCTAGCACAGCCGACAGCAAAAGCATGATGGCAGATTGCAGCATGGTCGTTGATGTCTTTCATGGTGATGATCCGTGGTGTTGATCCGCTGATGCAGATCAGCCCAAAAGCACATTGTCGAGTAACATGTCCGAATGACAATCGTGCGACAGCCAGGTCCGCGGATGGACCGAAATGCATTTGTCAGAGCAGGAGCGGACGGATGACCGCGATTCACGATGGGAAACAGCGACGACGATGCGTGTGACAGAGCAAACAAGACCATGCGACGTGCGTGACGCCTGCATGTCGGATGCGCTATTGTCCGAGTGTAGACACTTGTGCTCTGCTCTGATGCGTCGTAAGAGGCGTGGACAGGTTCTATGTGGGTGAAGCTGCTGCTGATGTTGCTGCTGACGGAGGGTGCCGTGTGAACCGCGGAACATCCGCTCTGAAGCCACGGCTGATCCGCTGCTCTGCTTGAATCTCGCGCTGCACTTGGGCGTTCCGCACCGGTGCAAAAGGGGCCAGCGGAGATGCTAGAGAATGGAGCGGAATTTCCGATCGGAAGCGATCCGAGGCGGTTAGAGCTGTTGTGCTGCTGAGCTCCTTTTCCCTCTTTTCAAAGAGCGATTCGCGGAAGAGTTGTCCCGGGAGACGACGCACACACAGCTCACACGACGATGACGCGCTCTTGTTGATGCATTCACACCCTTCCACGTCGGGACGGATCGTCAGCACGCAGCGCATTGGTCCGCCGTCGGCTTCTCCGAAGGACTTCGTCCGCCCAGACTCTCAACCAGTGTCAGCTTGTGCACACCGCACCTTCATCAAGCGTTCAGACTATGAAACAGAGGGCCCTGCTTACGAATAGAACTGTTTCTATGAAATGCTGCCACGAAAATGAAGGGGCGAATTGAGGTCGCAAAAAGCCCACCATACAATGCGACCTTTGCGCCAGCGTTTCTATAAGTGCCAACACACCTTGAACACCTGAGCGCATCGCCTGGACATCATTGAAGCTGGCCTGCTTCGTCATGACTGGCAACCTCTTTGAGCTGGACTGGGGTTGACGGTCATGGCAGCAGGGTGGAGAGACCTGAGAGCCCCAATCGGCACGACCCTGAATCGGGGCATGCTGAACCCTTGCTTGTCGCCAAACCTTAATAGAAGTTCAACACCAAAAGTCCAACACTTCTAGGCAGCATCATCACCAACGTCCTCGTCGTCATCCTTCGGCATCAACTCTATCTCCCCGCACGACGTCAATCAGCAATTTGACACCGCGCCGCATCATCTCCATTGACCAGTAGCATATATACTCCGAATCTCGCCAGAGCACCATCCCTCATAGGCTCTCGCTGGACCCTTTGCACCCTCAGAACAAACGATGGTCTCTCCGACGACGGTCAAGGCGCTCCTGCGCGAACTTACCTCTTTGCAACGCAACCCGCCCGCAGACATCCGTGTCGCTCTCTCGGAAGCCGACATCCTCTCCTTCTCCGGCTGGATCCTGGGTCCCCCATCCACGCCTTATGCCGGGGGCTTCTTTCGGGTCACATTCAATTTCGATGGCGTCGACTTCCCCAATGCACCCCCCATCTGTCGGTTTGCCACCCCCATCTTCCACCCCAACGTCTCACGGAGCGGGGAGATCTGCGTATCGAGTCTCAAGAAGGACTGGAAGCGCGAGTACGGGATAGAGCGGATTCTCGTGACGATTCGTTGTCTGTTGGTGGAGCCGAACCCGGACAGTGCGCTGGATGCCGAGGCGAGCAGGTTGATGCAGGAGGACTGGGCGACGTACGAGGAGACAGCGAGGTTGTGGACGAGTGTGCACGCCGAAAAGAGGCCTGCTTGCTTCGAGGAGGACAAGGCAGAGCAGGGTCGAGTCGCAGCGTCCGAACCAGCAAGACCGTCGGTTGTGCCGACACTGCCTGTGTCATGCTCAGCATCCGCATCGGCAGCGACACCGCACACCATCAAAGCAGCCAAATCCGTCTCAGCAGCACCTAAGCGCGGCTTACGCCGACTGTAAACCTCGAAACATCTCACTGTATTCTTATCAACGTACCAATGACACACCATCGCGAAGAGTCCACAGCCACACTTTCGGGAGAACAGATCGAGAAGCAAATTGACATTGCCAACAGCAGTGAATTTTGTATCCCTCCCGACAGCGTCGTGGAGAGATGTGTACACAGGGCGATCGTCGTGACGAATGTCCCGTGCTGATATGTATGTGTGGATGTGCGAGTGTGTAAAAATCAACCCCGAGTGCAGACCGAGAGACGGTTCAGCAACAGGGAGCCGATCCGACCGACATATGTGATGGTACAAGTGGCGAAGAGCGATGCATTTAGTAGAAAGTGTTGGGGCGCTGGCCGGCGAAGGTGCCAACGTGGCGGGGGCGACGGTGGGGGAGGGGGAACTTGAGACCAGGGGCCATGAGCTGCTTGATGTAGGGGCGCTTCACGTCCTCGTTCTTCTCAATCTCGGCAATCTTGAGGATGTGGATCGAGGCGAAACGGGCACGGTGACGAGCAGCCATGTCCTGGTACAGCGACTCGGCAGCCTCGGAGCGCGACAGAGCGCGGAACTCCTTGTACATGTTGTGGGTGCCCGATCGCGAGTTGTATCGCAGCCAGACAGCGAAGTTCTTGACCTTGAGGGGCTTCTTCTCGTGGATCTGTGGGTGGTGAATCAGTGGAGGGAGGGTCAGTCTGCTGGTCGTAGACGTGGTCATGAAAGCGCGGACATGTCGAGAGAAGCATTGCATCCGACGGCGCCACCACAAATCCTGCTCCCAGGGCTGCATTATGCCAGACTACAGAAGCCATCTGCCGACTTCGAGACGGTCACAGGGACAGTATGAGCCCGTGTATGACGTCCGAGCTGGCCTTTGTCGATCCTGGCCTTCGTCAATCCTGACCACGCGTTATCGTTGCGTACGACCTATCTTTGTCGGATGGAATCCCAGCAATGCTTGCGCCCATCTGCGTCCTTCTGCCATGATGCCTGATGCTGTCCAATGCGGTGGTCTGATCGTGGTCTTCTTCCCGTCGACATGTCCTTTTGCAACGCTGAATACTTACAGCGTGGATGGCAACAATCTCACCGGTGGCCTTCTTCATCTTTCGGAGCTGACGAACGAAGTACCAGAAACGAGACTCGGCGACCGACTTGTTGACGGCGAAGATCCTCATGCGGTAGAGCTTGGGAGAGGGCTCCTTCTCGGTGGGAAGGTGGCGACCGATCACCATGTACTCAGTGAGGCGAGTCATCTTGAAGACTGTGGTGGTCAATTGTAAAGACGATGGTGGCGTGAGGTCAGTAAGGCTGCTCGCAGCTGCTGGGATGAAAGCTGGTCGATGATCGCATCAGCAGAGGCAGGGATGTTGATGGAGTCCTGAATGCGGGCCGTATCGAAACGTTGATCGAACTGGCTGATGCTATTCGACGCTGCCATGCTTGTGCCAACGGCCCTTCCGTCGGTAAAGATGTGCCGCGCAATCGAAGTATATCCTGTGACTGCTCTGCCGTAGTGTAGCCTGGGTAGCCACAATGGTATCTACGAGGCAGCATCTGCAAGTTGCCATGTACCTTCCCCGCCAATCCGAGACTGTGGAACACAGTGTCTTTCCTGCGACCCAGACACCAATGCTTCATGTCCAGCCAGTGTCGGAAAGTCTACCAAGGGACCAGTCTACTGACGTACATGCTGGTGTTGTGTGGGTGTTGCGAATGAATGATCTGAGGATGGTAGTTGATGTTATAGCTGGCTGGGACTGGGACGGTCGAAATGCGTGCTGGTCGGATGTGTGGTTCTGAGGCTGCTGATCCTGCGATGCTTCGCACTGGTGATGCCTGCTGCTGATGCGACCTATGTGTTGCTGAAACTTACAATATTTGTCGACGGGGTTGAAGGGAGGTTGGTCGTGGGGAGAGGCGGGAAGGATGGCGACGAACGATCTCGAAATGCAATCACTCCAGCTGCGGTGTGGAATTGAACTCACTCTCAAGCCTGCGGTGCTTGGTGAGCAGCTCTCAGCACTGAGCTGCCTTGGCGGAACACGGCTTGGCTGACTCTCAGCTGGACCTTCTTGTCAAGCCTCGACCGCAACACTGCGCCGTGCTGCCTAATCCATTTCGCCTTTCACAAATCTAGGCTGCAGCTCGCAGTCGAGTCTACGAATGGCAGTTTGCGAACAGCCGAAATGGAAATTTACAGTTATACACGTGACCCTTCCCTGCTCTGTCGAAAGGGTGCAAGGCGTTTTTCTTTTACTGTTAGTTCGTATATGCACCACATTCTCGAAAGCGAGCGCAAAGCGATCTTATCGATCCGATGTCGTATCGGCGATGCGCCGCAGGCTCAGAGCCCCCCTCATCGCAAAGCACTCAGCCATTCCCGCTGCTAGACCTCGTTGCCCTTCGCCCCTGCTCGCATGAGCTTGTGCTTTGGAAGCATATTTGCTGCTGAGCAAGACTGCACCTCTCGTCGAGCAAGTAAGTTTGCAGGCAGATGGTGCGGGCCTGTGGGACATCCTCAGCTAGGTGGAGGCGAGCAAGCCAGATAAGTGGCTGCATGCTGGCTCAGTGATCACTTCGAAATTTGAATGCAGTTGGATCCCCACGTCGAGGCCGAGAAGCCTTGCGAAGAAGAGAGCGCGGGCGGACGTCAGTCTGTGCCCACCAAAACCAAAAAGAATCAACTCGGAAACGCGCTCTCGATGAGCACAAGCCGACGTGTTAATCGCCTGCATCACCTCATCCCATCACTACCATCTCGCGGTCTCGCAACAGCTCATCGCCGCACAGCTTGACACACGCTCCGATATCTCCGAAGGCTACGATCAGGTCAGACCGCTGATCAGCACGAAACCACGTGGCACTGTGCACTTGGCAACTTGCAGACGACCGTCCGCACCATTTGAGACGCCGGCCCTAGCACGACTCTAGCTCAGCACGCAACCGCCGCAGCTGTCCGCCCCGGCCCGACCATCTCGCCAGCCATGCTGTTCGACGAGGCTCACACCGACGACCTCAAGGCGTGGCTCACCGCTGAGCTCGGCCCAATATGCGATGCAGATCCAGAGGTGCTCGCCGACTACGTCCTCGCGCTTCTCAAGCACGAGAGCCCCGAAGCAGAGCTCCAAACGCTTCTCACTGAGCAGCTCGAAGACTTCTTGGCAGCCGAGACCGAGCCTTTCGTCGCAAAGACATTCCAGGCGATAGCCGACAAAGCATACCTTCCCCAATCGGAATCGCAATCCGCCGACACAGCCGCCGATGCGCAGGCACATGCATCCACATCCGACCTTGCAGGCGACACATCCACATCAAGGAAGCGAAGAGTGGACGACGATGGTGGTGCCGACGATAGCGCGCGCTCTCCGCCAAGGCAGACCCGACGATTGGCAGACAATGCAACGCCCGGCTCGGACGCTGGTCGAGCACGAGAGCGCGATGCCAGGGAGAGGAGCGCAGCAGAAGGTTCCGATGCGAACGGCTCGCAGAACGACGGCGCACGCAGGGACAATCGACCTAAGCAACTCTGCAGAGACTACCACAACAAGGGCTTCTGCCCGCGTGGGGCAAGCTGCAAGTTTGATCACTCGCAGCCGCAGCAACCGCCTTTCCAGATGGGTGGCATGATGGGACCTGGCGGTCCGAACACCATGCAAGGCCACCCGATGATGTTCCAAGGCGCACCATTTGGCATGCCTCCCCAAGGGTGGCACCCTAGCATGGGCCCACCACCGGGGATGGGTCCTGCGAACGGTGGTCCAGGCGGACCACCGTCTCAGCAGCAGAACGGCGATGGACAGAACTTGGCCACCCGAATGAGCGGGCAGCTGCCACCGCAACAGCCCGACGCTGCCCCCTTCGGTACTCACTCCGGGGCAGGATCTTTCAACGGCGGCATGGGTCCCGGAGGTCGAGGCGGTGCAATGGGCGGACGAGGTCGTGGCCGTGGAGGCGGACCTCCCGGCACCTTCCAATCCTCCCGTCGATCCAACACCACGCTTGTCATCGAAAACGTCCCTGCTGACAGCCTCGATCTCATCAAAGTCAACGAGTACTTCAAGAAATTTGGCACCATCACCAACATCAGCATCGACAAGCCCGGGTCCAAGGCGCTGGTCAGCTATTCACAGCCATCGGAAGCCAAGACTGCGCACGAGAGTCCCGACGTCATCTTTGGCAACCGCTTCGTCAAGGTGTACTTCCAGCGTCTGGATGAAGCTGCTGGAGCGGCGGCTCCTGCGACAACGCCGCGCCCGCCGCCCGCTGCCGCAGCCCCGCCACGAAACAACTTTGTACCGGGCAAGACCTCCAACGTATACCACGCACGTCCACCCGTTGCGGGAGGCAGTGCTCCCACCGGCAGCGCCGGCGCACCAGGTGCCATGTCAGAAGAGCGCAAAAAGCTATTCGAGGATCAACGCGCCAAGCAGGCCGCACTGGACGCCCAGCTCGCCGAGCAGAAGACGCTTCTCGCCAAGTTTGGCAACAAGGACCTTTCTGCCGAAGAGAAGAAGCTCACCATGACGCAGCTCAAGGCGCTCGGAGACGAGATCAAGACTGCGACGGAAGCGGTCAAGGCGGCAGTGGAAGCATTGCAGGCTGCTCCCAAGGAAGCTGCCCCTCCTGCGGACGCGGGGAGCTGGAAAGCGGAGAAGGAGAAGCGGGAGAAGGAGCAGTTGGACCGAGAGCTGGACCTGCACGCCAAAGGCTCCGAGCCCGCCTCGACGACCGAAGAGCTCAAGAAGAAGCTCGAGTCTCTCAAAGCCGAAGCTGCCTCGTTGGGCATCGATGGTGCTGGCGGGGCCGCTGGCTACGGGTTCAACGCGCGCGGTCGAGGTAGGGGAGGGTACGTTCCACGCGGTCGTGGCGGATACCAGCCGTACGCGGCACGCGGTGGAGCCATGGGTGGCCCCAACCGCAGCTTCCGCATCGACAACCGCACTACGAAGTTGAAGATCCAGGATCTGCCCGCGGGAACGGACGAGGAGAAGGTCAAGCAGCACTTTGCCACCTTTGGCGAGCTCGAGTCGTTCGACGGCACAGAGGGGACCGTGGTGTACAAGGCCAGGGCGAACGCGGAACAAGCGCTGAGGGCGGGTGCGGAGATCGAGGGCGTCGGTTCGGTCAAGCTTTCGTGGATCCAGCCGCCGCCTACTGCGACAACAACGGGCGTCACTGCAGATGTTGAGGGTGGATCAGCAGCACCCGAAGGTGAAGCAACGAGTGGAGCGGGAGAGGAGGAGTACGATGAGGACAGAGACTCCAGCTGGAAGCGCTAGTCGCCTTCATCTCCAACTCAGGCCATGCCGCACAGACATCTTCGCCGCAATTGTATCGCACCGCGCAATCACAGTCACATCCTCAGAGAGACCCAGACCATCAAGGTCGGGGTTTCACGCTCGCCCATCCGCGGCGCAGCAGCTTATCGCTCACACCTCTTCTCAGACTGCGCGTGTTTGTGTGCATCTATAATCTCTCCTCCTTCACATCCAACCTCGGGCTCTGCCCCACGCAGCGCAGCGATTCAAAGCGTGTTTTAGATTGACGAGAGGAGGCGAAACAATCTAGGGCGTGATCATGCCGAGTACATCTCCTCCTTGAGCTGGATGCCCAGTTCCTCGCGGACGCTCTTGAGGGCGTCGACGTACTGCTTGTACTGGTTCTCGTTCTCGACCTTTTGCTTGATGCCTTCGAAGATGCGGACGGCGGTCGAGTAGTCGTTGACGCGGCGGCTGGCGCGGAGGGCCGACTCGATCACCTCGGGCGAGGGCACGAGATCGTAAGCGAAGCAGTTGTTCAGACCACGTTGGAGCTCGAACAGGTCTTCGACCGCATCGAAGAACCCGACGTAGCGCGAGTTGAAGGCGTCAAACGACTCCTCCTCGTGGTGCGCGGCGTAGCCTCGGACTGTAAGAGAGAATAGGAGGAACAAAAGGGGTCAGCTTGTTGGAATGTGAGAGAACGAGCCGCAGCGCTTCTTCCGATCAGGTTGGGTCAGCAATCAAAGCGCAGCTGCAGCAGTTGTGAAGCGCAGAGCAGAGCAGCGGAGGTTGTCGGCAGCGCAGCACTGGCAGCAGATGGTTGGCAGTCAAGCATGGCCGAGTTGTTGGAACTGGGGCGGTCAATTTGTAACGAGCCGGATCTGTCGGTTGCGTCGCAACGATACGGTCATCGAGATCGATGCTCCAATCCATACGGCTGGCCATTCGTCTTGCCGATGATCGACAGAACGTTTTGCCGACACCAACGCCAATTGGAGCGGTCCCTCCTTTCGCTAAGTCGATGCCGGCTGATGACTTTGGTAGCTATTGTCAGGCTCGGCTGCGAACGGAAGAGGCTCCCAGGCCGAGACAGCCTTGCGAACACTGAACCTGCTGCCTCAGTGATCGGACCCATTGATGGTGCGTCCAGTACTCGCGCGTGCGGATGTGCCGACAAACTGATCGGTGTCGATGACGTATGGGCGTGTGCGGTGTTGTTGGCGAAAGCTGGTGTTGTGGATTCGGTGGATGCCGATGCTGCTGGTGGTACCGCTGCCTTTGCTGATAGTGCTACTAATTCGCTACTGATACCGTGGCTGCTGCTGCTGCTGCTGACGCTCATGCCCTGGCTTGTGACTTTGCGAGCTAGATCGGAATCGTATCGGAATCTGCGTGCGTCGATGGGATGCATTCCCACGCTAGATCGGAAGAAGCGATGAAGAGGTGACTACTTACCCTGCTGGCGGGCGACAACAGGGGCGGCGCGGCCGAGGAGAGCGGCACGAGCCGAGGTGCTGACGGCGGCGGTTCGGATGGCTCCGGTGAGGAACGACATGTTGGTGAATGGATGAGGATCGAGGGTGATGGAGGATGGATGAGTACCAACTTCAAGTTTACGCAACGATTTCGAGAAGAAGCGAGCGAGTCCAAACGTGGAGCGTGGATAGGATCAAGCGACGATCCTGTCTCTGCCGTCACCAGAGATCTCTGTGCAAGCCCCGGGTTGAACCACATCGCCTTCTGCTGCCTTGCAAAAGGGCCAACTCGCGCAAAATTCCACATTTCACTCAAGACCTGCCTCTTCCCTGACCGTTCCGTCGCTCAGATTTCAAATCCGACCGTGACTTTCGCACGGGAAGAAGACACGATCGATCGACTGACTGACCAAATGACTGACTTCAAATTTCGGGCTAGCAGAGCGCGGTGTCGATTTTTCGAGCTGCTTTTGGCATGTTAAGAGGCAGACGCGCTCCAATTTGGAACAAGACGTGGAAGCCTTCCTTTGCCTTTTGGCTTGCGCTCGAACCAGCCTTTTCGTTGATTCAAGAAGCTCTTGGCCGACCCTCTCCCGCGTTTCCCAGCTGTCGTTGCCAGAGAGCGAGACCGACACACCCACGGACACGCTGGCTGTTGCTCACATCGACAGTTGACACTTCTTCTCAACATATCTGTCACCATCACCTCTTCCACTTCTCTTCGGCCGCATCCCTTCGCCTTCGCGATCAACCGTTTGCGCTGGACGTTCGCACCGAGACTTGCGCCGCACCACGACCGAAGCTGCGAACCGCCTCGGCAACGACCGTTCTCACTTCGTCGCATCATCATTTTGGCATTCGTCACGTCCTGTGAGGCTCGTTCACCATGGTCATTCTCGCCGCTTCCGTCTCTACACGAGGCGGTAAGCCCGTCATCAGCCGTCAATTCCGTGACATGCCAAGATCGCGCATCGAAGGCCTGCTCGCATCCTTTCCAAAACTCATCTCCGCCGGCTCGCAGCACACTTCGGTCGAGACCGATGCCGTCCGCTTCGTATACCAGCCGCTCGAGGACCTCTACATGATCCTCATCACCAATAAAAACTCCAACATCCTCCAAGACATCGAAACGCTCCACCTCTTCGCCCGCGTCACGTCCGACATTTGCAGATCGCTCGACGAGAGCTCGGTTCTTCGATACTCCTTCGAGCTCCTAGGTGCGTTCGACGAGATCGTCTCTCTCGGCTACAGGGAGAATGTGAATCTCACGCAGGTCAGGTCAATCCTCGAGATGGAGTCGCATGAAGAGAAGATCCAGGAGATCATCGAGAGGAACAAGGAGATGGAAGCCAAGGAGGAGCTCAAGCGTCGCGCAAAGCAGCTCGAGATGCAGCGCAGGGACGCCGCTCGTCGTGGGCAGATGGGCGGGAACTCTGGCGGGTTCGGCCAGTCGGGCGGATTTAGCTCGAATCGCTTCGAGCCACCACCTACGCAGGCGCCTGTACAGACCGGCTTCTCGTCCAGTTCCACACCCGCTGCCAAGCCGTTCAAGGGCAAAGGCATGCAGCTGGGCAAGAAGTCCAAGGGTGCCGACCTGCTCGGCGCCATGGGCGGCGATCTGGCTGCTGCGGCCGCCGCGGCGGATGAAGAGCTCACCGCTGCTGCCAACGCCGCCTCCGCTTCGCTGGCTGCTGCAGCTTCGGCCCCGTCAGCGCGTGCACCAGCAGCGACACCAGCCGCCGTCGACCCGCTCGACCTCCTCGAGCCCGTCCACCAAGAGCCCGTTCACATCGTCATCAAGGAGCGCATTTCCATCTCAGGCAACCGCGATGGCGGTCTCGAGTCGCTCGAGATCAAAGGCGACCTTCTTCTCAAGATCACCGACCCGTCTCTCGCCAAGGTGCGCGTCCAGCTCTCTCCACCGGATGCCGACAACCTCGTCCTCTCCGCTGGCGACTTGCAGTTCAAGACGAACCCTCAAGTGGACAAAGCGGCGTGGACATCGGATCGGGTGATTGCGCCACGCGACGCACGCAAGCCGTTCCCAGTCAACCAGTCGCTCGGCGTCCTCCGCTGGCGTATGGTGACCAAGGACGAAACGGCTTTGCCGCTGAGCATCAACTGCTGGCCTTCACCCAACGGCGAAGGCGGTTGCGATGTTTCCATCGAGTACGAGCTCGAGAACGAGACTCTCGGTGAATTGCGGAGCGTCATCATCGCCATCCCTCTTCCGGAAGGGTCCGTGCCATCCGTCGAATGCCCCGAAGGAAGCTGGGCGGTCAACGACGAGACTAACAATCTCGAATGGTCCCTCGAGAGTATCAGTGGCAGCAACAAATCGGGCAGTCTCGAGTTCAGCATCACGGAAGGCGCAGACAACGTGGACGTGTTCTTCCCCGTCGTGGTCGACTTCGTCTGCGAAAAGACCCTGTGCAATGTCACGGTCGCAGATGTGGTGCTGACGGACACCAGCAGCCCGACAAAGTTCTCCCAACAGTCGGTGCTCAGCGCCGAGACGTATGTCATCAACTGATGCGCAGCGCGTACCTTTGTAGCTTTGACAATATACACTTGTTTTTTCACGTCGACGCTGTTCGGGCCTGCATTTGTGCTCCTCTGAACGAGAATGACCTGCAAAATATGAGCAGACGACTGCATGAGCCAGCCTCGGGTTCCTCCAGACAGTTAGGATCCACCACGAAGCTGGATAATGGCGGGGCTCGAGCGTTGGCAAAGGTAAGACTTTGAGATCTCAGGTATGAGACAAGATTGACGCTATATATACGCATATGAAGGCGGTCAGTGCATGAGCAGCAGCTTCGATCGATTAGCGGTCAAATCACGCCCTTCACAAGCAGCGCTTTCAGGAAGAAAGCGGGTGAGCCCCCGGTTCGATTCCGGGTCGAAGCACGAAAAATTTTTATGCCGTTTTTTTGCATCCTACAGACGCGCAAGAGTCAGGAGAACACTCTGACGAAGTTTCGAGGCAGGTTTATAAGCAGACGGAGGAGTAATGGTGGGAAACAGATTTTTTGAGATGGTGGTTTTGGACGAGCAAAGGGGGTGAAGCGTGCTCGGGCCGCTTCATTTCGCGGTGGGTGGTGACACGTGGAGACGCATTGCATCGCAACACATGCAGACGGTCTCCGGGCCTACACAAGGTGAACAATGGAGAAGAACAAATGTCATCGAGCAAGTGTCGATCTGGAGCATACAAACGGAGCCTTTTTGAGCCGATCACTAACGCGAGGGCGGAGGAGTGCTGGTCATGTTGTTCTCGATGATGCTCTCCTGCTCCAGCATCAATGCCTGTTGTTCGGCCCACATCTCGGCTGTGGGCAAGAAGGGCATCCAGGGCATGCTGTAGTTGGGCAAATTGGTGATGGACACCACACCACCCTGCTGGGTCGAGGCGTCGCGGATGCGAAGGCCGGTCATGGTGTTGAACTTGATTGGCGGGAGGGCGGGGTCGCCGTTGATGCACATCAGGACCTTGGGCGTCGAGGTTGCGCCGTCGCGCTTGTGCAGGAGAGTGTCGATGAAGATGGAGGAAGACGACACGGGCAACATGTCTCGACGCGACAGAGGGGAGGATGAGGAGGCGAGCGCTCGCTGGTATTGGTCGATGGTCAGCAGCTGACCACGATAACGGATGTAACCGCCGGGGGTGGGGTTGGTGTTGCGTTGGTCACCTGCACCGGCACCCATGCCACCGTTGATGTCTGCAGAGCCGCCAGAGACACCACCACCGTTGGCAAAGGGGCCAATGCCTCCAGCGCCTGCACTATCGCTCAGACCAGCGTCACTGCCTCCGGCGAACCCGCCAGCACCAGTATCCTGCTGATCACCAAAGCCTGAGCGGGTACCAGCGCCACCGGGGTAGCCAGACCCAGGATAAGCGCCTCCGACGCTCCCTCCCTGACCTCCGTTATAGACGGGCTGCTGCTGACCGGCGAATCCGGAGCCCGTGCCAACGTTGGGGTTGCCGTTGAAGCCACCTCCGGTGACTCCAGCGCCTCCAGCGCTGGCTTGACCGGCACCAGCAAAGCCTTGACTTCCGCCGCCGACGCTGCCATCGCCAGGATTGGCACCAGCGCCAGCACCAGCACCAGCGCCGCCAGCACCTCCACTACCATCCTGCTGACCACCACCAGCACCGTCATTGGCACCACTCACGCCAGCAGCGCCTTCCTGACCGTCATCTTCGTCCTCGACGGGCACATCAACATGCACACACATCCACCCACCGACCAACCCTCCTCCGCTCAGCGTCTCGCTAGCTAGCCTGGGCACCATACCCGTGGCGTAGGGGTAGGGCATCTTCTCCATCACCGTCACGCCTCCCACCGCCGGCTTGGGGACATTAGCCTCAGACGAGGCGGGCAAGGGGACACTGCCGAAGACCCAGTCTGACGCCTTGGAGGAGATGCGCGTGAGCCAGGAGGCCACTGAACGCGATGTCAGGCGGTGATGCACCATTCGAGGAGGATGGTGGGGATGGTGCACAAGGATTGGCGTGAGCGCTGACGCGCAGAGGAGAAGCGGCAGGATGACCACCAGCACCGTGGGAAGCTGGGAACTGTTTGAGGCGAAGATGATCTTCATCGTGATCTTTTGGCGAGAGACGACTTCTCAAGACGAGTGAGAAGGAGAGTGGCGAGGGAAGACAGGAGGGAAGGGCGCAAAAGACGCTCCTGCCCTTGCCTTTTTGTGTGCCAACAGTCGAGCCAGACCGTCCGTTGAGCAGACATCGACTTCATCTGCGTGATGAGATGGGTGTCAGCCCCTTTGCTGCAGTGAGCCCACCGATCGCCATGATACGCTCTACAATTCATCTCGCCAATCTAGGCCTGTTCGTCGCCGTCACAAGTGGAAGAGGAGACAAAGTGGGCTTGTCGACAACCCCACCTTCGCGCATCAAAGGTGGTCCGCAAAGCTGCTTTGATTCTCTGGTCTTACAAAAGGGAAAGACTACAACATGAGAAGCACTCAAGGACGGGGAGGGGGTCGATTCTGGAGCATGTTCAAGAGCTGGTGGACGGACTGTTGACCCTCGCCCTGGCCCGAGCCGGCGCCTGGGGGCGACTGGGGCTTGGGAGGCTGCATGGGTTTGGGCGCACCAGCGGCCGACTGGAGCAGGGCTGCGATGTTGGGAGGGAGTGCTGCTGCGCTAGCGTTGGCCGCAGGCGGGGAACGTGCCGGAGGGCTGGCGACGGAGGGAGCGGGAGGAGTCGAAGCTGCGGCTGCGGCGGGAGGTGGCTTGGAAGCGGCGCCGAGAGAGGCGAGCAGCTGCTGAACCTTCTGAGCTTGTTCAAGACGGTTTGCATCGCCCGCGTCGCCGCCGGGAGCAAGGGCGGAGGCTGCGTTTGAGGCTGCAGCAGAGCCGGAGCCTGCACGCCTGCCCCATCCATTGTCAACGGGAGGACCAGTCGAGGGAATGGGTGCACGACCGTATCCGAGGCTGGGAGGGGGGCCACCAGGAGGACCCGAGTTGTCGAAGCCGGGATAGTCGGCGGGCAACGGCGCGCGGTCGGAAGCACCAGGAGGAGGGCGAGGTCGGCCCCAACCACCATCTTGACCGCCAGGCGGACCAGCTTGGAAACCAGGACCACCAGCGCCTTGCGCTGGAATCTTGGCCCACTCCATGTCCTCGTCCGTGACAACGTCCCAAGCGAACTTGAGATCCCACTGGCCATCGAGGTACGACTGGCCATTGAGTCGGTCGTGCGCAAGCTGGCAAGCACGGCTGTCAAAGTACTCGACAAAGCGGCTGTTCTTCTGTCCGGGGTAGTCGCGGATCTTCTTGACGTCGCCAAACTCGGAGAACACTTTGCGGACGCCTTCGTCGTCGATGTCTTGCTGAGCACCCTTAAGCACACTGAACAAGGTGCCCTGGTTCTTGTCACGATCGCAACGTTGAGCTTTGTCCTCCTCGCGGGGAAGAGAGTAGTGAATGTTGACGGGACGGCCACCAAAGAGAGCACCCTTCATAGCCAGCATGGCGTCCCGCGCGGATCGGAGATCGTAGTAAGTGATGAAAGCGATACCACGCTTGTTGACCATATCGAAGAAGGTCTTGATCTGACCAAACTGTTCGAACTGCTGCTTGACGAACTTAGCGTCGGTCTCGAACTGGATGCTTCGGACGAAGAGGGTACGGCAGGGCTTTTCGTCGTCATCGAAGCCTCTTCCGCCACCGCCGAAGCCTCCTCTTCCACCGCGTCCACCGCCACGTCCTCCTCGGCCACCGCGACCGCCTCTGAAGCCATCGTCAAAGGGAGGACGCGGTCGGCCGAAAGACCCTTGTGGTGGGCCGCCCGCACCGAAACCCCTCCCACCGTAGCCTTGATCCCCGAAGCCGCCTGATGGTGGACCGGAAGGAGGACCACCAGCGTTGTAGTCTTGCGAGTATCCAGGAGCTTGGTGAGGTGGTTGTCCGTATGGAGCAGGAGGTGCCGAGGACTGGTCGTAGGACTTGGGTGGTGGTGCGTTGTAAGGTGCGTTCTCAAACGAGCCAGGAGTGTATCCGTAGGCTGGAGCGCCACTCATGTTTTGACCTGGAGGAGGAGGAGGCGGACGAGAGCCTGGAGGACCGCCTCGGGCGCTCATGCCCCCTCTAGGAGGACCACCGCCACCCATCGGCATCGGGTAGTGGCGATCTGGCCCACCAGAGAATTCATTGGTTCCGCTGTAGGCATTTTGAGATGGATAAGGAGCGGAAGGGTCGTTCATGCCGGGTCCGCCAGGATTGTAGGCGGATTGAGCGGATGGATAGCCGGAAGAGGGAGGAGGACTCATGCCGCCGGAGTGAGGAGGGCGGCCGCGCATGGGAGGGTTGCCTCCGCCGCGACCACCGCGGCCTGGCCTCTCATCGTAGCCACCGTAGGGATGATGGCGGCTCATGATTCAAATCAAGAGATTCGCTGGAAAAGATCGAGTCGTTGTTCTGGTCCGAGGTTCAGTGCGGGAAGCGAAACTTGCGAAGTGGGCAATCGAGTCGAAGCTTCAGAGAGGCAAATGCGGCTCAAAGGCTCAAAGACTCGCTCGACGAAGCAAGAGTGCGGAAACGAGGTCTTCTCAAAAGAACTGACAGCGTTTCAAGAGAGGTCGATGAGGGCGTGAGAGCGACGGTCGCACGTGCGGATGAGCTCGGAATCTTGAAAGGAGAAGTGCCGTCGGACTCAGAGGCCAAATGGTCGCTCAGTCTTGGCTGCAGAAGTCACTGAGATCGAATGTCGAGAGCGGGAACGAGTGAGGTGGAAAGATGGATGCGATTGCACGTGGTTCCGATGAAGTAGAAAGAGAGGAAGTGGGAATCACGGTTGAAGGGTTGTAATGGTGATGGTGGAAAGTGGTGAAGAGGGAGACTTAATGTTGGCGCCTTCATTTCGTCGCGGGCGGCGACGAGAAGCGGAGATTTTTCTCTCGCCAGAATTGCGGATATCGGGCTCAGTTGGGTGCTCTCAGAAGAAGTTGTCATGGGCCGGCTTGAACGCCGCAAAGCCTTGGATGCAGTTGGACAAGCCGACTTCACTTCTCGTTCATCACATCTGCTACCATCACATCCGACGCCAGAGTACTCGAAGAAGTGGCTGTGACAACACGGAAAGGAGTAGAAGGGATTGTTCGGACAAGACCGTCGTCAAGCCGCACCTGTCCACAGCCCCATCAACCGAGGTTTCGACAGTCACATCCGTCCAATAGTCGGACCAGCCGATGCGGGTCATCGGATCAGACTGTCATCATGTCGCTCGTCACGGCTAGTCCGCACTTGCAAGAGGCGCTCGCTTCGATACATCAAGCTTCTGCCGAATTCACCAATCCTGATCCGCAGCTCAGAGCCAAAGGCGAGGCCACCTTTCTCGCCCTCCGACAGTCCGAAGGCGCTCTCGACTATGCCGCTTTTGCTCTGGAACATTCCCACGATCCACTCGTGCTCTTCCAGTCATTCAACGCTGTGCTGTTCGTTCTGCCTTCATTAGCAGCTCAGCAGCCGAGCCAGGGTGTCGCTTCCCTCTCCCTTTTGCGGGACTTCCTTCTGCACTTCTGCGTCTCACGGAGCGAGCAGTCCAGCCGATCAGCCGACGCAGCCGCTTCTTGGCCTCAGTACCTTCGCTCGCGTGCCTATCAGACAGCGATAGCAGTCGAAAAGCGTCTCCTCGGCCTCGAGCTGGCTCAGCATGTCGGGCAGCCCTCCGGCGCCAACTCGGGTCTCGACACTGTCATTCAAGCCCACGTCGGCCTCCTCAATACTCAGCTTTCCAGTCTGCTATCGCTTCCATCGCCATGGCCTGTCGATGCGGCTGAGTCGGCCACCGCGCTAGCCCGCATCGTGACGGGTCTCGGTCTCGTGCGTGCCGTGGTCGATGAGTTCATTTTGACTAGCGCCAACGACGTCTTCGATTCCTGCTCTTCAGATCGAGGTCGATCTCAGTCTGCTCAGTCCACATCCAAGCCTGTTGTCCCTGGATCCGCAGTCGGTCTCAATCTTCTTCAGCATCGCCAGTGCAAAGCGCTCATCCAGAATCACGTCCTTGCTGGTCTCATGACAGCCGTCTTCCAACTGCTCTACAACACCATCTCGGACGACAACGCTTCTTCGAGTGCCGACTCGTGGCGCCACACCCTTTTCTTCCAGGCCGTCTCGGCCACCGAAAAGCTCTTGGGATGGACGTTCACCCGTTTCGACCCGTTCAGCTCCAACGCGTGGCAACAGCAGTCGCGATCACAAAACGAGGACTCCGTCCTGGCCACAGGTGTCGATGAAGACGACGAGCCAAGCGCGGCTTCAACATCCTCGAGCGGCAAGAAGACGCTCTCTCCGCAGCATGTGCCTGATGCATTCATACCGGTCCTGCTGTCAGATGATGTCGTCTCGCTCCTCAGCACAGCATATCGATTCGGCTTGCGGCTGCAAGCCACAGCTTCGGCTAGCCGAGACATCTCGTTCTCGGTGCATCGTCTTCGACAGTGCATCTTGTCAACCTGCAGCTTCACTCCGCAGGCACAGAAGCCGCAGCATGTACCTGTGCTGGTATCGCGAACAAAGCATCTTTGCGCAACGCTTCAGTCCTTAGTGGACGAAGAATGCGCTTCCTCCTCCAGCATTCTTTCGGCTCGCGGAAATTCGATGCTCTTCCTCGCTCAGGCATTCCAGATCATCGTTTCGGTCGTGCCATTGCAAATCCTGGCATCATCCCTTCAGTCCGGTGACCACAGCGCTCAGGGAAGCTTTGCATTCATCTCGTCCCTTTCTTCGCTCGGCAAGCACATCTTCGGTCTTGCTTTTCATCGACCCAAGGACACGGATGAAGAAGACGATCTCGCCGTCCTCACCGAGGACACCGTCGACGTCCTCCTGGCTTGCTGGCAAGCTCTCGTCTCTTCCCTCCGACAGCAGGATACCGCTCATACCCAAGATACCCATATCCGGGTCTTTGCCCAAACGATCCACGGCAGCATTCGCGACCAGGTGTTTGCACCCTACGTCACGGGCCGACTCGAAGCAGCATCCATCGTCAGCGGCGAAGACGACATGTCCGAGGTCGAAGAGGTAGCCGCCAAGGACAGGGACACCTACTCGGATCAACTCATCACCATCGCCAACCTCGCACGCACCTCGGCCGCCGACAACCTCCGTGCGCTGGCACAGCTCGCTCAGCCTCTGTGTGACAAGCTTACCGCCAAATCGCAGCGCCAGGCCAGCTTCACCGATGTCGAGATGGGTCAGACATGGGAGCAGATTCACTGGCTCATCTTGATAGCTGGACATGTGCTCGCTGACGATGCACAGGGCGAGACGCCCGAAATACCCAGCGAGATTGCGTCCAGCGGCGAACCAGAGGATCCGGCAGTGGCACTCATCATGCAACTCGGTATGCAGCTTCTTCAGCACCTGTCCGCCTTTGGCCCTGCCTCGGTAGAAGCCACCAGTCCGCAGGTCACCGAGACGCTCCTGTGGTTTACGGGCCGCTGGACGTCCTCGTACCTTCTCATTGACGAGCGATCCGGTTTCGCCACCAACGCCGCCATCCAGCGCGCCTTTGGCGACCAAGCCGGTCGACAGGTCCTCACGTTCCTCCTGCAGCGCCTCTCTGAGAACCTCCAGCTGTGGATGTCCGACTCGGACGTGCTCCAGCAGCTCGCCCAGGTCCTCTCGGCATTCACCCGCTCGAGCGGCATCATGATCCATCTCCTCCAGCTGCCCCAAATGGAGCAGCTCGTGTCCGGCATCGTGTCTGGTCTCGACCATCTGCCCGCCAACACGCACGGCGCGCTCATTGCCTCGGTCGTCAGCTGCATCTACTCTGGCGCCACCCACTCCGACGCTCCCACCGAACGATCCGCCGAGTTCTACTTCAAACAGATTACCGCCTCGATCGAAACGCGGTTCGGGACCCTACTCTCGCGCGCCGACTTTTCCTCGATCTCGCAGCGCTCCGATGTGATCTCGGCGGTGCAGACGTCGCTCGACATGCTCGAAGGGCTAGCTACATCCATTCAGCCCAACTCGGCCGAGATCGTGTACAACTTCATCGCCAAGTTTTTCCCTGCCTTTTCGCAGCTGGTCTCGGTGTACGATACGCGACCGGAGATGGGCGTGTCGGTTCTGCGTGTGCTGCACACGCTCGCACTGTCGTTGGAGCTCGACTTTGGCGCGGAACCGTTCGTCGTCATGGGTCTCAACACGGCTGTTTGGTCGCTGATGGAGGCCTTGCAGGGGTTAGGGAAGAAGAAGACGCATCTGCTGCTTGTGTCGGAATCGGGCTCGCCGTTGGACGACGACGTGCCGTACGAAGGGCTATGTTTGCTCGTGGAGCTGCTGGTGGAGCTCTCCGGGTCTGCACGGGCAGGCGTCGACGATGGCGGATCGGATCAGGAGCCGACGCTGCAACCTTCCAAATCGTCCGACGTGTGCTTGGTGGGGTTCGAACACGTACTCTCGCTGCTGAGCGCTGAACCGCTCAACGTGCCGAGGTTGAGGAAAGGCGTGGGGCGACTCACCTCATCCGTCTTCGCGCTGTTCAGCGGTCGCCTCATCCTTCTCTCCAGCACCAACCCGGCCTTGCTCAACAAAGCAGTAGAAGCGCTATCGTTGTGCATCCGAATGGACGACAACGAGACCGCGCAGCTGGGGCTCGAGTCCATTGTCGCACTGTGCAAGGTGGTCACCCATCACTTTACACCACCGCCGCCACAGCTGGTGGGGGCGCTCCATGGGGTGCTGGCAGCAGTGCTGCGACTCGTCTTGGCGGAACCGCTGGACAGTAGCCTGTTCTGGACATGCCTCTTCGCCCTGTCGAGCCTGATCAAAGTGTCGCGTGGAACGGAGCTGGGTCAGGCGCTCAGCAAGGCAGGCGAGGGCGTGGAGAACAGGCAAGCTTTCGACCAAGCAGCGAGGGAGCTCGTCGAGTCCGCGCTGAGCGACAGAGGTCAGAACGACGCCGACTGGATTCACGATAGCAAAATCAAGCTGCCCCGATGGAGAGGTCTGATTCGTATCCGGTAGAGCATCTCTCCATCACCAATCTGATAGACCCTTCACATCATCACTCGCGTCTTTCGCATGAGCAGCATTCTTATTGTAACATGATTTTGAGACATTTTGGTGCTTCTGTACAAACTTTCAACGGCCGGCACCGGCGCTCAGTAGCGACGCGGAGGCGGGCCGGCGTCATCGTACCTGGGACGGGGAGGGCCGTCGTACCTGGGACCACCGGCGCGCGGCGGGGGAGGGGGCAGGTCGTCGTACCTACCACCGCGCCCGCCAGGCGGAGACATATCACGGTACCCGCGGGGTGGGGGGTAGTCGCCAGGAGGGCCGCGTGGGGGGAAGTCGCCACGAGGAGGGTAGTCCATTCCAGGGCCGCCGCGGGGAGGGGGAGGCAGGTAGTCGCGGTCGCGAGGCGGGTAGTCGCGCATAGCGGGCGGGCCTCGACCGTAGCGGTCGTAGGGATCACCGCGCATGGGTGGAGGCGAGAAAGGGCGGCCACCGGGAGGAGGGCCGTAGCGGTCGTACGGGTCTCGGGGAGGGTAAGCGGGTGGGTAGCCACCGCCGCGAGGAGGAGGGCCGCCGTAGCGGTCGTCGCCATAGCCGCCGCGAGGGGGACCACGACCGTAGCCTCCACGACCACCGCCGTAGCCACCACCAGGAGGACCGCCCTCACGTCCCGCCTTGGGAGGTCCGTAGTAGCGACCAGGGGTGGGAGTGCGCGCTCGTCCACGACGGGCTTTTTCGACGGTAAGCTTGCGGCCGAGGAACTCGGTGCCGTGCATCGCAGTGATGGCCGCCTCGGCGTCCTCGGCCTTTTCGTAGGTGACGAACGCAAAGCCTCTTGGCTCGCGGCTGTGAGGGTCGTACATGACTTGGGCTTTCTGAATCTGTTGCGAGTGAAGAAGGGGCGATTGAAAGAAGAATAGGTGAGTCCATTGTCGATGAGGGGTGCTGAGGGCTCCATTGTCGATGAGGGGTGCTGAGGGCTAATATGTTCGAAAGGTCAGAAACATACTGCTCCATATTTGCCGAAAGCTTCCTCAAGGTCTCGGTCAGTGGCGCGGTTGCTCAGACCAGAGACGTGAAGGTTGTTACCGGGGTTGTTGTCACCACCGTCGCGGCGATCAGCACTGTCGAGCGCCAATCAATTTCACAAGAACGGGATGAAAGCGTAAGCAGGCGTGTCTTAGATGTGACTGCATGACAGGGGATGGTGACGTACCGTCCACGGTCATCCTCGCCGGTGCGCATGGGAGAGCGAGATCGCTCGCGCTCGCGGCGAGGAGGGGTCGCAGCGCCCCTAGGCGAGGGGCTTCGGCCGCCATTCCACTGGGCGTTGTCGGTCTCACGAGCGGCGTCGCGGGCGGCGTCGCCGTTCCATTGCTGAGCTGTTGGGTCGGAGGCGGCAGATAGTGTGGCGGAGGCGAGTCAGTCGTCAGGGTCGTAAGTAGCAGTGGTGAGTCGAGATGACGGTGTGAAGCGGGAAATGATTCGGAGGATGGTGGGAGGGGCGGCGGACGGGAAGCAGAGGATATCCCGTATCGCAACGAGGCGATGGAGAAGCGTCGGTCCATCCGAAGGGCCGCACGGTGCAAGCAGAACAGCACAAGGCAATGAGCCATGACGAAGAAGGTGAAAGCGTGGCAATGCCGAAAAGAGCAGCAGGCATCGATCACGTATCAGGCCGACGTCGAAGCGGAAGCTGAATCACGGTCATCATGTCTACGCCGCCAAGGGTGTCGCAGCAGTAAGGCAGTGCGGAATGACCGCGTTGCTTTGCGGGATCACCAAACATGCTGGAAACGTTAGAGCAAGGAGCGAAGTGGAGTGAGGACTGCCAGGCTGAGCAGTGCAGAGGCCAGTGTGACAAGTAGAGTGATCAAGACATGATGGAGAGGACTCTGTCACGCTGGATACGGAGAAGCCGAGGGTGATGGAACGCGGGCGGGAAACAGAGTGACTTTGTCGAAGCACGTACCATCGGTGTCGGCCATGTTGGGCTGTGATTGTAGGGTGGGTGAGTTGCGCCGAGACTGTGATGATCGGACGGAGGTTCCGAGTCTACTTGAGGCTGAGGTGGCTGTGATGATAGATCGGCCTGGACACTGAGCTGAAGTGATCAGTGAGGGGCTGAATGGTTGTGGTGATGCGGAAAGGAAATGTTCTCGTCCAGAGCGGGTGGAGTTTGCGCAGCGAGGAGAGCGCGATCTTCGGACAGCTCGAAAAAGTATGACCTGTTAGAGTAGAGATCGAAGGCGAAGCTCTCGTGAGCACGTCTCGCTGCGTTAAAGTGCGGAAGTCGATCACGCGTAGACAGCTCAGGAGCCCGTGCCACACAGCTTTGACTTCGCTGCCAAAAAGCTTCCAGCCGGTTCTGATCCGCAGTCTCAATAAAATGTTCGAAACAACGTGAAATCGATGGGCAAGTTGTGTATTGATTGACACTCTCTTTCCTCCGCTGTGGAGAAATCTTCTGAAACGCGACAAAATTGTTTAGCTGCTGCAGAGAGCAAGTCGGCTCAGCCTTGCATCTTGCCCTCCATCCATCATCTCCTTGACCTCACCTCGCTTGCCAATCGACGGATCTCGAACGGTTCCCTCACTGGCATCATTGTATCCGTCCATTCGCCGGCTGTGCACTCCTTGCATTACATCGAACACCCGACAACCCTACCCGACCGACTTCTAGTATCAACATCATGTCCGGACGAGGCTACGATCGAGGCTACGACGACCGTGACGACCGCGGACCTCGCGGCGGCGGAGGCCGCGGCGGTCGTGGTGGTGGACGAGACCGTGCTCCTCCCACCACGCTCTTCGTCGCCGGCTTCCCACCCAACATGCGCGCCAAGGACCTCGCCTACGAGTTCGAGCGCATGGGTCCCTTGATCCGCTGCGACATCCCCGCACTCAAATCTGCCACTGCTACCCCCTACGCCTTCATCGAGTACGAGGACCCGCGCGATGCCGATGCCGCTTTCCGCGAAATGCACGGGATGCGATTCGGCAGGAACGAGATCTCGATTCAGTTTGCCAAGAACGCTCCCTCGTCCAGCTGGAGGTTTGACGGTCCTTCGCGAGGCCCGCCTCCCCCGCCTGCGTACGGTGGTGGTCGTGGCGGTGGTCGCGAAGACCGTCCTCGTCCGGATATCCCGCCCCCGCCTCAGAGGCCCCAGCTGTCCAAGGAGGAAGAGGAGGAGGCCGACCGCGCAGCTGAGGAGCGTGCCCGCAAGCGTGCCGCCGCCCGCCGCGAGCGCTCTCCCGAGCCTCGCAGGGACGACGACGCCGACTACCCCGAAGAGCGAAGAGGTGGCGACTCGCGCCGCCGTGATGACGACGACGAGCGTCGCGAGAACGGTGACAGTGCGGCTGCCAACGGCAACGGCAACGGCGCCGAGGATGCGCAGCCCAAAGATGACGGCGCCAACGACGCTTCCGAAGCTGCTGCTGCTGCTGACGCCAAGGACGGCGAGGCCGACCCTGCGGCTGGCTGGGTAAGCAAGGACGAGTGAAGAGCTGCTCTCTCATCAAGTTCTGGAGACTAACGCAAGATCCCGCCCCTTCTCTGCTCTGCTTTCCGCACGACCTTGGAATCTCCAAACTTTGTTTTGACCCGCTTTCGTTGTTGCAGGCGTGAACTCGTTCAGACGACCTTAATCGCCTAGTTCAGCACGATCCTGCAGATACGTGCCATCCCATCGCCAAACTAGCGACCTCGATGGCTTTCTTCCTCCCCTCAAAATATGTCCATATCGTCCCAACCTGTGTAGTAGTATTTCAAAGCGTTCTAGAATCGTCTCGCTACGTTCGTCTGGAGTGCGCAGCTGTGTGATCGCTGTCTGCGTGGTCTCGTCCTTCTCCTCGCGTATGGCTGCCTCTTCGGCGGCCGAATGACCCGCTTCCCATCCTAACCCCTGACTTTGATTGAGTGCGGTCACAGCGATGATAGAAGTCGCGGATCACGGAACTCACCCGTCCAAAAAAAGTTCTCTCGAGAGAAAAAAAGGTCCCCACTTCACACGACACCTCCTCCTGTCCTCTACAGCATCCCACCACCCCAGATCTTGTCAAGCATGGTGGTGCCTTCCGAGACGCAGATCGTCGAGTCAACGCGGTCGCACCAGCCTATCGACCCGTCCGACCTTCCCCGCCTACTATCGACGCTAGAACTCGAGAATGACTGGTCGGAGCTCTCGCTCAAACGCTTCACCAGCATCCTCTCCAAGCACGCCCTCATCCCCGCACCTTCCGCCTCAACACCTTCCGCCTCTGACGCCACCCCTTCCGGAAGCACGCCGAAAAAGGGAGGAAAGAAGAAAAAACCCACCCCGGGCATCCCGAAATCGTACATCGACCCGCGCATATCCTTCCCTGCGGGAGTCAACGGGGTATACTTTGACAACGTCAAAGGCAAAGGACTTGTTTCCACCCGTTCCTTCTCCCCTGACACACTCGTATTCGACGAAGCCGCATACATTGCCACGCCACCACCGGAGGCGCTGGGGCAGGTAGAAAGCGGCGAGCTGTGCGGGGAGTGTTTTCTGCCCATTTCATCCGCACCCGTGGCGCTGGCGATCAAGAGTTGCACCCGATGCAAGTACAGGTTCTGCGGAACCAAGTGCTGGCGTGGGGCGATGAAGCATCATGCCCTGCTGTGCGTAGGGTCTAGTGAGGGGGCGAAAGAGCTGATGGCGCTGGTGAGGGAGGCCGAGTGGCAGAGTTTGCATTGTGTCGCTCGCTCCCTCGCCAGGCTCATCTCCACCCTTAACCCCCGCACAGCGTTGAAGCAGGATGAGGAGGAGGAGGAGAGCTTCGAAGAGGTGTACAGCAGACTGTCGTCGTTTGCTACCGTGTCGGAGTTGGAGCGTCGAACGCGCAATCCGGGGTGGGCGACCGAACGCACGTCGTTCGAACCGTTGCTCACCCGAGCGCACACCGCCCTACGTGCCGCACTCGACCCGTTTCACCCCTCACCCTCCTCCTCCCTGCCCAAGGCGGACATCATATCTTCAGCGCAGAAGGGCCTGCTCAAAGATCTTTTCGACTACCCCTCCGTGCTCAAGCAGATCGGACGGGCCAACATTAATATGGAGAAGTTCGGCGGGCTTTACTCGGTCCACTCGTTCCTAAACCACTCCTGCTCGCCCAACGTAGCGATCAAGCACGTCCCGCAGCGCGGCATAAGTGCCAGCATGCACATTGCCGCTGTCGCCCTTCGCCCCATCCCCGCCGGCGAAGAGTTGCTCATCAGCTACGTCGATCCGAGCACCACTCTGGGTCGACGCCAACTCCTCTTGTATCGGGACTACTGTTTTGGTCCCTGCACGTGCGATCGGTGCACAACTGAACTCGGACAGCTAGGTCTGACGTATGACCCCGCCAAGATGGGCGTCAAGGCTTTCCTCGATGCCGTGGCCAAAAAGACCGGCGAGACCGACGGCAAGGAGGTCAAAAAGGCGGATGCCAGTTTGGAGGAGGAACTTAGGGCCAGTTTGGGATTCTAATAGAACCCCTTCTGCTTGGTGCTTCATTCTGGCAATATCAAAAGTGACACTCATTAACAACACCAAGAGATGCGAAGCGACTGTGAACAGTCCGACAAGTGATGAAAGAGCTGCGAGTCAATCGAAGGAAAGAGCTCACACAAAGGAAGCATTCACAAGCGAAAGCGAAACGACAACTTTTCTCTTCGATTCGAACGTCAAAGAATACAAGCCAGCTCTACTCATGACCACCACTGACATGTCGACTGCCCGGCGAGGTGGAGGACAAGGCACTTCCGATCGCTCCCGGATGGAGCGAGTTGCTTCCCGGAGCGCCGAAGAGGTTCCTCGATCCACTGCCCGGAGCACCCAGATTGAACGGGTTTAGGTTGCCGTTGCCTGCGCCGTGCAGGTGGTTCTGGTGGAAAGCGTGTGCCTGTGCAGGTGCGCCTAGGCCAGCCGAGGCGGCGCCGCCGGGCTGTTCGAACGCGTAGCGAGCGCGGTTCCACGAGTTCGTATCGATGCGAGCCCACGGATCCGACGGTGCGCCGTTGGACATGCCCGAAGAACCAGCACCGAGACTGGGAGTACCGGTGGTCTGGTTCAGACCAAAGTTGGCCGACGCGAGACTCGACCCGATTGAGCCAGGTGCAGCAGATCCACCACTGAATCCGGGCGACAAAGGTCCAGGCGCGTTCTGACCTGCACCCGAGAACGAGCTCCAAGGTGAAGAAGCGCTCACACCAAAGCCTCCACCAACAGCGCCGGCACCGCTCATTCCACCGCCGCCAAAGAACGATCCAGCCCCACCACCGATGCTGCTTCCAGTGGCGCCACCGCCGATGGGAATGGTGTGGCTCACCCTGCGAGGCTTGGGGTCGATAATGTCGTCGTCACCTCCCAGAGCGGAACTGCCAAGGATGCCTTCAGGCAGTCGAGGGCTTGTGGCGCTCGATCCGCCCGCACTGTTGGCATGTCGGCCGTTGCCGATGGCGCCCGTGTGGTCCTCGTGCACGTGCTGCTGAATCGTGTCCATGGCCTTGGGTCGGCCTATGGGGCCAATCGGAGCCGGGGCAGCGCTTCGGTAGGCGGGCATGCGCTGCGAGAGCGACGAGCCGGGTCGGATGCCGGCAAACGACATGGGATCGGAATCCGCGAAAGAGGCGGTACGGCTGCGCATGGGATCGACAGCGTTGCCTCCTGCACTCATAGGAGAGAAGGGCGTCTGTGTCGGACTTTGCACGTTGCCGCCCAAGCCGCTGTGGGCGAGACCGTGCAGAACTGAAGCGTTGGTTTCCATGCCAGGCATAGTAGGCACCTTGCTGCCACCGATCGAGTTCATTCCTGGAGGTGCGTTCAGAGTGAGCGAAGCCAGGTTGTTCGTCATGCCACCGATGCCGGGAGGACCGCCAAGACTGGGCGACTGCAGGCTAGAGGTCAAAGCGCCGTTGCTGCTGAAGACACCGCCAGCCGGCATTCCGTTGGGAAGAGGGGGCGATCGAAGACCCTCGAGACCGGGCTGTTGGCCGTAGGAAGGCGGAACCGAATTGAAACCTGCCGGAATGGACTGCTTGTCTTGTGCCTGCGAAAACGGTTGAGAAGGCTTGGGCGAGATGCTGGAACCGGGTGCCTTCGAGGTGGCGATCGGCACATTGGCTGCTGGAGTCGGTGCGATCGAGCCGAATCCGAGAGAAGGCTGAACGGTCGAAGCGGAGCCACCGCCGACAACATTGACAGGAGGCCTGGGCAGGCCAGCATTGGCAGCGACTGACGCTGAAGAGCTCTGCGAAGAGGCACCAGAAGGCGTCAAGACGGCAGTGGTCGGGCGAGGAGGCAAGCCTTGGGGAGGAGCTGGCAGCGACGAACCCGCGACAGACGATGCAGCAGCAGCAACGCCGGAGGATGCGCCGGCCAGGCCTGGAGCAGCCTTCGAGCCGATGGTGGCCCTCTGGGAGCCACGAGCCTGAACCTGTTCCGATGCAACGGCGGGGGACCCAGGGATCGAGCCGGTCTTGGCACCACGAGCAGGCGTGCCCGGAGCAGACTTGTTGAGGCTGGACCTGGACCCGGTCGAGGGCGAGCTGGGAACAGCAGCAGGAGCACCAGACGACCCGCGAGCCTGCGAAGCGGCAGCAGCAGCTGCTGCCGCCTGCTTGGACTCGCGTTGAGCCTGGGCACGAGCCTCCTTCTCCTTCTTGGCAGCCTCGACCTTGCGTTCCTGCTCCTCCTTAGCCTTGAGCTCCTTCTCGGCCTTCTCGCGCTGAACACGTTGCTGCTCTTCTTTCGCCTTGCGTTGCGCCTCTTCACGGTCGCGCTTCGCCTTCTCCTGAGCCTCGCGTTCGAGTCGGGCCTTGTCCTCCTTCTCGCGGCGCTTGCGTTCCACTTCAAGCTGACGGTCACGCTCTTCGGCTTGACGTCGGCGACGCTCCTCCTCCTTCTTGGCCTTCTCGTCCTCTTTGGCCTTGCGCTCAGCTTCCCTCTTGAGACGGATCTCCTCCTGCTTCTTGAGCTCGGCATCGCGTTGAGCCTGCTGCTGTGCACGCAATTCGGCGTCCGCGGCAGCTTTCTCCTGATCCTTTCGCATCTGGGCTGCCTCCTTGGCTTCTCGCTGTGCCTTCTTCTTGTCCTTCTTCTTCTGCGACTCCTTGACGCGACGAGCCTCGCGGGCCTTTTCGTTGTCGTCTTCCTCTTCGAGCTCGCGGAGCAACTGTAGCTGACGTTCCTGAGCGACGCGCTCTCGGTAGGCGGCAAGCACGCGCTGCTCAAACATTCGCGCGGCAAAGATCTGGAACATCTTGCGGCCTTCCTCCATGCGCTGCTCTTCGGTGAGGATGTCGTCTTCCTCGTCATCCTCCTCTTCGTCCGCGTCGTCGTCGTCCTCAGGATCATCGGCGCCGTCGACGTCTTCCTCGTCTTCGCTGGCAGCGAGCTCGGCGTTGGTGAGCTCCTCGCGGTGCATCCTTCGCTCTGCAAGCTGTTCCATCATTTCGAGGAATTTGCGGCCGTCGTTCTTGAGCATGTCGTCGGCGACGGTAAGGATGCCGCCCTTGACGGTCAGACTGCTACCCAGGCCGAAGAGGTCGTTGGAATCGTTGGTGCCGCGGCGACGCGAAGAAGGAACAGGGTTGCGCTTGTCGTAGTCGTCGCGAGCTCGCTCCTTTTCGAGCTCAATGTCGTCGTCCTCCTCTTCGTCTTCGTATTCGGCATCGTCATCCTCGTCATCGTATTCGCCATCATCGTCGAGATCGTCGTCATCGTAGCCATCGGATGACTCGGGTTGCAGCGGTGCCTTGCGTCCGTGCGGCGGAGGAGGGTGCTGAGGGTGCCTGACATCGCGACCGCCGTGGGCTGCTCGGTTGCGAGACAAGGGGTCGCCGCCGATCACAGCGCCAGAGGCGTCGAGCGCGACACTGCCTGGGAACGGTCCTGGACCTGGCGGGGGAGGAATGGTCCCGCCGCTGCTGGCCCATCGCTGTTGATGGTTGGCATACTCTTCTAGCTCGTCGTAGTAGGCGTCGTAGAGGACCTCAAGCTCCTCTTCGATGGCGGAGCGCTTCCGACCGCAAACGGCACAGCTGCACAGGAACTTTTGCTGCTCCTTCATCTTTCTGAGGACGGTCTCCTTTTCGACTTGAACGAGCTTCTGCCTGTCCTTCATCGAAAGACCGAGCCAGAACTCCTTGATCCGTTCCCGCTCCTCCGCCGAGCTGGTGGACCAGATCTTGGCGCTGTTGGCCGCAGGATTGGCCACGGGTTGCTGACCGTGCGTCGAAGACGAAACAGAGCGCTTGCCCGAGTTGGAAGAAGGCGGAACACCATTTGCTGGCCTAGCTGGCGTCTTTCCAGTCGAGTTAAAGGTCATGGGCTGCTTGCCAGCCGCCCTCGAGCTAGGAGGCGGCGGGTTGGAGTTGCGAGCCACGGAAGAGACATTCGTGGAAGGAGGAGGGTGGCTGGGTACCGGCTTCGGAGGAGGTGGCACCTCGACCTCGATCTCGTGTGCCTCGTCGTCGCCGTGCCCGGCACCCGCCCCTGCTCCGCCTTTCTTCTTCTTCTTTTTCTTCTTGTTCTTGCTCGCCGATCGCAGTGCATCTGGGTGCGCGGCCATGCCGTTGGGGCCGTGTACGTGGTCGGTGCCATCCTGCATCCAGACGCGCTCGCGAGCACGAAGAAGGCCACCCTGCGCGTCCAGCACATCGTCGTCCTCGTCGAGTTCACCGTCGTCGTAGTACTGCGCATCGTCCACTCCGTCGTCGTCGAATCGGTCGATTTCGTCGTCAAAGTTGTCGTAGAGCACAACGGGAGGCGGCAGAGGCTCGACTGGAGGCTGCGTCGGAGGCGGGTTGGGACTGGACGAGTACTGAGCGTACGCACCGTTGGCGTTGGCAGCATGCACGTTGTTGACAGCGTTAGGATGAGGGTGGAGAGGCAATGCCTGGTCGGGTTGCAGAGCCAAGTCGGCAAAGATGGAGGCGTCGAAAGGGAGTGGTGGATAAGGGTGAGTGCCCGGTGGAAACTGCTGGAGGTGGCGTTGAGATGCGTGCGCTGCCTGTGCCAGCTGCTGAGCGACGGCGATCATGGCCTGCGTCGAGGCGTGTCGATTGGCTGGATCCTGAGCGTTCTCGTTAAGCGCCGCCTGCGCTGCTGGAGGGAATTGACCAAGAGGAAGGGCATTACGGATGAAGGTGCGCAGATGGGCTGGCAGCGATGTCCAATAGGCATCGTCGTCCGGTATACCTTGCGCATCGCCTTCGATCCTTCGGTACAACTCGCTTGCGGCCGCCAAGAGCTGGGCCTGGGCCCGTGCCCTCGCCGCCAGCGATGCAGGCGAACGTGGTCGCTGACCCAGGGCAGCAGCAGATTGCAGGTCGTACTCGTGGTCGTCGATAAAGTCGGCATCCCTGGCTTTGGACTTGGACTTTTTCTTCTTCTTTTTGGCGGAAGAGAGCGCGGCACTGTCTCCGTCGTGATTCGAGACGGGCGAAGCAGATCGAGGTGGCGTGGATGCGCCAGCCACGGGGGCTTTGCTTTGCGGCATGGTAGGTGGTGGTGTAGATTGAAGTGGCTGCGTTTGCTGCGCAGTGGCGGCCAGCTTGGGTGGAGGCACGGCTGCGCCGCGCGCTGCTGGCGTGGAGCGAGGCAGCTTCGACTTGGCCATTTTGACTCCTGAACAGACCTGTTGCGAGGTCAGCTAGGAAAGGCCGAGCCGTGGAACGTGATCAATAGGCGGCGTAAGGACTGTTGCGTCGGGTCGGAGCCGGCTGAGTTGCGTCGGATAGAGCGAGGCGTTCGACTAGCGTTGCGATGGTCCTGTCAGCAGAGCGATGGGAACAGCGCAGTTCAAGATGGAGGCGGCCACAGAGTTTTGGATGTCAGACAGATCGAGGCGTCATATACGAGGATGCAGACGCAAGCGCGGCACTCTCTCCTGCTGAGTCTTGAAGACGGATCCTCCGAGGGTGAATCGACCCAATTGAGACTGCGAGTCTGGATCACTGAATGCGAGTCGATTGCTGAACAGTCACTGAATACGAGCGGTACTCCAGCTGAAGCGAATTTGTTGATGCCAAGAGCACAGGTCGAATGCGATGCAGGCGTCGTCGGCGGCAAGAGGCGACAGAGTCAGCGCAAGTGTCAGGAAGAAGGAAAAGCCTTTCCTGAAACTGCAAATGATTCTGTGCCGCTTCGCCGGTGCCTGAAGGAACACGAACACGTCGAATGCAAGCTCTTGTACTGAAAGGATGCTGAATCTCGACAAACAGAGAGCTGTCGGTCGAGCTGGGTGAGGTTGTCGAGAGCAAAGGTGTGTCGAGAGCGAAATGGAAAAGGTGCCAATTGGATGATAGCGCCGGCGCCAACTTCTTGACTCAATTCGACTTTGGTGAGCGAGAGCGAGTGACTGACTGACTGGCTGGCTCGCTGAGCGAGCCACTCAGGCTGTGACTGACAGGGTCAGCAGCGCAGTCACACACACACGCCCTTCACGCCAAACCCTTCTTGGCCAGTGACCCGCTCACACCCTCACTTCGCTCACTCGCACGCTTGTTCTGGCTTCTGCTCACCTCTCTCTCAGCTCACTCTACGCAGGCCACTCAAAATTTGGCGCTGGCTCCCTGACTCTCTCGCACTCAAGCTTCACAAAGGGCAAAGAAAAAGACTGCGCTGCGCAGCCTGCCTTTCCAAAGCGAGCTTTGATCGGTGCCTTTTTGACTCTTCATTTTGGTTCTGGGTCGCTTGTATTGATTCGTGGCTGGACATTTGAATTTAGCCTCCAGGAAATGTATTTGAAGGTCCACTTTTGTCATTACGAATGGAGGCCGAGAATACAACTCGATCCTTCGCTTGGCTACAAGACCTCCTCCCCTTCATTAGAATTCTTGTCCTTTTGAATGATCCCTCGCGAAATACTAAAAAGGGTGCCTTCTGCGCGCACAGCTAGATGCGGCCTGCCTCCCTCTGCAGCGAAGCGAGAAGAAGAGGCTTGCGAGACAGCCATCCAGGGTCCTCCTTCTAGGCTAAGCGTTCCTGAACTGATCCCGCTTAGGGTCGAAGCCCTGTCAAGCTTGGCCAGACCTTGGTCGTCAGTCGTCGTTTGCGAGCTGACGTCGCTTCGGCCTCTCATCTCGGCGTCAAGTTGCCGATGTCCATCAAAGAAGCGCAAGGTCGCGATGCTATCCGACTTCATATGTGGCCATGGTGGGTCAAGCAGAGGCAGCCAAAACGCATGCTGTTTGTGCAGGTCGAGCGTCACTGTCCGTGCAAATCAACCCCTGACTCGCGCCACGGCTTGAAGTTGATTCGTGTTGCGCGAGACGGAGCGCCAGGTGAAGCCGATTGAGTGGGTCGCATCGCCCATTGTAGACACATGAAGTGATGGTCCGGCGAGATGCGTCCGGTGTGGTGAGGTGTATAAAGCTGCGCCTCTCTCTTTACTATCGACCCCCCGACACTGAGCTTTCCGCCATTTCTTCACTTCGAACATGCTCAAGCTGATCCCGCTGTACCTTCTCATCTTCTCGCTCTGCCTGTCTGGAATCGTTGGGCTGCCAGTCAGCCCACCACCTTCCTGGGCAACCAACGTCCAGAGCGACACACCCCACCCTTCGAAATGGTCAACGCTGGTTGACCATCCCATCGGCCTCCGTATCAGCGTTACAGGGTCGAATGGGCAGCCTCAGCTGCCACACATTCCGAGCGGGCCCTGGGGCGAGGCGCTGGACATGGTCAACGCCGTCGTGGACCGCATCAAGCTCTTCAAGCGCGGCTTCACCTCTCCCAGAGCAGGAGTCAACCATCTTCGACCCCAAACTTGGCAGCAATGGGTCAAAGATGCTTGGAGACGGGCAACCTTACGTGAGCTGAAGGTCACACGACAGCAGTACGAGGAGGTCAAGAACAAGTACAGACCGACGCGACGCTATCCGTCGTACGTCCATCCACAGACGAGCCTCAATTCTGCCCACCGCGCGCGAACAGCTCCTATGCAGGCAGCATACCGACAGACCGGCGGTCTCAACTCAGTCGCTTCTGTCGGATCAGCCGAAGGTCTAGCACAGACGCACTACGCTCGAAAAGCGAAGGACTCGTCTCTCTTCAGCAGTCTCAAATTCGACCTCAAGCTCGCCAAGCTCGTCAACAAAGCGAAGGGAGCGTACAGCAAGCTAGTGCGAGTGTTCTGATCCTTCACGTTGGGGAAGCAGCAATGTCGCCACATCTCGCCCTTTCGGCTTGGCAAGCCACAGTCTTTACTTCTTACTTGTCAAATATCACAGTCCTTACTCGTCGCTCCATCAACCATCACACGATATAGACACCTTCATCCGCGCGAGACTTGAGAAGACATCTTGCAGAGTACGTTTGCAAGACAGAGAGAGCGTATGTGACATGACGAGTCCATAAGATTGTCCACCTGGGTCATTTCAGTTCAGAGAGCAACCGATATCACCAGCGACACCATCATCGCTGCTGATATCGCATATAATCCTCTCGGCATCCTTCCCAGCCCACCGTTCGACTCCCTCAGCAAGAAATCGACGCCCATCGAGTTGCAATACGCATTACCAAACGCATCTGTCGCGATATACCTCTGATACCCACCCCAACGCATTCCATCCTTGCCTGCACCGCCATTCTCCGCTGCGCCGATGCCTTCCTCGTCGCTATCCGCAAACGTGCCATAATCGCGCTGGGCGGTGATATCCCACAACGGACAGGTCCACTGGATCAACGGTGGACAGGTGCGGCTGACAAAGTAGCACGTGTAGATGCACGGGAGCAACTCGCCATATAGGCCCGGTTGGAGTTGCTGATCGATGAACGGTTGGCGTGATGTCAGCGCACCGGTGCCGTTGCCATTGCGATTGACAATGTAGGGCAGAAGATCGGTGTTCAGGCCCGTGGGTGCGCCTGTGAGCTCTGTGCCGTCTTGGGTGGCGCGCGATTGCGTCGACGGATCATCGAGTGCGTCGGTGCACCGTGGCATGGCAACGGCACACAGCCAGTTTTGGTAGGAGCGCTTGCAGCTGTCACATGTTTGGACGTACGAGTACATGCCAAACTCGGAACTGCCGCACGGGAACGTGTCGATGGTCAGGCTGAAGTTGGAGTAGATTGGGTCGACGAACTCCTCGATCACGGAGAGCGCCCGGTCCGTCGAGATGGACGGATTGACGGGAATAGAGTAGGCCACATTCGGGCAAAAAGGCACATCAAAGACGAGTCGACAGTTTTCGCTTCGCTTGGTGACCATCTTGATGGCTGGGAAGAGAGTCGTGGAGACGCTCTGAGCTGAGCCTTGACCGGTGGTGTTGCTTTCGAAGAGCCAGACGGTATAGTTGGTGCCAGCATCTAGACCTGAGACTTCAAATTGCCGACGAACGTCATCAAGATTATTGGCTTCTGTCCCGCGCCGTGTGTCGCTGCTGTTGACGGTGACTTGCTGGTTGCCAGCGAGCACATCTGCGAACGCATCTGCGATGGCACAGAACGACGAATTGAAGTAGTCAGGATTGGCAAGCGAGTTGGCACCCGTGGTGGGCAGAACAATGACGTTGAGATTCGGCGGTGAAGACGTCGTGTAGTTGAAGGACGATATCAAGGCTCGAGTTTGGTCCGTGTCGTCGAGCCTCGGCCTGCGTGTGGAGTCAACATACTCCATCTTTGCCCGTGTGCTCGCTACGATCTGGAATTGATACGAGCCTGGTGTGACGTTGCGAGTGTCGGCTGGAGGCCACACACCAATCCATATTGTCTCAGAGCTGTTATCGCTCTGTTGCTGTACATCGATCTCGACGAATGTCGACCCGCCCGAGGCATAACCGATGTTTCTGGAACCCAGGACACTGGCATTGGCTGGTCCTGGCTGCTCGAACAGACCGTTGTCAGAGACGTAGAGCGATGCGAGCGTGCTATGCCGAGCGTCTGTTGCTGACTTGTCCAGTGTCTCGAGGACAGTGGAGTTGGACGTATTGTAGGGAGGTATCGCTGGTCCACTACATAATGACATTGACGTCCATACCGTCACCGATTTGATGTCTTCAGAGAATGCGCTCGCTGGGATTGTGAAGTTGAAGAAGGCGCCTTGAGTCGCATCGGAGACGATGCTAGACCGCGCGATGATTGAGTCGTTCAAGGCTACTGTTGCAGCAGTTGCGTTGTAGATGGTCGTCGCGCGCCCAGGGATGGCCGATCTGGTCGACGATGGTGTGGGGGGTATGCTGGCAGATCCCGTCGCGGTCGGTGGTGCTGACGATTGTTGTGCTGCTGTGAGAGGTATACAGACGAGTACGAGGAGTGCCAATAGCGACAATATAAGGAGGCGTGCTCGCTCTCCACCTCGAACAGTCATCGTGTCAGCTATGGGCTGCTATGCGCCGAGGGCAAGCTTTCGCAGCACCGAACGAAGGACCCCGCGCGAGGTGCTGTGTCCGTATCACTGCATGGGCCTCTAGTGTAGATTGGAGCTCAAGCTTCCTGTGCCCGCACAGGATGGATTCGTCGACGGTAGCAAAGCTGTGGGGTGAGTTAGGTGGTGCGGACAGACGACGAAGATGTGTGCAGCTTGGTCAAGAGCAGCTGCAGCTCCAAGACACCGAGATACCAAAATTCACACAGCCTTGACAGCCGCGATTTTGGCATCAAGACCCTGAATTCGCCTGTCAGCTTAACAGGGCTCCCTTTTTGGACCCGAATTTCTGTGAATCCTTAAATTCCCGACTTTGTGGAGGCTTTTCCGCTTCTTCGGATCAAGAAACGCTGATCCAAGCATGGAGCAGTCTGTCCTTCTCACCATACTCCAAGGACAAGCCATCAAGTGTTGCCGATCTGAGCCGTCGAAAGCGGTACTTGGGGGGCTTCATCGTCGCACAGCCAGATCATGAGCCGGTCCTCGCTCAGAGATGCTGCTGCGATAGCATCCACCCTCTGCCAAATAGCCAAGGGCGTGGTGGTCTCGCCCAACGGTGCGAGCAAGGCGGCTTCTCGAGGTCCTGCAAGACCATGGCCCACTCAAACGGCGCTCAAGGCGACAATCGACGACGCGCAGGATGTCGGAAGCAAGACCGAAGCGCATGCCTTCACAACGTCAGATCTGGGTCTCGGCGCAGCATCGACACAGAATGCCGTAGCTTCCTCAAGCAGGCCATGGCCTAGCCAGACCATCAAGGCCGCAACGACATCGTCGGCACCAGCGAAGCATGTGGCAGACAAGGTAGCTCCAGTCTATGTAGCTGCTGATGCGACACCGTCAGCGCCGTCAACTACGGTACCATTCGAACCGCCTCCGCCGATATCAAAAGCATCCGTGGCCCCCGCTCCCGAGACGAGCAAAGTCGACACCGCTCCTCAGCCGCCAATACAGCCTATCTCGCCAGCTCAACCCATATCATATACACCTATAGTAGAGGAAGTCGAGACAGCTGTCATTGCACCCGTCGAAGAAGCACCCTCAGCGACCACCTCTCCACCTCTTCCTCGGCATGACCCAGCCAGCTCAACAGCACCGGCACAGACTCCCGGCAGCATCGATCTGCTACCAATAGCAGACGATCCCTTACCCACAGCAGACACTCCATCGCCCCTTCCCGACATCGAAGAGTACGACGCAGTGGCCGAATCAAAGCATGTCCCGCTCCGAGCAGCAAAGGTTCCCTCTTCTCGCCTGGGCCGCTTCTTCCACTACGGCGGTCTGGGTGCCGGCCTGGCCTTTGGTGCAGCAGGCTCCTTTCTCCGCGGCTCCTCCTCTTCCTCTGAACAATCACTCTTCATGTCGGAACAAAACGTCGCTCGGCTCGTAGACAAGCTCTCCACCATGCGAGGAGCCGCCCTCAAACTCGGCCAATTCCTCTCGATCCAAGAGACCAAGCTGCTACCACCGCAGATCGAGCAGGTGCTGCTTCGCGTGCAGAACTCCGCGAATTACATGCCTGTTTGGCAGATGAACCAGGTGATGTCCGCCGAGCTGGGGGCCAACTGGCGGGAGCAGTTTTCGCAGTTCGAAGACGTTCCCTTTGCAAGTGCCTCGATTGGGCAGGTGCATTCTGCCGTATTGCGGGACGACTTCCCGGATGCGACGATGGCAGGTCAGAGAGTGGCGGTGAAGGTGCAATTCCCAGGAGTGTTGGAGTCGATCGATTCGGATCTATCCTACCTGCGTTGGCTGGTCTCTGCCTCCGCGTTGCTACCGAAGGGCCTGTTTCTGGAAAACACCCTCCGCGTGCTAGGGCGGGAGCTCAAGGACGAATGCGACTACACGCGCGAAGCTGAAATGGGTCGACGGTTCGGCGCCATCTTGCACGACTCTGCCGAATTCGAGGTGCCCAAGGTCGTCGACAGCCTGTGCTCGGGTAAAGTGCTGACGACCGAGATGATGCGCGGGCGTCCTCTCAGCCAAGCCTCGCGCTATCCGCAGGAGACACGCGACCGAATCGCACACTCCATCCTCAACCTGTCGCTATCCGAGCTGTTCCGCTTCCGACTCATGCAGACCGACCCGAACTGGTCCAACTTCCTCTACAACGAGCGAACCGCCAAGATTCAACTCATCGATTTCGGCGCAACACGCGAGTACTCGAAAACGTTCATGGACAATTGGCTGTCAATGCTGCAAGCAGCCATCGCGGGTGACTACGACAACTGCATCATCTGGTCCCGAAAAGTGGGCTATCTCACCGGCGACGAGAGCGAAGGGATGGAGCGGGCGCATGTGGAATCGATGATTGCGCTCGGCGAGCCTTTCAGACCCGACGCACCCGATCCGTACCCATTCGAGCACCAGACCATCACAGATCGCGTCAAGGCGCAGATCCCGCTCATGCTGCGCGAACGGCTCACGCCGCCACCCCAGGAAACGTACAGCTTGAATCGCAAGCTCAGCGGTGCCTTCTTGCTGTGTGCTCGGTTGAAGGCGCATGTGAGCTGCCGATCGTTGTTCGAAGCGATCGAGAAGGACTATCGCTTTGGACCCGAGGTTGCTGCGGATCCCGTGGCGGCTAGCTCGACAAGCGGTCCCTTCAGCTCACCGGGACAGCGGCGTCACTTCCATCTCGCTTTTCGAGCACAACGGCAGCACGGTCGCAACCTCCTCGACCGCTTCCCGCGCTCCAAACTCGTCCTGTCCGATCCTGGTCCGGCGAGCGGCTCGCCATCGATCGGGGATGCAGTCGAATCGCTCTCTCCCGACCCTTCCTTTTCCTCCTCGATCCAGCCGACGCCTGCGCACGCCGTCGAGTCCGACACCCAAATCGACGTGGTTCGCGCTGCTACACCAGCCGAGGTCTCACCCCCACCAACCTCGGCCTCTGCAGAGCAGCCGAGCATGGGCCCCACGCTCATCCGAGGCATCGTGATCCCACTCAAACCCCCTCCCCCAGGTCCCGAGGAATGCTGCATGTCCGGCTGCGCCCACTGTGCCTACGACATCTACGCTGAGGATCTGGAAGATTTTCACTCGCGTCTCTCCTCTGTTCGAACCCAACTGACGCAGCTCCACCCCCCAGTGTCGAAGGATGAATGGCGCACCGATCTGCTGGGCGATTACCCTATCGCAGGAGGGAACGCAGAGACGGACAAGGAGCGAAAAGAGAGGGCGCAGCAAGAGGTGGACCGCGTCATCGGCGATCTGGATCCCACCATGAAGGCCTTTTTGGAGATGGAACGCAAGCTCAAGAGGCAAGAGCGGGATAAGGCGCAGGTTCAGACCGCCTGATGTCTCTTCTTCATACTCATATTAGCCACCACACCATCTCGCTTTGATCTGTGTCTCGACCTTCTTTGCGTTGAAGATGAGGGAGAGCAAGCACAGGCGTATTTGTGCGCCGAAATGTTAGAGCTCGGATAATTTGAGGCCCGATTTAGGTCTCAGTCTTTGCATGCCTGATGATGTTGTTCGACATCTCGAGAAACGGACGGGCCACAAAGATTATTGGGCCAGTCTCGTGCTGACTCTTTCCACCGATTTCGCCTTGAGGTGTGACAAACTTTTAAAGCTGAAATTGCTCAGCCAAAAAAGGTTTTTTGCCTCCGCCGATCCACGGTCGATTATCGACCTTGCCCTTTTCACACCGAGAGCTCCACAACGCAGCGACGGCGCACAGGCACGAGCTGGGATGAGATTTCTAAGCCACACTCTGCCTATCTTCTCGCCGTTCATCATTTCTCTCATCGACCATCATCACTTGCCGCTCATCGCATACGAACTGCAATTAGCGCCATAGCATTCCAGCAATACGACGCATCGATCTATCTCGAGCCGCACACACGTCCTTCTTTCATCCTTGATCGCGCTCCCTCACGGCACCCACGTCCTGATATTGCGAGCAGATAGGATCGCATTCGGTTGGCCACTCTCGATCCACCTCTCACTACTGCTCATCCTTGCCCTCCAACTGGAGTTCAATACATCTTGACAATGGAAGGCATCAACGCAGACACCAAGCTCGAATCGCTCTCCGACGCACAGCGTCACGAGCTCGCCGAGAAGCTTCGGTCCGAATCCACCTCGAACCAACCCCTCATTTCCGCCGTCGAGCCGATCGAAGTGCTTCAGACCGAGTACGCCTCGAACGATGCCTTCCTGGGCAAGATCAAGTGGCTCAAGGACGAAGCGGGCTTCATCGGCATTCGTCGCGCCAAGGGCGACGGCGACTGCTTCTACCGCGCCTTTGCCTTTGCCTTCATCTACAAGATCATGACCATGAAAGACCGACCCATGCACCATTTCACGGTCAAGCACGTCGAGTCGACGCTCTCCATCCTCAAGCAGGCGGGGTACGACGAGGAGGTGTATACGGACTTCTACGAGCCACTGCGTAGTCTGTTGAACCGGATGTATTCGACGGACCCGGAGACGAAGGAGTTGAACGAGCACGCGCTCGTGGACGCCATGAACGATCCCGAACAGTCCAACTCCATCGTCGTCTACCTGCGTTTGCTGACCAGCGCGTTCCTCAAGATCAACGCGGACGAGTACACACCTTTCCTCTTCAGCCTGGATAATGGGAGCGATGCGTCGCCGCCGGACATGCAGAGCTTCTGCGCCAATCAAGTCGAGGCGATCGGCAAAGAGGCGGATCATGTTCAGATCACCGCTCTTTCCCGAGCCCTCAAGGTCTCGCTCGACGTAGCCTACCTCAGCCCGCAACATGCGCCACCCGAGACGCCGTTGGATGAGGACTTCCCCGCCGAACAGATTTCGAAATCCGAGAGCGAGTCGATAGCCGTCCCCGGCGAGGCGGCCGAGGCGCGTCGTGCAGCGGAGGAGCACCCCGATAGATGCGACGTGGTGCGCTTCGAGGTCGAGGGAGGTCAAATCACCGAGATCGGTACCATGTTGTTGCGTCCCGGCCATTACGATTTGCTGGTCGAGGCGCCGGTACCTGCCTCGCCTGAGCCCGAGATTCCGGCTCTACCATCCACATAATCTTTGTCGACTATAGCATTTGAATAGCAGAAAGCAGTTAGCGAGGCCGGTCTCCGTTCCGGGGCGTGCGGTTGTTAAGAGGCGAGCGAGGGTGAGAGCTTGTTGGGACTGAGTCGATCGCAGAGGGCAAGCCGGCGTCGGTCGTCTGCCTGCTAACACGCTTGTAGGCTCGGCGCTGTTGGTGGAGGCGCATAGGCGTTCGTCTGTGTGCGACGTCAGATTCGGCCCTCGCACGCATGTACGAGGAGAAGAATGACCGATTCGAGGCCAGGAAGCGTGACTTGTCGCCCATCGCGAAAGCAAATTCCTACCTCCTGTCACGCTCGATCTGTTCCTCAGACTCCTCTAGGATTGCAGACTCACCATCACAAACCGGACACACTGAGCAGTCACATGTACGCAAAACCCATTACAATTATCGGACCACGTATATAAGCCCATTATCTTTTCCGTATCAACCCTGACCACCAGGTCCGCCGCTGCTCAAATTCCAGGTGCTCTGGGGTTGCCAGAAGCTGGTATGCTCGAAAGCGGTCATGTAGTTCCACATCCTTTCCAACGACTCGGGGTCGTCGACGACGTCGGGCATGGTTGCTGCGGCGGCTACGGCGGCTGCTGCGCTGACGTCTTCCGTTGTGTCTGCGTCGGCGAGGAGTGGGTTGACGAGGAGGTTGGTGTCAGCTGCGCCCGTGGAAGAGTGGGTGGAGGTGGGTCGAACGATGCTCTCCGCAACGACTGACCAGGTGGCGTCGGTTGTAGGGACGACGCCGGCTGGTGTCAGTAAGCCAGCGGTGGTGACCGGCATGGTGGTGCCGTTGACAGGTAGCTGTGTGAGCAGCTTCTCCATACTGCTCTGCGCTTCGAGGTTGCTGTCGGCAGCCGCCAGTTGCGACGCAGCCGCAGAGATGTCGAGGTCCATGTCAGAGCCGGGAGCGACAAGGAGCGGAACGCTCGATAGCGCGTCGCCAGCAGCAGCAACCTCCTCCGTCTTCAAGACGGGAGTCTTGCTCGCTTCTCCGGTGGCCGAACCAGATGCGTCTTTCAAAGCACCAGACGCGCCACCTTCTCCCTGAGTCGAAGCGCCTTCAGCCGCCACGTTTGACGTCTCGCCATGACCATCGTCCGACGAGTTCTCGGCGACGCCACCAGCGCCAGCTGGCACGGCCACAACGATGGCGGAGGGCGGCGTCGCAGCCGCAGAGCGACTGTCACCGGGCGCAAGGCTGCTCGTCGTGATCGAAGACGCAGCCTGTTCGCTATCCTTGCCCGGTGTTTGCGCCGCTGCTGCCTGAGCACTCTGCGCGGCAGCCGCAATCGCCGGGTTCTCGGGCTCGAAAGCAGCCAACACCGACTTGAGGTATCGGCCATATGGCGTCGCCGATCCATTTCGGTGGCGCGGCGTCTTGCCTGCATTGGTCATGCGCGTGGCGAGTCGACGAACGAGCGCAAGCAGCGTCTCCTTGTCGGCAAACGCGTATTTGTGCTGCATGTTGGTCATGCGCACCGCCGACACGGCAGCATAGACCGCCATGACCACTCGATCGTTGGACCAAGTCACCAAGGCCTCCTCGGTGAAATCGTTGAGCATCGTGTCGATGAGCGAAATGGCAGATGTCCAGCAGTCTACGGACACGGACGATCCGGACAGGAAGCCTTCGTACTGCTCCGTGGCGCCGAGCACGAGCGAGTTGATGAGCAGTCGCGAGTGGTAGTAGAACAGCTTCGCTGTTGGTGCCCATCGAACCAGGTACTTGCCAGCGGAAGCACTCGTGTCCACCTCCTTGATCTTGTCCTCCGTGTTGATGCACCAAGTCTCTTTCCATTTCTCGAGATCCGCATTGGCGTTCTTGCGGAAGAATTCGAGACCCGCGAGACGGCGATCAAACATGCTTTGTCCTCCAACGCCGAGCGCGGTGGCGGTCTGCGTCTCGTCGAAGCGGTCCGGACTGGTCAGATACGTGTCGAACGCTTCAGTGTGCTGAGCCGTGATGCGACGCAACTTGATCAAGCTGACCAGCGAGACGTCCTCGGGTAACGCAAAGTCCTGTCGGTGCCACATGGAGCTCTGCACGATCATGCGATCCTCGGAGATGGTCCAGGGCCGACCCGTCTGTGCACTCAGCGTTCGATCGTAGAGGAAGAGATTGAACCACAGCCTCTCTCGGTTTCGAACGCGGCGCGCCACTTGCTCGTTGCCCAGCAAGTTCTCGCTCGGTGTGACTTTGCGGTTGACACCCACCTCGGTGGCAGTGCGAATGGCGAAGCCGAGGTACTGCCACGAGCGATCGTCCACAAGCCTGTTGGTGGGTCGGCTATACGTGGTCAAGATGAGGAAAGCTTGACTGATCTCGACACTCTTGTACCCGCCGAGCAGGATCATGGGAAGCAGCTTCTCCTGATAGTGCTTGTCCAATGTCGAGGCGAGCTTGGCATCTTCCGGCGTGTCTGAGAAGCGTGCAGCCATGGCCGAGATGACGGTGGTGAGGAAAGCCGAACGCATCCTGACAAACGCAACACTGTGCAAGAAGGGATCGAAGAGGTCCAGCACCGGGTTGATGCGCGCGAAGAAGATGTCAAAAAGCCTTTCGAGCTCCTTGAGTTCGACGAGACCGAGCTCGACGGGATCGAGGCCTTCCGTGTCGTCGTTCTTGCTGTGAAAGAGACTTAAGTTGAAGTAGCCCTTGCGAGAGGCCCCCGCTTCTCCTTCGCCGCCCGAAAGCACGCCGCTGGACTCCTTGAGCTTCGACACGGTGGCGATGGTGACTTGCTTGCTCTTGGTGGGGTCAACAATGCCATCCTCGTCGGCACCTTCGCCGTTTTCCGCGTCGGTGTCCCACTCGGCAAGCCTTCTTCTGCGCGTTGGGAAGCCGCCACCGCGAGTAGCTCGAGAGCGACCTCGCTTTCGCTTGCCCAACATGGCCGTGGTCACCTCATCGGCCGGTGACTCGATGATCTCACCCGGAGATGCACCGTTGATGCCCGAGACAGGCCCTGGCTTCTGACCGTTGTTGGCGCCGGCGGAGGCACTGCTGCCCGTGGTCGCAGCATCGATGCTAGCTCCGCCGGGACTGGAGCCGAAGCCTCGACGCGCTTGTGCTTTGCCTTCGCGATACTCCCAAGCTTCGTGATCTAACGTCGACGGAGTGAGAATGTTGGGACGGCCGAGCGGTATGCCGGAGCCAGCTTTTGTGGGCGCGCTTGGACCACTGGTCGCGGCACCGCTTGCAGCCGCGACGCTGGTGTCCGACTCATCCATGGCGTTGGAAGCCTCGACCCTGGGGAGTTCGCCGTCGGGGAAGGACTTGGAGCGCATGTTGTCCTTGAGGAAGGCAGGCGGACCGCGATTGGACGCTTCCGCGCTGCTCCCTTCAGTGGCTCCTCCGGCGCGGGTCGCGTTCAAGATGGGAGGCAGCATACGGCCGGAGGGCCAGCCACGCTGACTGCGAGCAAAATCGTCCTCCCTGCGCCCGTACAGCGGACGACCGAGACCGGTGAGATTGACGGCGGCACTGACAGCCATGCGGTTCGAGGGCAGAGTGGGGTGCAGCAGACCCATTGTCTCGACAGCAGCCAACGAGCTGCGATTGCCGGTCTCGACCCTGCCGCCGACAATGCGAGCGGCAGCGGCATCTGAGGCTTGTGCAAGCAACTTGAGCGGATTCGAGAGCACATAGTCGTGCTCTTCGCGGGTCGCATCCGCATCGTCCTCGAGCTCATCCTGCTCCTCCTCGTATTCTTCGTCTGGGTCCTGCTCGAATGCTCGGCCTCGACTAGAGGATCGATGCTGCTGGGGAGCTATGCCTTCGCGACGCTGCCCTTGCCCTTTGGACGAGCTGCGCTGGCCGTGTGAAGGTGCGTGCTTCTGCGAGCTTGAAGCGTCCTTGTTATTGGCGTACTGAGACGACTTTTGCTGCGACTGCTGACCCTGCAAGGCGGAGGAGTCTGTGCGTCTGGAAGGCGAGACGTCCGGCCTGGCTTTGTTGTTCCACTCCGATCCGAGCTGGCTGTCCCAGTGTGCATAGCTGTGACTGGGAGCTGGCGCATTGTGAGGATAGGGGCGGTTGCGGTTGTGAGCGAAGTTGTCGTGCGGTTTGGCCGAAGGCGCGCCCGAGTGGGAGCTGTGGGGAGAAGATGCTGCTTGCGTCGGCGCATGGTCTCGCCATCTTCCAGGACTAGCATGATCAGAGCCGTGTCGAGGTTGCTGCTGATACGAGGATGATTGTTGCTGCTGCTGTTGGTGTTGGTGCTGATGCGAGTATTGGTGCTGATGGTGGTGGTGCTGCTGCTGATGCGATGACGAATGCAGCGATTGCTGATGGTGATGAGGCTGTGCGTAGGGATAAGACGTGCCTGTCTGAGCAAGACCGGAAGGAGCCGAAATGGAAGAGGGCAAGCCTCCGTTCTGGTATTTGTCCTTCGCACCGTGGAAGCGTTCTTCTGGATAGTGAGGCTGCTGCGGCGGACCTCGACCTTGAGCGGATGGTCCGAACGTGCTGCTTGGCTTCCAATTCGTATCGTTGAAGTGATGTCGATTCGACACATTGTCGCCCGACGCAAAACCGGAGTCATGCTTGAAATGGCCGTGCTCGGGAGTGCCGCGACCGTTGTGTGAGCTCTGCTGCTGCTGCTGCTGCTGCTGCTGCTGCTGCTGCTGCTGCTGCTTGTGCTGATGGTCGGATCTGCCTTCGGATGAGTTTGGGCGGTGGGAAGACCCGTACTCGTTCGGGTCGCTTCCGTTTCGTCCTGCTACCCGTAGGTCGGAAGGCACCGAGAAGCGCTTGTTCGGCTTTCGACCGCGTTTGTGCTTTTCAAAGAGGCATTCGCGCTGATGTTTGACACAGCGTTTGCACGGGACCTGCCCGTCGGTGGGGGCAGAGCATTTGATCTTGGCCGAACGGCATTCGAGACAGGCAATCTTTGCGCCCTGCTTCGTATCGGCACCTCCAGGACCGTCAACGAGCACGCGAGGCTTATCGTCTTGGTCAAAGTCCGGCGAGGGCGACCTTGGTGATTCAGAATCGGCCATGGTGATCGGACGGAGAGCTGCTTACAGGTAGGTAAGGCTTTGCTTGCGGATGGAGGCGGGCAGACGGTGACGAAGTAGTGGATCTGCACTTGTGAAGACGGTCTGGTAGTATGCCGGCGACCTGTTGCGTGCAGACGGTGCAGAGGGAAGGACAGAGCTAGAAGGGCGTCCGATTGGCTCTTCGGCAGGGCCGCCGAGGTGCGCAGCGGTGGTGTGACCGTCGTCGGCTGGCGTGAGAACGAGGCGGGTAGCAGCGTGAGAAATGTGTGCGGCTGGAGGCGAGGTGAAGAGTTGCTGCGCAGAAACGATGCTCGTCACGGTGATTGCCGTGAATGAGGCCAAGGGATGAAGTCGATGGTGAGTCAACCGGGTCAGATCGGCCAATGTTGCAGCCAATGGGGCAGCCCGGGCTTGATTTGTCCTAGCCTACACCCACAGGGCCGGTTTGAGCTGCAGATGAGAGATTGCGCTTCACTCTCGCCTCGACTTCTTCATTGGCAGTCGGAGATAAGCAATACTGGTTCAGCGGCGTGCGGCCATATGCGCAGACGAGGGCTGTGGTTGTCAGGTCCGAAGATGAAGTGGGCGCGCCTGACTCCACAATGACAGGCGATCGAGTCTGCTGTGAGTGTCCTGCCTTTCGTGCAAGAGTGGAAGATGTCTGGTCGGCGGCTGCGCCCGACGTTTGGGTAGACGGTTAGAACGAGCGTGTCTGATGGGCTCGTCGGAAGAGAAAGGATGAGTGTAGGAAGCGTGTAGAGCAAGCAAGCACAGATGGGTGAGTGGTAGCGAGGGTGCAGAGAGTAGGAGCAGGAGGAGGGAGAAGGCGTCAAGGCCAGGGACAAACTCAAACGGCGGATTGCACGCTCGAAGATCGTCCGTCCGTCGGTCGCTAGGTTGGTCGCCTGTCCAAAGCCCTAAGCCAAGAGGAAGGCAACTTGGCGGCGACAAACCGGTGAAAGAGGCCGCCTGCTTCTGTCTTAGCTCAATCGGCAGCGGAGATGCAGCACCCGCGTCGCCTTGCACACGCGAATTGGCCAGAAGGCAGGCAGGCAGGCAGCAGGGCAGCGAGGCGGCGACCTTTCAAGCCAATCTTTAGCCAGGCAGGCCGGGGTATTTCGTCTCGACCCGAAAATAGTCACACAGAACGCCAACTAGCGGGCCCCGCTCCGCTCGCGCTCACGAGCCAGCCTAGAAAATCCACGAAAAAGCGGGTTCTTTCTCGGTCAACTCAGCTGCTGTGCCCGAAAATGGCCTGAGGAAGGACCGCTTTTTGACGCCGTAAGCGTGTACCACGGCTGCTGTCTGCAGAGGCCCTGTCAAAAGGGCGTCGCAACTTACGCGAGACCAAGCGGGCGACGGCGTGCTTGAGACCTTCCTCGTGCGCCGTTCTCTTCTCGCCTTGGACGAATTCGGAGACGCTTCGGTGGTTCCTTGGTCTTGGTCGTGTCAACAAGCAGCACCTCGCCTCTTCGGTCTCAGGAACCGGGATCGATCATCTCCGACCTGAGGCGTGAGGAAGAGGCAAGACCAAGGCGGCACACCGAGAATTCCGCCGTGGTAAAATCATGTGTGAAATCGGATGCGTGGGATGGGCGTGCGACACACGTCAAAAATCTTGCTGTTGTTGCGTTTCCCTTCCCACCGTCAAGCGCGAGGCGTGCTTCCCTCTTCACTCTGCACTCCTGATCTGGCCGAACTGTATCCGGCCTGAGCCTGTCGGCTTGTAACAACATGAGTGGTGTTGGCAATCAATGGCTTCGGCGTGGCATCGACAACACGAAGTCATACGGTTCCCGCAAGGAAAGCTAGGCCGCCAGTGCCATCACTGGCACGCAATCATGGACGTCCACCGAGCATACACAGTCAACAGGACGGAGTCTTCATAATTTTGATGACGAAAAGTCGATCTATACAGTACACGCATCCTTGCTGGGCAGGCGACTGACCGCAAGAATGGCAAAAGAGCGAGGCAGCGCGACGTTCTTAGAAGTGGATGGCCTTGGAATACGAAGCCATGGCAGCCTCCTTGAAGGCCTCCGAGAGAGTAGGGTGGGCGTGGCAGGTTCGTGCAATGTCTTCTGCCGAAGCCTGGTACTCGATGGCGAGCACAGCGGAAGCAATCATCTCACCGGCGTTGGGGCCGATGATGTGAACACCGAGCACCTTGTCGGTCTCCTTCTCGACGAGGAACTTGACGGTACCATCCGAGTCGGCGTTGGTCTTGGCACGCGAGTTGGCGAGGAAGGGGAACTTGCCCACCTTGTACTCGACACCCTCCTTCTTGAGCTCCTCCTCGTTCTTGCCCACCCAAGCCACCTCGGGGTGCGTGTAGACGACCGCAGGAATGGCGGCGTAGTTGACGTGGCCGTGACCAGCCTTGATGATCTCGACCGCAGCGATGCCCTCCTCCTCGGCCTTGTGTGCCAGCATGGGACCGAAGGTGGCGTCGCCGATGCACTTGACACCCTTGCAGGTGGTGTTGTACTGGTCGTCGACAATGATGCGTCCGCGGTCGTCCTTCTCGATTCCGACGGCCTCAAGGTTCAGGCCGCTGGTGACGGGTCGTCGGCCGATGGAGACGAGCACAACGTCGGCATCGAGCTGCGTCTTCTCGCCGCTCTTGGCGTCCTCGACGTTGAGGTAGACCTTGCCGTCCTTCTTCTCGGCGTCAATGACCTTGGTGCCAAGACGGAACTTGAGGCCCTGCTTCTCGAGCGTCTTCTTGAAGCTCTTTGCGATCTCGGCGTCGATACCGGCACCACCGACCGAAGTGAGGAACTCGACGACCTCGACGTTGGCACCCAGTCGGCTCCAGACACTGCCCATCTCGAGACCGATGACACCCGCACCGATGACGATCATCTTCTCGGGCACCTTCTGGAGCTCGAGAGCACCGGTGGAAGAGACAATCTGCTTCTCGTCGATCTCGATGCCAGGGAAAGGAGTAACCTCGGAACCGGTGGCGATGATGATGTTCTTGGCCTCGACCTCAGTCTCACCGCCATCGTTGAGAGCGACCTTGACGGTGGTGGGGCTGCTGAAGCTACCGGCACCCTTGAGGTAGTCGACCTTGTTCTTCTTGAAGAGGCCCTCGATACCCTTGGTGAGACCGGTGACAGCGTTGGACTTGGCCTTGAGCATGGTCTCGAGGTTGAGCGAGATGGAGCCGACGTCGATACCGCGGTTCTTGAAGTCGTGCTGAGCCTGGTGGTAGAGGTGCGAGTTGTTGAGCATGGCCTTGGAGGGGATGCAGCCGACGTTGAGGCAGGTGCCACCGAGCGAGCCGCGCTTCTCGACACAGGCGGTCTTGAGACCAAGCTGAGCGGCCTTGATGGCAGCGACGTAGCCACCGGGGCCACCGCCGATCACGACGACATCGTAAGGCTCAGCACTGGTGGCGAGACCACGGGTTTGAACGCGGGGCAATGCCGAGACGACGCGAGGCAGGGTGGAAGCCTGGAAAGCCCTGGCCGGGGCGGTGACCGACGTTCGTGACAAGAGACCGGAGATCATTGTGTGTGATGTAGGTTCGTCGGATGGATGAGATCTCCAAGTGATGAGCAGGTCACGAAGGAGAGGGGATCGATGATGGAAGGAAGAGCAGAACTGGCAACAGCGTCGGTCAATTAAGAGCACGCACACTCAACTCGAGCTCGACCCAACGCTCGGGTGGCACGGTCAGACCGAAGCTGCTTCGCTGCTCATCGTTGGTTTGGAATTTTTGACTGAGCCCGATGCTTAGAAATTTGTCCGTGTACGCGCTAAGTTGCGGTCTTATGTTAATCGATTTTCTTCGGACAGCCTCGCGTGTTGGAAAATCAAGGGTGCAGTCGTAGCGCAGGAAGAGAAGAAAAATAAGGCAGCAGAGCGCCATGTCGAGCAAACCCTTACCCATCCCAACAGTTTCGTGCTTGCTCTCCGCTTCTTTCCGTGTAATGTTCGACCAAGAAGGAGAGAACGGGCCGTAGAATCCGAATCCGAACAAAGGCGCTGCTGAGCTGTGTGGTAAGCGGTCCATCCTCCTTCTTCACACGGAGATATCCGACCTGGTTTCCTCTTGGCTTGCCTTCAGGGTCTGCTTTCGGCTCTTGCTAGACCCTTCCACCGTTCCTTCGCCATCTTCAGGATCGCCGATGTGGCACGCCTCAACGAGTCACCCGATCCCCTCTGACAGGAATTGAGTCTGTCGCTTGAGCTTGACCGAGCCGCGGCGATGCACGTCAAACACCAAGAAAAGCTCCACATTTTTGGAATCAGCGTCACCTCATGCATGCATGCACAAGGGGGAGCCCTGCTTTCACCATCGTGAGCCCCGTCCTCTATCATCTTGACCGCGTCTATACTGCCAGATGTCAAGCACTTCGAGACCTCAACGGCCCCTCGGTACCAGACAACGTTGATGCAACACAGCCAACATCCGGACAGATAGGGTCTTCTTCTTCCAAACCTAGGCTATAAACGCTGCTTTGCCGGTTGCCGACGCTGGGCCGGTTCGACCACCCTTCGCTATCTACTCGAGTCAGTTCGTAGTCGTCGAAGATTAACGGACTTGCTCCTCTTCTTGGATACCTTACGATGACCGGTACATGCTGAGCTCCTGCAAGACGAGGGCGAGATACGCCATTCGAACGCAGTGCAAGCGGCCACCATGGATCGAGGCTGGCTCAACGAGCAGCAGCAGCCGACTGCTTCAAACTCTTCACGCACTGTCATCGAGCAGCTGCCACACGAGATCCTACTCGACATCTTTGCCCATCTCGATGCCGCCTCCTTAGCTCGACTCGCTGCTACAAGCTCGCGCATCCGCCTCATCGCCCTGCAGGACATCCTTTGGAGACCCTTTATCTTGCATGCCATCCACTCCATCAGTCCGCCGGTAAGCGGGCCCAGCATCCATCCTCTGGAATCGTCTCTCCCTCTGTGGCATCCCGACTTTGGCTTGCAGGCCGACGTCATCCATCCTCCAGCCTGGCCTACCGCAGACGAGTATCTCCAGCAATCGTCATCGGACCAGGCAGCTCAACTCGAAGCAGAACTTAGCCTCTTCCAAGACGCTCCGTCCTTGTACCAAGTCTATGTCTTATTCGTTCGCAAAGTAGAGCCGCTTTTGGGCTGGTGGGCCTCGGATGTTCCCTTCTACGGCATGGTCGTACGCATAGTGCTCGACCTCCACTACAGTCAAGATCCTGATGACCCATCGTCAGCCCCCGCCGCATCCACATCTCGCAGTCCAGCACCCACGCAGAGCTCCCCGGATGGAGGCAAGCGATCTTCGCCAGCCGTCGTCTGTCAGCGCGTCTATCCTATCAACCGTCTCCAAGGCCTCGATAGCGACATGGGCCGATGGTCCGAGGTGACAGGCTTCCCCATGCCGAGCAACTCGGCTGTCATCGGTCAAGGCACCATTCTACGTCGCAGCTTGACCCAGATTCGCACCGACTTGTGCGAGCCTGGCATTCGAACCGAGAATCTTTGGCACTATAGCTGGGACGACGCACGGCATGGTACTCCTGTGCCGAGTGAGATTGCCTCGGTTTCGTCGAGGTCGATGGTCCCCAATGGAGGCTCCTTACCTAAAGGAGACAACGACGTGCGAGCGCAAATATCGAGTCAATCTTGGCTCCGAAGCCTCGACCCTCAGGATGGCCCAGCAAGGCCCCTGAGACTTCGGCGCGGAGGGATCCCTGTTGAAGAGGGAGACGACGAGGACCTGGACGATTTGGAAGACGAAGCTGAAGAGATCGACCGCGTCCTACGCAGGGCAGCCGAAGCGCCTGCCTTCTTCAACTTTGGCTTTGATCTCGAGGAAGACGATCCCGCTCAAAATCAGTTGCGGCAGCTCATGGTCGGGCCTCACAGACATGCGGTCGGCAACATCCATCACACTATCTATCCTCTTTCGGGTGCCGTCACGACCCGGTCCAATGATGCTGACGAGGATGGCGGTGTGCAGGTGTCACCCCACGCGTGGCAGCCGTATCTCCATGCGAACGAGCGCAATGCTGGCTTCTCGCAACACACTTCCATCATGATGCCGTCCCCGCCTGTCATCTTTCCGCCGCCTGCATTGCTTCCTGCCATCCGCCTTCCGCCTTGGAGTCGGCTCGACAAGGTGCAAATCGGCATGTCCAACATCTGGGAAGCCATGTCAGCCGAACGCAGGTGGCTGATTGAAGGCGAGAGACTGACTGTAGATTCCCTCTTGATGACGCCGCCGCCTCCCTATCGACCATGGCCCATTCAAGCTCATACGCTCGAGTCTGAACCGCGCTTCTTTCCCATTCGGAATCCGAGGCGCTTATCAGCACTGCGCATGCCCTCTCTCGTGCAGCAGAGCTTGCCTTTAGAGACAGCCGTTCCTGCCTCCCTTTCCTCGTTCGCTGCAGAGGCCGGAGGAGCATCGACAAGCAGGGCTCCGGCAGATCCCATCCTCTATCGCCACACCGCACCGCCGCCTCAGCACGATCCCGCTCACGTCGAATTCGATTGGGACGCCGTCGAAGGGTTGTACAGCATGACGTACGGTCCACACGGTATTGAGTTGCTGTACATTCGAGCGCGGGAGCTTACCTCGCTCGACTTTGCTCCCGACGATCGACTGCCAGCGTGGCCTGCCGAGCCTCTCCTATCGAGCGATGACATGTACGAGCAAACGCGCATCAGTCGGCGCAGTGCAGCGAGGATTGGCGCCAGAGTGTTGGAAGCGGTCAAAGTGCTGGGCGATCCGAACATTCCTCGCGGGCAGATCACCTGGCGTGCCTTCATCGACGATCCAGGCAGAAGCGCCGTGCCGTGGCGACCACCTCCCGACGGCTTTCGCAGACATACGCCATGGCCACTCCGTCCACCGCACGCGATCAGCAGCCAAGACGAGAGATCGCCCGGCTTGGTCTTGCCCGCACACGGTCGTGTCGCCGGCGAAGGATTCGTGGGTCCAGGTTGGGCCACAGCGCTGGCGTGCATTTCGTCGATCGACGAGATCCAGATCTGGTGGCAGCCCATGTACAAGATCTCAATCGCAAAGAAGCTCACCGGAGTTTGAGCTGGTCAGTTGACCCCCCGTGGGATCATACTTCAAGTGGCCCACCTTTCTTGTCACGAGGAAAACGCTTAACGAGCCGGGACCGCTTCGCTGCGGTTTTCTGCCACCATCGTCAGTGAGGCAAAAGGAATGCTTGGCCTCATTATCCCAGGAATGCAATGAAGTTCTTGTCAGCTACACCGTGATGCCCAGCGAAGCTTCTGGGCATCATTAAAGGCAGCCTCCAGTGACGATGCTCAAGGTATCGTGCTCGAATAGCGTAAGGTCACGAATTTTGGCTCAGCCAAGTGTGGAATCGACGCGTCAAAAGGGTCCTGGCTGAGCAACGCACGCGTCGACGGAGGCTGGTGTGTGTCACTTTTTGGTCCAAGCGAGAGACTGCATGGAGCTCGATTACAGTAGATGCGCATGTCAGATGGCCCGTCACCACCACCACCACCACCACCATCATCACCTCCTTCCTATCGCATCAGTCTCGCCGACTATACGCTTCAAACACACAGGAAGCGGGGTAGGCTCAACCCCGGCAGTCATTCTCCCCCAGGTCATGCAAGTGATTTTGACCCTGTGACTTCGCTCAGCAATTCCGCATCGACTGAGCCAACACTACCTCCGCCCACCCGCCGCTTTGGCCTCTTTAGAGCAAGGATGTCGACCTCCGCTGCGGGATCTAGGAGGACCCGCGCGTCGATCGCGGCACCTTCCTACGCATCCTCATCCGCTTCCGTCGCGCGCAGCAACGCTCGCGACTCCTCGAGGCGGCGCTCCACAGCCAGCGTATCGCGTTCCCGTGGCCGCGACTTTTCCGATCTCGACTCGGACACCTCAAGACCGCGTCGATCTGTGAGGCCATCCCTCGAGGAAGAGCTCGACGATGCGATCATCGAAGAGGACATAGACGAAGAAGCCGAGGATGAGCTCCTCGTTCTTGAGCAGGTCACTCCGCGTCCCAATCGTCGCATCCACTACGAGGACGTCGACCTCGATACAACACAGACAGCACTCGACCGCTACCGCTCGCGCGAACAACAGGGTAAGAGGGTTGCAAGAGCCTCGGTCGCAGGACCTCTTCCCAGCAACAGCGCAGCCAGTCGAACGAGCAACTCGGCCATCTCGCGAGGATCCGTACGGTCCAGACAGAGCGCGCCTCTTGCTCGCACTTCCCATTCGGAGTTATCAGGCTCTCGAAGCATGTACACAGCGCCCAGCGAACACGCAGGCCCTTCCACATCTCGTCGCGGTCGCCGCACAATCAATGACGATGTTTCGGCCGACACGACCATGGCACGACCAGGACAGCGACTGCGTCCTCCCGCCAACCCGGACGGGCGTCTGGACGTTCCCACCATCGAAGAGCGGTGCGCTGCGCTGATCATCAATGCAAAGGGCGTCCTACACTTTTACATGAGCCTTTACAGCCGAGGCTGGCGATCCGAGTCGTTCGACGATATGCTTCGTAACTGGACGCCTTTCGAATCGTACAAAATCAACCAGCTGCTGGCGGAGGCTCAGTACATGCATCATTTCGTCGATATCGAAGAAGTCCTTGGCTCGTTGCGCGCAGCAGGGCAACCGCGTCCCGACGGGTTCGAGGAAGCCATGAAGATGGCCAACTGTGCCACCTTTGTCCACTACATCCATCAGCTCCCTACCGATCCGGCGGCGTACGGTCGACGCAGCGGCCAGGACATCACCAGTCGGGACGTCTTGGAGGCCCCCTTGCGCAATATCAGCGAACTTAGCGATGCAAGGCGCATCTTCCTCCGATGGATTCTGCCATTCGATCAGGAGCTCACCGACCAGATCCTCAACATGCTGCTCGACATGAGCATTCAGATCTACATCAATCGTCTCGACCGTATCATCGCTGCTGTCCGCACGGGGGAGATGGCGGAGGACATGGCCCAATCGACCATCTCCGATCACCTCGTCGACCTCATGAGCGGTGATGTGGTTCGTCACTCCTTGCAACGGGTCAAGAGGCAGCGGCGAATGTCTCGAGCCGAGATCGAGAGGATGGTGCAGCGCTACGAAACGTTCGCCAATGTGCGCCAGATCGAGTTGCAGTCGATGGAGTATGACGTGGACGCCATGCGCGAGGCTTTCTCATTCCAGAGCATGTCCGCCGACCTCACGGGCTACGTGCGAGATGTGGTGCGGGAGGTCGATGCCGAGATGCACTCGACCACGCTGCCGCTCATCATCGACCGACTTGCTCGCGAGTCGAGCGTGTTCAGTGCGTCCGATGTTCCCGACGTCGTTCCTGGCTCGAGCTCCGTCATTGATAGCGGCATCCGTGACTCGTCCAGCGTCATTGCAGGCCCGAGCCAGTCTACGCCGAAAGCAGTCCACCGCGCCGCACAGCCTTCGCAGCCATTTGCCTCGCAGTATGCCAACTGGCTGGACGATATGCTGGAAGACGACGAGACGCAAGCGAACACGCAACGCAGCCGACCTAGGCAGCCCGTCCAGAACGACAACGTCTATGTGGACTTGACGGACACGCAGAAGGTGCGCGAACTTGAAGACATGCTGGAGACTTCGACGGACGGCGGATTTTCAGCTGTCTCCGACAGTGTTGATCTCGACGTGGCTTCTAGCCCACCACGATCAAACCAACTCGGGGCTCGTCTCTCGGCGGCGCTCAACAGCTCGGGGCGCAACCCAGCGGCGGATCAGCGGCAGCTTGCCGAGCCGACGGCCGCCTCGGACAGCAGCGATGCAGCTGGCGTTGGCGCTGCGCCGACCCGCATCCCTGACGTGCCTCTAGACTCGCCAAGCAAGGAGAAAGCAGGCAGACTCGGCTTTGACAGCCAAAACCGCCTCGTGCGACTGATCTCGGACGCCATCAACAAGAATCAGCGCCTGCTCGATGGATCAGCAGCCGCAGTGCGAGAGTCACGATTCGACTCGCAAGGCGAAGAGGAAGAGGATGTGTTCTTGGAGCAGGCTTCCCGCAAGCGCGGCAGACCGAAGGGCAAAGGAAAGGCGAAGGCTCGTCAAGCGGACGTCGAGGCTGCAGCGCAGGCGAAGCCGAGACCGCGACGCAACCTTCGATCCAACGCTGCGCAGCCACCTGCGACCACTGCGGAGGACGAAGCCGCTCGCAATGAGGAAGACGAGAGCGATGACAGCGAGCCCGAGACTGCTCGGAGGACGGGATCGCGTAGTTCGACGAGGCAGTTGCGGCTCAAGCAGGAGTCTTTGAGTCCATCCAAACGGCAGGCTCAGCAACACGCAGCCGAGGTTGCCGAGACCGAGCAGCAGCAGGTCGCTGCGACCACCACAGCTTCAGATGCACGAGTGCAGGAAGCGACTACGACCCGATCGACCCGTTCACGAGCTGTGAGAGGTCAGAACGGCAATGGAGGCGCTACCGGTCTTGGACGTGGCCTGCCAGATGGGATGGATGCCGAGGCGAAAGCACGGATCCTCTCGACGGCATCCGGACGTCTGCGCGAAGAAGGCGCGGGAAGCGACTACGATCAGGACGAGAGCTACGCTACGGCTCAGGGCGCCGGCAGGAACAGGCTTGAAGGCGTCAACCAAGAGCTCGCAGCAGCGCGTGCCACGCCGGACGACAACTTTATCGGCGACGACGACGAAGCCATCCTCGATCGCCGAGCCGCCTTGGACGCTGCGATTGCAGCAAAGAAGCCTCGAGCAGGGGTGCTGCACTTTGCCCACCCTACCGCTGATGACGATGCGGTGCCCCTCGACGGGTTGGACGACGAGCCGCCTGCCGTTGACGGCGAGAACCCCGATGCGATTGCTATGCGGGACGGCAATGCGGTCGCCGAGATCCTGCGCTCGAGCAACACTGTTCCCACACGTCGCACTGGGCCCTATCGCCCAGAAAACTCGCGCAACCGTCCACAGCCTGAAGAAGCCGATCCCGTCACCATCGACCCACCCGAATCGGAAGTCGACGAACTGGAAGACGAGACGTCTGCGGCGGAACCGGGCACCTCGGCGCGTCGTCGTCGGCGCAACGCGCACACCGCCCCCCTCGGCCAGGCTGTCCGCGTCGAACCGTACAAGCGCTCGAACCTGTACATTACGGGCCACAACATGACGGGTCGTTCGCGCTGGACCGACGCCGAGACCACCTGCCTCCTCGAAGCGCTGCACGAGCTAGCCCGGTACAAAAAGGTGTCGCCCAGATTCAAGGTGTACCACGAGATTTTGCGGAAGCACGGGGTGAACGGGACGGAATCGAGGTTGCTGGCGAGGTGGAACAACGTGCAGTTGAAGGATAAGAGTCGGAATGAGTTGATGCGGATGAAGCGGGAGGGGAGGAGGATTCCGTATTGGAAGAGACTGTTGCATCCGAATGTGTGGAAGGCGCCGCCGGCGGTGGTGAGGGGGAGAAGGGACGAGACGGAGGATGTGCCGGATGTGGGGGAGGAGGTGCCGGGAGAGGAGGAGGGGGGTGATGTGGACGATCCGATTGTTCAGGTGGACGAAGAGGAGGGGCGAGGAAACGGTGTCGAGGTGATCATCGAGGGTTGAATATCACGTCCGCTATGCCCATCATCTCAACGGTACCAGATGTTGTTCCTTACAATCCAAGCCATCATACCCAGTGCTAGGTTCTTCTTACGGCTTGCGTGATTTGTAAAAGCGGTGTGTGGGGATGTTAGAATACAAGATAGATGCTTCGTATGACCAAGGGGATGGGTCTTTCCTCGTCTCATCTACTTCTTAGCACGACGTTGTCTGGCCTTGAGCACGCGCTCTCTGTTCTTCTGAGCAGCGGCGGCCTCCTTATCGCCAATGGGGGAGCTTGCCTCGTAGGCGGCCTTGTCATCGAGGATCTCCTTGAGGGCGTCGGACCTGCTTCCTGCCGCAACGGCTCCCTTTGCGCTCGTGGCACTGACGACGGGCTTGACGGCCCTCTGCGTCGCCGAGGAGTCCGACATCTGATCCTTGGCCGCGCGCAATTTGTCCATGAACGTCTTTGGTTCGTTTGCATACGGATTCTTGGGATGCTGGATTCGCTTTGGGAATCTAGCCCATTGTCTCACGATCGGAATTTGCAGCACGGCCAGCTGCAGCAGCGAATACAAGTTGGTCGTTGCCCAATAGACCAACACTCCCGAGGGGAAGGTGGTGGAAAACCAGCCGATCAGGGGCATAGCACCACGGAAGACGTACTTGATCATAGTGCTCTGGTTCGGATCCGACTGGTTGTTGGTGCCCACCTTGAAGCCTAATTCGGCGACGGCAAAGGTGGCGAGCGTCGAAACGGCTGGCAAGATCCACGTGGGATCCGGTTGAGTCAAATCCATGGTCCACCACGGTCCGCCGTGGGCAAACGTCTCGCTCCCTGACTTGGCGATGCGTTCCAAGGCGAGGAAGAACGAGAACATCAAGGGGAACTGCACGAGAATCGGGATGATCGAGCCGAGGGGGTTGGCGTTGTTCTCGCGCAACAGACGTTGGGTGGCCTGCACGGCTTGTTGGAGGTTCGCCTGGTCTCCTGCGGCCTTGTAGTGCTTCACGTCGTCCATGTGACGTTTCATCTCGGGTTGGATGTTGCCCAGACGGATGGCGTTTTTCTGACCGGCGACGTTGATGGGCGAGATGAGAAGTCGAAGCGCCAGGGTGGTGACGACGATGGTGCCCCACCAAGGGAGCCCGGTGTGGGTGCCGACGAACTCGAGCAGGTTGGTGATCCAGCCGGGAGGGGTGACCCAGTGGTTGAGACCCAGCTCGGACAGTTCACCTGCCTTGATACCTGCTGCTGAGCCGAATGTTTCGGTGAGGGTGGCGGTGGCTGTGGGATCAACGTTGCTGAATGTTTGGGTAAGGTCCGAGGTGAGGGAGGATGCTTTGGTTTGAAGAGTCGAGACGGCGTCGTTTGCGGATTGCTGCGTTGACTGCAAGGAGTCGGAGACCGAGGAGCCGGCATCGCGAAGATGTGTCTCGGTGGACTGCTTCAGCTCGCTAACGGCTTCAACGGCCTCGTCCTTTTTGGACTCGAGCTGAGAGGAGACCGTCGATGCATCGGTACTGGATTTGTTGGAAGAGCCCCAGAACGAGAGACTTCGATGTGCGATGCTCGACGAGAAAGGCTTGCCAGCGAGCAGAGCTGGTGTGATGGCCTTGCCGAAAGCCGTCGGAACAAAGACGGGGCTGACCCTTGCTATCCTCGGAGACGCCGAAGCAGCTGCTGAGAAGCCCCGCGACGTGGAGGCAGTACGGGTCGAGGGAAGAGTGGCCTGAACCAACAGCGACGCGCTGCGTAGGCGAACCCGCTGAGCGAGCGAGACGGCACCTCCGACCATGATGACTCGTTGTTGACTACTGAGGCGTGTGATGTGGACGGAAGCAAGCCGAACCTGCATCGGATGAAGCGAGACCCTCATCATCACTCGAATGAGAAGATCTCGTCAAAAAAGGGAAGGACTGCGCTTAGGTAAGCCGTCCACAATGGCTCTGACACCTTTGATATTTCTCCAAGCACCGCTCAATGACGCACGCACAGACAGCCACAGATCCAATTTTGAAACACACAGGCCGGATCGACGCGGCTGAGCCTTTTGTTTGCCCTGTCAAGATCAGCTTTGACCCTTGACCATCCCATACACTCTCTCTCATCTACGCTCCCTCTTCCGCATCATCACCTCAGGCATTGCTAGACTGCTATCGCTTTCCGCAGTCATATACCCAGCATTTCTCGTCGAGACCTGCCCACTCCACCCTTGCGTCGAAGCAAGCCACCTTTCTTTCTGCAATCTCGAATCACTGCCTTCGACTGGCTGCGTCACCGAGCTCGACCCCGCGAGCCCAATCACAGTGGTCACAGTCGCTTCAGCAAGCATGTGCACGCACAGATGAATTCAACACGTATGCGGCTCTTGCTTCGATAGGTCTCCGACGCCCAACGCAGACTCTTGCCAAACAATCGTCTTCACCTCCCTTCGCCGCAGCCGATCGTCATCATGACCACCCGCAGCACCAGGAGCAACCGAAGCGGCTACGCTCGCGAAGTCATGACCGACGGCGATGTCTACGTCTTCCTTCTCCAGGTCGCCTATCATGCACACCTCTCGCAGGCCCGCAGGGAAGCAAAGGCGAAAGCCAAGGAGACGCTCGCATTGTCTCCGAATCCAACAGGCTCTCTGTCCGCCGCTACCTCTGCGTCGGCAAAGAAAGCTTCGGAAAGCTCCAAAAGTGATAGCTGGATGGGGTTCGCCGGGCTTGGAGACATGATCCGTGATGTCGGCGGGTCCTCCAAATCAGCGCGCTTCCCAGAGAAGCTCATAAAGCGTCTCAACGATCGTCTGGAGCTTATAGCCATGGGGCGGGACACCAACTACAAGGATCAGAGCTTGCGGCAGACCATCGGCATCTTCTACGGCACTTTCAAGGAAGCCTCGTTCCAGAAGCAGATGAAGGAGAATCGCAAGATCGAAGAGCTCATCCTCATCTTCGTCACCACGGCCCAGGGCAGTCTCAAGAAGAGATCGGCAGGCGACGAATGGAAGCAGGAGCTCAACAACCAGGTCGGCCACTTTGTCAACATCATCCGCGAGTGTCTCAAGACGGTCAGCAGCGTACCGAGAGAACTCACGGAGCGTCTTGAAAGCTATTCGTCCAAGCTGGCGCCCTCGGCATCCTCAGCCTCGGTGTCCTCACCAGCAGCGGTCTCGTCAGGCTCCAATGGATACGCAGCAGCGAAGGACTACATGAGCGCATCAGCTAGTGCCAGTCGTCGAACCAGCTCCGCAAGTACGGTCCCAACTTTGTCGAATCCTCTCGCAGATTCGACCATGGTCCGTACTGTTGGCGCCCTCTTCTCGGTCGAGCTCAGCCAGCTCAGCCAGGATATCGAGTTCGTGAAAAAGACATGCACAGAGCAAGCCGCTATGACCGACCTAAAACGATGCGTCAAGAACATCAACCTACAACAGCCTTGGCCAGGGCGGAAGGAGGACTTTGCATCGGAAGAAGCATATCAGCAGTGGAGGACGCAGGAGCTCTCGTCGTTGTCGCAGATCATGATGGAGATGTGCCAGAACAACCCAGAGCTTCTCAAGAGCACTTCGAAGGATGTGCCAGGTCTCTCCCCCACGCGACCCTCCGCTTCTCGTCCCGAGTCGTATGCCGGCGCAAGCGCAAGCGGAACACCCAGCACCGAGAACGCTTCCGACACAGCAACGCCAGACGCCGAATTTGCAGGTCTCTCGGTCGACTCTGCGGATGACGACGTCTTTGCCAACTTTGTCTATATTCCACCAGATCCGCGCGCATACTACCACCGGGCGCTCGAGATCTGCATCGACTACGACCTCGAAATGATCAAGCACCAGCCGGAGGAGGAAGAGGTCTCGCTCAGCATTCTTTCCAAGAGCCACGTCGCGCTGCTCGCCGATTGCGCCGAACGCTGGCGACTGGCAGCACCTTTCGTCAGCGTGTCGCACCTGGACGTCATCAAGGCCAAGTACGACAACGGAGAGGTGCCGCTCGATTGCGTGTCCGAGTCGCTTGGCTCCGTGACGCGCACCCTGTCCGAAGTCGATTTTGCCTACTGGATGCAGGAGGAGCAGGCGAAGCTCGTTAAGCTGTACACTTCGCTGTTCGAGTCATTTCTTCGATACCTCTACGAGACGTTTCAGGACATTCACAATGTCGAGACGGACGACATCCAACCCTATCTGGCCATGGTTCAGGATCTTCATGCCACTGGCTTCGTACGGCAAGACAAGCGGCTCGAAGCGGAAGCCATCGCGCTCGAGTCGCATGTTGAGGAGCTCAAAGACGCGATACGGATCATGGCCATCCATGAGTACACGTCCAAGACCACCGAACTCTTCTCCGAGGTGGTGACCAACGAAGTCGTGCCGCTCGTGCAACTGCTCGACTGGCTCGAGAAGGGGGCTAAGCGGCTGGACAAACGGTATCCAGAACCCATCTTGGGCTCGGTCGACGCGGTCTCGTTGCTCCTAGAGAAGCAGGTGCCACTGTTCCTCGACGACCTCGACTCGATGAAGCAGCAAGTGGTCGACCACGCCACGCGCGAAACCGACCCGCTCGCATTCGAAGACATCTTCACCCTCTACAATCGCGTCAAAGCGCTGCTGCGCATGTATAAGGCCTTCTGCCCCGACAGCGCTGCCGCCACCTTCAGCCTCACCGACTGGTTCGAGCCGCACATCCGGCACTGGCTCATGAACTCGGAAAAGAAGACCGCAGAGTGGGTGCACAACGCCATTGTCAACGACACCTTTACGCCCATCGACAGCGAAGGTGCGGTGCACAGCAGCAGCATCGACGACCTCTTTGGCGCCCTTCAGCAACCGGTCGATTTTGTGCTCGGACTCAAGTGGCCCGACGCCTACCAGAATGCTCGCTTCCTCACCACGCTCAGCAAGATCGTCAGCCGCGCGGTCGAGCAGTACTGCAGCCGCGTCGAGGAGATGTTTATGGAAGAGATGTTCCCGCGCACGGCTGAGGACCAGGACATGGCGCAGAAGCAGTCCGCCTGGATGGTCAAGGCCAAGCAGACGCTCTCTGGCGAGAAAAAGGTGGAGCCGTTCCATTTCCAGTCCACCTCGTGCGTGCGACTCAACAACATCGAGGCGGCCCGCGTGCTGTTGGACAAGCTCTACCAGAAGATCGACGCGGACAAGCAGGCGGAGATCGTCAAGCGACACGCACCGGAGGTACCGGACAAGCGGGCCATTGGACGCTTCATTTTCAGCATCAAGATCGTGCTCGGCGAGAACCTACAGCCTGTGCGCGACTCGGGGGTAAACCGGATCGACTCGTTTGTTACCCTCAGCGACGAGAGGGGGCAGAAGATCGCCAAGACCCGCACGATCTACGAGACCTCGGCGCCGAGGTGGGACGAGGTGTTTGACGTGCACGTCGAGCAGCCCATGTGGCTCGCCGCGACCGTGTGGGATCGCAAGCTGATCGGGGATCACAACCTGTGCGGACGCGCCTACCTGCGTCTGGATCCGAGATACTTTGGTGACTTTGTGTCGCACGAGCTGTGGATGGATCTCGACACGCAGGGGCGGCTGCTGTGCCGCGTTAGCATGGAGGGCGAGCGCGACGACATTCTCTACCATTTCGGTCGAGGCTTCCGCTCGCTCAAACGAGCCGAGAGCGATATGGTTCGGATCATTGTCGACAAGATGTCCGTGTTCATCCGTCAGTGTCTGTCGCGCTCGTTGCTCAAAACGCTGGTCAAAACGAGCGGGATCAACCTCGACAAGGCGATTGGCAACGTCAAGGCTCTCTACGCCTCGGCGCTGGCCAGTACGAGCGCCAACACGTCCATGATCCCCCCCGTCGAGAGCGAGGCCAAACCCAAGAACCGGCCCGTCCAGCTTACGGACCACGAGATCGAGTCGGCCATCATCCCGCTCTTCGACTACCTCGACGAGTGTCTTGCGACCCTCAAGGGAAGTCTCTCGGAGCACGAAGCGCTGTTGGTACTCACCAAGGTCTGGAAGGAGGTTCTCAACATTATCGAGTCGATCCTCGTCCCACCTCTCTCGGATTCACCCTCCAGCATGTCCCAACTCTCCGACAAGGAAGTGGATATCGTCTTCAAATGGCTTTCGTTCCTCAAGAACTACTTTCACGCCTACGACACCGAAACCAACATCACGCACGGTGTCCCGCTCGATGTCCTGCAAGGCCCGAAATACCGCGAGATCCTCTCCTACCTGCTGCTACACGATCAATCGACGGACGAACTGATGATCGAATGTGTGCGCGGGATGCAGCTCAAGATGCGTCGGTCGGGCACCCAACGCGGGGCGAAGAACAAGAGCGTCTTGAACCAGCGTTCGTTGGGGACGATCAAGAAGAGGAAGCAGGAGAAGAAGGAGGAGGATGGCGAGGCGACGGCGAATGGGAGTTTGGATATGGCGATGAAGCTGTTGCGGATGCGACCGGGGACGGGGGATTTTTTGCAGCAGCAGATGGCGACAATGCACATGATGCAGAGTGCGGCGGTGGGGGCGAGTCCTGCGAGGGGTTCGGTTGCGGGAAGCGGAGGTGGAGGAGGCGGGTCGGCAGGCAACGGAGGAGGAGGTGGGGGGAGACAGACGATGGAGATGCGACTCAATGCGGCGGCCAAGCGCGAGAGTCGATTGCCACCCATGCCGACGGCGTCGCAGGGGTTGCAAGGTCCAGCGCACATTGGAGCGCCAAAACAGCAGCAGGGATACCAGTTGAGGGATGATCCCATGCCGACACACGCACCCTCCGGGCCTCGTTCGCCAGGCGGACCATCGCTCGCGGGAGACCGAACCTCGATGGCGGTCTACGGAGATCAGCCAGACACGCCGACGCGGAGAAGCTCGAGACAGCTCCCTCGCACAGGGACCAAGGGTCCCAGATCCCAGGGCGGGGGCGATTCTGTGTACAGTCGGATATCGAGGCAATTGTGAGACTGACTCCTCTCTTTCGAAGTCACTTGCTCTACTTTGACTGTGGTGCGCTGGAATACATCGTCTACCGAACCTGAGGCTGGGATGAGTTTGATGGCTTGATGAGCAAGTGCGGAGAACGGAACTCGGACCCCTCCACCCGCCACCTTTTTTTGGTAAAGACCCTGAATCACGTCCATTCTTCCCCTTCATCCACCCCAACCTCGCGCTCTACCAGCAGCGACAACGATGGCGAAAGTCCACTCGCTCATCGCCTCGGCCACGCGGAAGGGCGAGAAGAAGCGCAAGCACCCATCTTCCGTCTCTTCACCGCCGACAATCGGTCAGGACGAGACGAGGTTGCAGTTGGATGACATACTTTCCTCCCTCCCCGGGTCGACGAAGAAGCACACCGCAATCGAGCATGACAGCACAGGGAGGGAGGAGAAGAAAGCCAAGAAAGCGGTTGAAGGCAGCGCAAAGGGAGGGGAGGTGAGCGCGCTTGATCTGCTTCTTGGCACGGGCGGCGCGGTTTCCAAGAAGGAGGTGGCGAAGAAGGGTGGGATGAACGAGCTGGGCGAAACTTCGACATCAAGCAGCAGCAGCGGCATGCCGAAGGTGGCGAGCAGTATCACCGACACAAAGAAGCGCAAGACCCAGCCCGACGCTCACAGACGCACCACCCTTCCATCAAACGCTTCCTCCTCAACCAAGCCCATGCGCTCAGCTGATGCAACTTCCATCTCCACCCCAGCCGTCGGCACCTCCTCCGCTACACCACTTGGCACCCCCGCATCCCCATCTTCAAGCCACATTCGACCCCCCATCGAAGCTGCTCACACCCTGAAAGCGCTCAAACAGCCCCTCCGGCTGCTCATCAGCACACTGCAAACGCTCGAATCGGAGCAGACGCTCGTCGATCGGATGTGGTACAAGAATCGGGCGCAGTTCCGGTCTGCCTTGTGGTGGGTCGGTTACGATGGGGTGCGGAGGTCGCTTCGACGGCTGCTTCCTTCCAGTTCTGGTGCGGAATCGGGGAGTAGGGGGGGAGATGGGGAGGGGAGGGGGGGAAAGGGCGTGCTGCGGGGGTTGGTGCGGGTCTACGCGGGCCTGGGAGGGGTCGATGTTCAGGGTGGGCAGGGATGGGTGACGATTCCGAAGTTCGATACGCGCCCCACAGCAGACAGTATACACGCCTACCTCAGCACGAACGAGGACGACGTTCGTCAGGCACTCTACCAGCTCGCAATGCTCGAACGCCTGCTTCACGTGGTGCGAGTCAGAGCAGAGACAGCAGGAAGCGTGATGGTCACGCATCTCAACACGCCACCCGCCCCAACGTTTGCTCCGGTGGTGACGGGACTCTTGGCGTTGGTGGCCGGCGTGCATGCCGAGGTGGAGAGGTGTGTCGCGCCGGGTGGGGCCACAGGGGAGATTGGGAGGGTCTTGCGCGGGTTGCTGGGTCAAGGCCCTGATGAGGGAAAGGGCGGGGTTGGACGGTGATGCAATGGACACTGGGATGGCAGATCACAATCGCTCATGCGGCCTCGATCGGTATCACACGTTCAGACGAGACTTGCACACACTGACGAGCGGAGATTGAGCATGCATTCCTGTTGAGCTGTCCATCGTACATCAAGAAGCAGAGACTGAGCATGCATTTCTAGTGAGCTGTCCATTGTGCGTTTAAAGAGGTCGTTCCTGATCGACGCCTTTCAGCCCGCGCTCGACCACCGCAAGCCGAGCAGTGACGAGTTGCACCGCCGCGCTGAACTCCCCCTTGAGCGAAATCATCACCGACGCAGAGCCCAACTTGCTCTCCACATCGGACAGCGTTGTCCTGCAGAAGCGCAGATAGTCTAGCGAGGGTCCCTTGCTGCTCGCCACAGGAGTGTCCTCGACGTATGCACGCAGTGAAGAGAGAAGTGCGGAGAGGATCGAGTACGCCGTGCCCATGGTAGTGGCGTTGGTGCTGAGAGAGGCGGCGAGCGTTGTGTAAGTGGCGTTGAGGAGGGCGAGGCGGTGTGTGGTGAAGGCGTCTAGGTCGAGACTGGAGGTGCGGTTGGTGTCGCCGACATCGTCTGCTGCCATGCTGGGCGAAGACTGGGCATCCACGATGACAGCGCGCCACTGCGTCGCGAGAGCGTACATCAGCGTGGACTGGTTCTTGGACCCCATCGCCGCTTCTATCAATGACTTGGTGTACACATCCTGCACCGACAGCACGCGCGCCACTGCCGTCTGGATCCACACCGCCAGGAACTCCACCTCGTACTCGCGCTTCTGCACCGCTGTCGGGTCCAAGCTGAGCACGTTCTGCAGGAACCTGAGTCCGACGTCACGCCTCCCAATCGGATCGTCGATGCGTTTCCACGACTCGTTGCCAAAGCCGAGATACGAGCTCCACTCTCGCAATCCATTCGTCACCAGAACCTGTGCGCATCCCGCCCAGCAGTCCACCACAAGCTCGAGGAACTGTCGAGCTTCGGCGGCCTTGAGCAATCTGTTCATCTTGGTGCGCGAGGTAGCCGCCGCATTGCTGCGATCAGCGTGGCCATCGACTGGTATCTCGTCCAATCGCTCAGTGACGCCCAGGCTCATCACCACGGAACCAGTGGCAGCCGCCTCCACGCGTCGGTCCGGGTGATAAATGTTGGACAGCAGCTGGAAAAGCGAAGGCGAGATGGAGCTCTTGACCAGATCGGCAAACTCGCGGTTCCATTTTGTCCTCTCGTTGGCAGCCGCAGCTAGAGCGAGCGCTTTGCTTGCTTCCCGCTGACGGTCCGGGTTTCTGACATCGCCTTCCGTGCTCGTATCGCCTTCGTCCAAGAGACGCGCCAGTAGAGGATCCTCGAAGTCGAAATCGTCATCAGCCTCGAATAGATCGGCGAAGCTGTCTTGACTCTCTTCGTTTCCTGGCGGCTGTGGCTGATTCGCGTGGACTGCAGAGGCAGTGCCTTGGTTGCTGATGCCGGTCCCATTCGCAGGCGTCGTCGTGCTCTGTGCGGGCTGCAGTATCTTGATGCGAGCCAGCAAGAAAGTCTGAATGCATCTGAGCACTTCCTGGCCGATGCGCGGCTCAAGCGACATCTGCGCCTCGAGCATCTGCTGCGTCCAGGCCGGAGACAAGAGCGAGTAATGCAGCAGCCTCTGATCAGAGCCTTCAGGCCGAGCCCTACCACCGTCGAGGTCACCGTGTCGGATAATGTGCTGGATCGACCGCAGCGCCACTACGAGCAGCCGAGCGAGTTCCTCCTTTCTTCGCAAGGCGGCCTGTCGAGCTGGAGCATTCTCGAAGATAGCTGCCATACGAAGCGCATCTGGCCTTGCTGCACTCTGACCACCTCGAGCTTGAAGCGATTCCTGCATCTGCCGTCGTTCGTACTGCTTCGTGGTCGAATCGAGCTCCTCGTATTCACGACGCAGCACCGTGATGGTCTCGCCAAACCACCTGGTCACCGGACTGAGATCCAGGCAGTGATGTCGGAAGATGGTCGCGACATACATCATCGCGCGAATGCAAGTGACTTGGCTGACGAAGTCGGCGTCTTTGAAGGCCGGCAGGAAGCTCTGGATCTGTCGGAGCCGTTGAGGTGAAGATGCTGGCACCAGGTACAAAAACAGCATGATGACGTTGTAGTGGTTGAACAGGACCGACCGTTGCGAGCTGGTCGGCACATCAGTGCGGGTGAACGGCATCACACGGACCGGCGTCATTCGAGAGAAGAGCCGCGAGATGCGGCGATCCCCTTCCTTGGCGTCAGCGGCAGATGCGCGCAGTTCTTGACCCGTGCGACCGAGAAGGCGGATGAAGAGATGGAAGCCCGGATCCCGCGTGGCTTCACCCTCGGCTACATCTGCGGTGGACAGCTTATCGACATCAAAGTCTCTGAGGAAGGCCGGAAAGTCGTGCTGCTTCTCGGTGGGCAGATCGGCAAGCTTGTGACTGTTGAAGATGTCGAACAGGCGCGCAAGCGTGACTTCCGCGCCTTCCATCGTCCATTGCCATTCCGAGGTCAGCAGGCAGCATCGTTGCAGCACAAGTCGCACGTACGCGTCCCGTTTTGCCAGCATGTGCCATCCGTTGGCCAGCTCTTTGCTCTCGCCCGATCGAAAGTGGATCAGAGACAACGCTCGCGTGACTAGAGGCCAGCACTCTCGAAGCAGGGGCGACGCCTGCGTTTGTGCAACCGGGGAGATCTGTGACAAGAGTTCGAGCGCAAAGAGGCAGTACCAGAGACTTTCGGATCGCAACAGAGGCGCACGCTTCGGCATGGAGTCGTCCCATCGCTGGAAGGCAGTCTCGAACTGGGTCCAGAAGAGACGCCCGTCCATGACTTCACGGCTCTTTTCGAAGGAATCCAGGAGGTGAATGACGCTGAGCCACATGGCTGTGGCCTCGTCTACGAAGACGTGTGCAGCCTCCTCCTCTTCGTCGTCCATTGCAGCCTCAGTTGAAGCGTCCGCAGTGTAGCCTGCCGTGGCTGCCTTGCGCACATTGCGAACGCAGCGATGAAGCCCATGATGCAGCAGCAGGGACATGAGCGTTCGGCTGTACGTCAGCAGACTTTCGACGGTCGGTGCTTCCGGCTCCAGAGCATAGTTTGCGTCTGCGTCGCAGATCGCCATCGCTCTCCAGCAAAGCTCGAAGCGCATCCAGGCCAATTGAAGGCACAACGACTTGCGGTCCTCCCGAGATGTTTTTGAGGCAGGAGCTGACTCGCTCAACGAGAGCACGGAAGCCTGCAGCTGCTCGATCCGCTCGAGGATGGTGCGATAGCTGCGGAAGATCGAAGCGGCGTCGGATAGTCCGTCGCCAGCACCTTGAGCCTGTCGCACTAGCCAACAGCCAAGGAAGGCATTGGTGTCCGCGATGAGATTCCTTGCGCGTCGCCCTCCGTCGACGCTCGAATGATCGCTGGACCCACCAAGCGCGCGGCTGATCGTGAGTCGAAGGCTGTCCATGTAGAAAGGCAGCTTCGCAGCCAGCTCGTCGTGATCCATGTCGATGTCCAGCACTGTTTCTTCGAGGCGCAAGACTGGCCCCGTCCAAGCCCGTGGAACATGCTCCTGACGAAGCAATTGGTCCGGCAAAGCCATCAGATCAGGGAGTCGAGCCAGCAAGGAGGAGTCTCCAACCTTGAGCGATATCGCTTCTGCGAAGGGGGCTATACCAAAATCCAGGCTGATGCCTTCAAAGTCGTCCCAGGCGTCGCTGCCAGTCGAGGCGGTTGCCGGCCCAGGGTGCAGCGTTGGAAGCGGACCTGGTATCGTGCGCAAAGGACCTTTTGGTGGAAAAGCATCCGCGTGTGCACGTGTCGGTGTGCCTGGACTGTGGCCGTTGACCGCATGCAACCTGGCTAGGCCCGCTGATGACACTGAAGCAGACGGGGATTCCCGCACATCTCGGGCGGGCGAAGGTGCCGCGTCCTTTGCCATGAACAGCGACGGACCCGGTTGTGCCGCTATGCCTGCACGAACTCGAGGCGCAGCTAAGCGTGAATCGAGAACGTTCACTGGCGTCGAGTCTCTGACGACACGGCTCAGGATCTGCCATTGACCATCGTCATCCGAGAGCGCATCATCTCCAGGAGCATCGTAGATGTTCGCGCCCGTTTCGGCATATCGCCTCGGAGCCGGATTGGCGGTAAAGAGAAGTTCGTGCTGTTCAAGGTCGAGACGGGGTCTCACACGAGGACGTACGACGGGTGGGTTGAGCAGTGGGCCCGAAGCCCCTCTGCCGCCAGCGGTGGTCGTGCGACCGACTCTCGGATCCAGCTTCCTTCTCTTCTTCTTTCTGCTGGATACGCGAGGCTGTCCGTCCTTGTCGAGCATCTCTTTTGTGAAGCGTGCTTGTCGCCGTTGATTCTGATCGATCTCTTGTAAATGGGATCGTGTTGAGTGGGTCGCTCGTTCTTTCTGTCGATGTGCTGACACGAAGCCATCCAATCGGGCTTGTCGATGGTATGGAGTGCCTTTTGCTCGCCGAACACCGGCATGACTGCTCGTCTTGCGTCCCTCCGTCCGGCTTAGCATGCGGTCGATCGCGTCCCTCTCCCGGTAAGGAACCTCCGAGTCCAAGCGATGGACGGACCACCACTGAGCAGGCCTCTCGTCGATGTCCTCCACCTCTTTGTGTCGGTCCGCATCTGTGTTTGAATTCATAAGATTGGCGCATGCGAAGGACACAGAGGCCTCAGACGACAGCGAAGTCCCCGAAGAGGAAGATGAATCGGAGTCTGGATCGAGCAGCAAGGCGTTGTTGCCGTTGAGACTGTCGTGACGCCGGAGCCTCTTTCGTGTCTGACCCGGCCGTAGTTCCTCGTCGTCTGAGCTTCCGTCTGCGTTGACGCTTGGTGATCGCGGTCGGGCGGTGGTCCTCTGCTCTGTTCGATTGCGAGCTGCAGCGTCCGACGACGAGGACGAGAGGTGCCCATCGGAGTGATACGATTTGCCGTGCCTCATGGCTCTCAGATCGCGAATGTGCTTGCGAGCCATGCCTGCCGGCATCATTTTCTTGAGTTGACGGAAGCGACGCTCGTAGTCGGTGCTATCGCTGCTGGATCCGTCGCCGGACCATCGACTCCTTCGCTTGGCCTTCGTGATCGGCGCAGCAGGTGCAGGCCGTTCGTCCTCCGAAGAGTCGACGATGAAGGCATCACCGAGCGCCGGTGTTTGCCGATCTGAAGTAGGAGTTGCTGCGGATTCCGATGGCGACAGTGCGCGCGGAGGTGGTCTCCGGCGAGTCAATATCGGAAGCGGCACTGAGTCATCCTCATGGACTTGCGAATCTTCGGAAGCCTGAGGCGGTGCTGTCTGGCCGTTGGCATCGACTTGAGCAGTCGTTCTCGGGCCCTTGTAGGTAGCGGGTCTTGACGGACCAGGTCGGTCGCGATGCCGATTTGTTGATGCGTTTCTCGAAGCTAGCATCTCTGCTAGATCAGGTAGTCTGCCGCTTTGCGATGGTGTGGGCGATGTCGATGCTGGCCTCGCAGCGCCTGCATGCCGCCGGACCGAGTCCGTCTCGCCGAGCAACGGTATTTCCACAAAGACTTCTGGCATAGTCGCTGCAGCCGGCGACGAAGGAGCCGAGAGGTCCTCGTGATCCGCCTGAGAGCTCGGACCTGAGCTCGGCACCAGCCACTGACTCTGCGACTCTTCTGATCCTTGTGCCCCGGTGTTGTCACGCTGTGCCCGAGCGGCTTCCTCGGCCAGCCTCTTTCGTTCCTGGCGATGCCATTCCCTTTGGCTGACGACGGCGTCCTGCCAGTCGTTGCGGAGCAAAGCTCGCTGGTAGCGGGCAGCTTCGAGGGTATACGGGTTCAGCTGTGCTGCGTTCCTCGTGCGGAGCTGTCGTCGCGGCGGAGTGGGCGGCTGAGCAGCAGCAGCCTTTGCGAGCTGCTCATCGTCGGGGACTGCATCTCTGCTGCTCTGCACAGGCTCTGCTTGTGGTATATGCTGGAGAAGATCTGGTAAACGTGGTGGTGCCGCACCACGCTTAGGAATGCGGAGAGGCGATAAGGGGGGCGTCGAGGAGAGCGAGAGGACGAGGTCAGGGTGGCGACCTCCATCCGCGGCGTCTGTCGCCGGTTCCATCGATTTGTTCTCTTGAGTGAGGTCGTGAGGCCTGCCGGTGTCGATCGGCGGAGAGGGTTGCAGGACCTCTTGCTCCTCATGGCTTATAGCTGGCTGCTCCTCGGACTGCCGCAAGTTGTCGCCGATCAAAGAGCTATCATGGAGAAGGACCGCAGGCGACGAAGGAGGGGATGGCTGTGGGGAAGCGAGAGAGTTCTCGACGAATGGCAACGTCACATCGCTCTGTTGCGATGACGGCTGCACCTCGTATTCGCGCCCAATTGTAACATCGCCATCGACCTCCATAGACATCGCTTGTTCGTCGAGTACTGGATCCGGTCTAATGCTGACCTCGTCGAAGCGAGCTGACGGAAGGTTTGAGATGCTATCTGTCGAGCTTGCCGTCTGTACCGTGCTGGCTGTCCGCGGAACATCTGGAGGTTTCAAAGGTGAAAGTACTGGTGCTGGAGCTGGAGATGGTAGCGTTGTTGGGGGCAGCGTTGTATGCATTGTCGTTGCTGGGGTGTGGTCCTCCATAATCGTATCGTAAACTGTGACTGTTGCAGCCGTGTCGCCGTCTATAGAGCGAGTTTCCTGTGGAGCATCTGGCGCTAGTTCTACTGATTGCGCTGTCGGACTTGAAGACTCGACCGCTGGGCTGTGTCGTGTTGGGCTCTGTCTTCGATGAGCTGCACTGTGACGGATCGGCAGAACCGCCTCCTCGTCGTCTTCTTCGTCATCTTCCGAAACATCCCTGCGCCTTCGCTGTATGGGTTTGACCGAGTCCAAGCTGGACCCATACTTGTCCGAAGACTGGGAAACAAAGAAGATGTCCTCTTCATCAGATGTCGGCACTACCTGCTTTGTCGGTCTGTTCGTGGGTCTTGAAGGTCCCGCCTCGCTCTGCTGAGCTGCGTGTTCCGGCTCGAGCATCTCGGCATCTCTGTTCACCGTGTCATCGCGAGTTGCGCTCTTGTATGAACGTCTTGTATGAACGTCTAGAGTGAGGTTCGATGGTGATGATGATGGCTGAGCTGTGACTTGAAAGCGAGGTACTGGAATCGTGACTTTGTGTTGGTCTTTGTGAACTTTCTCAGCTGCAAGGCGTAGTTTTTGGCTCAGCTTTTTGGTCCTTTACGCGACGCGGACGCTGCCAAAAAGTGTCACTTTCACCCGATATCGCCGATCGGGTACCGATATCGCTCGCTGACTGGGATCAAGGCCTAAATTGCGTCAAGGTGCGCTCTGTGCTCCCGAAGGCGAATTTCTGTGGCTTTCTCCGGTGGAGGTTTTTGGGCGACGTCCGTGCCCTGTTGCCGCTTGGAGCGAGTGACAAAGCCGTGAAAGGCTTCTCCACCACCTCTTCTTCTCACCACAACCATCAACCTTCTCTGATCGACCCAAAATGCTTCGCACCGCTCTCACCCGTTCCACTGCCATCAAGGCTGGCGTTCGCACCTTTGCCGCCGCCCCCGCTGCGGCCCGCTCCAAGCACACGCTCCCCGATCTCTCCTACGATTACGGTGCGCTCGAACCCGCCATCTCGGCCCAAATCATGGAGCTGCACCACACCAAGCACCACCAGACCTACGTCAACGGTCTCAACACTGCCGAAGATCAACTTGCCGAGGCGCTCCACAAGAAAGACGTCAAGTCCGCAATTGCTCTTCAGAAGGCGATCAACTTCAACGGCGGTGGGCACATCAACCACACGTTGTTCTGGGAGAACCTCGCCCCGACCAAGCAAGGCGGTGGTGAACTGAGCAAGGGTGCTCTTAAGGATGCCATTGAGAGGGATTTCGGTGGACTCGAGCAGTTGAAGGGGAAGTTCAACGCTCAGATCGCCGCAATCCAGGGAAGCGGTTGGGGTTGGTTGGGTTACAACCCGCAGACGAAGAAGTTGGATATCGTTACGACGGCTAACCAGGACCCCCTGCTCAGCCACGTGCCGCTCATTGGGGTGGATGCTTGGGAACACGCGTTCTACCTGCAGTACCAGAACGTCAAGGCCGACTACTTTAAGGCTATTTGGGACGTGATCAACTTTAAGGCGGCTGAAGAGCGTCTGAAGAAGGCCCAGTAAATAGCGTCTCGGAAGAACGATGAAATCGAATCCATTCTGAATGATTGTTTTAGAATGCCATCGTCCCAGCATCGGGAGTAGCGGCATCTTCGCCGTTTGACCACTGCATGCTGAATGCGAGCGCCACAAGCGCCGCCTCCTTCCGGCGCTGATCGGGGTCTTGAATGTTTCGTACTCGCTGAGCGTGCCATTGCAGCTGGGAGAGTTGGGAGGCCAGGTCTCCATCGCCTGACCCATTTGGTAGAGTGCCCATCCCTAGCGGCCCCGCTTCGAGTCGAGCAGCTGCATTGGCGCCAAATAGGCGGTCCTGCATCTGGGAGATGTCGTCCATCGAAGGAAGGTCCTCTACGTCTGCACTCGGCAGTGATCCTGGATCAGCGGCGGTAGATGAAGCGGACTGGAAGGGAAGAAAGTCGTCAAAGTCGTCTTCGAATGTCCGTCCTGTATCGCCTGTGTTGAAGGTGGCTTCAGGTGCAGGTCCGGGCCACGAAGGGTCCTCCGATTCGAGGAACGCTTCGAGCTTGGCAAAGTCTGCAGAGTCCGGATTGCCGGAGGACGCGAGGAAGAGCTTTGCGAGCTGCTCATCCAGGTCGCTCGGGTCGGCGTGTTTGTCGAGATCCAAGGCGGGAAGCGCCGTGGCGAGACGCGCACCGGTATCAGGCCCATCGAATGCTTCTGCTCCATAGGCCTCATCATCGTCGAGACCGTCCAGTGCTGAGGCGTCGTCCATCGCGTCCGGGAAGCTCGAGAGAACGAAGCTCGTACCAGCGCCTGCACCCGTCATGCTCGTTGCAGTCCGATTTGATGTTGCCTGTTCCTTGCGCACCAGCCCGTTCCACATATGGTTCATGAGCGCCTCTCGTATCCTTTCGATGCCATCCTTGTCATGGTCCCTGCTTGAATCCCTATTACCATCATCGTGATCCTCCCCGTCTGACGCGTCCCCATCTAGCTCGTCGATCGCGATGAACTCCCATCCGTGATCGGCATACAGTGCGATGAGATCGCTCGTTTTGGCCGGCCTCGCCGATTGCGATGTCCCTGGACGGCGCGAGGACGAGCCAACGTCGTCGTCTAGGACTGTGACGACTTGCGAGTTCGATGATGAGAGAAGCGACACTCCTGCGACGATGCTGATGTCGGCATCGAAGCCGGCCGCCACTTTCGCTTCCAGATTTGCGGCCAGCAGACGATGGTGTTCTAGGCTTTGGCTTCTGTCGACAACCGCGAGATAGGCGGGATACGTCTGTGATAGCACTGATTCGACATTTTGATCTGGGGTCACACCAGCGATGGGCAGTGCGGCTTTTGTCGCCCTGAGCGTGATATCGGCATCATAGTATCGATTCGAGATGTGGTACGGGGTCGAGGTGTACCAGCCCAGCTGTTCGGTCTCGGCGACAGCGCTCGCCGGAGCAGTGTATGTGAATGAGCTCGAGCCTTCGTCGCTGTCTGCTTCAGACCTCTTTTCGACCATTTCGGGCGATCCTGTCCCCTGTGCGATCGCGCTGATGAGGTTCGACGCTGCCGCGGCTAGGGAGCTGCTTGAGGAGGAGGATGCAGAAGCGCCACGAATCGTCCTTGCCGGGGCGAGGTCGAAGGGCACCACGGCGACCGTGTTGAGTGGATTACCAGCGACACTTGCTTGCATTGCGATGGCCATGTTGCTTTCCGAATGCAGTCTTCTGTGATGATGGAAAGGTAGATGTGTCCGCAGAAGGCAACAAAGGGCGTTCCGAGCTGAGCAGCATGCAACCTTCTCAGGGTCCAGGTAGCCCGATCTTGCCCCATCCCGATTCGACCTGGAAAGATCCGCACGAACCATGTCCAAAGGGAAAAAATTTGGAGAGGCAGCAGGAAGAAAAGCTGGCGCAGCTCTGTCGAGAAACAGGCTCGCATGGGGAGCTGGAAGAAATGGCCACTCAAAGCTCACAATCCCACTCTGCGCAGAGCAGAAAGCTTTGATTGGACGTCCAATTTTGAATTCAAGAAGATCTCTCTCCACCTTATCATCAGCCTTCTCACAACCACCATCCTAACCTATCATCGACGGCAACCATGGCATCCTTCGAATCGTGGCAGTCGCCGCTCTCCTCGCGCTATGCGTCCAAGGAGATGTCCGGTCTCTTCTCCAATGCCACCCGTTTCTCCACCTGGCGCGAACTTTGGCTCAACCTTGCCATCGCCGAGCGCGAGCTCGGGCTCGACATCCCAGCCGACGCCATCGAGCAGATGCGCGCCAACCTCACTCTCGATGAGCGTCAGATGGCCTTGGCGGCCGAAGAGGAGAAGAAGCGACGTCACGACGTGATGGCGCACGTGCACGTGTTTGGGCTTGTCGCACCCAAAGCGGCGGGTTTCATCCATCTGGGTGCTACGTCGTGCTACGTGACGGACAATGCGGATCTGATCTTTTTGCGCAAAGGGTTGGATCTGTTGTTGCCCAAGCTGGCGTTGGTGATCGAGAGACTGGGGGCGTTTGCGGAGAAACACAAGGCATTGCCCACGTTGGGATTCACCCATATGCAACCGGCGCAGTTGACGACGGTTGGGAAGCGCGCGACGCTGTGGATCCAAGAACTCCTGTGGGATCTGCGCAACATCCAGCGTGCGAGGGACGATCTCGGATTCCGCGGTGTTAAAGGTACCACGGGTACCCAGGCTTCCTTCCTCGCGCTGTTCGATAATGATCACGCCAAGGTCGAGGCCCTCGACGAGAGGGTGACGGAGCTCTTCGGTTTCCCGTACGCCATGCCGGTCACCGGTCAGACGTACTCCCGCAAGATCGACATTGACGTCCTCAACTCTCTCGCTTCTTTCAGCGCATCCGCGCTCAAGATGGCGACGGACATCCGACTGTTGTGTCACCTCAAGGAGGTGGAGGAGCCGTTCGAGAAGGACCAGATTGGATCCAGTGCCATGGCGTACAAGCGCAACCCGATGCGATCCGAGCGCGTGTGCGGTCTCGCCCGTTGGTTGGGCAACGCGGTCAACTCGGCTCGTGAGACCGCCGGTGCACAGTGGATGGAACGTACGCTGGACGACTCGGCCAACCGCCGCCTCTCCATCCCCGAGGCCTTCCTCACCGCCGACGTCATCCTGACCATCCTCCAGAACGTTTCGGAGGGTCTCGTCGTCTACCCCGCCATCATTGCGCGCAGGATTCAGTCCGAACTGCCCTTCATGGCTACGGAGAACGTTATCATGGCCATGGTCCGTGCCGGGGGTGACCGTCAGGAATGCCACGAACGCATCCGTGTGCTCTCCCACCAGGCCGCCGCCCAGGTCAAGGAACACGGCAAGGAGAATGACCTTATTGCAAGGATCAAGGACGATCCGTACTTCCAGCCTGTCCTGAACCAGATGGATGCCTTGTTGGATCCCAAGTCGTTCACGGGTAGGGCTGAGCAGCAGGTCGACAGCTTCTTGGCCAAATGGGTCCAGCCCGCGCTTCAGCCTTACCAGGCCGCCATCAGCGGTGCTGGCAAGGCCGAGCTGTCCGTCTAATTCCGTCATCTGTACAATACATTCCATCAGTCTTGTTTTCAATCTCACGTTCCGTCACTGCAGTACACTCGTGAAAAGATGAGCTTGGTCTGATTCGGCGCAGCCTCAGAACAAGCCTAGCAAGTCATCCTGACCCGAAGTGGGTGCGGGTTTCGCCGTGGTCACCGTCGTCGCGCTGGGTTGTGTTGGTGAGCCAAAGAAACCGTTGTTCGCCGGTGTCGTACTGAGCGCCTTCAACGCCTGCACGCCGCTTTGCGCCCCTGGCTCGTCCGCTCCCGGCGCAGCATCGAATAGACCCAAAAGATCATTCAATCCTCCACCACTCGTCTGGCCCGCACCTCCACCGGAACTGTTGCCAGCCGGCGAAGAGATGATCAGGTCATCCAGCCCACTCAGCGCACCTAGCGCTCCTGCACCGTTGCCGTTCTTAGCCGGAATGTCGACGTCGTCGTCGCCGAAGTCGAGCAGGTTTTCGGATTTTTGGCCTTGCACCACCGTCGCCAGCGCCTTTTCACGGGTGATGTCGTCCTCCGCCTCGCCGAGCTGGCCGTTGCGCACGCCATCTGCGCCGATCCGTGCCTTGCCGATGAACGTCGCAGCGGGCTTGTGGTAGGCACTAGCGAGACTGGAGAGTTCTGAGACGAGCTCGTCCAGTACCGCTGGTGGCACGGTGGTCAGAGGGATCGAGATGGGCGGTCGTGTAGCCAGGATCACGTTCCTCCCCGCAGCGCTGTCGGATGACGACAGAAGACGCCAGTAGATGAAGGCGCGATCGCGCAGATCCGGCGAGTCGCACTGTTTGGTCGCTTTCTCCAGTACCTGCTGCACGATCTGCTGCGCGAGGTTGCTATCCGGCTTCTTGAGGAACGCTTTGACGATGGCCGTGAGGGTCTGGAACTGCACCTGATACGGCTCCTCGGTGAACGTGTCGAGGAAGTGCGCTAGCAGGTCTTCGGCGTTCGAGATCTTGTCTGCATATTCGCCAAGGATCCAGATGAGCGACCCTTTGGCTTCGGGCTCGTCGAGCTCTTCGAGGTTCGAACAGAGCGTAGGGATGATGCCTTCGTAGTTGTGCGGGTACTTGCGGAAGATGTCCTTGATGACGATGACCGCTTCCTGAACGACGTAGCTGACCTTGGTCGCGATGAGGTCGAGCAGCACGTGGACACATCGTTCCGCAGCAGCGTCGATCTTGATGGCGCACTGACCGATGGCGCGGATGGCTCTTCGTACAAAGTCGACGTCCACCTCTGACGCATACTCCTTCAACTCGGAGAGGAGCATGTCGACATTGCGCTCGTTGGCGAGCTTGATCATGATTTCGACCTTTTCCAGCTTGACGTACGAAGGGTCATTGTATTTGCAGAAAAACACTCGGAGCTCGTTCTGCAAGATATCTTGGCGCTTTTGCAGCACGAGGTTGATGTTGCGCAGCGCGACCCACTGCACTTCAGGAGCGGACGAGATGAGTGTGACCAATGGTGGCGCCATCTTGCGGACGAGCTGCTTGATGAGCTCGTCGTTGTTGCGCACCTTGGCCATGTGGATGAGTACGACCTTGACGGCGCCAAGGACGACACTGCCGTTGGCGTGTTGGAACTGGGGCATGACTCGTTCGCAGATGTGCTCGGCTTGCTTCTCGTCCCGGGCACGGTACCGCGCGAGAGAGTTGAGGATGGCGATGCGACCCCATTCCGTGCATTCGTTGAGCGCGATAAGCAGCTTGGTGAGAATCTCGGAGTCGAGGACAAAGACAGCGGACTGGCCAGTGGGATCGTTCTCGAGCGCGGTCTGGTGGATGTCGGTGAGGGCAGTGACGGCATTTGCGACGACCATTGGGTTGCTGTCACCGACCATATCCTTGAGCATGCCGACAAAGCCGCGGTCGATGGCCAATTCGGGCTTGAGGTCGTAGAGCTTGGCAACGCAGATAGCAGCTGTCTTGCGGACGTATGGGTTCTCGTCGCGCAATGACTTTTCGAGCGGATCCGAGAGGTAGTCGATGATCTTCTCTGCGCGTAAGCAGCCCATGGTGCGGATTGCAAGCGCACGAATAAGTGGGTTTGGGTCTTCGGAGTCCTTGACGAAGGTATTGACGGCGAGAATGACAAGTTCGGGTTGGGTCTTGGCGTAGTTCATGAGGTAGAGATAGACGAGCTTCTTTTGCTCGAGATCCTCGGTCTGCATGTTTTTGAGTACGTCTGGGAAGAGACCGCTGACGTCTTTGCCGACGGTCATGTTGGCAATGACCCGTTTGATGGCATCCTTCCTGCGGTCGCGGTATTCGGAGTTGAGGTCGGCTCGAAGCTCGAAGTTCTCGCCCTTGCGGGGCGCGTTGAAGAAGCGTGGCCTGCTCATGATGTGCTGAGAGTGGCTGCTGTTCTGACGAGATCGTGGAGAATCGGATGCTGCCGTCTGACTGAGAGAGTTGCCTTTGCTGCCGACGCTTCGTCGCTACTCTGTTGACCGCTTCGGTTGTTGGACGCGCGCCTGCGTATGTCGACCTACAGCGAGCAACACCAAAGTGTGGCGATCTTGCTTGCTCGTGATAGCACTCAGAGGTAATGTCGGACGGATTGGAAGGGATGTTGCGATAGCAGAGGAGCAATGCGTGTTGAGGGGTGCGAATGGACGGGAAGGGATCTGCGACGTGTGTGTGAGTGTTGGACTGAGTCGCTGTCGATGCAGCGCTTCTTGCCTTGCCAACACGAATTGGCTCAAGCGCGCCTGCCTCGCGATCTGACATTCCAATTATGCCGGAAAAATCGGAGCCGGTTCGAGATTTTTTTTGGGTTGAGGCTGGACCCTAAGAAAATTTTGGCTTTGATCATGCTGGTGGCATGTCAACCTTCCACTCTCGCTCCATCACTTCGAGCAACGATACCCCTCAAAGATGCCTCGAGCAGTGTCCGCAAAGCTCTCACGGCAGCATGAGCCATCCGCCGGCCTCAGGCCAGGCTCGGCACGCTCGTCCGCATCCTCCTCCAACGGCGTCCACGCATCCAACCAGAACTCGAGCGCCACCACCAAGAACCCCATCTTCAACACCGACAAGTTCGGTCAGCATATCCTCAAAAATCCGCTCGTCGCCCAAGGCATCGTTGACAAAGCCAACCTCAAGCCCACCGACATGGTCCTCGAAGTCGGTCCAGGTACCGGTAACTTGACAGTCCGCATCCTTGAGAAGGCCAAGAAGACGACTGTCGTGGAGATGGATCCACGCATGGCTGCCGAGCTCAGCAAGCGTGTCCAAGGAAAGTGAGTACCCCCGTCAGCAGCATCAGTATCAGCACCATCAGTAACCGTCATCCAGCGATCACCGTGGCAGCCCTGCCCTCGACCCGGACGACTTCCGTCTTATATGATGAACGAATTCATTTACCATCTTTCGTACGAGCCCGACTTTGCAATCGGACAATGCGGCAACTTTCCAAGATAGCTGATCCTTCGCAAGGTGCCACGGTTGAATCGGATGACGGACAACGCAGCTGGAGCATTGATGCTGTTGCTACAGCGACTGCTAATGCGAGCCAGTGCTGACTTTCTCTGCTCCTTCGCCTTTGACAACGCGCAGACCCGAACAACGCAAGCTGGACATCATGATCGGCGACTTTTGCAAGACCGAGCTCCCTTACTTTGACGTCTGCATCTCCAACACGCCCTACCAAATCTCCTCGCCTTTGGTCTTCAAGCTCCTCTCGCACCGTCCACTCTTCCGGTGTGCCATTCTCATGTTTCAACGCGAGTTCGCGCTGCGCCTCATCGCGCGACCGGGCGATAACCTGTGGTGTCGTCTATCCGCGAACGTCCAGCTCTACTCGAAGGTGGATCACATCATGAAGGTTTCGCGCAACTCCTTCCGACCTCCACCGCAGGTCGAGTCGAGCGTTGTGCGCATCACCCCGCTCAACCCGCCCCCCGCCATCCCATTCGAGGAGTTCGACGGTCTCACCCGCATCGTGTTCTCCAGGCGGAACAAGACCGTGCGCGCCAGCTTCTTCGACGCAAGAGGCGTCATCGACATGCTGGAGAGCAACTACAAGACGTATTGCGCCGTCAAGGAGATCATGCCCGAGGAGGGCAACTTTGCCGACATGGTCAAGCAGGTGCTCATCGACACCGAGTGCGCCGAGGACCGAGCGGCAAAGATGGACATTGATGATCTGTTGAAGTTGCTTGCCGCTTTCCATGAGAAGGGCATTCACTTCTCGTAAGGTTACATCCTTGTCGCTTCGCTTGTCACTTCGCATTGTCCGTTCACCCATCGCTTGATACCCTGCACAGCTGTCGCCACCATTGTATTTGTATCCTTGTTTTGCAAGCATCGTTTTCCTGACAGCTCTCCGTGTATATGCTGGTGAATAGATCGAGTTGAGTTGTCGAGCTACAAGTACACTGGACTTAACCAGGGCGAATCTTTTTGTGAGACCTCCATTCGAACATCAGAGGAAGTACTGGCTATTCAGCGTCACCGTCCGCGTCTGATCCGGTACCGCATCAAAGATCTTGAAGTTGGACTGTGTTGCTTCCCACGGCTTCTTTGCTCCCTCTTTCGCTCCATCCGCACCTTCTGTCTTTGTCGCATCTGGATCCTGCTCCTCGCTCCCTGTCCCCGCCACCAGCGCCGACGTTCCGTTCTTGCTCTCGTACGCGATGAGATCGTCGACCGCAAAGATGGATGCCACGTTGCCACAACGGTAGCAGTAGTTGGGCGCGGACCAGACCGTGACGATGTTGTTATCGTGCATCAATTTGTACCCTTCTTGAACAAGCTGATGCGCTCTCGCTATGAGCGAGAGACCGTTGACGTGGTTGAACTCCTTTGTTACTGCGCCGCCGAAGAGCCAGCCTGCACCACGCGGTGAGACTCGCCATGTGTCGATGTCGTCTGGATCGCTCCACATGAGATCGCAAAATGCGCCTTCGTGGGGCACTTCTTGGGCTCGCGCGATGATGCGGATCTGGTCGAGCGTGCGGACGTCCGGACTGAGACCGCCGTGGACGCAAAGGACGCGACCGTCGATGATCGCCGCAAGGTTGAGGTAGTCGAAGACTTGGCAGCAGGATTTCCAGACATTGGCGTTGCCGTACTTGCGCTGGCACTCGTCGTAGAAGCCGTAAACTTGTGTGATCTGGCGAGATTCATGGTTGCCTCGCAGGAGCGTGATCTGTGATGGATATCTCGCTTTGAGAGCCATGAGTAATGAGAACGTCTCCAGACTGAAGTAGCCTCTGTCCACGAAGTCGCCCTGTTGTTCGCGATATCAGTTCAAGAGAGCAAGTGGTCAGTAAGGATCCCCAAACAAGGTAGCCAGATGTAGCAGCTTTGGCAACATACCATAAAGATGTACGAAACCCCCGTATCAACCTCGCCTCCGACGCGGAATAGCTCGAGGAGGTCCCAGAATTGACCATGGATGTCGCCGCATACTGTGACCGGACTTGATACGGGCTGAATGTTGCTTTCCTCCATGAGAATGCCTCGGACCATCTCGCAGAGCGCCTTGATGTCTGGCTCTGGGAGGTACTTGCATTGCCTCAGCTGCTCGATCCACGTATCTGGATTGCCGATGGCCATGTTGAAAAGTGGTGCTCGAGTCGAGCAATGAGTGGTTCTGCTGCTGAACTTTTTATGCTGGTGAGAGGTGTCGAATGATAAGGAGCTGACGGGGGCGGTCGATCACAGGTTCTCAGTGTCGAAGAAGCAAACTTTAGCTGTGCTGGGTTCCGGATTGCTTATAGTGTGCTTCTTAGTGTGTGTGCTGCTGAGTATGTTTGCTCGATCCAGTGTTTCCTCCTGTCGGGTCCGCCGAAAGCTCCAGTGTGATTCCTGCTGTATGTGATTAGGACCTGCCGATCGTCAGAGAGTCGCTATTCAAGTGATCGTGTGATGAGGTGAAGATGGTGATGACGCTGATAACGGCAGCAAAGAGAGAAGTGTAAGTCCGGTGATCTTCTGCGACCGTATGTGAGACGCTGACAGCTAGCCGTGTGTGCCACCAAAGTCACGACGCTGAGACCCTTTTTTAGAAGAGCAGACAAATCGGCAGATCCAATCCAGATTGCGGAACTCGGCAATGTAAAGCGCAGCCAAAAAATTCCGCTGTCGTGAAGCGCAAGAAAAGTGCGTCTGGAAGATTTGATGTAGGTGCTCTTCGCATACTCCCTTGCACCATCCATCGCCTGTCCCTCTCCTGATCACAGTCACAGTCTCGACGAGCTCATCCGAAGCACACATACGGCTCGTCCGATAGGCTACCAAGCTACTGACATCACATTCGGAAGCAGCGCCGACTCCCTCGACTCTTGATCGGGACGTTTCCGCAACTTCAGGCAGCGCCGATTCTGCTCGGTCGACTGCGCACCACTCAATCCGCTTGCAGAGCTCCCGCCCGCTTCTACGTGCGGAGCCATCAGCATCCTATCACATCGACTGTCTCAGCTCGTATTGCAACACACGTAGTGCCATCTGGTCAGCATTGCTCGGCAGGGGCCGTGTTGATCAGCGCAAGCAGGCATCATGGCGCTCCCTTCCAGCATCGCCGAGATGGCCCAGGCTATGGGTCACATGCCGCCCTCAGCTTCTGACGACCCAATTGCAGCGCTCAAAGCAGCCAACTACAAAGGCAAAGGGCTCATGGACCCCATCAAGTCTGTCGAAGACAAGTGGGAGCTCGTTCCTGCCTTCCTCCAGGTCAAAGGTCTGGTCAAGCAGCACATCGACTCCTACAACTACTTTGTCGACCATGACCTCAAGAACATCATCAAAGCAAACGAGAAGATCACTTCCGACATCGACCCCAAGTTCTATCTCAAGTACACCGACATCACAGTGGGAGAACCTCGCAGATATGATGGTGATGCAGTACAGCGGCCCATCACACCGCACGAATGCCGACTTCGAGACATCACCTACTCCGCACACATCTTTGTCAATATCGAGTACACTCGAGGCAACAAGATCATCCGCCGCAAGAATGTCGCCATTGGGCGCATTCCTGTCATGCTTCGCAGCAACAAGTGTGTTCTCTCCAACAAGTCGGAAAAGGAGCTCGCAAAGATGAGCGAGTGTCCTCTCGATCCAGGTGGATACTTCGTTGTCAAGGGAACAGAAAAGGTCATCCTCGTGCAGGAGCAGCTCAGCAAGAACAGGATCATCGTCGAAGCAGACACCAAGAAGGGCACCGTATCCGCGTCCGTCACCTCGTCCACTCACGAGCGCAAATCCAAGTCATACGTTCTCACAAAGCACGGCAAGATCTTCCTCAAGCACAACTCACTGCATGAAGACATCCCCATCGCCATCGCATTCAAGGCAATGGGCATTCAAGCTGATCGTGAGATCCTGCAGCTCGTCGCCGGCCACGATGACGCCTACAAGGAGCTCTTTGCCATCAACCTCGAAGAGGCTGCTCGCCTTGGCATCTATACCCGCAAGCAGGCGCTCGACTACATCGGCGCCCGTGCCAAGGCATCACGCAAGCCTCTCTCAATGCGACGACCTCTCGCCGAGGAAGCTCTCGACGTTCTCGCTACCGTCATCATGGCCCACGTTCCCGTCGAGAGGCTCAACTTCCGCCCCAAAGCCATCTACATCGCCTCCATGGTTCGCAGAGTGCTCATGGCCATGCAGGACGAGAAAAAGGTTGACGACCGAGACTACGTTGGTAACAAGCGTCTCGAGTTGGCTGGTCAGCTGCTCGCCCTCCTCTTCGAAGACCTCTTCAAGAAGTTCAACTCGGACCTCAAACTCAACATCGACAAGATTCTCAAGAAGCCCAACCGAACCGTCGAGTTTGACGCCTTCAACCAGTTCCACTTCAACGGCGACTACATCAGCAGCGGCTTTGTGCGCGCCATCTCGACGGGCAACTGGAGTCTGAAGCGTTTCAAGATGGAGCGTGCTGGTATCACCCATGTTCTCAGCCGTCTATCCTTCATCGCTGCACTCGGCATGATGACGAGGATCAGCTCGCAGTTCGAAAAGACGAGAAAGGTGTCGGGACCTCGTGCTCTGCAACCATCGCAGTGGGGTATGCTGTGTACTGCCGATACGCCGGAAGGTGAAGCCTGCGGTCTTGTTAAGAACCTGGCTCTCACCACTCACATCACAACAGACGTCGAGGAAGAGCCCATCGCACGGATCGCCTTCACTCTCGGAGTGGAGGACATCCATCTGCTCACCGGTGCCGAGCTGTATCGACCCGACTCGTACGTTGTCTACCTCAACGGTAACGTGCTTGGAGTGACTCGCTTCCCGCAACGCTTCGTGATGCACTTCCGCCGTCTCCGTCGGGCCGGCCGCATCTCCGAGTTTGTCTCGGTCTACACCAATCACCACCACCAGACCGTTTACATCGCTTCCGACGGCGGCCGCATCTGCCGACCCCTCATCATTGTCGATCCCGTCACCGGTCAGCCCCGTGTGACCGAGTCGCACATGCAGCAGCTTCGATCCGGTGCTCGCCGCTTCGACGACTTCCTCCACAACGGATTGCTAGAGTATCTCGATGTCAACGAGGAAAATGACGCCAACATTGCCCTGCACGAGCGCGACATCAACCCACAGCATACGACACATCTCGAAATCGAGCCGTTCTGCATTCTGGGCGCTGTGGCGGGTCTAATTCCTTACCCTCATCACAACCAGTCCCCAAGAAACACGTATCAATGCGCCATGGGAAAACAGGCGCAAGGAGCCATCGGATACAACCAGTTGATCCGGATCGACACGCTCCTGTACCTCATGCTTTACCCTCAACAACCCATGGTCAAGACACGGCATATCGAGCTGATTGGCTTCGACAAGCTCCCCGCCGGTCAAAACGCCATGGTAGCCGTGATGTCTTTCTCAGGCTACGATATCGAAGATGCGCTGATTCTCAACAAGGCTTCCCTGGACCGGGGCTATGGTCGAAGCCAAACCCTGAAGAAATCGAGTACGGTGATCCGCAAGTATCCCAACGGCACGCACGATCGTCTCGCCGACGCTCCTGTCGATGACACCACGGGCAAGCGTCCCAAGCGCTACGACATCCTGGAAGCCGACGGAATTGCAGGTGTCGGTGAGCGGGTGGAACAGGGTGACGTCTACGTCAATAAGCAGACTCCGATGAATGCGAACGACAACTCATCGGCGGCCATCATGGCCGGTGCGTCCGACGCGGCCGCCTCTGTCTCCTACAAGTCTGCGCCACTGTCCTACAAGCCTCCGGTCTCGGGCTACGTCGACCAGGTCCTCATCACGGATACTGACTCGGATCAGACACTCATCAAAGCGCTCATTCGTCAGACGAGGCGCCCAGAGCTGGGCGACAAGTTCTCGTCGCGCCACGGCCAGAAGGGCGTCTGCGGCCTAATCGTCCAGCAGGAGGACATGCCGTTCACGGATCAAGGCATCAACCCAGATTGCATTATGAATCCTCACGGTTTCCCCTCGCGAATGACCGTGGGTAAGATGATCGAGCTGCTCTCCGGTAAGGCGGGAGTAATTACGGGAAACTTGCAGTACGGAACCGCGTTCGGCGGCAGCAAAGTGGAGGACATGTCGGCAATCCTCGTCGCGAACGGCTACAACTATGGAGGCAAAGAGACCTTGACCTCTGGTATCACGGGCGAGTCGTTTGAGGCGTATACCTACTTTGGGCCCATCTATTACCAAAGATTGAAGCACATGGTGCAAGATAAAATGCACGCACGAGCTCGAGGACCACGAGCAGTGCTCACCAGACAGCCGACGGAAGGCCGATCACGCGATGGAGGCCTCAGACTCGGCGAAATGGAGCGGGACTGCCTCATCGGCTACGGAGCGACGCAGTTGCTGCTCGAGAGGCTTATGATCTCTTCGGACGCCTTCACGGTGCACGCCTGCCAGAAGTGCGGTCTCATGGGGTACAACGGATACTGTCCCTACTGCGCTACGAGCAAGCACGTCGTCAAGCTCACCATTCCGTACGGCACCAAGCTCATGTTGCAGGAGCTGATGGCGATGCAGGTGGTCCCGCGCTTGATCCTCGAGGATGCGGTCTAGGATGACAGTTTCGGGTCTAGTTCGATGTTTGTAGTGTCTCTTCATCGTCGCAATCATACCTTCACCATACTGAACGAAGCAGGCTGTGCCAGAGTGGAGTGAGTGCTCTCGAAAAGAAAAAGAAAAATTGAAAAAGAAAAAAAATCGAAAAAATCGGCCTCTCGAATTTCGCCGGTGATGGCCACCTGTCAAGCTGTGCAAGGCCAGGCCACACATGTGAGCTCTGCGCGGTCTGCCGTCTGCACGTCTGGCTGGCCCAGCCAAATTTGTTTCGCAGGCAGGGTTGTGCGACTCGTGTGTTGTGCGGGCTCGACGACACAATTTTACGGGACCCAGCGAAGTGGCGTTTGCGGGACGGGCTAAACGGTCTGGCGGAATGAGCGTGCCAGCAGAGCTTTAAGCGGTGGTCACGGCTGAGAAAGCGAGTTGACACTTGGGTCCTTGCACAGTGTGGTTGCGAGGTGAGTCTTGCAGTCGTCCACAGCCAATTGCTCAGCTGCGTTTGTCCGGAGTGGAGCGTGGCCTGAAGACGACATGACGGCGACCATGGCGTTCTTTCTGTCCAGCGGGCAGGTTGTTGTAGCCGATCAACTCGACGTGCCACGTCTTGACCATCGGCTGCTGAGGGTAAAGCAGCAGGTATAGAAGCATATCAATGCGGATCTGCTGGTTGTAGCCGATCGCTCCTTGCGCCTGCTTGCCCATGGCGTAAGTGCCCGTCAAGAAGGAGAGCTGGTTGATATGCTTCACCTTCGCCACTGGGTCATCCTGGTCCCATTTGATGGAACGGCGAGCGAGAAAGTTGCTGTTTGGCAGGGTGAGGCAATATACGAAGCCATCTTGGTGAGGGTTTTCGTAGATTTCGGGGTTTCTATTGCCCACCCAGCGCTCAGATTCGGCGTATGAGACGCTGATGCTCCAGCTGATGCTCTTGGCCGTCACATTGGCGGTCACACCGGTGTTGACTCGACCCTTGTACATGACTACCGCCTGTGTGTGATGGTGGCAGGCGTTGTGTCGCGCTCTTGCAGAGCGCTGTTAGCGTCGTTCTCTTCCTTGGCGTTGAGATGTTTGACCAACCCGTTGTGCAGGAAGTCGTCGAAGCGACGAGCGTCTGAAGCTGTTGCCATCGGGTACAACCAGCAGATCCGCATCGATACGCTTCTATACCTCCTCCTTTATCCACAACAGCCAGTGGTCAAGACCCGCCACATCGAGCTCATCGGCTACGACGAGCTGCCTGCCGGTCATGCTATGGCGCCTTCGAGTGCATTGGCCTGCTAGATATTTGCGGCATCGGCAGCTTTTGCAGCTCGCGGGTGTTGCAACGGCACGGAAGGTGTGTCGAGCACAGGTTCGGGTACACTGGGCTCGGCTGGCTGAGGCACGAGCTGTACATCAGCGCCAGCAGCGGCGGGAGGACACACTATGGCTGCGCCAGAGCGGGACACTGGAGGCACATTGGCGGCAGCAGCGGTGTCGGTGGCAGTAGCGGTGGAAACAGCGGTGCCAGAGGTGGTGGCGGCCGTGACAGCGGCGGGAGGGAATCTGGGAACACCGACAGCAGCACGTGCAGCATCATGTTTGACATGGAGAAACGCGCGGCCGGACTACACGTGTGTTGGGTTGAGAGCCTTGCCGCGCACGGAGATGCGACGGTTTCTGTGCGTCGTCGTGCCAGACTCATGATCCCACTGACCCTTAGCGACGCCGCTGACCCGGAGCGAAGACAGGCCGAGATTCTTGCTGATGTCCTCCGTCACCAGTTTCTCCAGCGTCCCTTCTTCCTCCCGGGTATTGACGTACCACCGATGCTCTGGTGTGACCATTCGCATCTACGATCGCGCTGTGTAGCCGGAAGAGGTTCTTCCGTCATTCTTGCGCCTGAAGGCCCTGGTCGGGGCCTGCCACTCCTGGGCCAAGGTCTCCTTGTTGAGGCTCATCACCTCATCATCCCCTCTGACCGAGGCAATGTTCTTCCAGCCCCTTCTTGTAAGAACATCTTGGTCGATCCTCGACGATTGATTCTGGTGCGGGTAAAGGTTCAGCCCGGCGACGGCGCGGAGGATTTTGAGAAATCTCAGCTCGAGATGGGTGGTGGCAGGCATGATGTCGCGCTCGTGCAGCGCGATGTTGACGTCGTCCTCCGCGTTGACGTCGAGATACTCGACCAGCCTGTCTTGAGGGAAGTCGTCGAACTTCTGAGCGTCAGAGCAAAGTTGCTGCATGTGGGCGTCGGTGACGCGAGGTCGAGACCAGGGGTCACCGCAGCGTCCAGACGATGTCTCCACAGACGAGTCATTGCGTTGCTTCAGGAGCCGTCAGTCGCTGCCACTCCCGCGCCAACGTCTCGCTTTAAAGCTTCATGACAATGCAGAGAGCCTCGCCATTACTCGTGGTTTCGCTCAATATCAACGGCTCAGCAGGATCCAAGGCCAATGAGACCGTCCCAAGCGGACCACGACGCATCGCAGCTACCGCTTGCCATCAGTCAGGAAGAATTTGAACCCACCATGCATGTGGCCAGACCTCAACTGCTTTATCACTCGACCACACTCCTCGTACACTCATCACCTCTGGCACAAGCGTGGCGCCCATCACTCAAACAGGCAAGCAAGCACATCGCACTCAAGCCCGCAACCTACATTCGAACACGCATCACTCACGCAATCACGACCAGCAAACAATCCAGAAAAGTGAAGATGTAGGAGATTGCAAATAGAAAACGAAGTTGCTGATCGAATCCATTCAACGACAATGCGAGCTCTTATCGAGCCGAAATGCATGTCAATGCAACATTTTTACTTGCCCTGGGGAGCGTCCTTGAAGGAGAGGCAGTGCTCCTCGCCCATAGCGGAGACGACGGTGATCATGAGGTCCTTGCCGTCGTCGAAGGCGGCCTGGATCTGGTCACCGAGCTCACCGTCGGGGACACGGACATCGTCCTTGGTGTCACCGTCGTTGGTCATGAGGTTGAGGAAACCGTCGTCGACGTTGACAAGCTGGTACTCCTCTCGCTTGACGTGGGGGACGTCCATGTTGTGGGTGGAGGGCGAGATGTCTTCGTACTTCTTCGAGGTGAAGATGTCGGTGGCGACAAGGTGGACCTTGGCGTGACCGTGCTTGCCGGTCTTGGAGGTGGACATGTCGACGATCTGCGAGGTGGAAAGGGCAAATGCGAGAGGAGGGTCAGTCGAGCGGTTCCAGGTGAGACGGTGTGAAGGATCCTTTCTCGAGGGCTGCCACTAGATGACGCGCGGAAGAGGAAAGCACTGCCGAAGGTGGAAGAGGACTGCGGGGTCTAGCATAGCCTGTGCTGGGACTCGGCACGGTTCGCTGAGGCGTCTCCGACTTTAAACTGTCCTTTCCCATCTGTTGCAAGAGCTTGCCTCTCCGCCACATCATACACCACCGTGTGTCGACTTTGATGTAGACAATAAGTGGCGCGAGCATTTGCGTGTCACCGTGGCGGGAATCCATTCGAGAAAAAACGAGAGGAGAAACTTACCTTGCAGGGGCGGCCCTTGATGACGACGTGACCGTTCTTACGCAGAGCAGAGCACTGCATAGGGAAGGTGAGCGAGGAACCGGCATCGGCGGTCTCGAAGGTAGCGTTGTGCTGCTCGTCGTCGGAGGCGGACTGTGGCGATTGGAGGGGAATGCAAGGAGAAAGGTCAGCGAACAAGTTCAGAACAGCAAGAGCGCGAGCGGTATCGAGGTGTAATCGCCATCTGCACGGAATGCGTGCTTGGCACAGCTTTAGAAGCTACGCAATGCTAGCCATGTTCCGTGCTGGAACGAGAGCTGAGATCGAGCCCGAGCTTCGAGCAGCCAGCAAGCAAGGTAGTCCAAAACGGCCGTCCGACGTATCGATGCAGGGTGATTCCATTTGATCTGAAGATCGGCTACGCTGCGGCGTGTCGACGAGGACTGCGAGGATCCGGCAGATGTGCGATGCGCTCGTTGGATATCGATGATCAACGTACCATTTTGACTGATTGATCTACGGGTGAATAGGTGGTGGTGAAGGAGAAGGCAACGACGAGAAGTCTCAGGTTTGATTGCCAACGACAAGAGCTGGCTGAGCGTCAGTGAAAAAAGGCCATTCTGCGTCTGTCTCTGTGTGCTTTGAGAAGAACTGCTTTTGGTGGCCAACAGGCACTTGGGCCCAGGCAGCGTCGAACGACTGTCGCCCTCTTGACTTTCATTTAACGCTCTGCAGCCTCTCGAAAAGTTTTTCTTTTTTCTTCCAGACCGGATTGTATTGTATGCCACCCGTTTGTAGTCCGGCCAAGGCAAGGTTGAACTGAGTCTGCCACCTCAATTACAAAACGCTCGAGCTCTGTGCATGCGGGTTGGCTTGAGAGTCAAAATGGCTCGCATTTGACTCGCTGCGAACGGCTCTCGCACCTGCCACCACCGCACTGACCAAAATCGCTCTCGAACACAATCCCCCCTTCTTGGCTAGCTTCACTATTATAGATTGGCCATCCAGCACCTTCGACCACGCTGTCTAAGCTGAGCAGCTGTAGCCTTCTGCAGTGCGAGTTGATGCATGTGTCTAGGATCGGCTTGTTAGAGAGTCTTGTCTGAATGGAGGCAAGGCACGAGGCGAATCGCAATCCAATGGCGGCGTCTTTGTCTTGTCGCACGAAACACGGCTCTGATATTAGCGCCAATTTCTCGTGTGTGTCGAATTCCCTTCGTCTTGCCCGGCTCTGCATATTTGTTCCCCGCTGGTTCCAAAAAGCTCCTGGCGAGCATGAACGTTATGGAGCATGTGACTTTCTCACCACCACTCGTGACTTTCGCCCTTCAAGCCAGCCAGCCACATCTCTACGCGACGTAACGCGAGAGGACGACCCTGCAGTCGAGTCCAACACTTCTTGCATCCTTCCTTGTCGAGCACCTTCGAGCTCGTCGGTCGACAGCCTCGTCGTCATCATCAGCGCTGAGGCGATCGCGCTTCGGACGCGTCGAACCGTCTGGCCGCTGTGGGAGGCGCAATTCGATAGGAGGTGGCAGCTCGACTAGGCATTGCTTCTCGGGACCAATACTTCACTGAGCGGAGAGCTTCTCTATACCGGCAAAGCATCATCGGCCAAGGATCATCAGCCAAGGATCATCAGCAGAGGATCATATACCCCGGCGAACCGATCGCGTTCACACCACGATGTCTTCCACCACAGAACCGGCCGCAGCGTCCGCGGAGCAGCTCGCGTCCGCTCAAGAAGATACCACGTCTCGCAGCGAGCCGTCCTCTGCTGCAGCTGCGGCGGCAGCGGCGATGCTCGAAAGCGCCAATCCTGCCGAGCGCGATCACATCGAACGCGACGTTTCCAACATCCTTGCTGGGCTGAATCAGGAACAGCTTGCCTCGATCGTCGCTGCAGCGCGGGCGTCCGAGGCGCGCAACGGCGATGGTTCCGCCCCCGATGCCTCGACCTCTTTCGACACTGCGTTGCCTCCCGGTCTGGGCCAGGCGGCGAGTGCATTGACGAGCATTGCGAGCGGTTTCAAGCGGACGCCTGGCAACGAGCGGGTCGAAGCAAAGGAACCGGTCACCGAGGAGATGGACGACACCACCGCCGCCACCATCGCCGCCGTCAAGTCTGCTACGGATACCGCCACCGCCGCTGCCCTCGCCAGTCTCGGCTCCCTCGCCAGCACCCCCCACCTCAACCAAGACGGAGAGGACTCGATGGATTACGAAAGCCCCAACGGCTCTCCTTCGCGCGGACTCAAACGTCCCCGTGGTCCTGAATTGGATCGCCAACGCAAAGATAACCACAAGGAGGTCGAGCGTCGACGAAGAAGCGCCATCAACGACGGAATCGTTTCCCTCAGTCACATTGTTCCAGGTTGCGACGCAAAGAACACCAATAAGGGCGCCATCATCCATGCCGCGGTGAGGTACATTCAGGATCTCAAGCATAACGAGGCGAGCAACATCGAAAAGTGGACGTTGGAAAAGCTGCTCATGGATCAGGCGATGGGGGATCTCACGGCGCAATTGGACGAGGCAAGGGCTCAGGTGGAACGGTTGAGGAGCGAATTGGAGGAGCGGTTGGAAGGCGAGGGGAGGGCCGCCGAGGGCAAGGCCTAGTTGCGTTCTCACATTCTCGCACACGATATGGATCTTTCCCACTTTGTATTTTAGCACCCCTTTCTGGGAACATTCTTTTCTTGATCTTCTGGCGTGCCTTTACCATCGCAGACTCAAGTTCTTATTTCTGACCATCGGACGGGTAATGACGATGCCGACCGACAGGATCGCGAGCGTCAGCAACAGCTGCGGCTTGTTGAAGCTGTCCTGCAGCACGTCGAACTGGCCACTGGGGCTGATGCGGGTGGCAAAGCTGTCCAGGCCGTAGGCGTAGACCGTCGAGGTGGACTCGAGCAGCGCTGGGCCGGTGGTGATGTGTCGGATGTTGGCAGCGGGGTAGACATGGTTGATCACCCACTTTGCGTCTTCCGGGATGAGCGGGTTGTAGGGGATCATGTACTCCTCGGCTTCCGACTTGGTTGGTTTGGAGGTGGGGCGGCGGGGATCGAGCAGCTTGCGCGGGAGCGAGACGAGCGATTCGCGGTCCGTCGCGAGGAGCAGGTTCTTCAGCGCAATGCCATACTTGGTGGTGGTCGTGGCGAGCGCGTGGACGGCGCCACCGGAGTAGAGGAAGGTGTGCATAAAGGCGATAGGCTGGATGGACGACGGGTGCGCTTTGCTGCTGTCCCCCGTGAAGCTGCTAAAGTTGCCCGTGAGACGCGACCAGGAGGAGGAGAGAGCTGCGCGGGCAGCCTTCTTGCCTTTGCTTCCGGCGTTGACAGGCTCGTCGTCATGGGTCGACTTGGGCTCGTACAGCTCCACAGTGACGATATGACTCGAGAGACCCTCATCGGCATTGCGCACCGAGTAGGTGGCGGTGATCCAGTTCTCTGCCAGGTGCGCGCGGATCGGCTGCGCTTGGTCCACCTCGTCCAGCTGCAGCTCGTACAGCACACCGCCCGTCACTGTATCCAACAGGTACAGGTGCGCCTGGTTGGCGCCCGGGCTCTTGGTCACAATCAGCGACGCATGCGGGTTCAGGTACTTATACAGCGTCGACCTATCGCCCAGCACGCGTCCATACGAGGCGATGGCATCCTTGCTCGGAGCCTGTAGCACCTCGACCACCTCTTCACCCGCAGGCACCGTCCACGACCACACCTGTTTGGACCTGTGGATGCTGCTCACGCCCTTGTCCAGTGCGTATCCGACGAAGCGCGCCGACGTCGTCGCCGAAGCGGCCGGCTTCTGCACCGCAAAGTAGTAGCGGTCCGAGATGGGATCGAATCGTTCCGCTACCGCGAGCGTGTCAGGGTAGAGGTAGAGGTTGTTCTGCTGATCCACGAGGCCGAGAGACTGCTTTCGCTCGACGGGGTCTTCCACGGACGGAGGAAGCAGGAACGCATCCTGGCATCGGCCCACAAAGATGTTCTGACCGGACGAAGCGTCGTTCAAGAATTCGCCCGTGAGCGGGTTGAGCTCAAAGACACGGGTCGAGTAGAGGCCAGGCTGCAGCTCGACTTCGGCGACGATGGCCAAGAGCGGAGTCTTGCCGTCGGTCGAAAGCTCGCGTACGGTCTGCATGAGCTTGATGTTGACCTTGGGCTCTGCCTCTCCCTCGCCGTCACCGTATCCGACCAGCGACTTCTCCCAGACCACGGTGTCCTTTGCGATCGTATCGAGGGCGTAGAGCTTGCCCTTGGCGGTGGCGACCACGACGACTTTGCGGAAGCCAAAGGGATCGCGGAAGAGGGTCGAGGTGGTATTGGCGTCGGCGATGCGAGGGGCCAGTGACGTCGGCTTCTTTTCTTGCTCCTGCTTTTGCTTGGCTGGCTTTTTGCCCTCCTTGACCATCGTGGTGGCTACGGCAGAGGTAGCAGTGGCGCTAGGAGTGGAGCTGGTGCTGGCAGAACCTAGCTCTTGACCGTACGAGCCGGTGGCGAAGCGTTTGACGAACGCGATCGTGTACTGGGGCAAGTCTTTGAGCGATAGTGCGTGACGAGCGAGACGCTGGACAAAACCTTCGTGGTCCAGCGTAGCAGCCCCGCCGGGGATCGCAGTGAGTTTCTTCTCCGGGAGGTCGACGAAGACGGCGTGGGTGGTCTGCGTGAGACCCTCTTCCAGCATCCACTGGTGCTGATCCTCGAACAGGAGACGGATGGATCCGCTCGACGTGGTCACGACCGTTCGCGAAGCAAGCTGGTATTGACCGACTTGACTTGCCTCGAAGGTGGCAGCGAGGACGCTGCCGTGCATGTCGTGGTCCCACTGGAACGAGAAGCCGCTGACCTGACCGTCGCCACCGTTCTTGGCATCGACCCAGAGAAAGTGGAAGTTGAGCAGATGCTGCGCGCGCGAAAAGAAGATGCGCTGGAGATAGGCGCGGCCCTGTCGGTCGTAGGTGCCTGCATAGACAGCGTCGAAGGCATCCTCCTCAAACTCCCAGAAGCTGGTAAACTTGGCATCGGCCGAGACCTTGAGCACTTCAGCGAGACCGTCGGAGCGCTGACCGACAAAGAGGCCCCTGTTGGACAAGCCTGCATCGACCAAGCCGGTGAAGGTCGCGTCGGAACGTTTCGAGTAGATGACCTGGGGCTGTGCGAAGCGCTTGCTGGGCGGGTCGAGGGGAGCAGCTCGAATCGAGCCGTCCTTGTTGAGCCAAGCAACCCAGGAGCCAGGATTGGCCGTGGGCGGCAAGTTGGGCAGCTGGTTCCAGGGCAGGATCACGACATTGGCGGCAGAGCTGAGGCCCGATGGAATCTCGTGCGTGGTGAGGAGCTCACCGGTGTGGGCGGAGAGCGTAGCGACCGAAATCGAGTTGTACACGGAGCCCGTGTTGCGCAGGAGCGAGACGACGTAGATCTTGTCCTTGTTGGCGACGATGCGAATGACAGAGCGGTGCGAGATGTCGTCCTGAGGCTCCCACTTCCACACCTCTGCTCCAAAGGCGCCATTCAGACGGCGGACGGTGTGGGCATTGGTGAGCACGACCACGTCGGGCGGCGTCTCGGCCGTGGCGTTTTCGGTGAGGAAGACAGCATCGGTGGCAGGGAAGCCCGGCTCGGGAAGGAGCCCATCACGAATGCTGTGCTGTGCTGACTCCCAAATGAGGAAGCCAGTGAAGGCGTGGAAGAGTCGGACGTTGGCACCGCCATGGCCTGAAATGACGAGCGCCGACTCGGCAAACTGTTTCTGAAGCAAGACCTGATCGTGTTCCGCAAGCACCTGACGCCAGACGATGGCGCCGTTGCGTGGGTTGAGCGCGCCAACGGCGTTCGACTCGGTCGCGATGAAGATGGCGGTCTGTGCCTTGTCCTTGACGTCGGCGTCGGGCTTGATGATGCGATGGAATCGAGGTGAGAGGTAAGGGGTGGCCGAGTCGTTGGAGGTATGAGGGACGCCCATACGAGGTACGTGCCAGTCGATCTTGCCTGCCTCTGCCTTGGAGAGGGCAGATGCGCTGTGTGCGCCCAAAAGCAGCGTCAATAAGGAGGCGAAGAGGGCGAAGGCGGTGAAGCGGGCCATGCGACTACGCCGCCCTCCTGATGATGAAGTGGGCATTGCACGCAGCATGATCACCGAGCTGTTTTGCTGACTGCAAGCAGGGCTACAGCTGAGTGAGTGATGGGTGTGACCGAAGGTGATGGGCGGAAAGGTAGCCGACGGAGCCTGTTTGCAGACAGAGTGATGACAGCAGACTCGGCCGTGCGCCAAAGAATAACCTTGTGACAGGCGAAAGCGTGTGTGTGTCTTGAGAAGAACACGCTGCCAGCTCAAAGCCCAAAGCGGACTGTGCGTCGGCACGCTCAACCTCGGCCAGAAAAAGCTCAAGACGCGTTTCAAACCCAGAGTTGGTCTAACAGCCTCAGATTATTCGTTCGGAAGCTTGGAAGAGGAGATGAGCGCCAAAGCGGGACTGGCTCGCGCTTCATCACTCACGAGCGCAGCGCATCGCTTCGCATCAGTGACGTGAAAAGTCAGCCTCGACTGAACCCTTTTCGTCTTTGGACTCGACCGCGGCGCACGGCGCGGATCCAGGCGAGCGGAAATTGAGCACGGCCTCGCGACCCTTTCCTGTTTGCTGAAGCAAACAACGCAGCAGCAGCAGCAGAAGCAGCAGCAGCGAGAAGCGAGCAAGCCAACTGCAGCAGCGGCCAATAAATGCACGGCTCGGTCGTGTTTCGCTTCTGCTTCGCCCCCGCACTGCATCCACCATTCAAGTGTTCTGGTACGCCGTCAGTTTCTTCCTTGCCTCGAGACACCACCTCGCTTCCTCGTCCTTGCCTTCCTTTCAGCTGACGTGCAAGCAATCTTCGCGATCGCTGCTACCTTGCTGCGACAGAAGCTGGACGTCCCTAATTGCAGCTGTGCGCTTCGGACGCAATCTCAGGGCTCGAGCTGATCACACGCACGACCCTCGCTACGCCGCCGTTGGTCGACGGCCTTCGGATCGACATCCGCCTCTCTCATTTGCAGCAACGACCTCACAACGCAATCCACCTTCCTTCGAGCTGCTTCCGACGGGTGCGTTGACTCGCTTGTGATTGATCGCAGACATCCCGCGGCCCCCTCATTTTCACTTCGGCTTCGTCCGATTTTAGGACCGTCCCCTGGTGACTTCATCTCGTTTCGGTCCAACACCTCCGTTCGCCGACGGACCCCAACGTCAAAAAGGACCAGACTCGGCACAGCGGCGGCGCCACTCGATCTTCCTTCTGTCTCTCCCCATTGTATCCTCGGCCCCTCCGCCAATCGACCATTGATCCCGCGTCGGCGCCCTCCGTTGACCCAGCGAGTGGGCTGAGTCGCAACAACAATGCCCAAAGACGACGTCAGAAGTCAGGACGTGGACGCCTCGGCATCCTCCGCCAGGGACGATGGCGACTCCAAGGACAAGCCCAAAAAGGTGCTGCGCGCCTGCGACGCTTGTCATCATCGTCGGGTGAGATGCAATCACAACAATCCTTGCGACAATTGCATCCGACTCAACATCAACTGCACCTGGATCAAGGCTTCCAAGGGCAAGCAGGCTTCGGGTCGTCGCATCGATCTCCTCCGCAAGGGACACAATCCGGCCGCTTCCGAGCTTCCTCCGTCGCCGCCCAACGCAAGGCCGTCTTCTCACGACATTGCTTCTATAACCCAGCCCAGTCCATCGGGATCACGCACCGTCCTGCCGCCACCAGGTCACGGACACCCAACCTCACAGTCGCCTCGACACTATCAGCATCCTCCTCCTCCCGGCGGCTCTTCCGCCATGAGTCCACCAGGCTTGCCTGCCAGCGCGACGTCTCCTTCCGGTATGATGTCTTCCTCGAGCCTCTACTCGCGTGATCCACCGACCATGTCGTCCAGAAGTTCGTTCGGCGGCGGTAGCTACAGCAGGTACGACGCGAACGCGCAGGGCGGCGGAGCCGGTGCAGCCCAGCACCCGTCCCCCTCGTCCCACTGGTCCAGCCCTACTACTCGCTCGCCTGGCAACCGCTACTCGTCCCAGAGTGCCTATCCGCCGCAGGACTATCCACCTCCGCATCTGCCGCACTCGTCGTCTTCGGGTCATCATCACCCGGCTCATCAGTCGTACCCACAGCAATCGCCATCCCAATCTTATCCGCATCACCAGCAGTATCAACAGGTGCCGCCGCATCATGTAGCCAGCCAGCCGCCGCCGCATTCGCAACGGCATCCTTCCCATGCCAGCGTGCACAGCAACAATCCCGACACAGCAGGCAGCTCCGCCACCAATCTCGGCTTCGTCCCTTCCGAGGCCTTTTCTCACGGTCTAGACGGCTCCTTCTCCGAGCTTGCACCTGATGTCGCAGCGGGTTTGCGTCTGCCGGACTTTGGCACCTCGCTCGCCGATTCTTACCTCAATCCGGCCGAAGGCGGCGATCGTCGACGCAATGTGCTGTTGGACATGAACACAGGTACCGGCCCGCAAGAGGGCTCTACCAATGCTTCTCACGCAATGAGCGGCACCGCAAACGATTTTGGAAACGCCTACCAGCCCTACGGCAACGGGAGCAATCCCGCTCGAACCTTCCTGGATGTGCTCGGTCAGAACAGTCAGATGCTCGCCGGTCCCGGGTCGACGCCTGGCTCTGTCAGCCAGTCCGAGACCGACTTTGCCAGCAATGAACCTCACCCGCTCTCGGACTCGGTGCTCATCCCGAGCATCGCCATCTTTTTCGAGCGTCTCCAGTCGATCATGCCTGTCTTTACTCGAGCCTGGATTTTTGGCAAGATCGACCGTGGAGAGCACCGCACCGACCCGCAGCTCGGCGCCATGCTCATCGCCCTCTCCGCCTTTGCCCTCTGCCAGCCCGTCGACTCGGCTGATCCCGTCGACAGCTCCTCTCGCAAGCGCAGGATCCGTCGGCTGCTCGAAGAGTCGGTCAAGATGCGCAACAGCGCCCTTCTCGGCAGTCATCCTTCGCTGGAAGCCATCATGGCGTCGTTTTTCATATTTGGCACGCTCTTCGGTCTGGGCGAGGAGAACGCTGCGTGGTTCCGTCTGCGCGAGGCAGTCACCCTCGGTCACCTCCTGCGCATCCACGAGACGTCGTCCTACGAGCACCTCGACAAGGACGAGCAGGAGCGCAGGCTACGCGCTTACCTTCTGCTGGCCATTACGGAGCGTGCCTACGCGATTCAGTCGGGCTCCTCGATTACTTTCAGGGGCAACCCGCGCAAGGCGACCGACTCGATCCGGCGCAAGTTCGACGTCGCCCAGCTGCAAGACTTTCCCAACTTGCAGAGTCGACTGTTTGACGTGGTAGATGAGAAGTTTGTCGACTGTTGGAACCGCAAGTGCCCCGGACCGGGTTGTGACTATTTGGACGCAAAGCGGGCGATCCAGCTGCACCGCGCGATCAAGGAGAGCGACGAGGACGAGCAGAAGGAGAAAGAGTCGTTCACGCGGGATCGCTCCTCCGGCCCCACTCGGCGCGACGGCTCCCACCACGACCGACGACACCATCCCTATGGCGGGCATCATGCCAAGACCGAGGACGCCACCACCGGCGGTGGGGGACATGGAAGCAAGTCTGACTGGGACAAGAGCAAAGTGCAGAAAGCCGACGTCGAGGTGACGCGACAGTGGCTGCTCAATCGATTGTGGATGACCTGCCGCTCGCATGCTCTTCTCACAGCGGACGCTGAAGAGGAGCCCCTGCGCATCGACTATGCCATCGACATTGCGCGTGAGACGCTCCGCGTCTGCAACTCGCTGTCGCTCCGATCGATGGAGGCGCACGGCATTGGGTTGACAAGGAAGCTCAACGACATTGCTCAAACACTGGTCATCGTATGCCGTGATTATCCGGCGATTGCCATGTCCGTGCCGTTCGAAGGCGACCCAATCAAGACCGACCCAACGCTGTTCGGACCCTACTTCGGGCCTTCCCCTCCGGACGCGTCTGCAACGGGAGGCAGCTACCAATCACCCACGTCCAACATGGATACGACCAGCATCGTGGATCACCCCTCAGCTTCGTCGCTCGGCGGCGGCGTCCCTCTCGACAAGGCCTTCTCCCCCTCCTACGCCATCGAAGCCATCCTCCACAAGTACCTGGACATCTTCAAGCGCTTCCGAGGAGGAGATCACCCTTACCTGCCTCTGCTCGTAGAGGCCGTCAAGGAGCTGCCCAAGATGGCCGAGCTGAGCTTTGACCGCTTCTTGCGCGAGATGGGTCTTTTCTAAGCCTGAATGACAAAGTATCTTGTGCCAGCTTTGTACCATACGGTTCTTTCTGCACTCGTAGTTTGCAACGACTCAGGTTTGAGGAATACAAGAAAGCATTCTATTCGCATTCAACATACAGTTTATCCCGACTTGGCCTGCTTGACCGCCTCGTCGACCTTCTTCTCGATATCAAGCCCAATGAGCACATCGAGCGTCCTGACGAACCACCATCGTCCGCACTCGCCCTCCTCATCGTCCGTCTTTGCGTCCTCCAAGGGGAATCCGACGTGCTCTGCGACCTTTTCTGCGAGCTTCTGCGTCGCCGCCTCCCGTCCTTTGTCCAGATCACTCTGCTTGATGAGATCGAATTGGACCGCAGTGTTGAGCGCCTTCTCGTCAGCGAAAGGGAATACTTGTGGCCACTGACTCTGAACGCGACGGAGGAAGATCTCCACGCCTCCAGGGCCCAATCCATTGACCTCCTTGGTCAACACGCTCTTGACAGCCTCTGCGACGTCGAACGAGTTGTTCTTGTCCTTGGCCTGGTCGAGTGCTTTGTCGAGGATGGGCTTGAGGGTGTCCTCCCCGTCTTTTCCGGCACCCTCACAGAGCTTCGTAATGCCCTCTGCGAGATTGCCCAGCTGGACGGCGGTCTTTTCCTTGTGCTGGGTCCTAGCTTCCCACAGCGCGGCGCGCCTCCCCTCGTTGCCCGCGTCAATCAGGTCCTTCGCAGTATGGAAGTAGTATGGCTTGTTCAAGAGCGTTTCGATCGCCCGCAGACCGAGCGTGTGCGAGATGGGCTTGCTGAGGAGGATGGCGCAGAGGAGCGTCTGGAAGCTTGTCAGGTCGCTGTTTGGGTAGCTGAGGTGGCCAGCGTCCTTGGCGCCCTGACGCTTGTTCTCGTAGGGCTCGGGAGGCGTGCGCACCGTTTCCCCACCTTCAGCCGCCAGGTCGGTTTCGCCCTTCCCTTCGGGCACGTCAGGGTGCGCCAGCTTCCACGCCGCCGAGGAGTGAAGCCAGGTCAGAGCGTCGTGGTACGACTCGAGCTTGCTCTGCTGCTCGGAGAGGACCGCGTTGGCATCCTTGGACGAGGTGGTCTTGGGCTTCTTGGTGTCCGGCTCGGACTTGGCGGGCTTTGAAGCTGGCGCTTCGCGTTTCGTGCCTGACTCCTGCTTGGGTGCAGCCTGAGAGCCCGATGCTGAACGACGTGTAGCTACCATGACGATCGAGTGTGTTGCGTGGGGATGATGTGATGGACGAAAGAGAATGGGTGAGAAGATTCAAAGGACTGTTGTAGGGATGCCGGCTTGACCTGCTTAGGCTGAGCTTGACGTCTACGACATGTCAAAACCCCGGACAGGCCGGACGCCGGACAGACGGCCTTCTTCTGGTAATGACGCTCGACCCTGACTCATCTTGAGCCAAAAGGCGGGTCGTGCGCTGGTTCGCTTCTCGCGTAAACGAACGTGATGGTGACAGGTTGATGTGGAGGCAAGAATTTGAGGGTGTTAGAGCGGCTCTTTACTAATTGGCTTAACAGCCTTGGTTTCCCGCCAGGGTCCAGCAGCAAGGTAGATCATCTGCATGACCAACTGAGACATGGAAAAGGGGCGCCCTTCCGGTCGACGAACAGCATGCAGAGTGGCGCTTCAATGGACGAAGCATGGTCGGCTGATCATATCAGCCACTGAGCTGGCAGTGGACCATCCGTTGAAGCTCACTCAGGATGTCGTTTCCATCCGATGGTCGGGTCAGAAGAAGCGGACTTGCGATGTACGCTTTGCAGCTTCCGTCTGTGACTGAGCCATCTTCTGAAAGGACGTCCGGAAGAGGGAGCCGATGCGACTCATCCGTGACAGTGACGGAAGATCACCGTGAAGAGCCACAATTCGGTACATCCGCGAGACCGACGGGAAGATCGATCGCTTCTTCCGGTTGTTTGGCTGACCAAGCCGGAAGCTGCCGACTCAGGGGCTGATTTGCTCACTGCAGCGTGGGAAAGCAAACTGTTTGAACCCTTGATGGTCACCCGGAAGAGACTTGAGACATGGAGCCCGCATCGACAGGCCCCTGAAGATCAATACAGCATCGCATGGCGTGGGCTGACGGCTCGCTTGGCGCTTGCCGCCCCTGTTGCTCATGTGCTGTTGCATCTACGTGCAGCGCTCAAGAACGAAGGCGGATGCATTTTGCCGAATTTCTCCTCCGTCGTTCGACGCCGAGGGAGGGCGAGACCGTGGGAGCAGGTGCGTGTTTGACAGAAAGTCGCGCGTCCTTAGGCTCGGATCGAGCTAGACCAACACTTGACACTCGACGCCTCCTTTTGGCAGCGAGTGCGGCGTCAGAGCAGTCTCGAGATTTTCTGGCGGTAAGCTCAATATTTCATTTCGACTTTTCTGGATGCTTGGCTGGCGGGCTGGTTGGCTGAGCCTGTTGACTGGTTCAGCTCGAGAGAGCCCCTGGCCGCAGCTGACTTACAAGCGAGACACACACATGTACCCATCCCTGGTGTATGCTTACCCCCTTACCTCTCCTGCCATCATCAGCGTCGTCCGTACCTACCTACTTCACCACCAGCATCGATACCCAGCCTCACCGGCCGCACATACATCTCGGAATCTCACGCTCCATCTCGCCAGCCGCCTCCACCGCGACCGAGCGTTCACTTGATATTCAGCCTCTTACACCTCTCGACCATCCTAGGAATCATAGCGTCTCGCTGCTCAATCATTGCTGGCAAGAGCAACGTCAACGGTGGACGAGTCTCCAAGACCTTCTGTCGAAAAGCCGCAACAAATTTCACTCTGTCAGAGGCCGTCATGCCGGCCACCACGAGGTAGTCCTCTGTCGATCGCCAGCGACCAGTCCTAACCGCACCTCTCGGCCACACCGCTCCGCGCTGAGCTACCGGCTGGTCCGGTCGTACCTTCTCCAAAATGGCGTCCATCCCGAGACGCGACTCGTCCATCTCCTTCCCGACCCTTCCGGACTCGCCCGTCAAGCCTTCAACCCAGGCACCGCTGCCTACCTTCCTGACTTCGCAATGCGACGATGGCGACGAGCACGACTCTATGCCACCTCCTCGTGCCACTGCGCTGCCCGCATACCATAAGCCCTTCCCATCGAGCTCTCCAATGACTCAGACACAGCGACAATCGATCGTCTCGGATGACTCTTCCGCCGCTTCATCGGCCGACTACTTCGGTACACCCCTACCCACCAGCAGACCGATCTCGGGGACCACCCTCGCATCATCTCGACCGTCCTCCGTCGCATCCAACGCATCTTCGAGTAGTCAAGTGCAGGGTCAGCTCACATCATGTGCTGATTTGCTCAGTCCAGGGCTGGCATCTGCTCTGGGCCTTCTACCTCAAAGTTCCAGCAACTTGGCGTTCCCAAGCTACAGCAGGAACTACGGAGCACAGCAAGGACAGGACGCCGGGCCATCAAGAAGCAATAGTGGCAGACATACAGGCGCTCATGCAGCGCAGCGACGCGTCCGAACTCAGAGCGCCCACAGCGGCAACCTCGCCACCCGACGTCCTTCCCTCCCCACAACCACAAGCGCCCAGCATCGTATCAGCGTCGCTAGCGTCTCCAGCTTCGAGAGTCTGCCTGAAGACGAGATTGTCCACGGCTTTCTCGCGCCTGGCGTCTCGCGCGTACCAAGCTATGATCGCGGCGCTCGCATCGCCAATGTCAATGGCAGCAATGTCGGACGCAGTCACACACCGGAACGCTCTGGCTCGTCTTCCTCCCTCGGCAGCACTTCGTTCGCAACCTCATCGGAGGGCCACAGCGATCATCTGCATTCATCCGAGCCGGTCCCGGGCTTGTCTTCCTCCGCCTCCTCGGTTTCTTCTGCGCATGGAGCGGGTGCGAGCTCCACGTCTACTATCACCGCAGGCTCTTCCCGACCTAGCTACTTCCTCCGTCGTGCTGCCACCGCACCCGTCGCCGATCTGTCCGTCATGATGGCTCATCGCCAACGCCTTGCCAGAGAGCTTCTCGACACCGAACGCTCCTTCGTCGCCAGTTTGACGCTGATTGACCAAGCATACTACCAGCCTCTGATGGCCAGCCTCGGCAAGGGCAAAGCGCCCGTCTCTACCACCGCACCAGCACCGATCCTGTCCCGCAAATCCGCCAACGACATCTTTTCCAACTTCTACGACATCATGCAACTCAGCAAAGAGCTTCTCAGTCAACTCGAAGAACGTCTGCAGGTCGCACCTTCCCCAGTTCTCCCTGCTGAAGGCTTGCGAACGAGTCAGATTCGAGCGCAAGCTGTAGCAGAAATGGGGTGGAAGGCTTCCACGGACAGCATCGGAGATATCCTTGCCACCCTGGCGCCCTTCCTGAAGATGTACTCGACATTCGTCAAGAACTTCAGCAGCGCTCTCCAACGCATCGAATCCGAGCAAAAGACCAACGAAGCGTTCGCCAAGTTCCTCAAGGACACAGATCAACAGCGTGCTGCCAAAGAGACGGTGACAAGCGCCACTGGCAGCGTGCGCCACTCGTTCGGCTACGGCCTCGGCTTTCAGGCTCATCTGCTCACCATCGTCCAGCGGATCCCGCGCTACAAGCTTCTCGTGGACGACCTTGTCAAGTCGACGCCCGACACGCATCCGGATCACATGGACCTCAGGCGTGCCAGCCACATGATCGAGCAGGTGGCGTCGTACATCAACGAGAATGTGCGACAACACGAGATGGTGCTCACCATGCTCGGTCTGCAAAAGAGCTTGCAGGGTCTCACTGAGCCGCTCGTCGTCCCTGGCAGGGCTCTCCTCAAACGCGGCACCCTGATGAAGACGTGCCGACGCAACATTCAGCCACGCGAGTTCTTCCTCTTTACGGACTGTCTCATCTACGCCAGTCCGATTTCTGGTGGCATCGAGTCGGCGTCCGCGGCTTGGAGTATGCTGGCTCAGCGCGGTGGGCTGTACGGCGGTAGCGTCTTGGATCAGGCCACTTCGCCGATACTGAGCTCCTCTGCGACTGGAGCGTCCTCGCCGATCGAAACCGTCTTGACGCCATCCGCTAGCATGTCCGGACCCATCAACCCACGTGCACGCCTCATGTCGGTGCCGGAGCCTTATACGCCCTTGGCTGGCGCCATCTTCTCGCTGACTGGTCATCAGCTGCAGTTCCGCGCCAAGTTTGGCCTGCGTGACTGTACGATCGTCAGCGTCGAGGGCAGCAGTAGCGAAGGTCTGCGTCACTGTTTCGAGATCCGAACGCCGGACAAGTCGTTTGCCGTCTACGCCGAGAACCAGGCGAGCAGAGAGGCTTGGGTCAACTGTATCCGAGATGCCCGTGCAGACCACATGTCTGCTCGTCGAACGCTGAAGGCCGAGGAGGACAGCATTGAGGCGAAGAGGGAGAAGCGTCGATCGCTGTACAAGATCGATGCATCCAAGGTGGCCGACCGACGTCTCAGCACGCAGAGCCTGGGAGCCTACCTCGCTGCGACCAACTTGATCGGGAGGGACAGGACCGTCTCGCAGGCTGAACAGGTGGTCGAAGGAAGCGCTTCGAGGTCCGTCTCGCGAGAGCGCGAGGCTGGGCCGCGTCGATCGCGCGTCGACTCGCTGCCCAACTTGCTGATGCGACCTCCCTCCTTCCCATCTTTTGCAACCAGCGGCACGAATCTGTCGTTGGCCAACCTGCTTGCGACGAGCCCATCTCCTGCCGCCGCCGCTCCACTCCGCGTGCTCGAAGACTACAACGCGCCCGTGTGGGTGCCCGACAACCGCGCAGACAAGTGCTGCAACTGTCAAGAAGCCTTTGGCATGTGGCGCCGCAAGCATCACTGCAGGCTTTGTGGACAGGTGGTCTGCTGGACGTGCTCGCAGCGATCGTTCCTCATTCCCAGCTATCACGACACCGAGCCGGACCGCCCGGCACGAGCCTGCGATCGATGTTATGACAGCGTCTTTCCGCCCGACATCGCAGAGGAGGCTGAGGCGGGTTTAGCAGCAGCGGCAGCAGCATCGGACGCCACAACGGGAGCAGACAGCGTCGAGATGTCGTCGGCGCCAAGCACGAGCACGGATGACAGTGTTAGCCAGGCGCTAGGTGGTCTCCGGATTGGCGCGTCAGACACTGACACGGATGCGGAAGGTATCCCGCGGACGCCTGATGCCGAGCGCGATCTTTCCGCCGACAGCGCTGACATCGAACCGAGCCCGATCGCCATCTCTCCGATGGCAGACATGGTGACAGGTCGATCTGCGCTTGCCAAGAAGAGCGGGGCCGATGCACGACCCAAATCGCTGCGATTCGACATGCTGCCCCACGCCGAACTGGACTTCGATGCTGTGCCCGAAGTCGGTGCTGTCTCCACCAAAGCGTCAGCTAGCCGCATCGAAGGCACTTCTCCAACGTCGTCGCCCACCCCTCAACCAGCATCACCACAGGGCGGCTGGCACAGCAGCGCAGCCGCACGCACCTCACCCCTCCGTCCCTCGCAGCCACCCGTCCTCCCCACCCGCAGCAATTCACTCGCCAGCCCGCTCGCCGCCGCTTCGCCCCGCATCCCCGAAGCCCGCACCAACCGCGCCTCGGCACTCGAAGCGCACCACCTGTTCGCCAACCACACGCGCACCTCGCAGATCCAAGCTGCAACATCGGGATCGGGCACGTTCCGCCTTGTCACGCCGCGACTTACCACGCCTGAATCGGAGCTTCCGCCCGGGGCAAGGAAGAGCATTCTGGACTCGGGCTACTTTGGCGCGCGGGCGATCGAGGAGGTTCCCGAAGAAGGAGGGTTCAAGCCGTGGATGCTGCACGGTCCACAGGGCGTGCAGGGAAGACCGCAGCGGAAGAGGCCGTTGAGCGCCGCGGCGCGCTTGAGCAGCTTCTATGGGCCACTCCTGGCCAAAACGCAGAGTGGACAGGAGACTGTCAAGGTCGATGAGGAGGGCACCGACAAGGTGTGAGGTGGGAAGAAGAGAATATCAATTTATCAGTTTCAGGTTTCGCATATCATACCCAGAGCACATTTTATATCATGCACGTACGCAATACACCATTCGGATTCGCACAATCGTAGCTAGCAAGCGTGGGTGAGCACAAGCGTCATGAGTCTGAGACGAGCAAGGATGAGTACGACCGGTTTGTGCGCATGGACCTGCGAACAATGCAGATGGGATCAGCTCGCTCGCCACGACGACGCAGCTCCGTCGTGGGCTTCTTTCGAATGTGCCCGTCTTTGCTCATTTGACACGAGGGCGGTGCTCAGGGTCACGCTCACGGTCACGCTCGAGGGCGGCCTTCGCTTATATCCTTGCGCACGGCCGTCACGACACAAGCAGAAATCGACACAAGCCATGAAGAAGTATCGTGCACGATAATGTCATTCAAGTGGTATCATATAAAGCGAGCTATTGACGAAACAAACAGTGGTATAAAGTGGAATGTTCACGACGAGACCTCGGCCATGCTAGGCGATGCTAGCTTAGTTGGCGGGGACGAGGTGGTAAGCCTGCTGCTGGGGCTGGGCAGGGGCGCCGTAGCCGGCGTTCTGAGCGGGGGCAGCGTAGCCAGCGTTCTGGGTGGGAGCCTGGAAGGCGGCGTTGGGGTGAGCCTGGTGCTGAGCGGTGGTGGTGGGCGGGTAGTCGGGCTGGTTGGTCACCGGGGTAGGCTGGGTGTTGGTCGTGCCGGCAACGTGCTGCTGGGGAGCAGCTGCGGCAGCGACAGGGGCGGAGCTGGTAGCCGTCGAGCCGTGGAGCTGCTCCTTCTTCGCCTCGCGAGCGTGCTCACCCTGCACCTTTTGCTGCTGAGCACCGGCAAGCTGGGACTCCTTACCCTGAAGCTTCGCCTTGTGGTCAGCAATGGCCTTCTGGGCACTGTCCACCTTGAGCTTCTTCTCCTCGAGGGTTCGAACGGACTGGTTGTGCTTCGTCTGTGCCTTTTCAAGCTTGGCGGCGAGCTTGTGCTCCTTAGCGATTGCCTTCTGATGCTGTTTCTCGGCCTTGGCGTGCTGCTTAAGGAGCTTAGAATCCTTCTTTTTGTCCTTGCTGTATAAGGTTCATTGGGTTAGATGACGAGGAAGAGATGTTAGCCAACCTGTCAGGCAACCATAGCTTGCAAAGAACAATATACGAACTTGAACTCCTTCTGAGCCGATTTGAGCTGCTTGTCGTCCTTCTTAGCCTCCTTGGCGAGCATCTTCTCCTCGCGCTTGACTTGCTTTGCGTCCATGGCTGATGTGTTGTGTGATGTGTTGAAATGTGATGAAGGTGTATGAATTCTTATGCGGAATCAGGTAAATTCGTAAGCGGGTGATTTGACCGGAATATATAGCTTTCGGCGCAGCCATGAGAGTTGCTACAGCGCACGCCTCAAGAGGGCGCAGCTGTGTCTGACGTAGTCTGCCGCAGCCCAACAGATTGAGCAGCCCCTAGACCTCGTAAGCGTTGTTGCGAGAGGCGTCACAGAGCCCTGCCATTCTTGGCGGGGTGGCAGACAATGACGTCATGACGTCATAGCAAGCGGTGTTCCGCATATGAATTCTCCGCATGAATTACCTCTTCTAGCACGCCTGCATGCGAGAGAGCTTTCTTTTTTTAGAGCTCGTGTCGATGACCCTTTTCGTGTTGCAACATCGGTCAATGGCGCCGGCTTCTGGCGTCATGTTGTCTGTTCTCGGCGCAGGGTTTGATGGAGTTTCCGTTGTCGTGGTGTGTAAACATAGCTAAACGCGTCATGGAACCGTGGCATGCTTGCACCTGTCATGACGGTATGCGCTGCAGGTGTCTGGTGTCACTGAACAACCTTGGCGCCGAATCATCCCTTACGAGTCTCGACAACACGGTGCTGTCACGGGCCTTTGCCACCCTGACCTGCTTCGTAGACACAGCATGACCGAAGACTTTCACCGAAAATAGCATCGTCGCGGGAGGCAAGCGCCCTTCGCCAACGCCGGCCCCGTCGGCCGGTTCGCACGCGAGCACAGCAACAGACATCATCGAATGCCAAAACAGCGGGTAACGTGACGTGGTCCAGTCGAGGAAGCTGTGTGGTTCTGTCGACCTCGGGTTCGCGAGGTCAGGGTGGTGTGGCTGCCTCGCTTGTCGTTGGCACCCCCCTCGTGGCGATGCGCTTTTGACTGTGTTGCAGGTGGCAGCTGAAATGGCGCAGATAAGGAGCACAGTCGAAGGTCCAGGCGGACGCAGAGACAGGGTCGACGGTGAGTGTGAGCGTCTTGGTGAGGCTCAGTCGAGCCTGCAAGACAGGGTGTTGAAGCTCAGTCGTTACCGTGCCTCACCTTTTCGGACCGGGCGTATCAGCAGGTCAATCTGAAAAATTCTCAATGCAGTATGTTAGACCTCTATTAATCTGGCAAAGCAGCGTTGAGAAAATCGCAAGGTGTTGCTCTCGAAAGGAGGCCCGCGCGACGCGCGCCGCGCACTGCACTTTGAGCAATTTACACGACCAGTCAAGCGTGGAAGAGATTCGAGCTGCGCTTTTAGAGCTTCAATCCTTTGTCAACCATCTCATTCATCTTCCCCATCGACAAGGGCTTTCACGTCAGCGCTCAACACCTACTCACCCCATCGCAATCGCTTCAACTCCCTCTCGCAAACCCACAAAATCCGGTTTCGCCCCCTCCGAGAGCAGCAAAATACACCACACGAGCTCACACCCTTAAGAGCACCGTCAGAATGTCGATCGTGCACCTCCAGAGCGTCGAGATCCTCAACGCGGAAGCCAAGTTCCAGGACGCATACATCTTCAAGATCACCTTCGAATGCATCTCGCCGTTGCAGGACGATATCGAGTGGAAGCTCGTCTACGTCGGTTCGGCAGGAGATGAGAAGTACGATCAGGAGTTGGACAATTGCATGGTTGGTCCTGTGCCCGTTGGTAAGCATCACGCCCCCACCCAGTTCCCTTTGTCCACCGTGGAACCCAACTGATCAGCTCTGTTTGCTTCATGTGACGGCTTTGTTTGTGGCGACAGGAGTCAACTCGTTTGAGTTCGAAGCAGCTGCACCGTCGCCAAGCAAGATCCCACCCGAGGATCTGTTGGGCGTAACAGTCATCCTCCTCACCGCATCATACCGCGATCAGGAGTTCATTCGCGTCGGGTACTACGTCAACAATGCGTACGAGGCAGAGGAGCTGAGGGAAAACCCGCCCGAGAAGGTCGACCTGACACAGGTCAGGAGAGAGGTGCTCGTGTCGAAACCCAGGGTGACTAGGTTCAACATCAAATGGGACGACTCGACAGCCGCACCGGCACAGCAGCAGCAGCAGGGATCGGGAGAGGGCGTCATGGCTTAGATGGATTTGAAATGAACAATGAACAATGTCACAGCAAACTCGAGCGACGACTCGACAGAGGGTTTGAGGAGCATGCAGACGCGATCCTCCGCGCGAAAGAGAAAGGGTACAAGTACAAATGCAACAGGTGATCGTGGTGTATGCTGAGTCGAATCAGAGTCCCATTCCAGCGAGCGTCTCGCTCACCGACCAGCACCTCATCGGCCCCACGCCTTGTCCTTTCCCGCTGCTCACCACTCCATAGCCAAACCTTTCCGCCAGCGGATCCACATGCCCCTTGTTCCCCAACAGCAACCCCTCCGCCGCCAAATAATCCGTCATCGCCGCCGCCCCACTCAACGAGTTGAAATGAATCGCCTCGGCCCTACCCCAAAAGCTTTCCTCCAACATGTACGCCAGGTGTCTCTGAATCAGCGCCGTGTGCAATCCCCAGCTCGTCGCCACCTGATGGAACAGTCCCACTGCCTCCTTTGGCGTCTTGTCGTACCCTGCAAACAGCGCTGGATTCGCCAGCAGCCCTCTCGCACTCATCGCCCCCCTACATCCGGTCTTCTCCCTGTATCCGATCGCATCGTCCAGCGTCCAAACATCACCGTTCGCCACACACGGCACCAACCCACCACTGCCTCCATCGGCAAACCTCGCCTCTGCCCCACCCCTGCTCCCCCAGGCCGTCCTGAAACCGCACGCATTGGCCGCATCCACGGCAAACTTGATCCCGTCCAAATCGACCGGCGTCCCCGCGCTCGACTGCCACCGTGTCCTTCCATGAATTTGCAGCACGCTCGCGCCCGCATGCAGCGCATTCCTCACCAGCGCATCGGTCAACTTAAGGTCCGGGTCAATACGGATCTTGACGCTGACACAAAAGTCCTCGCCCATCCTGGCTTTGACGGCCCGGACCATGTCGCGGACAGTTTCCGGTTGACGTAGGAGGTACGAGCCGAGAAGTTCTTCGTACGCCCACGGTTGTGGGCAGCCGCAGTTGAGGTCGACGCCGTCGACGAACCGACCGATGAGCTCCGTGGCGTCTGCAAAGGGGCCTGGCTCGCTGGAGGCGAATTGGGCAACCAGTGCTCCGCGAACACGCACTTTGCGCTTGGCCATCTTGCGCGCGATCGCCTGCGCTTCCCGCCCCGCTTCACCCAAGGTATCCTCTTTAACACTGGATGCCAGCTGGAAGAGCCGCCGCTGCGCACTCTGAGAGCTTTCAGGAACGTCAGGTAGCAGCTCGAATGTTCCCCTCTCGAACTCGTTGGTGGAGAACTCCGAGTTGCGCGCCGCCTCCGTCCGGCTGAACTCTTTCGCCAAAATCATGGGCGTCGTGGTGATATGCGTCTCGTAGCGCGATACGAGCGTGCGGAAGGCCAGCTTGGAATAGCGCACCATGGGCGCGCAGACGTTGAGGCCGTGGAAGGCGTCCAGGAGGAGATGGGGCGGTAGTTGGAGTGCATCTGGGTCGTAGCTCGGGCAGGTTTCTGGTGAAGGGTCGGACGGTGGCCCGTTGATACCCGGCATGGCTGTGAGTGCTTTGAAGGCTGAGTGAGGTCGCCTTAAAGGGGTAGGTCGATGGAATGCTCGGTATAGGTGAGCGAAGAGGAGGTTGGAAGAACGCATGCAAGGCGCTTCTCCAAAAAAAGTTCGAGGGTTTTCCGGAAGCCGGATTTTTGGCTCCGCGTTCTGGTCGTGTTCGAGGGGACCTAACAGAGGACCAAAAATTAGCCTTCAGGACGATGATGCCACGCAAGACTCGCTTTGTTCTCGCCAACAACCAGAAGTGGACTGATATCGTAACGAGGGATCCAGATCTGGCCACATGGGACGGCGTTCTCGACTTGCGTCTGCACGTGATAGTGTCGAGCTGATCACGACGATCGACGGTGCTGCTGTGCAACTTACCTAAGCGAGACGAGGCTTGATCGCGCGGAGTTGTTTGCAACATATCAGCCTCGTTCATGGGGTCGAGATCCTCATGCAGACACCGCCGGCGTTGTAGATGAACGAATGCCAAGCCAAAGCCATGGCTGCAAAGCGGTGCAGCAGGGACACGAGAAGTGTGGCAGTCGCATAGGACCCTGGATACCAAACGCTCAATTTGGCCTGTCAACCGCGGGTCTAGACCCTTGTTTGCTCGGCTGCGTGGCTTGGACAGCTGTCTCGGATTGCAGAAGTAGTGTTACCCCCTCTTTTCGCATGCTCTCTGAGAAACGATTGTGAGTCCGACCGGAGTCCCTCCTCGTACCTTCTTGGCGCATTGCAGAGCGTGAGAGAAGATGATGGGAATGACGTGGCGCATGTGAAAGTGAGTGTTACGTACTTGCGTCGTACGCCCATCCGATGGTGAGCTCCTTCATTCGGTAAGGCTTCGCGTAGATCCTAAGCTGTGGCGGGCAGAGCGTGCATACATTCCTCTTTCGGTCGAGAAGACGCCACGCCTAGACGATTGGTCTCACGCCTCAATCCTGACCGAGAGCTGCGTCGCCTCATGAGGCGGCCAGTCGTGGACGCTCGGACTCTGCCAAGGTGCAGACATACTGTGACACCGCCTGCGCGTCTGCAGGCTTTTGCGATTCACGTGCCGGCCGCACGCACGGATCCACGGTTGATGAAGCGAGAGTGGAGATCGTTCCACGGGAGTGTCATAGCTAGCGCGGAAGACGATCCTCGACCCGACCCTTCCGACCCGTTTCGGTACCTGCAAGTGTGTCCTGCGGTGCGGAGAGTGTTCAACATCGAGGCGACCCTCGGCGGAAGAGCGCTGGCTTTATCGCTGGCACTGTCAGCCAACCGAGCACGTCATCTTCAGCATCGCGAATGAACGCACGAGCAAACGGACGAAGAGGTGAAAAGGAAAAGGCAAAAGCCTCCTCAAAAATGGGCGCCCAAAAAGGAAGGAGAAAATCAGGCGTCCAGATTTGGCCTGAGCAACCTTTGCAGCTTCGCACCCAACTGCCAGCCGCACTCGCAGCTGTCAAGGAACATAGGAGTTTGAAAGCGTTCCTGAGCAGTCGATCCGAATCGGATGACCCATGCACCATCTCTTCGACGGGGTCAGAAGACCCTGGGCGAAAAAGGTCCCACAGCTCTCGACCGTCTCAGCGAGATGAAACATTGACATCCTCCCTCTTTTCTCTAAGTCAGAACGTGACGAAGCGTGACGGGACATTCCCAACTGTGGAGAGAAAAGGAAGCCTTCCGATGTGGAGAGTGTCATTCGTTCATACCTCGCGATTGGCATCGGGCTCAGAGGACAATCCGGAGGAAAGGACCTGCCGTCGACCCGCGGCATGTCGATCCGAAAGAGGCAACCGAACCCGAAATATGACCCAGCACAAAGGACGGGTCCGCGCAAGGCCCGCAGGAGAAGTTGTGCGAGAGCTCGGATGGTGGCGTGAGAAATACGAGCTACGCGGGCGTGAGAAGATTGCGGGCCAGATGAAAAGGCTCCTCAGGCGCGTCAATTTTCCCCGCATGGCTCGTGTGTGCCGCGTCTCCTCCCTCGCCTCAGGTGCCCTCCTGGTTCAAGCACAGGATCTAGCCGCTTTCAGTGCGTGCTGACACACCCACTTGTCTCTCCAGTCGGCGCTTTCGTTGCACGGACCTCGTAAGAGGGACCAGTGCTACCGAAACGGCGGAAGGCGTGCCTGCCAGAGACCGAGACACTGCAAGCGACAAGTTGACACAGTCAGATTGCGCAAGAGCGGGAACGACTCGGGTAGCCGAGTGTCCACTTCTTTGCTCCGACCATACACTCAGTGCGACCCTCACATGACCCTGGCAGATCGCTCAGACCCGACTTGGCAACTGGTCCGTCTTGACCCCATTCCAAGTTGCCTCGCCAAGAGCGAGATGTCGAGCGCAAGGGTCGTCACAGCTGAAACCTTCTTGCGCCTCACGCGTCTCGCCAAATTTCCCATACTCGACGCGACCTGCTGCCCACTATTGCTGCTGTAGGCTTCGTCAATCCCTCTTGGTAGCATCATCCGCCAAGCAACCTTGTGGCGGTCACAGCCTCGATTAACTACACATCCAGCCTCGTTCCCGACTTTTGGATCTCCGACCTTTTCCTACAGCGAGATGCATGGACGCCGCGAGTTGATGCCGCCGCTTGCAGCGACACATGGCGTTCTTCGATGGCGGGGGGCGGAACCTTTCTTTGCCTCTCATGGCAGGACGTGACGCCTCAGGATCTTAGTCGAATGTCTCGCCAAGACAAAGCTTAAGCTGCAGCCGGATGGAGATAGAGCTTTGCGTTCCTGAGACGGCTGCTGTGAAAGGGCCATTTGAAGACGACAGCACTGCACTGCACTGCACTGCACTGCACTTCACTGCGATGCAATGCCAGCCAGGTCGTACAGGACACGGCCACGAGGGTCACTCCGCAAATGCAGTAGTGAAGCCTCAAGCACTTCACCCCGTACAGACGCTGGACTGCGACGGGAAGATTTTGATGCAGGCTGCACGATCCACGCTCCCGACTTTCTCCTGCTGCTGAAGCTGCAAGCGCCTCCAAGATGGCGTCGCAGTGAAATGGGAAGAAAATCTCAGTCCTCAGGCCGCAGCTCTCCTCCTCGTCCTCCACCCGACCAGATCAGGATTCATGCCCTCCTGCTCAGAGACGCCGTGTACCACCCTTGCAGCTGCACGAGGCGCTCTGTTTTGGTTCTCCGACCTCTGCTTTACAACGACCCTTGCTTACTGAACGGTGTAGCACGGCAAGCTCGCCTTCATGCTGCGGAGAGCTTACCGCGTCCTTGCCAAGCTGTCAAGCACGCGGCTGCAGGTAGGGAGAGTGACGGTCGCCATCCGCTCTGTTGGTTCCGGGTTCGAGCACTGCAGGGACCCTACTTTTGCGCGCTCGTGTGCCTGTCTCCTCTCGCCGCCTGCGCCTTCCCTCCACGCGTCGTACAAAAATTCTCGTCCTTCCCCACGAAGAAGATCGATCCTCCTCCACGGTGCCGCTTCCACTCCGACCTACTTAAAGGGGCCAGCGGAGCTGCTCAGATCCTCTTTCCATCCTTCCTCCATCGTCGAGCTTCTTCTGACTCCTTCCTTCTGTCGATCACAGTGCTCCTTCCCTGTCCAGCCCGCCTCCTTTCACGTTCATGCCCCAAAGCGCCACCATTCTGGTCTATTCTCTCTCTCTCTCTCTCCTCTCCCCTTCGCCGTCTCATCCTAACTCCTCCTGGCTCTGAAGCCAACGCAAGCAACTCGAATCGCCTTTCTAGGTCCTTGTTAGTGCAATACACTCCACTCCCCTCGTCGGGCGGCTAATCCAAGCCTTCGGCCATCGACGGCCACTACTCACGCTCGAAGCCCCGCCTCTTGCCATCATGTCCCCCTACCCGTACGGCCAAACTGGCTTCGATGTCCACTCGTCCACCACCTATCCCAATGCGAAGCATCAGCTCTACTATGATCTTGGCGACGGCCACGGCGCTTCGTCGTCGCATGGCCATCATCACACGTACGCCCATGCGGCTGCAGGCAGCCTGAACAACCTCGGCGGCGCGTCGACCTCGCACAACCACCCTCACTCCCGTACGCCCATTCGACCTCGGATCGCAGTCGCATGCGTATGCTGTCGCAAAAGGTAAGTATCTCCCTCCGCTTCCTTCTTACCGTACCTGGCAGCTGTCACATCTTCCATCGCGTCGCGTCTCGCTACGCGTCGTCATGAATCAACTTTTCACTAACGCTCGCCTCCTCTCATCCTCACCTCGGATCACACTCTAGGAAAGTCCGATGCGACGGCAAGGAGCCGGATGCGTGCAGTCTCTGCAAGCGCCTCGGTCGTGATTGCAAGTACGTGCCCGTGCCCAAAGAGGACAACGACAAGAACCGGGAGCGGAAGCGTGAGTCCAAGGCGCGCAAGGAGCAGGAAGCGGTGAAGGACCAAGGGCGCGCGTACGAGCCTGTTCGTGCACACCACCCTTACCAGATCTCTGGCCGCGACGGCTACGACGCTGGCTCTCGCTACCACGCTCGCTCGATGATCGACGTTTCTGGAAGTGGTCGAGCCATAGGACCGAATGGGTATTCGTGGTCGCAGCCGTCGTTGACTACGAGCGCTCTGCAGACGCACACATCTGCCAGCGGCAGCTACAATGTGTGGAACAATCCCTCCTTCGACTTCAACGCCGTTGCAGAAGGCACGAGCAGACTCTCGCTCGAAGCGCCACCTCCCCTTCCCCAACTCCGATCAGAGGTCTACGACTACCAGCCGCGCAGGCAGAGCACCGAGCAACCCCACTGGCGCCTCGAGCCTCGCTACGACGCCCCCATTGCCTCTGGCTTGACCACCGCAGCCGCTACGACTCCCACGCCTTCGCCGACGGATGCGACTTTTCGTCCCCAACCGCTGCAGGACGCCACTTTTCGTTATCAAACCGACTCATTTCGTCCCCAATCACAGTCGTTTCGACCCTCGACCCTTTCCGTCGCACTCGACGCGCTATGCGCCCCCGCCGCTGCTCAACCTCAAGCGAGCGTCACTTCCCACCTCAGCACCCCCGCGTCGACCGTCTCTTCCCTCGGCGGAACGGAGGGCGTCGCAGAGTATCCTGCCGAGCTACTCCACGCGGGCACGGCGGGAGAGGGCGTCGTTGGACGCGCGTCCACTCACCTCGGCTGGAGAGCGTCCGGAGACGAGGCTGTCGCCGGTACCGCGGTCGCCGGACTCCACCGAGAGCAGGTGGTCGTCAACCCCTCTGTCGGCTTCCCTATCGCCGGTCCCGATTCCGCGAATGTCGACGCCCAACGGCCGAGGCTTCGACGCCACCCGCACTACCAGCCCGTGCAGACCCAGCCGAGTGTCAGCCCCGCAGCAAGAAGCGTGGGCAGCTTCGACGCCATGACCTCGCCGCCGTTTACGAGCGAGACGAGCTTGCCCACGTTGGATAGCGCGGCGTCGAGCGAGACGAGCAGCCCGGATGTGCCGATCAAGCCGCTGCTCGATGAGAGGGCGGGGTTGGGTGACTACGTGGGTGATTGGGCGGGCAAGGGTTGCGCTGGGGGTCAGCAGCACGTAATGCCTCAGCTCCACTTCGCACAGCAAATGGGGCACCAAGGCGGCCAGCACGGATTTACTCGCCACCCCCAAGGCTACCAGCAGTAGCCCGGTCGCATGTCACCCTCAATCGACCCCCGATCTACCTCCCGGAATCTTCATCCCCTTGGCATCCCCCTACCCAATGCCATCGACCCGCATCGGTGTCCACAGTTTCTTCACTCGGTCACTCAGCATTCGGCCCTTAAATTCCGTCTCACGTCGGCGTAGGATCCATCCTCATCACAAACCTCGCGCCATCACAGCGAGGGCAACCAAAAAGCAAACTCACTATATTCCCGTATCATGCATACCCTGTACCGTTATCATCTTAGCATTTCTCGATTGTCGCTCGCAATGGATTCGTCTCGTCAACTTTGTGTGGTTGTCCTGCCTCGACGATGACGATCGACTTGACCTTCATTCCTGCCGATCCGCTGTCGCGCTTCGCCTCGTTTCGACTTGCACTTGCATCAGCATCACAGTCATCTCAGATGAGCTCGATGAAGCCGCATTGCATTGCTTCGACGAGACTACAAAGCATTGATCCCCAACTCAGTAGCGGTTGCGATTGCCACCATCGTACCGCCGGTCATCCCTCCTGTTCGGGCTGCGCTCTCTCTGATAACTACCACCGCCACCTCCCCTTGGCGACCTCTCCCTGTTATAATCCGCGGCGGGTCCTGTCGGAATGCGACCGCCGCCAGCCATATGACCTCCTCCACGCTGGTACCTCGACGCCGCCGGTCCTGTTGGCACCGGGCCACCGCTCCCACCTCTCTCCTCGCCAGTGCTCGTCGGCGCCTTCTGTGCATTGGCCGGCGTCGGGCTGATCGCATTCCCACTTGGTGGACTTCCATTCCCCATGGCGCCCATCATGCCCATTCCGCCCATGCCCATGCTGTTCATCATGGCACCCATGTCCATTCCTCCACTCGCCCCAGTCTGCCCTGCCATGCTGGCCATCATCTGTTGCCAGGCCATTTGCGGGTTTCCCCACCCCATACTTTGGTACATCTGCGTCATATCCGCTCCCGTTCCGGCGCCCATCATGCCCATCATCATCGGATTCATCCCCGCCCACGCATTGCTGTTGAAGTTGTTCCCTCCTCCGTTGCCCATACCGAAGCGGTTGGCTCCTGTGCCCGCACCCTGTTGCATCATCTCCGGATTCTCAAATCGTTGTTGGCGTCGAATCTGCAGCGACTGCGGATCGTTCTTCGACTGCGCCCGTTTGACATCCACCTCCTTGCCGTCAAACACCAGCGGTCGGATGCTTAGCACGTGTTGGAGGGACGAATCGTCTGCGTAGGTCAGAAAGCCGAACCCGCGCGGATTGCCCGTTTCGCGATCCATCATGCACGTGCACTCCGCGAGAACGCCGAATTGCTCGAAGAACGTGCGGAATGAGGTCGGGGTCACGGAAGGGGGCAGACCACCGACAAAGAGCTTTTGGTTTGAACCGTCAGAGGAGTTGCTAGCGCCAAAGTTGTTGTTGTTGTTGTAGCCCCGGTTGTTGTATGTGTGCTGCTGTTGTTGCGGTCGAGGAATGGCTCGCTTCGGATCGATCTGAGGGACGCAAGGTGAGAGCAAGTCAGTAGGTGCATTCGATGAGCATGAACGGGGGTAAGTACGTACTACTTTACCATCGAGATAGTGCTCGCGCACCATGACGGTGTTGACCGCCTTAGGATCGACAAAGTTGAGAAAGGCAAAGCCGCGCGAACGACCCGTCATATTGTCGCGCATGACGGTGCAGTGACCCACCTCTCCGAATTGCGAGAAGTATCGTCGGAGGGAGTCTGTCAACATCAATACGGTTAGGGGCGTGGACAGCACGAAGGCGGACGAACAGGACATCGAATGGAATCAGTCTACTGTCCGAGTATGGGAGCGCTTTTAGTGGCCAATGTGGGACTGGACATCGTCGTCTCTTACAGCGCGACGACAGCATGGGGACGTTGAGTTGAGTAATTACCTTCAGTAGTGTCCCAGTTCAGACCGCCGACAAACATCTTTCTGTTTCATCGTCAAGGCAGATCCATCACCATTGCAGCGTGCAGGAGCGTGTCACGTCGCAGAAGGTTGAGGCGGTGCGCGAAGGCAACGTAATGGCATTCCATCATCGAGATGTATATGTCGAGGCAAGATTGCGGTGCAGATGCGTTTCGTAGATGCGTAATGTGATACGTGACGATGATGATGACGACGATGATTATGATGAGGATGCAGCGATGACGATGATGGTGATAGTGACATTGAAGGCGAATGGATGTGCGTACTGTCAATGAGCTGTCTATCGATGGTAGAGGACTGGAAGCCTCGAATGTTAAGGCACGAAGAGTGAGTGCTGCAATTCCAACTAGCAAGCTCAAAGGATGTGCTAGCAGTGATGAGCTACAGCGGCAGGGAACAAGCCTTCTCTCTTGCCTTTGCGTAAGGCAGCAGGCAAGGAGCAATCTTGTTCTCGAAGTGCACTCCATAGCGAGGGTGGGCAGCGCTGAATGGTGCTAGTCAGTCAGTAATCAAGGAATAGATCATGTACTCACCCTTCTTCAGGCATCTCGTGAGGCTGGATAGGTCGATCACCATGGCCTTGGCCGTCAGCCCCCGCATCCTGTCCATTGTGACCCTCATACCCTCCTTGCGCCGCATGGGAGGCCTGCCCATCATTGGAAGCGGCATTGTGACTCGCCGGAGTTAGGTCTCGAATGTCACTCTGCGAGTGAGCAGACGAGCTGTTCGCTGCCGGGGGAGGGATGAAGCTTCCTTTGATCTGCAAACCGGCGCCCGACTGCGCTGGAGCGGAAGAGGGCGGAGGGATGAACGAGCCGGTGCTGGGAGCCGCCGCTGACTTCGCCTCAGTCTTGTCGTCAGTGGTGCCGTTGTCGTTTATGCCCGTCGCACCAGCAGTCTTGTCGTCTTCGTCATAGCCAATGAGGTCTTGCTCGTCACTGGCATTGGCCTTGTCGTCGCCGTTGCCGCCGAGATCGACCACATCTCCCGAGCCATCGTCGCCGTAGAGATCGGCGTACAGATCGTCAGTATCCTCGTTGCTTGCCATGATGGCGATGCGAGCCCCTTCGAAGTTGCTTGTTGGAAGGTATGTCGAGGATGGTGGAGAGCGGAATGGTGGAGAAGCTGCAGCGCAAAAGGCAAAGCATTGACAATTTTTGGCCCAAGCACGCAGATCACGTGTAAGTTTGACCTAACAACCTGAAAATCTCGGAAAATGGTTACCGGTGCAGCCGGTGAAAGCCTTGCACGCTCCGCAACTTTAGGTTTGAGCAGGCGAGGCCCTGGTTGGTCGGCAGCGAGCAAGTCTTCCGAGTCCGGGTTCAACACTTCGAGGTGACCGTGCGTTGTTCCATTCACATCATCATCAGCGACGCTTCAATCTACGCCGTCGTGCCAAGCTCATCGACTCGCTCAGCACCCGGGACCTGTCGGCGAGCTGCTCCATCGGCCAAGATGACCGTCCAGGTTTCGTCGACTCGCGAGCTTGTCGTCGACCTCGTTGTCGGCGAGCAAGAGGCCATCTCTGACCAAGTCGTGGCTGTTTCAGCTTCCCTGTGGAACCTTCTGCAACAGAGCGCAGCGTCCGCATCGTCATCAAAGGAGTCATCGGCAGGCAAGATCGTGATTAGCTTGCGGCCATCGTCTGGTCGCCGTCTACGATTGTCCAACCTCCCCGCTTTGGCCGTGTATGCCGTCAAGAGCACGCAAGATATTGACGGTCTGTGGCTCGAAGCATCCAAGAGCATCGTCTCTGCTCTGGGCCCGTCATCTCGATCGCACCGATCCGATCGAGGCAAGCGTGTCTCCATCCAAGCCCATGCACTAGTCGATGCATCCCTCGTCTACTTGCAAGCCACCTCGCTGACCAGCTACGATGCAGCAAACAACGCCCAAGACGAGTTGGTACGGCAGCTGGACGGAAGCATCTTGCGGCAAGGCCAGTTGATCAGGCCGCAGCTGGGTGCCTCTGTTGCACCTCTTCGTGTGGTGATGCTGGAGCCCCTGCTGCAAGGAGTCTTCTCCGCCGAGTCCTCCGATGTGCTTCTGACGCTGCAACCGGACGCAACAGAAGTGGACCAGCTCGACAGCTCGATCATTTCCAGCATATCGGAGGACTCCTTTTCGATCGCATCGGCCAGCGATGCCGGAGTTGCAGAAGGATCAGATAGCGCCGATGAGCTGCAAGACGAAGATGACCTCGAGATCGACGAACGTTTCCTGGCACAGACGGTATTGGAAGACTTTTCCAATCTCGACATCTCGATCGACCCAGCAGTAGATGGCAGAGCTGCACCTGCTCCCTCACAGCGACCTCGCAACATCAGCCGAGTCAGACGCTGCACGCTGCAGCAGCTTCAAGACCCCTCGACGTTGGCAGCAGCTATCTCGCACTGGTACACGCAAGCTTCTGCTTCTTCGGACGCCTCCTCTCTGAGCGGCTCAGCGCAGGACAACATCGACGAAGAGAACGTCGTGCTCGCCACAGAACGGGAAATGGCGTCGCTGGGCGCGTTCAACGGGGACTGGCTCGCCGCCAGCGCAGACGGCGATGCGCGGACGAGGCTCGTGCGCATCTTGTCGAGCCAAGACCTTCCTGCTTCCACAGACGGCGCGCTATCTGTGTGGATGTCCCCGATCCTCGCGCAGAACATCCTCGGCGACCAGGTCTTTTCGGCATCCTCTCGCAGCGTCATTCTGCGTGTGCTCGGGTCACGGCCCTCGATACAGCAGCAAGACGTCTCGGCTCTGGTCAGGTCGTGCCCGGTGCCGGTGCCATTTGCAGAGAGCCTGCGCATCGCCCGTGTAGCCGGACCGCTGAGCGTAGATCGAGCCTATCAAGGTCTCTTCCTCGACGCTCTGCGCACGTTCTTCGAAGACCGGCGACGCATCTGCCGAAACGGCGACATCATCGCCGTAGCAATCGAAGCAAGCAAAGCGCGCTTCGTCAGCAGAGAAGCCGAGCAAGAAGGCACCTCAGACTCGACACCAGACGACATCCACGAGCTCAAGCTTCCCTCGGGCCCTAGTGCCGCAAAGACGGCCACCGTCTACTTCAAGGTCACCGACCTGCGATCTGAGCTCGTCGCGCCCGACAAGGTAGCTGCGAGCCAGAGCAAGGACGAAGCCATCCGCGCATTGGCTCTACAGTCTCAAATTGGTGAGCTCGGGTGCATCGTCGATCCCAATGTGACCAAGATGGTGCAGACGGGCGTTGAGCAGTGCCGCGTAGCCAATAGCGATCGCTGGCTGGGCATCTCTTCCGATACACCGAGTTTACCGACCGAGCTCACATCACCAGAGCTGCGCAGTCTCGTGGCTCCGCTCGTCGCGCCGGCCAGCGCATATGCAACGCTCTCGTCGCTCCTCACCGCAACACTGCAGAGCAACGCCAGCAGATTCGGCCTGCATCTCAGCGTCCTTCTCGAAGGTGCCCGAGGATGCGGAAAGAAGACGGTCGCGCGTTGGGTGGCGAAAGCTGCCGGCGTGCAGCTGGTCGAGCTGGACTGCTTTGATGTGATCTCCGACACCGACGTTCGAACAGAGGGCATCCTGCGGGCCCGCTTCCAGAAAGCAGCCGAGTGTGCGCCCTGCATCTTCCTGCTGCGCAACATCGAAGCACTTGCAAGAAAGAGCCAGGCGCTCGAGACGGGTCAAGAACCACCCCTTGCAACAGCGCTGCAGAATTGCTTTGAGGAGCTGTGGAGCGTTACTTCAGGACAGGATGCTGGGCAGGTAGCGATGCCGGTGGCTGTATTCGGAACCACCAGCGATCCGGACAAGTGCCCGTCAGGTGTGCTCGGCTGCTTCAAGCACGAGGTGACGTTCAATGCGCCGAACGAAGCCGAGAGGCGAGCGATGCTCGAGATCACGATGAAGGACTCGATCCTGGGCCCCGATGTCGACCTCAAGAATCTCGCCACACAGACGGCGGCTTTGGTGGCAGCGGACCTTGTCAACCTTGCCTCCCGCTCCAAGCTTATGTCCGTCCGTCGCGTGCGCCAAGCGCTTCCTACATCTGCAGCGGGTGTCTCGGATCGCGACCTCTTCCTCGCCGGACTCGCCATCACGGGCGCCGACGTCGATTCAGCCCTCAACAAAGCGCGTTCGAGTTACTCGGAGTCCATCGGCGCACCCAAAATCCCCAACGTCACCTGGGACGACGTCGGTGGTCTCGCCTCGGTTAAATCCGACATCCTCGACACGATCCAACTGCCTCTCGAGCACCCCGAGCTCTTCAGCGACGGTCTCAAGAAGCGATCAGGTATTCTTCTCTACGGTCCCCCGGGAACAGGCAAGACCTTGCTCGCCAAGGCTGTGGCCACATCGTGCTCGCTCAACTTTTTCTCGGTCAAAGGTCCCGAGCTGCTCAACATGTACATTGGCGAGTCGGAAGCCAACGTTCGACGCGTCTTCCAGCGGGCGCGCGATGCCAAGCCGTGCGTGATCTTTTTCGACGAGCTGGACTCTGTTGCGCCCAAACGAGGCAATCAGGGGGACAGTGGTGGAGTGATGGATCGCATCGTCTCGCAGCTGCTGGCGGAACTGGACGGCATGGCTGGGTCCTCGGAGGGAAGCGATGTGTTTGTGATCGGTGCGACGAATCGACCAGATCTGCTGGACCCAGCGCTGTTGCGACCGGGTCGATTCGATCGCATGCTCTACCTCTCCGTCTCCACCACCCATGCTGCGCAGCTCAACATCCTCCAAGCCCTGACGCGAAAGTTCAAGCTCGACCCCGACGTAGGCGATCTAGGGTGCATCGCCGAGCAGTGCCCATTCAACCTCACGGGTGCCGACTTCTACGCCCTGTGCTCGGACGCCATGCTCAAAGCCATGACACGCAAGGCGTCCGAGGTCGACGCCCGGATCGAAGCCATCAACGCTACGTCAGGGAAGAAGACCCACCCGCATCCACTCACCGCGCAGTACTACCTCGCAGAGATGGCCACCAAGGACGAGATCGAGGTCAAGGTCAACCGACAGGACTTTGAGAAGGCGCTCCAGGAGCTTACGCCGAGTGTCAGCGAGCAGGAGATGCAGCATTATCGAGAGGTGCAGGCCAAGTTCTCGGCGCCACCTAAGAAGGAGGAGGTCGTTGAGAAGAAGGCGCCGGTGGGAGAGGAACAGTTGTTGGCGGCGATGAAGGCTGCGATGAACGGTGTCGGGGACAGAGGGGCTGGTCTGAAGCAGCTGCTTGCCGCGCGTGATGGTGCAAGTGACGGGCAAGGGGAGCAGGCGGCCAACGGCACTGCCGAAGCACACGACGAGGAGGAGGAGCAGGCGGCCGAGGCTCGACGAAGAGCCAAAGGCAAAGGCAAGGCCGTCTGATCACAAAGCATAGAACATCACCCCATCGCATCGTCCGGCCTGTCCTGAGCGTGAGAATCACAGTCAGCGTTCGTGTGATCGTGGAGTAGCATCACCTCTACAAGAGCGGCAAAGCGCGGATCATCCGTCGCAAGGCGCTCTGAAGGTGAGCATGAGTGGCCCTGTCCAAAGCTTGTCCCGACCCACGTCTGCACGAAGCGAGATGATCGATCTCGTAGTGCATCGCTTTCGTTGGCGAACGAGGACCGGCAAGAATTGGCGAGCATCGCGTGCGGCCCTGTATTTCATCTGGGCCGTGCCACGCCGAGCGCTGATTGGGTGGACCCTGAGCTTGACAGGACAAGCGCATCTCGCCACAAACAGATGAGCCCCTACCCGAGAGCTGAAAGTTTCGCCGTCCTGCTCGTCGACCTCGCCTAAGGGCAACACCGAGAAGCCTCGCGTGTGCGGCGGAGTCCGGCTTTGTCTCGCCATGACAGCCGGCACGGTGTGAGAAAGAGCAGCAAGACGGGCAGTGCCAAGAGCGAGAAAGCCGGGCGTTCAATCTCAACGGCTAAGCTCACAGAGACGGCTGAACGGTGATCCGCTGCGCGCTACCATCGCCACCACCCGGTTGCAGCTTCTAGAAGCAACGCAAAGTCTGTCTGCTGGCACACAGAGGAAACAGCCGTCTTGGCTTTCAAGTGTCGAGGAATCCTCTTCGCGCGCGCACGCGTTTGGACTCTCTTGGCAAGGACCCTGCATGTGCCAATGGCTGTGTCGCCGCCGACGGCTGTACCGGCCAGCGCATCGCCTTCTGTCTCGAATCGCGGAGAGGGTCTGCTCTCAATCACGCCCAGTGACGGTGATGGTCGCCTTCTTCCCTGGATCGACAGAGGGCCGACCTTGATGCTGGCTTGTCAGAAGGAGGGCCCGCCTCTTGCATTTCGGCTCGCTTTTTGTGGCCTTCTTTTTGGCATTCCATTTGCTGATCAATTCGAATATCCGAGCTGGCAAAACCCCCTGAAGCTGGGAGGCCAGACCTTGTTTTGACAGCGTGAAGAAACTCCTCTCAAGGAAAGTCATTCCGAGGAAAAGCAACACTGACTAGGTGCCGCATTCATTGCTTTCAAACCCGCGCACCGCACCTGATCTTTAAAATTGAGCTTGACAGGCTCGCCTTTCGCATCTGGCAATTGTCATTCATGTAGGCGCTGCGCCAACATCCGCTCGCCCTCCCTCTTCTCCCTGTCAGAAGCCAGTTCAAGCTCCGAATCCGATCATGTTTGGTGCGCAGCCAGTCAAGGCTCGAGCTCTGCCCTCTGCCTCTCTCTCTCTCCGCACTCTCCCACACAACGGATCCGTCGGGCCCCCCTATCTCTGCCTTGACCGGCTGCACGCTGCACACCGCTTCCCGTATGTACATGCTTCCAGGGCCGACATCGATTGCGCGCTGACTTATCTGTCGAACCAAAGCCGAGCTGTGCGGTCACGGTCATTTCGAAGTCAACGTCGGCGACGACGACAATCGGTCGACAGGCTTGCTATGCTGTTTCGATGGATGAGGACTGTTGCTGTCTCGCATCGAGCTAATTACACGCCCTCCTGTCTCTGCTACGGTGAACTCGGCCTAAATTTCGACAGTCACACACACACGCCTCGTACGCACGCCTGCCTGGTATTTCATGCTCGCCGTGTCTGCCTCTCTCTGTGTGAGTGTGTGTGGCCGCGCCCTTTCTTTTTGAGCTGCCTCGCTTTGCCCTGCGCAATAATTCGTCCATCCGCAATCACCACTGGTTCGACTGTCAATTCCACCACCTAGCCGTCCTTTCACCGAAACGTTACCACTCCTCTGCCTTTGCCTCTCTCTCTCTGCACTCCCGGTTCCGCCTTCTGTCCTTCTCTGTCGGACGTCCATCATCTCGCTCGACGCGTTCGCTCCCCTCTGCTTGCACTTCTCGTCCATTCTCTCCTCCGGATCGCATCGTCGGCTTCCACAGAGGCGCACCTCTTCATTTCGACGTCTCGTCCAACCACCTTTGTCAGTCAGAACGACCATCCCGCTCATCGCCGTCGCCCCATCTCCCAGGAGGAATCGACGCCAATCACGCAATCGACGGTCCACTTGTTTCCCAGATCATCTTTCGGTCGCCAGCGCTTCGCATCAGACCTTTCATCCTCAGCAGAACCACTCGCCTCACAATCAACTCGCATTGCAACCGTCGACCCATGACGGCTGGATCGCATTCGCATTGCGCTGCTCCGTCCACTCCATCTTATCGCTCATTTCATTGATCCATCGTCACAGCAACACGGTCACTCACTCACACGGTCTGCTTCGTCCCACCTGCGCACCGCTGTCACAACTCCGACAGCCTTCTCGCGGCTCATCCGACGTCGTCTACTTTTAAGCTTTTGCTTTCATAAGCCACGCCCTCAGCATCGCACTTTTCGCCGGATCATTGACTCATCAGGCTCCCACGCCATCAGTGCGTCGCATCTTTGCCAGCCCGTCACTTCCGACTAGCTTCTCCTCGTCGCACCGAGATCAGAGTGACGTTTGGAACTTCGTTTCATCCGGAGAGCTCCGTGCTAGCCGAATCACTGGGTTAACCTCGTCACTGCCGCTGCGTCCACACATAGCCGATCAACTCGAGCTGCCACCCACGGACCTCGGGCACCGCCTACTTTCAGTGTTCAGGCCATGGCCGCTACCGCACCGCTAACATTCAGATCAGTCCGCCAACAACCCGGGCCATCGCATTCCACAGCCAATTTCCCTTCGGCACCCTCTCCGTTGCCTGGAATGCAAGCATCTTACACGCCCTCGACAGTCGCCGGCTCGTCCGACGGCGGCATCGGCTCCTCCCTCATCGGGCCCGGAGGAGCCGCGCTCATGGCCGGCGCACCCGCCGCAGCCAACACCATTGCCAACAAGCAGGCTGTCGCCGGCTCATCCCTCTACCAGGCTTGCCTCAACCTTCGCGACCGTCTCTACTCGGTTCCCGGCTTCGGTGAGGCCTACCTCGACGAGCTCGCCCCAATCTCGGCCGCCTCGTCCGCATCCAACGGCAGCCCCACCTCGCCCAACGGCAGCGCATCCGTCCCAAAAGCGAGCAGCGACCCAGTCACCCAGCTCTGGCAGTGCTTTCGACTCGGCTCGCCCCTCTGTGCGCTTTTCAACACGATGAACCCCGATGTAGAGCTGCCGGTCAACCCCGACGCCAATCGCTCCAATGCCAACGCGTGCAAGGCGCAGGTCATGAAGTTCATCATCGCACTCAAAGAGAAACTCGGCTGGGATCCAGATGACATCTTTACCGTCTCGCAGCTTTACCTCAACGACACCAATGGCTTCGTCAAAGTGGTGCGCACCATCAATCGTCTCCTGGATGTCTTCGAGGAGCGCGGGCTGCTCATCGAAACGAATCGCAAGAGTGACAACGACGACCTCGACACTCCGTCCGATGACCGCGCCAAGGTGATCCGCGAGCTGCTGACGACGGAGCGCAAGTATGTGCAGGATCTCGAGGTGATGCAGAACTACGCACGCGCTTTGGCGCAGTACGACATCCTCCCGCCCGACACGCTCCACAACCTGTTCGGCAATCTCAACAAGCTCGTGGATGTGCAGAGACGGTTTCTGATCTGCGTCGAGGAGAACGTGCGGCGCCCACCGGACGAGCAGCATTTTGGGCACGTGTTTATGACCATGGAGGACGACTTCACGGTCTACGAGCCGTTTTGCGCCAACTACAATCTCGCGTTGGATCTGATCAACCAGGAGGCGCACAATTTGGTACGCTTGAAGGGGATGCCGAGCGCCCAGGGCTGCTACCTGGATCCAGCCTACGAGCTGCCCACGTTCATGATCAAGCCCGTACAGCGCATCTGCAAGTACCCGCTGCTGCTCGAGCAGCTTCTCAAAAAGACGCCCGAGGACGCGCCACCCTACCAAGAACTCGAAGAAGGTCTCGAGGTCATGCGCAGCATCACAGACAAAGTCAACGAGACCAGCCGGTTGCAGGAGAACGCGCAGCTGGTCAAAGAGCTCGAGTGGCGCGTTGAAGATTGGAAGGGGCACAACATCCGCACGTTTGGCCTGCTCCTCTTGTCAGACACGTTCATGGTGGCGAAGTCCGATACGGAGCGCGAGTACCACGTCTACCTCTTCGAAAAGATCCTGCTGTGCTGCAAAGAGATGGCGCCCGCAGCATCGAAAAAGTCGACCAAAAACAACTCGCTGCTCAAACAAAAGACGGCCGCTGGCAAGAAGGTCAAGACGACGCTCCAGCTCAAGGGCCGCATCTTCATCAACAACGTCACTGGTGCGTTTGCCAACTCGAAAATGAGCAGCATCTTGGGTGCGCCATCGGGGCAGCACGCGCTACAAGTGTGGTGGCGCGGCGATGTCGACCACGAGTCCTTCGCGCTGAAATGCAAGAATGAGGAGCAGCTCAAGCAGTGGCAGGCGGCGATCAACCGGCTGATCGACGAGGTCAACGTTCGACGTCAGGCGGCGGCGGCGCAGCACTACGCGCAGCAACAGCAGCAGCAGCAGATCAACATGGCCGGAGCGGGGACGTTGGGAAGGAGGATCACGCAGACAACCTCGCACTTCCCGCAGACGCCGCTGGCGGAGGTGGCGCCCGTCAACCCGTTCACCTCCCAAGGCTCGCAGGGGCGGGACAGCCTGTCACGGACCCAAAGCCAGTCTTCCTACCGGGACGAAGACGAAGGAGGGTCGAGCTACTACGAGAACCCCAGTGGCCGAGGCACCCCTGCTCAAGGCCGCTACTCGCAACCGGCGCCATCTGGCACCGGAGCACCGGAAAAGCCACGTGCGCGCACCGAAGACCAAGACTCAGCAGTGATGGCGCAGTGGCGATCCGCCTCGCCCGCCGTCCCACCTCCTCTACCGCGCGGTCTCTCTTACAGCTCCGGCGCGGACACGCACGGCTTGCGCAAAGCGAGCAGCTCTCGAGTGCTTCGTCAGCCCGCGTCGAACCCGCGCAACCCGCGCGGTGGGGAGGCGGTCGAGTACCTCGACTCGAGCGACAGCGCGGACAGTTTCAAGCTCAACCGACCGCGCGGCGATTCCAGCGCGTCTATGAGCCGCACAACGTCGGACAATGGCGCAGCGCATTTGCGGTCGCGGTCAGCGAGCAATCCGATGTACGTCCTGCCGCCGCAGCATGGTGGTGCACCGCCGCTGCCCAAGCTCCCCTCCCCGCGCTCCAGCAACGTCAGCAATGGAGGAGGGGAGAAGAGGTTCAGCACCTCATCCAGCACCACCTCGGAATCAGCCCAATCGCAAAGCTCCACCGCCGCCTCCTCCCCCATCAACGCCTCGTCCCGTCGAACAGCCGCCATCCGCCTCAACGTCACCTACGCCGAAGACCGCTTTGTCGTCGTCGTCCTCGCCACCGCCCCCTATTCCGCATTGGTCGAAAAGGTCACCAAAAAGATCCGTCTGTGTTCGGGCAAGAACGTCGAGCATGTCAAGATGCGCTATATTGATGAGGACGGTGATGCGGTGTTGATCAGCGACGATGACGATGTCCAGATGGCCTTTGAGGCAAGAAACGATGGAGGAGAGGTCGAGCTGGTTGTCAGCTGAATGTGTATTTTTATGTCGGGACGATGCCCGGAAGAGGGCGCGCCAGGCAACAAATGTTTTAGATCCGAACAATTACTTGTTACACATACGCAGACGAATCGGACTGACTAGGTTGAGCATCGAGGGGAGATTGTGCATTGAACGGAGATCGAGCATTGGGAGGAGGAGAAATGCACCAAGTGGTGAGAAAAAGCATTGACAGAGGAGTCTGATGAGATACAAGCGCTGTGGTCGCAGTCTGGGTCAGACAAGCGTGCCCCTGGCCTTGCTGGCGGTCAGAGGAAGATCGAAGCGTCAGACGGACGACAGCAAGAGGGGAGCAGAGCAACACCATTCAAGGGCTGGACTTGCCGCCAACCTGACCAGAAGCAGAAGCAGGCGAGGAAAGAGAAGCTGAGACGGGAGCAGAAATGGAAGCAGAAGACGAGAGCGTAGCAGAAGCACAAGTGGCAGTCGAGGCAGCCGAGGGAGGAGGAGGAGCAGTGAGAGAGTCCGAGATCCAATAATCGACAAAGGCGTTGTTGGCCTGCTTGTCGTCCTTAGGTCCAGTCGATTCCAAGTTGAGGTGAAGATGAGTTCCGCCCGTCGTCGTCGAGGTGCTAGCGGCTCCACTGCCACTGCGAGAAGATCGTGTGCCGATGGGTTCCGGCTGGGCGCGTTTCTCCCGCGAGACGTCTTCCGGATCGACGGGGACGAGCGCTGCTTGCTTGGGCGCGGGAGCCCATATATCCCTGGGAAGGCCCGGGGAAGGCTCTTCGGGAACGCTGGACCAGCCAGTGGCGGGAGCGCGGGTGCTGTTGTTGCCGCCGTGAGGCGCGGAGGCCTGTCGACTTCCACCATGTTTGAACGCCAGGTCTTCCCCAGCGTACGTCGCTGAACGGAACAGGCTCGCTCGTCCTGCAGCGGTCGGCGTGGGTGAAGCGACATTGCCCGTTGGTCGCTGCTGCGTGGGAGAGCGAACAGAGTTGTCGGAAGCGCCAGGCATCGGTTTCCAGGGAGTGTACGCCTTGTAAGGGCTATCGACGTGATTCGGATCACCGCCGAAGCGCTGCTGCTGCTGCTGTTGCTGCTGTTGCTGGCACTGGCGCAGCTGCTGCAACGATGAGGCGCCCGGAGGAGACATCTGTCCTGGCGTGATCCGCTGCTGATAGTATCCCTGTCCCGCGAACTGCTCCGTCATCGAACGTTGGCGGTTCGTCTGCTGTCGCCACTGCAGCTGCTCTGCCGAGCTCATATGGATGCCGAGCACGTTGGAAGGATGAACATGGGTGCTGGAGGATCGTTGATGATGGTGGCCCTGGCTTGATCCCCCGTAGGCCTGCATAGGGTTCGGAGGCAGCGCATGTACAGGAGGTCGCGGCATGTAGCTGTTGACCCGCTTCTCCTTGTCCGGGCACAGAGCCTGGACGGACTGTCGATACTCGTCTGTATCCGTGTCCAGGCCTGCGGCGAGCCTCTTGGCAAGCGTCTCTCCGCTCTGAATGCCGCGACTGATCTCGTTGCCATCCGCGTGTGGGAAGCACTTCATGCAAACATCGCGTCGCCTCCAGTTCTATGCATTGAAGCAAAGGGAAAAAGTCGAACAAGAGTGTGTCAGTGGTGATCGCTCCCGGAGACGAACGGTGCAGCGACGTCCGTTCTGTACCGGACATGCTTCGACAGTCTACTCACCACAAAGCCACAACCAGTGCAAATCCAGTCGCCTGACTGGACACACATGGGGCCCGAGTTACCCGTGTTGACGATGGGAGGCTCACTGGCGGTGCTACGTCCGCGGCTGTGATTACCGTTGCGAGAGGCGGCAACCTTGGGGTTGATGCCAGGACCAATTCTGTTCAGGTGCAGGAATGTGTTCTCTGGTCAGTACAGCACTTGGCGATTGGATCAAGCTATCAGGAATCGCCACTCACCCGATGCCCCACTGACTGAGCTTGTAAGCAGCGGCGACTGTCTCGGGATCTTCAGCGGCTGCCTTGGATCCTCTTGAGGAGAGGGTCTCGACGACCGAGGTGAGCTCTACTCCGGCTCCGGTGGGCTGCATTGGAATCAGCATGGGCGTTTGTTGGCTGGGATCGGCCAAATGCGGCGACGATGCCATACGAAGCGATGTCGCGTCCATCGATCCGGTGACGTCTCTGCCTTGCTGCGGAGACGTACTGAGCGCACCAAACGAGGAGGAGAGCGAAGAAATGGCTCCGTCGTACTGGCTGTACGAATCTGAGGCGATGCCGTGCGCGGTATGGGCGCTGGAAGGAGATTGGTGGCTGCCAGACAGCGGCAAAGGTGCCTCGTCGAAGCTTTTGGCGGGAGGCAGGCTGGTCATGGTGGGAATGTCGAAGTTTCTGCGAGTGAAAGGGCCATGTCCGGACGACCCTAGAATGGGCGACCTTTCTCCGTGTAGCGAAGATGAAGACATGGAGCTGGCGGTAAGCGCTGGCGTTGGAAGGGGAGGCGTGGTCGACCAGGCGTGTCCGTTCCACGTGGAGCCGCCGTTTTGCGAGTTCGACCAATCCATCTGGCGGTCACGATTGCCGAGCACGCAGCTCTCAGTCAGAGAGCGATGCGGATCATCAGATGTTGCCGAGGGGGAAGCCGCCATAGGCTGGACGAGGAATGCAAAGCAAGAGGGGGAAAGAAGCAAGAGAGGGGAAGAAGCAGGTCAGGGACCATTTCTACCGTCGAGACTGACCATGAAAAAGGCGGAAACATGGCGACGAAGAAATTCGCCTACTTACCTTGGGCGGTAGTGAGTGTCTCGGAGCCTGGCTCTTTGTGGTCATGGTGAGGGAACAATGGGTTAACTGAGCTCGGTAAGAAGCAGGACTGTTGAAGCCCGCGGTGGCGACTGCGCAGTGTGGGGCTCGAGCAGCGAAAGTGGGAAAAGCGTCAACTGCGCAGAGCAATTTCGCTTTGTTGGCCGGCGAAATGAAGTGCTTGACGGAACAACGACGGAAATGGCCAGTCTGTGAGGCGCTAGGGTGCGTGATGAAGGAGAGGAAGAGGAAGGTCGAGGCTCCTTCCGTCCTGATAGACGACCAAGGAGAGAGAAAGGAAGGAGGGAACGAGGATGCTCTTCGAAAGCAGCTTCATTTAAACGAAAGTAGCTCAGCCCGGTGGGGCGACCGTAGGAGGAGGGACTGCCAGCTGCACGGCCCTTTGACGCCTCAGCACACTCGAGCCCACCGCGCATCTGCTCTGCTGCTCGAGGAGGGATACCTCTGCCTATCAAGCTTAGCTTTGCGCTGCCAAAGATAGGCTCTGCAGGAGAATCCGGGTGTGACGAACGAAAGGCGGTGGGGAAAGTGACTCGGGTGCGCAGCGACGTGAGAATAGGAAGTGCCGAATCAGACGAATCACAGTAGCACTTCGAAAGCCAGATGGCCGAAGCAGCGCCAGCATGGCCAAAGGCAGCAGCAGCAAGGTTTAGGTTCCCACCGAGCCTGTCTGGCTCCGTCGAACACAATTCCCTCAGTGTCGTCGGATCGCAACCGAAGCGGATGATTGAGCCCACTTGTGGTCGCTGCAACGCAACGCTTTTCTCACGCTCATGCATAAGCTTTCATTTGGCGAACGCGGCTGTGCCGATGCCTCAAATGGTCGATGGCTGATTGTGTGCGCTGACAAGGTGCGTGCGTTGATGCATGACACGCGAGCCCATTCTTCTCGATTTGCGCTGTGACCTTTTCATGTTATGAGCACCGGATCGTCCGACGCACTGACTATCGTCAGCGTCACCACGCGCGCCTCGTTCGTGGAAGCGCAGCATCGGGCAACGAAGCTTGAGCCGCTCAAAAAGTCATGTATGTTCTCGTTAGCGATCTCATTCGAGGAAGAAGGCAAGTTGTGGTGCTGGTGACGATCAAATGAACGATGCCTGATAGTCAGCGTCTACTTGCTGTCTCCATCGCCCTCCTGCAGGCTCATCTGAATGGCCCTTGCGATAGCTTCGTCCTCATCCATCTCTTCGTCCTCCTCGCCCTCTTGTCCGGCCACGACTGCTCGTCTTGTGGCTGACGGCTCAGCTGATGCCATATCGACATCCTCGTCATTCGAGGCCGAAGCGCCGCCAGCCTGTGAGAGAGCGATCGCTTTCTGAAGCATATCCTCCTCCGACTCGTCCTCGGCGTTGTGGCCCTCGCCTGTGATAGATTCAGCACCCCTTGGCACCATGGAGCCGCTCCCAGCCAAGCCGCCAGCGGTGCGGGAAGCAGCCGTTGCTGCTGCTGGTGCGGCCACTTCGCTTGCCTCCGAAACGGTCGGAAGCGACGGGGCTTGTGACCCCGAGGTTCCTTCGGCTGCCCGCTGTCGGGCCTGTTCCTCCTCGAGCGAAAGTCGGAGGGCCTGTGATTGGTTCAAAGTTGGAAAGGCGGTCAGATAAGGGTCAGCATACCGAATGGAATCCACCGAAGGTGGCACGACGCCCCAAAATGCTGTAGCTTGGATGAGGCTTGCTCTGTACTCACCATCGCTAGCTCCGGATCCATGCTCGGGTCGACGCCGAACTCGAATGAATTGCCTCCGCCTCCGCTGCCGGATGGGCCGGCGCCTGAGTCACCGCCCTCCTCCTGCAGCACGGGCGAGGAGAGAATGATGTCGGAAAGCAGCTGAGGGCCTGCCGGTACGCTCAAGAGGTGGCTGTGAAAGCAAAGATCAATGGGGGGATAATGCATGGATCAGTATCGACGTCTGATGATATCATGCAAAGCATCTCAGTGGTAACGGGCCGACTTACCTGTTCTCGCCGCTGTTGACTGCCTCGATAAACTTGGTGAGCTTCTCCTCATTCTCGACGTCTTCTCCGAAGCTGACAATATCGACGGCAATGTTGTTCTTTTTGAGCTTCTTGCCGAGCTTGACCAGGTCGTCCTCGGTCTGCTCGACAGGCGAGCCGACGAAAGCTACGACCCTCTGCCTCTGGTTCTTGTTCTGACGGTGCTTGAGCGCAAGCGAGGCGACATTGATGCCAGTAGCCAGATCGGCGTTGCCGACAATCTTGCTGCGGTGAAGCGCCGCGAGGACCTTGCCGATGTCCTGTGTCAGCGTCACGAGCACTTCGGGGCTCTTGCCGGCCATGGTCATGAGGCCTACTTCGCTCTCTGGATTCGAGTTGGTCTTGGCGTCAAAGATCATGCTGACGGCATCCGCCTGCGCCTCCCAACGCGTGGGTGTGTAGTCACCGTTTCGCATCCATTCCGAGTTGTCGAGCACGAGCATCGTCGCTTCGAGAACCATGATGAGATAGAGTGTCGGCTGTTCGCAAGCCCGCGGGTTCACTTGATCGAGGGGTCTGCGGCTAGGGCAAACGTTGAAGCCGGATGGTTGTGCAGGCTGCTGGCAAGGCGCGAGGTATTGGATGCAAAGCCAGTTTCTGCGGCAGGAAGATGCGCGTGTTGACGATGTCAGCTATGAATGTGATGTGCGTCGGTGAGGATGAGTGGTGGGGATGCGGAGAAGACGGCAACGCTGGAGAACGTTTGTGTTGAACTCTTGAAAGCTTGCGTGGTGCTCCACTTTCGACGCGCCCGAGCGGCGTAGTTCTCGGGTTTCGGAAGCGCGATTGTGGATTCGATCACCTGTATTCTCACTACCATTCAATACGAACACGCTGAACGTCACCTCCATAGCTGAACGAGATCGCCCGCTTCAAAACAATCTTGTCGATCTCTTCGAACCCACATCCAGCATCCCGAGCGCTCAGAAGCGCAAAGCTCTAGTCAACGTCCAAGCCTACCGAAGGGCCGCTGCGTCTCGATCCGGCACTGACGCCTCTCACGAGTAGCGCAGGTCAGCATATTCAAGACACTTCCGCTCTCTAATCATAGTAACCCGTCGCAATGGCGGGGAGAATACGGGAGGTATGGGCGGAGAACGTGGAGCTCGAAATGGGCTTGCTGCGAGACACAATCGAGAAGTACCCATATGTAGCGATGGACACCGAGTTCCCCGGCATCGTTGCGAGGCCGATAGGGACATTCAAAGGCTCATCCGACTACCACTACCAGACACTGCGATGCAACGTCGATCTGCTCAAACTTATCCAGCTCGGCATCACGCTCTGCGACGAGAACGGCAACCTTCCACCGGACGTCTGCACATGGCAGTTCAACTTTCGCTTCAGCATCAACGACGACATGTGCGCGCCGGACTCGCTGGATCTGCTCACCAAGGCGGGACTCGACTTTGACCGACACGAGAGGATGGGCATTGACGTGGAGCACTTTGGCGAGCTCCTGATCACATCCGGACTTGCGCTCTTCGATGATGTCAAGTGGGTCTCGTTCCACAGCGGCTACGACTTCGGATATCTGCTCAAGGTGGTCACATGCAGTCCGTTGCCAGCGCAAGAGGCCGACTTCTTCGCTCTGCTTCGCGTCTGGTTCCCATGCATCTACGATATCAAGTTCCTGATGCGAAGCTGCAAGACGCTGAAGGGTGGCTTGCAAGACGTGGCAGATGACCTGCAGGTCAGCCGCATCGGTCAACAGCACCAAGCAGGAAGCGACAGCCTCCTCACAGCGACGACCTTCTTCAAGATGCGGCAAAAGTACTTCGATGGCCAGATCGACGATTCCAAGTACCTCGGATGTCTGTACGGCTTCTCTTCGAGCTCGTCGCATGCGAACGGCATGGTGCATTACAATCAGGGCCGACCAGGTTCGATGCAGAGCTTCCACGATGCGTCCTCGATCCCACGCTCCGTGTCGGGTGGCTATGCGGCTGGCGGCTACGGATCTGGATTCAGCAGTCCATTCAAGTCGAGCCTGTCCGCTTCGACCGAGCGCTGATGCCCGATCGCCTTGCATTGAACCGCCTCTTGACCCTGCATTGACTTCCACTTCTCTGTACCACTACCCTGTAACACTAGATGCGGCTCGCGCTGCTCCACTCGAATCCACTTTGTCACTGTGCCTCTCTGCGAACTCTCAGTCATGTCCGTGAGATACTTGATAGATCAATCGCGTCGTGAAGGTTGCTGATGTTACATGGATTGATGGACGACTTGAGAGGGATGGACGCATTGCAGTGAGGAACAGTGAGGAAGGGGGAGAGGGGATGTCTAATGTTTGAGGCTTTTTCCACCGGGCTTTCAGTCGAAAGCCTCTTCTGCGGACTGTCGGACCAGCCGTCGCACCTTCTTCTTGTAGCCAGCAATGTCTTCCCTGACCTGCTTGGCAGCGTCGATGTTGGCTGGCGAGTCGGTGTTGGGCACGTCGGCCGAGAGCAGACTAATAACCGAGATGAGCTGCAATGAGACGAAAGAAAAGCAAAACGAATGCGATGTCAGCGAAGAGTCTAGCACCATCAACGGGCCCTGATATCCGACATGATACTCACGATCGATTCCACGGTGTGCACGGGGAGCCATCGCTCACTTGCGTCCTCGTAGCCCCACTCGTCCTTGCCAGGCGCATGCAGGATCGAAATGCATACGGTCCCGTCGGCGTAGATATTGGGGTGCCACATGGGCGTGATGAACTTCATCTTGGGAGGAAGCAAAGGGTACTCTGGCGGAAATATCAACTCTGCTCGCAAGAAACCGCCTTCGTACAGTGTATCGTTGGGACCGATGATCATGATCTCCCATTCGAAGAGATTACTCTCATCTTTGAGACCGGCGCTAAAGCCGTCGACAGGCCGCTTGCGGAGCTCGGTGAGCTGTCGTTTGAGGAGCAGGGTGTTGCCCGCCGGTGATGAAGTCATCGTGAGTGAATGCGATGCTTGTTCCGAAGCGAAGGATGGTGACGATGGATCCGGAGGCTGTACCAATGCTAGCGCGAAAGTACCCGAGACCAGCTTGCTTCTGGGTCGAAGTCGTTTTGTAGTCCGTCTAGATGGTGGACCAGCTGTGGCGGTTGGTGAATGCCGATCTGGTTTTGACGTTTGCGTTCCTTGAGACGTCTGAATGCGCGAATCTTAGCCAAAGGCCGATAAGCAGACGTCGTGGATGAGGCAGGCGAGAGGGAGGAAGAGCAGGCAGGTAGCGTCTGGTTCGAGGTGGAAGAGTGGAGAGGTAGTCGCAGTCCGTGGAAGCCCGGCAAGTTGCAAGCCCCACCGCTCCGCAGCTTTTTTGGGCGTCAGCTCAACCCTGCATGGCTCGAGAACACCTGAGCGGATCCCAAGCTGAACAGCGAGGCCCCACCGTCGCTGCTCAGCAACACAGGTCCTCGTCGCGGCCGTGTTGCTGCTCTTTCACACACGTATGCACATCAGCTTCTCCTTGTCATTGCGATCGTTCCCACCGTCTCGTAAGTGGCCCTAGCAGAGACAAGGCAGGCATGGTGAGAAAATCGACTTGGCTGTTAAAGTGAGGCAAGCACGTCCTCAGCCAAAAATACGGGCTTGTGGAGGCTGAGACGTGCTTTGGCGCTGTTGGTCTGAGTCGCGTCGGAAGGAGCGCCGCCAAAAGTGACACTTCTTCCAAGTCACATACATTCGCATGAGGTGACTGCTCGATCTTCTCTACGATCACGGCGCTCGACGCATCGCTCACTGAGGCGACAAAATGCCAACACCATCGTCACATCCGGCGCTTCGCTAAGGGGTCGATTTCCAAAGACACCCAACTACGCTTCGGCACCACCGCGAAGCTGACTACACCGCAGTCCCTGTCACGATGTCGGCGGCAGAACGCATCAGCCAAAGAGTGGCGCACTCCAACACTCGAGCGGCTACATCCGATTGGGACTCCTCCCTCACGGGCGAGTCGTCTCAGCTACTTGCACGTCTGCAAAAGATTCGCGCTCGCTCAACAGCCACCACGCAGGGAAGCTCAGTCTCATCCGCCTCGCATCTCGCCCGCGGAGCCACAGCATCAACCTCCTCGTCACCACCATCGACATCGTCAGTCACCACGGTCCATCAGCAAGATGATAGTCTCAACAAGGGCGCTTGCGCTCTCGACGAGCTTCGATGGCAAGATCACTCCCTCACATGGACAAGAGGTAGCATCCTCATGCGCACCTTCTCCTTTCCCAACCCGGTCTTGCAAGCGTTCTGGACCCTGTTCCATGTCAGCCCCCCGGACACCATCCACACCGCTCCTGGCAAATTACGTGCCAATCAGCATCCTGATCCACCCGTCCGAGCGCTCTGCGTCTTCTTCGAGCAAGCCATGCACATTCACTTTCCAGGCCTTGGCGAGCAGGTCGAGATGGACCTGCCTTTCCGCTTCGCAAAGGCCTTCCCAGCACCGCTAGGCTTTCTCATCCAGCGCCAAATCGAATCGGAAGACGAGCGCATTGCTTCGAGATTACAACGTCCCGCAGTCAGGCCTTCGTTGCAACCGTCTTCCAGTGGCATCGGGTATCCTTTCCCAGACCTCAGCACATCGTCCGACTCGAGCCAGAGCCTCTCGCATCTCCTCGACGAGACCGATCCTGCATCCACATCTCAGATTCCTCAAGATCCATCGCGGCTGCTGCCCATGGTCTTCTACCTGTCCCGCTGCTACGACGATCTTGTGCCCGTCGATCGCTTTCCGCAGCTGTCCTTCTCCCTCGCGCCTTCGACCGACCCTACGCCAACCACACACGGTCCAGCGTCCCCCTTCGGCGAAATAGACGAGGTCGTCGTCTACGTCTCTACCGAGAACGATGCGCGATGGCCACCCTTCGTCGTCACGACGAGTCTGCGAAACTCTGCCATCCGCGTCTATGCGTATGCCGCACGGCCGAACGCCTTCGAATCGACACCCGCACTGCTCTCGACGCCACGCGCCCCGTCCTCACTCGGCAGCAGTGGCGCTGGTGTCCATGGCGTTCCCATCATCCCTGGTCCTGCCGCCTTTGCGCCTCAGAGCCAGGGAGACGACCAACACCCCGTGACGGGCCTGTCGCGCACTCTCTCCGACACACAGGGAGGTGCTGCCAGCACAGCGCTAGGCAGGGGCTATCCGTCCACCTCGGTTCGAAGAAGCAGCCGTATCGATCTCGACCGACGTACCAGCGGCATGGTCTCTGCTGGGATGGGAAGAGATCCGAGCGGTCGCAGCCGACGTATCAGCGCGATGCACTCAGGAGCACCAGACCGCAGATCCACGGGTCGCAAGGACGATCAGGCAAGCCAGGGACGAGACCGCACGCTAGGGAACATCTCTCACACTGCCGATGGTCTTCGCCTGCAGTCTGGTGCTTACCCTCATGAAGCTAGGATGGAAGAGCTTGGCGGTCCTGGCACCAGCATGCGCATTCCTGCCAACCCAACCGCAGCGGCTCGCCTACGTCGCAGTTCACAGGCCGTTGCGCGTACACCCTACGGAGGGCCCCGGAACTCGAATCGCACGTCGTCTTCCTCTGCCAAGCCAAGGATGTCGATGAATCTGTCCCGCCTCGACACCAGCGTCGATCCCTCTCGGTTCACGTCCGCGATGCCCACCGGCACCATCGATGGGATGCGCCTAGACGCCATGGAGGTCGACGATGCCATCCTCGACGACGGCGATGTCGACCTGGCCCGCGTCGCAGACATGGACAGCTTTGCACGCAGTTTTGCCTGCACATGCCTCTTGGACGAGATCAAAATCCCACATCTGAACTCTGCCTCCGACCTTGCGGATTTGCGGGTGAGCGGCTCCTCGTTCGGACACATCGATTCGGACGCCACCTACCTGTTCCTGTCCATGCCAAGTCTGGGTCGAACCTTTGTACGTCGGCTTGGCTATCAGCGATTGGGCTCGTACGACACGTATCGAAACCTTCCCTTCTGCAAAGCACCCAGCAAGCTGCAGACTGCTGCCGCCATTCCATGCATCGGAGTCTTGCCGGTATCGGTGCTGGGTCCAGAATCGACGCAAGTTCTGGCAATGTCCCGAGACGGAGCTTTACAACTTCACTTCGGGCTTCCATCTCCAGGCATTCCGTCACTCGACATCACCACGTTCGGACCTCTGGCGCCGGAACTCAAAGACATTAGGCAAGATGCATCCTCACTCTGTCTGGAGGCAGCGCCGACCTTGGGCAGGTCTGGCTTTCAGCTCGTGACAACGAAATCGCAACAGCGTATCGATGTCCAGCTCGACTTCCGTCCGAGATGTGCTACAGCCGCTCGAGTACTCGGGGTCCTATCGCAGACCGTGCCAAATCATCTCGCGGCAAAGATCCAGGCTCGGTGGGTCGAGGCGCGCTTCTTCACGGAAGGTCCACTGACGTCAAGGCACGGGCATACTGCAATGGATGCAGATTGGGCAGCTCTTTCGCTAGCCTTGGGGCTCTCGTCGTCACAGCCAACTGCTGACCGCACAAGTGCCCGCTGCGCGACAGCACACCGTCTGTTCGCCCAAGATCCCCTCCTGCAAGGCCTCGCTCCCTTCACCGCTGTCGACTCGGCAGGCTGGAATGCGGCACCACAAGGGACGCTGAAGAACAACCTGGATCCGACCGAGTCCGGCCCCCTTCTGTTTACGCTGTACCTGCTGGCCGAGGAGATGCAGTTGGACACTTCCCACTCGCAAGGCGAGGTCAAGAAAGTGGCAGAGCTGAGTGCCGCCCTGGCACAGCGCTGCAGATCATCCGCCTGGACGGAAGCCCTCCGCTGTCGCGTTGCCTTGCGTCAAGGCGCGTCGCAGCTTGGACAAGGGTCAAAGCAAAGTCGAAGCATGGACGCAGACGGGCAGGAGCCACCGCAAGACTTCTATCAGGTGCTCCGCCGTCTGCTCTCTGGCAGCCGCGCCCAAGCGTCTTCGCTTCGGAGCTGGATCGAGCCCACTGCCGGTCTTGCACAGCTCACCCACGCCGCTGCTGCCTTCCCGATGCTGGATGCGGTTCTTCGCACCTTTTCCGTGTTCAGCCAAGCGCACAAAGATCGTCAGCACCTCGCAGCGGCCGTTGTCGAAAGTACGATCTCGAACGGACTGGATCTCGAGCGATTGCGAGCGTTGCCTTTTGGCATCTCGCTTCCCTTGTACGAGGCCATGCGCTGCTGTCAGGTCGAACCACCGAGTGGCAAGAGTGCCGCCTTCTACCACATGACTCAACGTGCAGAGCTCGTTCTCAATGCTTGGCCGCTGCGTGGCTCCTTGAGCACGGCGAACGCGCGCAAGATCCCAGAGCAGCTGGTTCGAACCTTGCCAGAGGACGTCTCTCTGGATGCCATCTGTGCCCAGCTGTTCAGTCGAGACTTTCGACTGCGCGATGTGGTGGCGATGCTCAGGACCGACTCGATCAACTCGGTCTACGTTGCCGAGGGCGAAAGCCAGACGGAGACCGCCATCACCGAACAGCACAACGCAGCCGTCGCAGCGATCGGCGAACGTACCAAGGCGCTTCCAGCGGGTCGAGCCATGCTTTTTATGACATCGCAGCGCTTCTCTCCCACGCACAAGTGGCGAATTCCGTCGATCTGCTTGACCGTCAAAGTGAGACCGCGCGGTCTGACCATCGAGCCAGAAACGAAAGCGGACGCGGCCGGCTTGGACTGGCCTGAGTTTCACAATGGCGTTGCTTCGGTGCTCGAGCTCCACTTGGCCTCCGACATCACGGTCGACTCCAAATGGATCTTTGCGCACCTGGGCGAACAGGTCACTGCACGTCACGCAGGCTTCTTGTACGGACTCGGTCTGATGAAGCAGCTGCCGTCGTTGACGCCCATTCATGTCTTCCGATACCTCAAGATGCGCAACAATCTGCTCACCATCGGCTTTCTGCTCGGAGTGGCCGTGTCCACCGTAGGCACGGCCGACCCCACAGCGCGAAATTTGATCGGGATGCAGCTCCCCGCTTTCCTGCCGCCCGACTCGGCACCGCTCAACTTGTCCACCATTACGCAAACCGCCGGCCTGCTCGCGATGGGACTTCTCTTCCTTGGCAGCAATCACCGCTGGACGGCCAAACGCATGTTGGACCAGATCGGCGCGCAAGAGTCTTCGACTCCCCACCTTCAGCCGCAATACCGCGAGGCCTATTCTTTGTCAGCGGGTCTCGCGCTGGGTCTGGTCTACCTCGGCAAAGGCCGAGGCGAGGGCATGAAGAGCTTACCAGACAAACGCATCCTTGCTCGCCTCATTCATCTCATTCAGGGCAGCAGCAACGTCGGCAAGGGTGCAACCCTCGCGGGCGGTCTTCGAGCCGACGACGCCGGCAAGGACGCCGGCGAGATCAATTTGACTTCGGCGCCTGCTGCTCTCGCCTTGGGTCTGGTCTACCTGCGCTCGGGCAGTCCGACGATGGCCGATGTGGTTGCGCCTCCTCGGACAGCTCGCGAGCTCGACTCGCTCCGCCCCGATGTGCTCTTTGCCCATGTGCTGGCTCGCTACCTCATCCTGTGGGATATCATCCAGCCGACAAAGGAATGGCTTTTCGGCGTCCTCCCCATGTGGATGCAGAGGCGCATAGAGTGCGGCAAGACGCTATCCGAGGCGGCACAGCTGGCTCAGATCAACATGGAGACGGGCGCTTGCTTTGTGATCGGACTCAAGTATGCGGGCTCGAAAGATGCAAAGGCAAGCCATTGCTTGTGGGAGCAGCTCAACAGGCTGGAGAAGCAGGCCAAGGTGCAGGCCGTTTCGTTCTTTGCCAAGATCCGCAAATCAGCCCTTCAAGCGGCGCTGGACCAAGCGAGGATTGCGCTCGCGATGGTCCTCGCAGGCAGCGGAGACGTTGACCTGCTCCGGCATCTACGAAGAGCGCACGGCGATGTGGATGGCGATACGTGTTACGGTAGCCACATGGCGACGCACATGGCGCTGGGACTGCTCTTCCTCGGCGGAGGGCGATTCACGCTGGGAACGTCGGATCTGGCGGTCGCAGCCCTGCTGATTTCTTTCGTGCCTCCCTTCCCTCGATCCAGCGGTGACAATCGTGCGCACCTGCAAGCGTTCCGCCACCTTTGGTACCTCGCCATCGAGCCAAGGTTGCTTGTCGCTACGGACGTCGACTCGAATCAGCTCGTGAGCTTGCCCGTCCACATTGCTGAAGGCGATGCTATCGCGAGCGACAACAAACGCACCTTTACTCCACTGCTGTTGCCGAATCGCCACTTGTCTGGATCCATTCGAAGCGCCACAGATAGGTACTGGTCAGCCAGCATCGACGGCAGCTCGATATCGGATCGCAATGTGGTGACGGGATCGGCAGCCGCTCGGGCTGCACGAGCGTCCGCTTCTGCCACATCGCAGATGCTCTTTGTGAAGCGCAAGGCGGCTCACCTGGACTATCTTGCCGACCCTAACGGCAGCCGAAGCTTGACCTCGCGCGCTCTCGAGACAGCGCCGATGGATGTGTCGGGAGACGCTGCCGAACGGATCGGACCCGGCGTGCCTGAGCTCAGGGAAGCGACGCGCGGCTTCTCGGCTGCAGGCAAGCAGTGCGAGCTCGTCCGTTGCTTGGGTCAGATCTCTGGGTCGTCGTCGGACGCCGACCAAATTAGCCAGTCGGACGCAACGGTGTCAGCGATGCGAGCGCTGGTGATGGAATGTCTGACGATGGACAAGATGTATGTCTTGCCCGCGTACGCCAGCATTGTGCAGCTGAAGCACGACAATGGCGTCGACGCTCTGTTTCAACCGTCTCGTGACATCCGCCTCGCCGATGACTTCTATCAGCATCACTTTGCACGCCTGTTTGCAGAGGGCAACGACGACGGTGCCAGCAAGCCGTTGCCGTTGGTCCAGCCTGCTTTGCTGACGTTGTTACGGCTGCATGCGCAAGAGCAGGCCAGGAAGGTCTTCGAAGGCGACGCAGCGGTCCGAGATGCTGTGACGGAATGTCTCATTTCGAGGCCAGGGGTGGGCTTCAGCGCCGCCCTCTTAGAGGCTGAAGACGCTTGGAAGGTGATGGTGATGAGCGAGATGCCTAGCATGAACGAGGTGCGCGGTCTGGTTGACTTCATCCGGCAATTCATACGTTCGGCTCAGCCAGCCGCGGGTCCAACTGATGCTACGCAACTCAGAGAGAAGGTCCACATGGTCACCGATGCAGCCTTTGGAGGCCCCAACAGAGCGCCTTGGACTGCTTTCATCCTCGATCATGTCATCGACGAGTTGCTTGGCGGGTCTTGACCGATGTAGCTCCCATTTTATTACCAGCATGAACGCTGAACTCACACCGCCAGTTTGTGTGTCTGATGAAGAGAGGGCGGAACCTGAGGAGAGGCATATGTGCAGGCTGAACCTACTCAACTACGGAAGGGGGTCGCGCTCAACTCGACGCGCCCATCTCGTGCGGCACCAGCGAAACTTGATAGCCGACGTGGCTGGTGAGCTGGAAGGTACGCGCCCGCAACACATTCAAAAGCAGAGGACAGCTCTAAAATCCGACAAAATTCCAAAGATGCAGAGGGCACGAGCCCATTCTCTGGGCGGCGGGTGGGTGTTGCTCTTTGAAATTATTAGCTGCCACGTCAGGCTTGTTGCCCGCGGGGCTCAAGGTGGCGCGCAATCTCTCGGCGTGTTGGTGAGTCCCTGAGCAAGAAAGAGAGAAGCACGCAAGCACGAAGATCCCGGGAAGCTTGGCCTCCAAGCACGCTGAGCACAGACAGACACGCAGAGAAGAAGATACGCACCTCGGCCTCGTGCAGTTGGCTTGCACAACGGGAACAGCCCTGACCTACAGTACCACCGATCCACCCTTCCTTTCTCACCTCGACCACATCATCATCCTTTATCTTCCCTTCGTTACCCATCTTGGTGGATTTCAATCAAGTCCCTTCTCAAGATGCGTTTCACTCGTTCCGCCATCGCGGCCGGTCTGGCTACCGCCGCCACCTTCATGTCCGCCGAGGCTTCGTCATCGTCCGACGTCCTTGTCCTCGGTCATGCTAACTTTACCGATCACGTTGCCAAAGAGGTATGTTCCTTGATCACGCCGCTACAAGCTCCATGGACGGACGCCGTCGTCTCGAGCTTCGCTTCTAGCTATGGAACGATCATCGCTGACCTCGTCATCACTTTCTCTCCTGCTTCGCCGCTTTCGCCCCTTTTGTCGCGCCGACGATGATGCTGCCCTGCACACCGTGGCGTTCCTCCTTCACAGCCTCTGATGCTCGTCGAGTTCTACGCGCCTTGGTGCGGTCACTGCAAGCAGCTCGCCCCCGAGTACGAAAAGGCCTCTACTGAACTGCTCGCTGACAAGATCAAGCTCGCCAAGGTCGACTGCACCGAGGAGAACGAGCTCTGCGCTGAGCACAATGTCGAGGGCTTCCCCACCCTCAAGGTCTTCCGCAACGGTCAGTCTGCCGAGTACAACGGTAACCGAAAGGCCGACGGCATTGTCTCGTACATGAAGAAGCAGTCACTCCCTGCTATTTCCACCATCACCGCCGACAACTGGGCTGAATTCAAGGGCAAGGACCGTGTCGTTGCCATTGCGTACCTCGACGCTGCCGACGACGACAGCCTCTCCGCCGTCGAAGCTGTTGCCAACGGTCTGCGCGACAACTACTTGTTCGGTGTCTCCCACGACGCCGCGGTCGCCGAAAAGGCTGGTGTCAAGGCGCCTGCCTTCGTCGTGTACCGTCAGTTCGACGAGCCCGAGGTCAAGTTGGACAGCACCAAGTTCGACGACCAGGAGATTCTGGAAGCCTTCCTCAGGGCCGAGTCGATTCCCCTCGTGGATGAGCTCAGCGCCGAGAACTTCATGAGCTACGCCGACACGGGCCTGCCCCTGGCCTACCTCTTCTCGGACGCCGAGTCCAAGGACCTGCAGACCAACATCGACTCGATCAAGGCGCTCGCCAAGGCCAACAAGGGCAAGCTCAACTTTGTGTGGATCGACGGTAACAAGTACTCTGCCCACGCCAAGTCGCTCAACATCCAGTCCGAAGACTGGCCCGCATTCGCGATTCAGGACATTGAGCAGAACCTCAAGTACCCGCTCGAGGATCTCTCTGGCGACCTGGTCGGCAAGGTGACCGACTTTGTCAAGCAGTACACCTCGGGTTCGCTCAAGGCTTCGGTCAAGTCCGAGCCCATCCCCAAGGACCAGGACGGTCCCGTACACGTGCTGGTCGCTGACGAGTTCGACGCTGTCATCGGCGACGACAGCAAGGACATGTTGGTCGAGTTCTACGCCCCCTGGTGCGGCCACTGCAAGAAGCTTGCGCCCACCTACGACACGCTCGGCGAGAAGTACAAGGCGCACAAGGACAAGGTGCTGATTGCCAAGATGGATGCCACTGCCAACGACATTCCGCCCACTGCTGGCTTCTCGGTGCAGTCTTTCCCCACCATCAAGTTCAAGGCTGCCGGCAGCTCGGACTGGATCGAGTTCAACGGTGACCGATCGCTCGAGGGCTTTGTTGATTTCATTGCGCTCAACGGCAAGCACAAGGTGTCTGTGGACCTCGAGCCCATCAACGCGACTGGCTCTGAGCACGCCGCGCACCACGACGAGGCCATCCACCACGAGGAGCTCTAAGCTGGCATGCTAGTTTAACAAACGTCACTGCCTATCGTAATCGTGCCTTCATTCTGGACGGCATCATTCGACGCGACTGCAAAGGCGTGGCGTTTCTCAAACATCGATGCGTTGTTCTCACACTGATGTTATCGTTGCTTTCAGCATTCGTCTCTTGTCTGTGATGTTAGCATTGGTGAGAACATGACGTGAAGAAGTAACAACGACGTAGGTCAGAAGCGGGCAACACGGAAGGAGGCGCAATCTGGTGACCAGCTCCCAGCGCAAAGTGACATGAAAGCTGCAAGTGACACGCAGAGGCTCGGCAAGAAGACCTGCCTGCTGAGAAGAAATTTCTCGCTGTGTGAATAATTTGAACCGTGCGGAGCGGTGGCAAGGCTGGCCCACCAAAAAAATAGAATCTGGAAGAAGACAACTGAGAAGAAGAAATTCACTCGAGCGCAGAAGTTTTGGCCAACCGCAGACCCTCGCCGGCCACGTTGAGACTAGGGCATGGAGCTTCAACACCCTTCTCGTCTTCCCACCACATACACTCCCGTATTCGTCATCCCCCCTTTCCTCACATATAAACACTCAAAATGGCTCCCATCGGTCAGATCTACGGCTACGTCGGCCACCCCAAGACCAACCACGCCCTTTGCGCCGCCGCCTACAATGGCCTCGAGCTCGAGGTCGTCGACACCCAGGCCATGAGGGGCGACACCCGCAAGCCCGAGTTCCTTGCCCTCTTCCCTTACGGCAAAATCCCCGCTTTCAAGGGCACCGACGGCTTCACCCTCATTGAGGGCAAGGCTATCGCTCGTTACGGTATGTATTCTCTTCGACACAACTGCGCCGCTTCAGCCTCGCTCCGCCTGCCCCACCGCCTTCCTTCAAGCCACCGCCAGCAGCCTCGCTCTTCGTTTATATGATGAGATTATCTTTTACAGTTATCCCTGTCCGAATCACCCATGTCGAGGATACTACTTTCAGCATAATGCCCTGAACCTTCCCAACAGCAAGCACCCTCTGGTTGCTGTCACACAGGCGACAGGTGGACGCAGGCAAAGCGAAGCAGCGGGCACTTTTAGCGATCTTCCATCGCGAGCAACTCAGCTGACTCTGTCTCGGTTTTCTTTGATCGCGCAGTCGCCGGCCTCTCCAACAACTCGAAGCTGCTCGGCACCGACGCCAAGTCGGCCGCCCAGATCGACCAGTGGATCTCGTTCGCCGACGAGGAGATCCTCAACAACGGTATCCAGATCCTCCTCCTCACCATCGGCCGCATCCCTTACAACAAGGCCCTCGAGCAGTCGGCTTGGGAGAAGCTCGACCGTGCTTTCGCCTTCGTCGAGTCGGAGCTGCAGAACAAGACCTTCCTCGTTGGCCACCGTGTCACCCTCGCCGATCTCACCCTCGGCTCGGACCTCGCCATGATCTTCGCACGCCTCGCCGGTGTCAACTTCCGTTCCAAGTACCCTAACACCGTGCGCTACTTCAAGACCATCACTGGTCAGCCCCAGGTCCTCCCTATCTTCAAGGACCTCACTCTTGCTGAGGAGAACGCCAAGTTCGTTCCCCCCAAGAAGGAGGAGAAGCCCAAGGCTGCCCCTGCCCCCAAGGCCGAGAAGCCCAAGGCGGCCCCCGCTCCCAAGGACGACGAGGACGACGAGCCCAAGGCGGCTCCCAAGCCCAAGAACCCCTTGGACGACCTGCCCAAGTCCTCCTTCAACCTGGACGAGTGGAAGCGCACCTACTCGAACGAGGAGACCCGCGAGACCGCTCTCCCCTGGTTCTTCAAGAACTTCGACTCGGAGGGATACTCCGTTGTCAAGCTGGACTACAAGTACAACGACGAGCTCCAGGCTGTGTTCCAGAGCAACAACCTCATCGGCGGCTTCTTTGCCCGTCTTGAGGCCTCGCGCAAGTACACCATGGGCACCCTCGGTGTCTTTGGCGAGAACAACAACAACTTGATCTCTGGTGTCATGATCTGCCGCGGCAAGGACCCCAAGTCTGTCCTCGAGGTCGCCCCCGATGTGGACAGCTACAGCATCTCCCCCCTGGACCTCAGCAAGGACGAGGACAAGAAGTTCTTCGAGGACATGATGGCTTGGGAGGCTACCATTGACGGTAAGGCCTTCGCCGATGGTAAGATCATGAAGTAGGTTTGCTTTAGATCGCTTGATAGTGCATTGCAACTGATATGTGTTGTGCTTCGATATGCTCTTGTCGTGTGCGTGTGCAAGCCGCTTTGAAAGTTTTGAACGGTGTGGAAGTTGCCATTGCGTCGTGAGCGGTAGGAGGTTGAGCGAGTGCGGAAAAAATGGTTAGGGTGTCAGATCGCGCAGCCAAGAGGCCGGTGGAGGCAAACCCACGTATGCATGGGCCCTCTCCCTCGCCCTCCTGACCAGGGTTCAGCTCAACCTTCTCCTACGACATGGGTAAGTCCGTCTTCCCTTTCAACAATACGCTGCACGCTATAGCTTCCTACTTCGACACGTGCTGACGCAAGGATGCCGACGATGGCGATGGACAAGTTCTCAGGGCTGTGTTTGTGGTTGGTCCCCTCCTCCTCCGCTTCGCAGCTGGAGTTGAACGATGCGATTCGGGGCGTGATGTGCGACTTGCGCGCTGCCAATCCCGGTTGCTCGGGGGAGTTCAGTACGCACGCGACGCTCGTTTCTGCCCTTGGCGATCGCACCATCCCCGCCGACGAGCTGCGCACCGTGACAGAAGGAGCCGTGGACGAGTGGCGCAAGCTTCACGGTGCAAGAGGGTTGACGGTGCCATTCAAAGACGTCACAACCAAAGGCCGCTACTTCCAATGCATCCTCCTCGCCCTTCAACCCACACTCGCGCTAAAGGGGCTCAACAGCATCGCAAACAGGACAGTCGACAAGCATTTCCCACCCCCACCATCCGCAAAGGAGAAAGAGGAGTTCTTCCCCCACATCTCCCTGCTCTATGCCGACCTCACCGTCAAACAAGCGCAGGAACAGATCGATGGGCTGCGAGAACAGGGTGTGTTCAGGACCAAGGGCGAAAGTGTAGAGTTCAAGGGTTTTAAAGAGGTCACGTTTGGCAGTGTCGAGGTGTGGGATTGCACAGGACGGCCGGAGGAATGGAAGAGGGTGCACAGCATACCGCTGTAACTTCAGCTCTCTTTCTCAATGTCTTCGCATTACACGCACGTCACTCGCGAGTCTCGAACTCGAACGCAGAGAGTCATAGCGTCAAGCATCACGCAGGCCGCACAGTCGAGTGAGGGAAACCAAGAAAAGGTGTGTGATTTTGGTGGAACAACTGACCAACCGTCGAAACGGTCGTCCAGTACGACGAGCCTACATTCTGAGAGAAAACGAGACTGCGAAAACGTGCGATAATGGTGTGTGTGTGTGTGAAGGAAAGCAACTCGGAGCGTACCGATTACTTCAACTTCTTCTTGGGTCGGAGCTGCGACGAGTGGCCGCACTTGCGCTTGCGGCAGTTGGTGGCACGGGGAGGGAGACGAGCGTAGCACTTGCGGCAGATCTGCTTGTCGCAGTTGTACTTGCCGGCGAGCACCTTGAGCGAGGGCTCGATGATACCACCGCGCAGACGGAGGACGAGGTGCAGGGTCGACTCCTTCTGGATGTTGTAGTCCGAGAGGGTGCGGCCGTCCTCGAGCTGCTTGCCGGCGAAGATGAGACGCTGCTGGTCAGGGGGGATGCCCTCCTTGTCCTGGATCTTGGCCTTGACGTTGTCAATGGTGTCCGAAGACTCCACCTCGAGGGTGATAGTCTTGCCTGTAAGGTGTTGAAGTAGGGGTAGGGGGATGGAGCGAAGGTCAGTTTGCTGTTCGTCGGGGGCGAGTCTTCTACTCGTGGTAGGTGGAGCGGGTCGGTCGCATCCATCGCATCTTTCGCAGAGTCGCGATCAGTCATGTCCAAGGTTTTTCCGTCCTGCCCGGCCTTTGTTCGCCCTGTATCCGTCTGCTACTCCTGCCCTCTTACAACCGAATCATCCTTGCGTGGCAGTGTCCGACCGTCTCATTCCGGATCTCGAAAGCGGGCGTCCCTGGCAAGTGTAACATCATTGCTCATCCGGACGACATCAGCCGCAGCAGATCGAGTTCGAGTTCGACCCTTACAACCATGGCGTTCGTCGTCCTGCGATGCGTCTTGTCGGTGGTGCTGCCAGGAACACCAGTGATCCTTCCTTGATGTTGACAACGTGATCCTGCCTTGTTGTTGACAACGCATCAGAGACCTGGTCTGACAACGTGGACAACATTCCAAGCCTGCGCCGACAATGTCCCTGCACTTGATCCTTGATCCTGCTTCACGAGTGTCGCGTCCTGTTGCTTCCTTGTACCATCTCCTCTTCGCTTTGCTGTTCCGATGCTCTGCCTGCGATGACCTGATGCTGCGATGCGCTGCGATGGATGACATGCGACGTCTCCACCAAGAGTGTCGTGGAATACTAACCCGTCAGAGTCTTGACGAAAATCTGCATCTGTAGAGGTGGGATGCGGTTGTTGCAAGTTTGATTGATGTGCAGACGGTGGTGCGGATCGAATCAGCAAGTGGTCGTGGAGGATTGAGAACGAATGCGACTCGATGCAGCACAATACGATGTCGAAAGGTGATAAGGAATACTATGCTGACTGCTGTGTCGTCAAGAGTGCTCAGATTGTCGATTTAGGCCGTAGCAAAGTCGTTCCAAAGCGCAATGCGGGCCGGAAGCGCTGCTGGTGCTGATATGTCGGGTAGTCTTCGTCTTGTGCTGCTGTCGAGAGCGCCGTTGTATGAGCTTACCTTGTTGGATGGATCTAATGTGGTGGACGATGACGGAGATCGTTGTCAAGAAGCGTTTGGCTTAGCTGCAATCAATTGGAGCTCTCGACTTGCGCAGACCTCGAACCAGCGGACTGCGCTGCGCAGCCGGAATTTTGGCCACAGGCTTGCTCAGCAGTCTCTCGAGCTCAGTGGAATTTCGAGCCTGCAGATCCACTATCTGAGCCGACAGGCACGAACTCAGCCAAATTCGAAATTGGGCCTCCAGACCAGTCAATGAGACGCGCACGTGATGCAATTTCGGCACATCGTTTGTTCATGCTCTTTCATCAGGTCGTATCCATCGCAGGCTGCCCATCACCATTGTGCCTCCTATGTCTTCAGCAACTGAAAGGCACGAACGCATCTGAGAGGCGCTTTTCGAGCGCCATGAGCATTCTTAAGGCGCGAAAGTGATCTGTGACATCTAAGAGAAGCGAGTTGTCAGAACTATACAGCCTCGGCCGAGGTTGACCTCGCGCCTAAATTCTAAAGCGAGAGATGTTAGGCCATCGCCTGCTCCAACCTAGATATCGAGAAAGTGAATCTCCCCGAAGCACTCTATCGGGTGAAGTGGATCGGCTAACATTCGGATTTTAGGCGCAAAAATCACGCTTCGCCTCCACCCGGCGCACGAAACTTTAGTGGCAAGCGACTCAGCAGCCTGGAAATTTTCGGCAAGAGCAGCTGAGCCTGCTGAGCCTTGTCATTGACCCTGCATGTGCGTATCTATGAGCACCAAGTCGTCTCTGCTTTGCCTTCTCCTCTTGCCACACACGCCCAGGTGCTACCCAGACATTCGCGCGCCACATCATATCAAATCACATCGTCGCTGCAAACGTCAGCAAGCGCATCGACCATCCCCAGCAACGAACCTCACAAGATCCTTTCACCATGGCGACCCTAGTCGGATCTTCCAGCAGCGAGCCGTCCACCGCCCCACAGTACGAGCAGTACGACGATGACACACCGCTCTTCACCTGCCTCTCGTGCAGCATTGCATTCCCGAACCCGGAAGACCAGCGCACGCACTACCGCTCCGACCTGCACCGCTACAACATGAAGCGTCGAGTAGCCAACCTCCCACCCGTCAAAGCGGACGTGTTCAACGCCAAGATTCTGGAGCGACGAGCAGCGTTGGTGCAAGAGGCGCAGACGGCGACCGTGCCCGATCGCTGCGAGGCGTGCGATAAGAAGTTTGCCAGTCAGAACGCCTTCCGTGCGCATCTGGAGAGTAAGAAGCACAAGGAGAACGAAGCGAGGTTGTCGAGGAGGCAAGCTGCCGCCAACACTGAAGCTAGCGAAATCGCGCCATCAGAGGACGGGAAGGAGGAGGTGCCGCTGGTGTTCCGTGTACCCAAGCCGACCGCGGAAGCGCCAGCGCTAACACGCTCGACCACAGACGCAGCTATTGTCGCCGAGGAGAAGAAGAAGAACGCCCGCGACACGCTCATGGTCAGCGAAGACGCAAGCGAGGAGCAAATCCAAGCCGCTGTCGACGCCAAAGTCGCCTCCTCCCGCAGAATCGACGTGGAACACGAATGCATCTTCTGCCCCAAATCCGGGTTCGGCGAACTCAAAGACAACCTGGCACACATGTCCAAGGCACATGGATTCTTCATCCCGGATTCGGAGTACATCGTCGATCTTCCCGGGCTCGTCTCGTACCTCGCAGACAAGGTCAGCATCGGCAACATCTGCCTGTACTGCAATGGGCGCGGTAAGGGTTTCCACAACACGGAGAGTGTGCGAAATCACATGTTGGACAAGTACCATTGCAAGATCGCGTATTCCGATCCGGAGGATCAGTTGGAGTTGGGCGATTTCTATGACTTCACCAGCTCGTACCCTGCGGAGGAGGATGAGGAGTGGGAGGATGCGGACGCGGAAGAGGAAGAGGAGATGGAGGTGGATGGGGAAGGACAGGTGCTGGATCTTACCACCAAGAAGTCTGGAGAAGAGGAGGAGAAGGACGACCAGATCAGGTATGGTGATTCGGAGCTCGAGCTGGTTCTTCCCTCTGGTGCTCGATTGGGTCATCGCTCCCTCCGACGATACTACGCCCAGTCGCTGCGCGAGACACCGCTCAATTCGTCCCGTGCCGACGAAGACCTTTCGCGTCGCTACGGCGGCGGTGGCGCCCTCGCACGCCGTCTCATCGCAGAGAGCGGTATGGGCCACCACGACGGTGACGGCACCCTCGTCACCGGTCGCCACGGTCAAGTCATCAAGGCTAGGAACAGGGGCGAAGCACGAGAGGCAAAGAAGCACATCACCGAGTTCAGAGACAGGAACAAGCGCGAGCAGTACAAGACCCGCATCGGGTTCAGGAACAACAACCAGAAGCACTTCCGCGATCCGCTGTTGCAGTAGTTGCGCGGTTGCTTGGTGTCGTTCAAGCATTGCAATTTACTCGTTGATCTCAAAAAGCGTTGTGTGACTCAGACGAACTGGAGTTGAAAGTGTTGAGTGAGATTGGTATGAGTACATGTGCAAGAGAAAACTACTCGAGCTTGGTCGACTGAAGCTGTTGCGTCAGCTCGTTGGCCTTTGCCGTCGCCACAGCATCCCCTGAGACGACGCTAGCGACGACCTTGTGAATCTGAGCCTTGCGTTTGGAGCTCGCGATCATGCCGGCAATGATGAGGTTCCACGCGTTGTCCAGTGCGGACCAGAAGTTGGACGAGACGATGCCGAGCGCGACGCCGTTCTTCCACACGGCCTGGATGGTCTGCAGTCGCCCCAAGAAAGCCTTGGTGGAGAGGGTGGACATGGCTTCGACCAAGTCGACCTGGGAGAGTCGAGCGATGTCGACGGGCGCGGCATCAGCGTTGCGGTGGGCGAGACTGCGCTTGGTGAGGTAGGTGAGGATGTGCTTGAGTGGCAGCAGTTCGTGGAGGAGCGAGATGGTGGACTGAGAGTAGAACCAGCGGAGGATCGTGTTGAAGTGCTGGACGGAGGGCACACGGAGGGCGAGCGTGGGCATGTGCTTGGTCGTGATGCCGTTCTCCTGCGTCTCCTTGGATGCGGGAAAGAAGGGGATGGAGACGCATTGCAGCGCAAGCACTGGCCCATGCACGGCGTACAGCGTCGCAGCCTCGTTGTCCGAGTGCACGGCAAGAAGGTGCGTGGGCGGACGCTGAAGCGAGTCGAGCCACTCGGTGACATCGAGCGGAACTGTCTCGGGCAGAGGCTGACCGGGAATCTCCTTGGTCATTATGAAGGCTTTGTTCGCGTTGAGGAAGCTCTCGGTCTGATGGTACAGACTGCACTTGCCAAGACGTGCGGTTTCGAGGTAGGTCTCGAGGAAGAAGTCCGGTGTGATCGAGTGGCGATCCGCATCGTGAGCCTCGGTGAAGAAGTGGTGGCGGGAGAGGTGCGCGGACAGATCCTCGTAAGGGGACGAGTTGGGCTTCAAGCGAGGAGTCGGGAGCCGCTGAGGCACCTTGACGCTGATGCGCTCGCCTTTGAGCGTGACCGATGCGGAGGAGCTAAAGATGGAACCGACCTTGCTTGCCTTTGCAGCGGAGCGGACACCGGCGGAGATGTCTTTGCTCGATGGCGAGCGAGTCTTTTTGGATGGCGAGGACCTCCCGCCCAGCTTTGGGGATGAAGATGGAGTCTGCGCACGAGATGATGAGGCCTGTTGACGAGCGGTCTTGCTGATATTGGTGTCGATAGGCTGAAGCGGACGGCTTGAGGAAGACGCAACGACGATGTTCTCTCCGAGGCCGAGCTGCTTGACGGCGACATCAACGGCACATGTTCGTGGGGAGGGCTTGCCCGGAGAGGCAGTCGTCTTGGTGTCAAGGAGAGAGGAGCGGGAGGAGGCAGCGGCGCGACTAGAAGACGGAGCAGCGGAGAAGCTGGAGTGATGATGACGGCTGAGAGCAGGCGACATCATCATGATGAGCGGTGGTGGTGACAAACAAGATGCTGAGTAGTGCGGAAGGGTGTTGCGGAAGGTGTTGGAGACGAAGGCTTCGTGCAGCTTGCAGGATTGGGGTGTCTGGAGTAGATGGCGAGGGCTTGCGTAGTAAGAGAAGAAGGGCTGCTTATATGCCAATGAATCTCCGAGTCGACGCTCCGAGCTGCGATGGACTCGACTGCAGCCTCTTTGCAGTCGTCAGCCGACTAGAGCGGCAAAGGACGGCTTGCAAGTGTCATGATGAGGGGTTTGACAGGTGTTGCCGCCAATTAGTGCGTTCACTTTGACCCACAGCGGGAGGGCTGCATTGTACTTGTGGCGCAGAGTAAGTTACGGCACAAGGGGCAATGCAGAGACGATCCTTGGCTAAATTGAATGAGCCTTCGACAGTCGGCCTCGAGAGCTCAACTTCGATGTCCCTTCGCTGAGTGGCAACGCAACCACCACTTCATCCGCAATGTGTCGTTGAGCTGATCAATCACGGCTGCAAAGTCAATCCAAATGCAATGTGGGTGAGAGCAAATGCAGCATTGTTTGCGCTTAATTTCATCGGCCTATCACAGCTCCAATCACTCGCGAGATCGTGGGAGGATGGCTGTGATTGACTTAGTGACACGGTCGGAGGGTCCGAGGCTGTTTTGCACTGGTCACACGTAGATACAATCGTCACATCACAGGGTCATGGACCTGCCCTGTGACACAGCGCCTCGACACCTTTCGAGCTTGGAGTCCTTTCGACAAGCATGCTGTCAATGGGATCACACTTGCGAAGGGACGGTAAAAGGGCCGAAGCAGCTGTCCAGAGTCGAGTCGAGTCGACTTGCGTCGGAGCCCAATCCGCTTTTTTCGGGTCTGCCCTTTTCCGCCCTATTGTGGCCACACACACGCCTCTTCTCAGAGCACAAAACCCTGATTGTTTGGCGCTTAGACCCGCTGCAGCCTGCCGTCTACACAACTTGTGAGCGCGGATGTGACAGCTTGATTGTACGCAAGCCTCATTCCTTCGCCCTTCTCGCTCTACGCCCACCGACCTTTCGGTTGCAGCCGAGTTCGAGCGCGTCTCTCGGCCAGCTTGCCGACAATGAAGGCATGATCAGCTTTCTGACAGGTGCGCCGCGTTGCTGCAACCCTGTTTGCAGAATCTCAGGCACTGCGCTCACTTGGCACTTAGGCGAGCCGTGACAGGTGCACCCTGCACCATGAATGCGCAGCCTCCCGCGTACCGGCCTCTGACTGCGTGCAACTTGATCCTTGAACCCAGCTGTACCCCATCCACTGTTGGACGCGGACTGCGTTCGAATCTTGCGCTCAGAGACGTGCCCTGCCTCTACCCTTGCGAGACAAGCGCAAGAGCAAGTCGAGAGCTTGAGCCAGTGAGCCTGACATTCTGGCGAAAAGCATGCGAAGAGTCACAGTCCCTCTCGGAGCGAGCGGGCACATCCCGACGGAGGACGGATGCACCGGCGTGAGAATGTGATGAGAGTGTGACAGGTAAGTGTGGGCATCGACGCTGCGTTTCGCCGGCGCAGCGGATCGTCTGTCGGCCCCCTCTTCTGGTGGGCGCGTGACGTACATACTGTATCACTCTTCGTTCGCATCACCCCATTGACACCCAGGCGGCGGGAAGCTCTGCTAAGGGAGCAAACAAAGACGTGCGAAATGGCCCCTGCGCAATTGACGATCGCGAACGCATCAACCGCCGCGGTCCGCGGCCTGAGACGTCATCGACGAGGTCCGAATGAGATCCGTGCCACCTGCCGATGCCATTCTTTCCGAAGACTGGGGTCAACTCGATCGAGCTGGATCCTGACGGCCTGTATTTACCTCGCCGCGACTTACGTGCACCTCTGAAGTCTTGCGAGACGTCAGACGATCCTCTCCGAGCACAGTCGCTAAGGCAATGGATGCGATTCGCCGACCCCAAGACTGCCGAACAGATGTTCCACTTCCTTGCTCCGTGCCATTGTGCTTTTGTCACATTCAAATCGTCCAATGCTGCTGACGGGCTGACGAGCTGATACTTTGAAAGAGTCGGATTGCAATGCGAGGCTGAGAAACGCTCGATGGAGCGGTACAATGGCAATGAGAGAACACTCAGATGCCCGTGCCGATCGGTCCTCGTCCCTCGTCTCGAGAAGCGTAGAACTTTTCCAAGAAGCCCTCGGGTCGCGCTGGTCCCTGTTAGTTAAAGGAAAGGCGAAACAAAGGATCAGTTTCCATGACACTTGAGTGTTACTTGCAGAGCGCGGCCACAAATTATTGCATCCTCGAGAAGCCTGTTCAAAGCCTGTTCAGGGCCACGAAAACCAGGTCGTCGCAACTTACCTCCTCCTCTGCGAACCACTTCATGATGTGCGGGATCTGCTTCCACCCGTTCATCGTTTCCTGGTATTCCTGCTGTGCCTTGAGCAGCATCAAGTCGAGCACGGCAAGGTCCTTGACCGTCTTGTTCTTCTCAAACTGCGTGCGGAACTTGGCGCGCAGGATCGACGGAGGCACATCGAGCGCGTACAGAGCGCAGATCTCGGGGGCCTGAGCACAACGGAAGGCAGAAGCAGGCAAGTGTCAGCAAGATGCCCAAGGTCGATGCTAGCTGTAGGGTGGATCGGGACTCACAGATCGGTAGAAGTTGCGGTACAGTGCTGTAGAACGTCTGCGCGCCTCGTCGAGCGTCCTCGAGATCTGTGTGGTCTGAGCCAGACGGCTTGGGATGGTCGTCATTCTGTTTTGTCGATGGAAGCAAGCAGCCAGAAGCGGCAGGTGTCGGTGTGGTCAGCGACGCTGAGGGACTCGTCGATGGATACCGCTGTGGGCTGATGCGGCGGTGCTACGTACGTGATGATGCTGAATGGGCAATGTCGAGCGGAGTCAGGATGGCGCAAAGACGATAAGACGAAGAAGTGTCGATCTCGAATTGAGGATATGCACGGTGGAGACGAGCTGTGAACTGCGTCTCCCGAGCAATTTCGTCTCGCACGGTTCCGGTATTACTTCGGCCTAACAATTTGGACTCTATGCGCTCACCAGCGTGGAGGCGGACAGGCCATATATGCTGATTTTGGCTCAGGGTGCAGCTCAGAGACACAACCAACACTCTTTCGAGACCATCATCATCCCATACTGATTGAATTTGTCGTCACGACAGCAACACGTGCATAACAACTGCGGAGCAGCTCGGCGTCACTACGATGGAAGCTGTGACCTACTAGCAAGCGACAGAGCAGCTCCATACCGGCTTCGGCGCCGAAGCGCCTTCCGTGAATGACCGTCAGCCAGGAATACGACGACGCCTACCCGCTCCGCCCCCTCGGCGCCAACGTCATGTCCTCAGGGCGCGATTCTCCCGCAACCATGGAGAACGGATTCGCGGCGTTCCGCTCGCGCAACCAGCGCTCTCGATTCAGCCGCTTCGGTCAGAACAATGCCAGAGACTCCGACGAGCAGCAGGGTCTCCTACAGGACAGCGACGACGATGGTGCTGGCAATGTCTCAGGCTCGAAGCGTCCAAGTCTGACCCCTAGACTCTCCGAGGATCACCGACGACAATATGGTACCAGCGGCGACGACGACATCCCAGCTCGAGCGACCACTTCAGTACAGCTTGGGTCAAATCGGGCCGGCTTCATCGCATCCCTCTTCGGCTCGAAGGAACGCGCGCCACGCGACCTCAGCCGTACAATCAGCTTAGGAGACTCGGATCGCGTCCGCTCAAGATATCCTGCGAACGTGGTCCGGAATCAGAAGTACAACGTCATCACCTTCCTGCCCAAGGTGCTCTACGAACAGTTCAAGTTCTTCTTCAACCTCTACTTTCTTCTGGTCGCATTGAGTCAGTTCATCCCGGCGCTCAAGATCGGCTTCATCGCCACCTATGTGGCTCCACTGGCTTTCGTGCTCTGCATCACCATCGGCAAGGAAGCTATCGACGACTGGGCTAGATACAAGAGAGACTTAGAAAGCAACAGCGCTCCGTACAAGCTGCTTGTACCCAACAGCTCAGCCATCGCCAAATCGCAGGCACGCCTGGCCAGAAAAGCGAGTCCGAACAAGCCCCTCTCCCTCGGCAGCGATCTCGGGCAGTCTAGGGTCGTTCAAATTCCCAGCAGCAAGATCAAGGTGGGCGATTTGGTGGTGCTGGACAAGAATCAGCGCGTGCCCGCCGACATGGTGTTGCTGCAGACCTTCTCCAACGATGCCACTATAGAAGCCGGAACTGGCTCAGTCGCACCCACGCCTGCAGACGAGAGCAGCCAGTTCGTCCTTGGCGATGACGAAGACGACAGAGACGCCAACAAGAAGTCAACGGAGGTCGACCCCTCTTCGTCAAAGGCGGAGGACGATTCCGCCACAGAGGGCTCCAACGGTAGCTGCTTCATTCGCACCGATCAGCTCGACGGTGAAACGGATTGGAAACTGCGCGTCGCAATCGAGCTCACACAGCGTATGCCGACCGACGATCTGGCCGTGCTAGGCAATCGAGCCGTTGTGTATGCAGGACCGCCCATCAAAGACATCCACACGTTCCTCGGCAACTTCACTCTGCATCCTCCACCAGACGACGGATCCATGACACCAACACCCACTGTGCCGCGCACTGGGCCGACCGTAGGCGATCTTCTTGGCGTTCCAACCGATGCACCGGATTACAATCGCGGCTCCACAGACTCGACCAGGCCCGACACCATCATCGCGATGAGTCAACAGCCTCAGGTGGCTCCGTTGACCGCCGAAAACGTCTTGTGGGCCAACACTGTCCTCGCAGCTGGCACGGCCGTCGGCCTCGTCGTCTATACGGGGCGAGAGACCCGAGCCGTGATGAACACTTCCTACCCAGGCACCAAAGTCGGCCTGCTCGACCTCGAGATCAATCGACTCTCAAAGATCCTCTGCGGCGTCACCTTCGCTTTGTCCGTCGCTCTCGTCGCACTCAACGGCTTCAAGGGCGAGTGGTGGGTCTACATCTTCCGTTTCCTCATCCTCTTTTCGTCCATCATTCCCATCAGTCTGCGTGTCAATCTCGACATGGGCAAGACGGTCTACGCACGCCAGATCATGCACGACGACGAGATTCCTGGCACCATCGTTCGAACGTCAACGCTGCCAGAGGAGCTCGGCCGTATCGAATACCTCCTCTCAGATAAGACGGGGACCTTGACGCAGAACGAGATGGAACTGCGCAAGCTGCACATGGGCACCATGAGCTACGGCTGGGATAGCATGGACGAGGTGGCCTCGCAGCTGGCGACCGCACTGCAGCAGCACTACGGCAACAATCAGCAGCCTTTGATGAGTCCGACAAAGACGACTGCGCCCACAACGCTAACAACAGCAGGAGCCATGCTTGCCGGCCGCGGTCGCCGCGACATGAGCTCTCGTGTCAAGGACGTCGTCCTCGCCCTCGCGCTCTGCCACAACGTCACACCCGTCGTCGAGCTCGACGGAACGATCACCTACCAAGCCTCATCGCCCGACGAAGTCGCCATCGTGCGATGGACCGAATCGGTCGGGCTCAGCCTCGTCGCTCGCGATCGAACCTCCATGTCGCTCCGTGCAACCGACGGCTCGACACTGCACTTTGACATCCTCGAAGTCTTTCCCTTCACCTCCGAATCCAAGCGCATGGGCATCGTCATCCGCGAACGCGCCACGGGCGAGATCACATTCTACCAAAAGGGCGCCGACGTAGTCATGGCCCGCATCGTCGCACAGAACGACTGGCTCGACGAAGAGTGCGGCAACATGGCCCGCGAAGGGCTGCGAACGCTCGTCGTAGGTCGTCGACGACTCACCTCCGATAACTGGCTCGTCTTCGAACGCGCCTACAAGGCCGCCCGGGTTCAGGTCGAGGATCGATCGGATGCCATGGCACGGGTCGTCGAGGAGCATCTCGAGAACAATCTCGAACTGCTCGGTCTCACGGGCGTCGAGGACAAGTTGCAAGACGATGTCAAGATGACCCTTGAACTGCTCCGGAACGCGGGGATCAAAGTGTGGATGTTGACGGGCGACAAGATCGAGACAGCGACGTGCATTGCGATCTCATCGAAGCTCGTGGCGCGCAACCAGTACGTGCACCAGGTGGCCAAGCTGCGCACGCCCGATGCGGTGCGGGATATGCTCGATTTCTTGAGATCGAAGCTCGATTGCTGTCTGGTGATCGATGGCGAGTCGTTGCAGGTGTGCCTGGATTCGTTCAGGGATGAATTTATCGAGTTGGCGACGCAGTTGTCGGCGGTGGTGGCGTGTCGCTGTTCGCCGACGCAGAAAGCGGATGTGGCACGGTTGATTCGGAGTCACACCCGCAAGCGAGTCTGCTGCATCGGAGACGGGGGAAACGACGTATCGATGATCCAAGCTGCCGACGTCGGGTTGGGGATTGTCGGTAAGGAAGGCAAACAAGCGTCCCTTGCAGCCGACTTCTCCATCACCCAATTCTCCCATCTTACGAAATTGCTCGTGTGGCATGGGCGCAACTCGTACAAACGCTCCGCCAAGCTCGCCCAATTCGTCATCCACCGCGGTCTGATTATTTCGATCATCCAAGCGGTCTTTTCGTCGATCTTCTACTTTGCGCCCATCGCGCTGTATCAGGGGTGGCTGATGGTCGGGTATGCGACGGTGTACACCATGGCACCCGTCTTCTCGCTCGTTCTCGACCGCGATGTCTCCGAGGACCTGGCGTTGCTCTACCCGGAACTCTACAAGGATCTCACCAAAGGTCGCTCCTTGTCCGCCAAAACGTTCACCACCTGGCTCATGATCTCCACCTATCAGGGCGGGGCGATCATGATTCTCAGCCTCATGCTGTTCGAGAACGAATTTCTCAACATCGTCAGCATCTCATTCACCGCGTTGGTGGTCAACGAGCTGATCATGGTCGCGTTGGAGATCACCACCTGGCACGTGTACATGATTCTCTCCGAGATTGTGACGCTGTTTTTTTACTGCGTCAGCATTGTTTTCCTGCCCGAGTTTTTCGATCTCGGCTTTGTACTCAGTGCGAGGTTCGCTTGGAAGACGGCGGTTATTGTCGCGGTTAGTAGTTTGCCGTTGTATGTATGGAGGGAGGTTAGGAATCGGTTGGCTCCGCCGAGCTATAGTAAGCTGGCCATGGCTTAGATGGTGCAATGGAAGCGATTCTCGCGATCGACAGACGGAGTGATGGATTTGTGCATGTGTGATTGAGCAGTACGTTCTAGCAATGGTGTAGAGTGAGCGATGGGAGCGGTCCGCTGGTGGGGTTCATTCGATGCCCCACTTTCCCACCTGCTGCATGGCCCTCTTATCCCCGTCCCTCACCTCTTCGGCACCCAACACATCCGCCAGCATCCCCCACGGGTCCCGCCCACCGCCATACTTCAAACACTGCATCTTGAACACCTCGCCCTTGTCCCGGTCCAGCGGGTTGCCCTCGAACAGGTGGTTCCAGATCTTGCTCGCAATCACCCGATCCAGCAAGTACGAGTAGTATGTGCTACCGTAGCCGAAGAGGTGGCCGAAGCGCACTTGTGGGTGTGCGCCCTCGGTGTAGCTCAGCTGTGCTGCGCCGGGGAGACCCATCTCCCGATCCAGCTCGGCGTAGAGCGCGGTGGAGTCAAAGGTGAATGCTGCGGCGGCGGACGAGTGGTACGCCTGGTCAAGACGGGCGAGCAGGATCTGGTGGTACGTGTCGAGGCCTTCGAGCGATTTGGACGCTTCCAAGTGCGAGGAGAGGTGCTCGAACGGCAGCGAGGCGCCCGTCTTGTGATGCCGCGCGACGATCGAGACGACCTGCGGCGACTGAACAAAGTGCTCCATGAGGATTGAAGGAAGCTCGACAAAGTCGGTGGCGCACCGTGTTCCGGACACGTTGTGGTACGAGGTGCGACCGATCATCGAATGGATCGCATGGCCCATCTCGTGGAAAAGGGTTTCGACTTCGTGCCAACCGAGAAGGCAGGGGCCTTGGTTGCCCCCGCCGGGTCGCGCAAAGTCGCACATAAGAACGACGACGGGGAGTTGGTACCGACCGGGTCGCTCGCGTTGCTCAAAGGTGGGCGCTTGGAGTGGGTTGCCGTAGCCTTCGCCGCCGAGGTCTTCCGGTCGAAGGGTGCGACCGTCTTCGGAGCGACCGTGGGTGAAATCACCTGCTTCGTCGTCCTTGTCGACGCGACGAGAGCAGCGGACTGTGTAGTGGGCTGCTCCGCCTGGTTTGCCGTCGCGACTCCACAAATCGGCGTAGATGGTCCCGATGAGGCCTTCTGCAGATCCAGAAGTGCCTTTCGCACCCTCGCGCTCGTCCAACACCTCGACCTTCATCACGTCTCCCGGTCCTTCGCTCCAGACCTCGCCAGGGGCCACCATAGACGCCCGGAATCGAATTCCGTACAGCGCCGAGAAGAGCCGCGACAGGCCGGCGAACACCGAACCTAGACTGAGATACGGCGACAGCGGCTGCACGCTCCGCAACGACGGGCTGCGGAAGTGCTGCTCGGTATACAGATCCCTGTCCCACGGTGCAAAAGCCGGTAGCGTAGGGTTCGGGTTGAACATCGACCCGCTCTTGGCTCCGTGTGCTGTGATAGAAGCTTTCTGTTTGAGCTTGCGAAGCTTGTCTAGGTCCTGCGAAGCTCGTGGACGATGATGATTGGTGAGGGCGCGGAGGAACTCTTCGATGTTCTGTGGCTCTTTTGCCATCTTGTCCCCCAGTGCCATTTCCGAGTACGAGCCGGCTCCTGTGAGCGTTGCCAGCTCTGCACGCGCCTTGAGCAGTCGTTCGAGACGTTGTACCTGTGCCTGGCTGCCGTAGTTGGCGGCTCGGAAGGCGACTTTTCGCGCTCGCTCGTCGGGTGCATACTTGAGCAGCGTTTGAAATACCCATGGCTGATCGGCTGCGGAGAAGGTGAGCAGCCCATCGCGGTCCGTGATAGCGCTTGCTCGGATCGCCTTCATCACGGTCGGGTTGACCTCCTCGAGCCAGTGTGTTGGGACCTCCACCGTATCCGACTTGTCCACCTCCGTCTTGGCGCTTGCGTTGCGTGCAAAGTCGTCCGATGCATCGTTTCCCGCGATATCCTGGAGAAAGCCTCGACCGAGCACAAGGATCTCATCACTGAGCTGAACGAATCGCTCCCTCTCCGCTGGTGGCAGGTGGATTCCTGACTTTTCAAAGTCGCGCAGAAACACCTGCGCGACGGCTATCGCCTCCGATGATAGCGTATCCGCAATGTCCTTGTTGGACAGAATATCTTTCAGCACGCGATACAGTCCCGTGTGGGTGTTGAGCACGTTCATGTACCCGCAGAGGTACTCGTAAGCTGCATTGGCCGCCTCTGCCCACTCCGGGTCCGGATGCGCATTCCGCACGAGCTCCGCCATGTCTATCACTCCACAGAGGAGGTCGCTGAGTCGATCGAGATTGCGCACGACCTCCTTGAGCTCCGCTTTTCCGGCTGATGTACTGACGTCTGACGAGCCGGCACGGTCGATACGGTCGACGAGCAGCTGCGCCCGTGCGAGCGTCTGCTGCGCCAGCGTGAGAAAGCTCTGCGGCGACGTGAGGGATGGAATCTCAAACAAGCCTGTTGACGGCCCGGAGGATCGAAGATTGCTGGACGAGGAGGAGGACGGTGGTGCGTCGAATAAGGAGCGCAGCTCTTCGTTGTCCTTCTCGTGGTCTGGGCGGACGTTGGGGAGAATAGGTGCGGACGAGGCGGGGCGCTGCACTCTCCGTGTCGATGGTGATGTACTGAACGGTCTCCTACATATGTTGAATTTCCTGGCTTTCTGATCCGCATTCGACGCAGTTGGCACTGCATGAGCGAGAAGCGACGGAAGTCGAGATGATGATGATGCCAGATGCTGTCGCGAAGAGCGGGCCACTGACGCAGCGGCCCGCTGCGCGAGCTTTGAAGTGGACGCCATATTGCCGGTCCGCAGCTTCAGCACTCAGCACCTTCTGCAGCGTCGAAGGAGGTTGCGATGCTTGACAGTGACGTGACAGGGTAGTGAGGATCAAGTCAAATGGTTGGCGGAGGCGTAATCAGTTCTTCTTAGACTCGGCCAAAAGTCGCCGTGCGCACCCGCGTCGGAAGCCGGAATCGAAATATGCCGATAAAATCTCGATACCACAACGTGCCCGATAGGAACACCTCGCTGCTGAAATAGCATGGCTGCAACTTCATTGCTAAGACGAAAGCAGGTAGCGATGTGACTGAGAAGGCTGGTTCCTTGACCAGGAAGGGAATCTCAACGAGCGGCAGATCGGTCTGAGAAGGATGAGGTGGCCCGGCCAGAAGCGTCGAGGGAGCTTGGCTCAACCCACCAAGGTGAAATCTTTCATCGCAAGAAGGCGGCAACGCGAGTTGACACTGCATCACATCCTCGTCTTCCACGTCAACGGGTTCATTTTGTCCATCGATCTCGTTAGAACGTCTCAGGGGCAAGCAGACACATTCACAAGAAGCACATTTGAACGATGTGAGATTGATAGAGCGCCGCAGTCTCCTGGAACAGGATTGCTGGAAAAGACAGATGCTTAGAGGAGAGCAAGACCGGCGGCGACGGCAGCGAGAGCAGAGCCGAAAGCGGCGACAGCGCCGGCGTTGATGCCAGAAGCGCCGTTGCCCGAGGAGCCGCTGCTGCCGGAGCCCGAGCCGGATGGGGCGCTGGAGCTGGAGGAGCCGCTAGCGGTGCTCTTGAGGGTGGAAGGAATCTGACCATCGACGAAGGAGGAGCCACAGGTCTGGCTGACGGCGCCAGAAACCTGCTGGTTCGAGGTGCCGTTGAAGAGAGCGGAGTAGAGACCCTTGTTGCAGTCGGTGCAGAAGGCAGTGCGGTTCGAGGCAAGTGCCTGAAGCGCCTGCTGCTGGCCCTGCTGGCTGCCAAGGAGACTCTGCAGGCCGCTGAAGGAGAGCTGCTGGCCGGTGGTGTTCTGCACAGAATACAGCGCCGTGATCAAACAATAGGACGAGTTCGAGGCGGCCTGAAGGCATGCTCCCTCACGCAATTGCGAGTATCGATTGAGGAAGAATGCGATGAGGGCGGGAATGTTCTGACCGTTGTTGCTCTGGAGGTCACTGGAGCAGCCCTGGAGCAAGGTCTGGTTGGCAGACTGGAGCTGCGACTGGCTGCAGACGGGCTTGCCCGATCCACAGATGCTGCCAGAGAGGTACGACTGCAGTCCAGGGATGACCGAGTTGTTGCCAGCGCTGGTAAGCGCGCCTACTGCGGTAGGAAGGGACAAGCACTGGCTCACGCCCGAGGAGTTGGTCACCAAGGACACGAGACTGCCTGCACAGCCGGAGGAGAGACCGGTGATGAGGGAGGGGTCGAGCTGAGCTTGAGCGCTGCCGGCGAAACCAGCCGCGGCGACGGCAGCGGCAGCGACGAACGAGGTGGCAGAGATGGTGCGCATTCTGATGAGGAAGCTTTGGAGGAGATGTAAGGACAGAGAGCGAACGTTTATAGGAAGAAGACAAAGGATGTCTGGGAGGGGTTGAGAATGGTGATGAGGTGGAAGGTACGGATCGAGAGGTAAGGTGGGGATGCTGCAGATGAAACGGGGACGCTATATATGAAATCAGCGGTGGGGGCTCAAACGGCGAAGTTCAGGGGGCTCGCACAGGCACCTGTCTCACTTTGCCTTCTGGGGCTTTCTTTCGAGCTGTTCCTGGCTGAGATGGAATCCTCCCGCTCTTCCACCGGATCGATGGAAGCTGAGAAGCAGGTCACTACAGTGTGCTGCATGACCGTGCAGGTGCAGGCAAGCAAGTTCGCAGCAAGGACTCAAAGGGAGGACACGGGAGGCGATGCATGTTCATGCAATGCCAAGCGGGAGTACAGAGCGCGCAAAAAAGCAGGACGGAGATCTAAAACTGTGTGTGCCCTTCTCTTCTGCAGGGTGCAGAGAGTTGTGCCGCTCGGTCCTTCCCAATTTCGGCTGGAAAATCACGTCGAGACTGGAATGCGGGGTTTTCCAAGAGGTCTGTGCACCGCTTTTGCAGACTTCCGCTGCAACAGTGGGTGCCGATCCTCTTCTGAACTTCCGGCTTGGGCTATGCTTAGGTCAGCACAAGGCCGAGTGACGGATGCCGACGCCGCAATCTTGGATAGGTTGTTGATCTCGTTTCCACCTCGCCTCTCCCCCTTAAAGCGTAACTTTAATTGAAGTGTTGAATCATCAGTCCGCGAGTATTTTTCCGAAGAAGCGAGCCCGCCGAGACCCTGTCAGAGCGCGTCCAGATTCCAGACTTGCACCGCTCTTGATGCCGGACGCGCTCTCACGCACGCACAGCTTACATGTCTCGGCCATCTCGGCTCCGAGTTTGCTCACAGACTTCGTGGCCCGAGGATGCACGACTTGCACGCTCCGAAGCGGCGTTAGAATCTTCGATATAGCGACGCGGACACCGGAACACAGCGTCACGGGAACGATTTTCTGCTCGTCGCCTTACCTGGTCGGACACCCCTTTTCTGCCGGACAAGAGGTCGTGGGAAAGTCACGCTTGCCAGTGCTGGTACTATTGATCTGTACCTGCACTTCTCTGTGCAGCACAGCACGGCAAGGCACGGCAGGCGACGGCTCAGCAAAGCCCAGCATCGGCCTCACTCTCCGGCTTTCCCTGCAAGTGGGTGGCGATCATGCGAAGACAATGCTACTGCATTTGTTTTGCTCCTGCATGAGCTCTATTGTGCTACGAACACGCTGCGAGGCTCCTTTCACAGCGTGTGACCTCGATGATGCCTAGGCCGCCCTGAGCGTCCCTTGCTCACACGCCTCTAGAGCGGCATTCAACCTCTGCACCGACTCTTCCTTGCCCAAGAACAGGAAGAGGTCCGCCAGCGGCGCACCCCTCTCCCGTGCGCTAATGGCAAATCGCAACGGCGCCAATACGGCCGCCTTCTTGACTTTGGTCTTTGCGCCGCCCCCTACGTCCTTCGGAGGCTGAGCGTCGGAGAGGAGCTTGGGCAGATCCGCAATGACCCTGTGGATCGCCTCCCTCGACCATTCCTCCAGCGTCGAGTATTGCTCGTACGCCTGGCGGACAGCGTCGGCGAAGTGTGTGTTGATGAGCGAGCTGCGTGTGAACAGTTCTTGAGCTTCTGATGAGGTGAAGTCCGGGCGGCGGAAGAGCGAGTGTGCGGACTCGGGCACGTCGTAGAGCGTTGCTGATGTGCCTTTCGTCAGCACAATGACCGATTCGACGAATCCAGGATCCGTTTCGAACTTCTTGGCGAGGTCCGGGAATGCTTCCACTAGCTTGGGCGTCACCTTTGCGACCAAATCGTCCCGTCCTCCCCCCGTCCTCGTGTCCTCCAGCTTGAGTGCCAAGTGCCGTGCATTGAGGTAGTACAGCTTCGGCAGATCGACAGTGGCCCTGCTTCGGTTGACATGAGATATGTCAAACCCGCGGATCATCTCTTGCATCGTCAGCACATCGTACCCCGTCTCGTCCTTCTCACCCTCTACCCTTCCTTCCTTGCCGCCGTCTGCAGATTGGTGATATGCCAGATTGTTATAGCCCATCAGCCCCAAGAAGTTGCATAGTGCTTCGGGCTCCACGCCCTTCTCTCTGTAGCTTTCGACCCTCACATCGCCTGTCCTCTTGCTCAACTTGGTCCCGTCCGCATTGACCAGCAAGGGCAGGTGGGCGAACTTGGGCTCTTGCAGTCCCAGCGCTCGGTACAGCCACAGATGCTTCGGTAGTGACGGGAGCCATTCTTCGCCGCGCAGTACGTGGGTGATGCCCATCTCGTGGTCATCGACGACGTTGGCGAGGTGATAGGTGGGCCACCCATTCGACTTGAGAAGGATTGGGTCTTCGGTGCCATGCCGTTGTGGGTCCGCGGGGAAGTGCACGTCGCCGTAGACGAGGTCGTGATGATCAAGTGCGCCTGACGGAGCTTTCAGACGGACAACGCAGGGCTTGTTGAGTGAGATTAGGTGTTTCGCTTCCGACTCGCTCGGCGGGATATAATTGTCGCGCAACGGCATATGCTTTGTCCTCGACACATCTGTCCCCGGTGCGACCACCTCGGCGCGAAAGTCCCTGTACGCTTTGCCCTCCGAAACAAGCTTCTCTGCATACGCTCGGTAGAGATCGAGGCGCTCGCTCTGGACATATGGTCCGTAGCTACCGCCCGTAGACGGCCCCTCATCGTAGTCGAGTTTGGCCCATTCCAGCGTTTCTTGCAGTGCTGCGACCGAGCCTGGTACAAGCCGCGTTTGATCGGTGTCTTCGATGCGAAGAATCCACTTGCCTCCAAGAGCTCGTGCGTAGAGATGATTGAAGAGGGCTGTTCGTAGCCCGCCGAGATGCAGGTAGCCCGTCGGTGAGGGTGCGAATCGTAGCCGTGCTGGAGCAGACGAAGAGGAGGAACCGGCTGGGGATGATGTTGAGTACAGGCGCCGGCGCAGCGGTGTAATGAGCTTCCTGCCGCCTGAGCTTAGTCTCGAGGCCGACATGCTGCTAAATGCACTCGTAGAGATGGTCTGTGTAGAGGTATAGGAGTGCGGAAGGACAAGTGGAGGAAGAAGAACTGCTTAGCTTGACAGCTCCCGCCAAAAAAGCGAATCCGACATCCGAACTTCTCAGGTTCTTCTTGCGCACAGACGTTCGCTCCTCCCTTTCAAGCTCATCACCATCATCACCAGGCTTCTTGATAGGCCAGAATGGCAGAAGGTCCAAGAGATGTGGATAGTCAGGCTCCAGCTTCCGCATCGACCCTCATCCTGCTGCAGGTCTCGGCGCGTGCGCTAACCTTCGTCCTCAATCAGCTCCTTATCCGCCTCGTCTCGCCGAGCATCTTTGGCCTGGCCAACATTCAGCTTGAGCTGCTGCTTTCAACGATTCTCTTCCTCTCTCGTGATGGCTTCCGTACCATCCTCATTCGCAATGAGCCGGCATCCTCATCAGCCTCCTCCAAACATGTTGCCAAATCGACCGGACCGAGGTCCGCAACCACCAACTCGATGCACAACATCTCGCTCCTGCCTATACCCATCGGTTTCGCCTTCACAGCAGCAGCGTGCACAGCATACACACTACATATCTCTCCCGCTGCGATGCATGCGGTTCCCACATTCCGCACCAGTATCGCACTCTACGCAGTCGGCGCGCTGAGCGAGCTTCTGTACGAACCGCTGCTCATTCGCGCGGTGAGGCTCGGCCATCCCGCGCTGCGGGTGAAAGCTGAGGGAGCGGCTGTCTTCGTCAAAGTCATCAGCACCATCGCTACTATCCTGCTACTTCCTCAGTGGTCCACTGCGCCGTTGCTCCTCCGGCGCGTGCTGGTGGACGAGAAGGCGATAGCGCTTCTCGCTTTCGGTATAGGACAGGCCAGCTTCGGGCTGACCATGCTGGCCGTACACCTGGCCTTTTTCATCTCGCAGTACGGGCTGCACGATACGCTAGATCTATACTTGCCTCGGCCAGAAGAATTATCTGACGGCAAGGCAAAGTCGGGAGCTGCAGCATCCAAGACGGTCTGGTTCGACCGCCCGACCCTCAACCTCTGTGCGGAGATGTGCAAGCAAGGGAGCCTCAAGCACGCCCTCACCGAGGCGGACAAGATCGCTGTGGCCAAATTTGCGTCTCTTGAAGATCAAGGCGGCTATGCGCTCGCCTCGAACTACGGCTCGCTCGTAGCACGCATCCTGTTTCAGCCAGTCGAGGAGACGAGTCGTATCGTGTTCAGTTCCGAGCTGGTTGCGCTCGATCCTGCCGCGGCCGAGTTCGCTTCATCACCATCCAAAGCGCCCAAGTCAACGGTGGATCGGGTAAGCAACATGCTGTCGGGTCTGTTCCGGCTGCATCTCCTCCTAGCATGTCTCATGACGACCTTCGGCGGCCCACTCAGCACAGCGTTCCTATACATCATGGCGGGTCCGCAGTGGGCGCTTGCAACCAGTGCGCCAGCCATCCTGGCCGCGTACACATTCTACCTCCCCGTCATGGGCATCAACGGTTTCGTGGAGGGCTTCCTGCAGTCAGTAGCCAGTCGGCGCCAGGTCGAGCAGTACAGTAAAGTGCTGCTCACTGCGAGCGCGGGCTTCGTAGGCGCGCTGGCTGGCACACATATGCTGGTGGGGCGGAGCGAGACGGCAAAAGCCGTGCTAGGAGAGACGGGCCTCGTCTGGGCCAACGTGCTCAGTCTAGCGGTCAGGGCGGGCTGGTGCTGGGCTTTCGTCATCGAGTACTTCCGACTTGCAAAGGGGACCACGCAAGGGGCAGAGCTTGGACCCCAATCAGTACTGCCATCGCGCCCAACACTAGCAGTGTTTGTACTGCTAGCAGCGGTGCTTCGCGTGGTCTCACCCAAATTGATGCCGACGAATGCAGAGCTCCTGCTTAGCTCCAAGGCTTCCAAGGGACGGCTGGCAGCGATACGGCTGTTGATGCCGACGCTTGCGCTCGCAGGAGCGTGTCTCGGCGTGGCGTTGGGAAGTGTGATCGTGTTCGAGCGAAGGGCCCTGGCAAAGGCGGTCGGCGGATTGCGTCGCAAGACGCCGGTTGAAGAGCAGGCCGACACGCGCAAAACGCAATAGGGACGCGCATCTGATTCTCACACAGCAATCGTAAGAACGCGTCAATCAGTCACAAGCACGGTAGCTTGCTTAGCCGGCAGCACAGAAGTTGTTCACACGTAAGTTGCGTCGCTTCGGAAGAATTGTCACATTGCTATTGCTTGGATCATGAAGGTCTGTATCGAGAAATGCGATAGAGGAACTTCAAGGCTCTTCCTCGGTCCTGGTCAGCGCCGCCAAGCCACCTCTCGCCACACCGCCAGACCAGACCCGTTTCAAACTCCTGACCGGGTGCTCTGCGGCATCGACCAAATGATACAGCGTCGACGAGGCCGTATTACCATGGTAGCCTTCCGAGTTGTTACGGTGCTGACTGCCTGGTCGGGCGTCGATGCGCGAGCCGACCGGGCTGTTGGGAGCGGTCTTGCGGCCCCATCGCGAGCCGACGTGGGGTGAGTTGGGGATGCTATTGGCCGCCGGATTCTTTGTCGGAGGCGCGAAGCGGCCAGAGGAGCGGACGACGCGGTCGAGACCTTCGCGCATGGGATCGGCGTAGCGGCGCGTGACGATGTGCGATCGATGTACGGCAATGGCGTGCGTCGTGATGGCGATCGCCCGGATGAGACTCGGATCGACAAGCTGGGTCGAGTTCGGGCCCAGCTGCGAGACCGGGTGGCTGTCGAACACGTCGGCTGTTTGTTGAAGCGCAGGCACGTCGGTTGGGTCCAGAGGGAAAGGGTCTGGTGATGTGGTGGTGAGTCCGTGAATGAGATGCAGTGGCGTCGAGTTGGGACCGCCGGCAGCGGCGGGTGCTTCCGGCGTCACCAGTCCGTACTCGGTCTGCACCGGAGGCGCAACAGCTGCTCCTAGTCCTGCAGCGTAGGCAAGCGCGGGGGCCCAGCTCGAGTCGAAATCGGCCAAATCGAGATTGGGTCCCAGCAGCGCATCCGAGAGACTGCTTTTCTCGATGGGTGGACCGCTGATGCCGTAGCCCATGACGTAGCGGATCATACGGCGGTCGGTATCTCCGCCCTCCTGACTGTCGTGCGCCTGTGAGAACATCTTCGAGTAGACCGAATTGGCCTGTACCTCGACGGCCTGCGGCGCTTCGGTGGTTGCGTCCTTGACAAAGGTGGACACCACGGGCTTCTTGTACTTTTCGAGCCTCGGATTGTAAGCCTGAGCGCCACGCGATGTGGTGCCGTAGCCGCCGAGCCCGTGATCGTCCATGGAGTCGCGAGCGAGTCGCAATTTGGCGGCTAGCTTGGCGGCGTCTGCAGCGGTGAGACTCTGAGAATTGGATGTCCTTTTTCGATCGTTGACCAGGTCGGTGCTGGCGCGCTGGTGTGAAGCATGTCCCACAGTGCCAAAGGCGGACTGCGTGGCCGAAGCCAACGGTGAGGGCGAGACGACGCGAGCATGCAGCGTCTGACTCGAGCCAGCTCGGTGAAGAATGTTGGAGCGGCTGTCGAGGGATCCATGTGGGAGCTGGTCGAAGCCGACAGGTGCGCTGGTGCTCGCCGTCATGGCGCTGACGCTTCGGCCAGTCCGGCTTGGACCGGGCAGCGGGGACAGCGTGTCGCCGCGGTCCTCGTGCCGTGCACCGAGACGCCCTGCTAGGGCGTTGTGTGTGTCGAGCATGGGTGGTGCGGCGGATTGCGTCTCTCTGGAGAACAGCGGGAAGCGGTTGGACAAGACGGACGATCTGGATCGGATCGACGTAGGAGACGACGCCATCGGCATCGAGGAGCGCAAGGTACGATTCGAGGCACTGGAGGAGACACGGTGATGGCGCGTCTGGCTGACGGGGTTGAGCGACAGGCTGGACGCGGTTCTGACCGGAGGCTTGTCCAAAGCCGCATCAGAGGTGTCGAGCTTGAGGGAAGACATGCTTTGGTCGAGAGATGCGACTTCTGATGTGGCTCGCGACGATGAACCGTGTTGCAAGTCCGATGAGGATGTATCAGCGACCGCGGCCGGAGCATCGTCGCGATGATCGACGAGCGTCCTGGAGGTGTCTTCGCGGGAAAGGGGTGCTGGGGGCTCAGCACGCCTGGATGAGCTTGATTTGTCGTCCACTTTTGCCTCTCTTTGCTCCTCTTGCTCGGACTGCAGCATCTTTGAGCTGGCTTTGGGAGTGTCGGGCGGTTGCGGGAAAGACTCCTTCTTAGGTTCGGGGAGGGTGGTTGTGGTGGAGATCTGCTTGAGGTTGGCAGGCCGCTTCTTGATGCCGAGGATCAGTCCCTCGTCTGCGGGGCTACTGGATGTAGAGTCATTGTCGCTGGGACCGCTAGCAGTGTTGTCGGCGCTGGCACTGGTCCAGCCGTCCTCGCCGGCCTCTGTACGCTGACTCTTGCCTTTCTTGTTGGCTGCTTTGCGTCGTCGAGCATTGCTGGCGTCATCAGCGGTCATGCCGAGGTGAGTGTATGACTTGGACCGCTTGCTGCTGAGGTGGGTGCTGCTGTTGTCCCTAGAGCGCGGAAGGCGATCGGTCGACTTGTTGCGACGAGCCTTGTCGTTAGCGGTAGTGGCAGCGTCGTCGTCCGCGTTGCGCTCCTCATCCGGATTGCGACTGCCGTTGGAGGGAGCGGCATTGGATGACATCATGAGACCTGGGTCGAAGCGGCCGCGCGCACCACCCAGTCGGGAAGAGGAGCCTCGTCGAGCAAGCTGCGTTGAGGAGCCCGACGAGGTAAGGCCGTGTGTCGAACGGCGACGCGAGGTTGCCGCCATGCTGAGCTGATCGCGATGGCGCTATGGAGGATTTTTGCGACTGCCGGTGTTCATACCAAAGCGTGCTTCTATGATGTCCGATACACGACCCGTGTAGGTGATTGGACGGGGCAACGAGCAGCGCGATTGACCGTCAGCTAGTGGCGTCGTGAAGCGCAGACGGGTCGTGGCGCTGATTGGCTGAAGCAGAGCGTGGCGTCGGATCTCCGCTGCGAGCTTGAGCGAGCCGAGTATAAGGATGCGAGGCCGAGATGAAGTGAAGAGGGCGTGATGCGCGCTCGATGAAGGGCGAGATGAGGTGAGAAGGCGAGAGATGAAAGATTTTGATAGAAGTGAATGGTGGAGGCGAATCGACTGATTGAATTGGGCTGACCCGCAGGCATGTTGGTCAGAGCCGTGTGGGCCTAATCAATTTGGATGGCGCAGATATGTTTCAGGGTCTGCTCATGCTGAGTCTGTGCTTTGGTACAAGAGAGCGCGAGTTTTGACCTGCTGCTGCACCTCCTCTCTCTGCCGCCCGTTGTTCCGAGCCGAGCCCTTTTCGCCTCGAGATAGCGATTTTCTGAGATTTAATCTCGAACACGGTAAATCGCACTGGACTCGGTCAAATCAGAGGCTTGCACATTTCCAAGCCTCCGCCAAGAGCCGACGGGCTTTGCAGGCTTGCAGCATCCTGTGTCTTCGCGAGCAGCAACAATGGGCCGGGCGACCCATAGGCAGCACAATTCTCACGAATCGTCTGCCAGTATGAGCGAGGAGTGGCCTGTACCCGGGTCGCAAGCGAGCCATGTAGCACACACTCTTAGTATTCCACCTGCTCATCTGCCTACTCGAGATCCAGGTCGAGCAAGTACTCGTCGACACAGCTCGCAATCACCTCGTCCAGACCAGCATCGGCAAGGCAGAGCCTGTAGACATCGTCCAGGATACAATCAACGGCGCTTGGATCCGGCCAGCCCTGCAGCCCGTCGTCATATTCACCTTGGTTGCTGCCGTGTTCGCCCGCGTATCTCTGCTCCGCCCCACCCTGACGCCCGAACGTCTCTTCGTCCGTGAACGTGGTCAATGGCATTTCAGCCGGAGGCCGACAGACCTGGATGAGAGGGATCGAGCTCGAGGAGGAGCTCGCAGTGGCGTTGTTCAAGGTGCTCACTGGGAGAGTTTGGGAAGCGCAGTTTTGACAAAGATGTGCAGAGCTGCTGATGTTGAGACAGTCGGGCTGAACAGCTTGAGAGTAATTTTCGAAAGCGGAACGTTGAGAGGGCGGAGATGACTGACGTTCCTGGTTGAGGAGCAAGAGCTTTTCGCCGAGACCTTGACTCTGGCTTTGGCTTTGCGTTTGGCTCTCGACTGGTACGTCTTCGGGGACGCGAGAGGGAGATGTGGTGTTTGTGGCTTCTTGACTCGCTCTGTCCGCCTTGTCCCAATTTTGCTTGCCTTTCGGTCTGCTTTGTTTTTCTTCCGTCTTCGCTTCTGCTGCTCGACTAGTCATGTGTCGTGTGCTGTCAAGCTATCCAGCTCAATGTTCCGTGTGTCAGTGAGAGGTCATGACGAAGATTGCAACAGCTGAGTGACCCACCTCGATGAGAGACAAGAATGTCTCAACGTCTTCGTCTTTTTGAAACTCTAGCTGTAGTCGAACAGCCTGTCATTCACGAACGAGGGACGAACTCAGTGAGCAAAAGCTGCCGAAGACCGTGACGCCTCGATCTGTGACGCTGATTCCTGCTTACCTTGTTCACGTCCCGCTCGTCGAGCATGCGAAGAAGGACGCACTTGTTCTGGCGATACACGATGACAGCCTTCAGTCTGTACTCCGTGTGAAAGTACACCCTGTTGACTCGAACGACGTCGACATCCGACTGGCTCAAGAGAATATACGCGAAACAGATATTCAGTGCCCTGTACTTCAGTCGACAGGGACCGTCTTCGATAGGATCCCTCGCTTCGTACCAGAACAAGTGGCGATGCGGTCTGCGAGAAGCTCGGGAGCTTCAGATCGATCGCGCTCTTGCTCGTAGCCAGTCGCTTATCCTCGAAAGGCCCGCACTCGACGATAACCCTCAGCTGTCGATCGTTCGTGGCCTCCTGCGACAGCAGGAGGCGGTCTGTCTGGCTCGATGCATCCAGTGAGGATTGGCCCTTGTCACTCGCCTGCGTCGAGAGCACTTTGCATCTGAGATGCTTGCCAGAGACGTATTGCCAGTCGACATTGTCGCCCGCGGATCCCTTTCTACCTGAGCTAGGGTCAATGGTTTCGTATCCGCGTTTGAACTTGTCGAGCGGGGCGAGCCAGGTGAGCTGTTCTGTGGCTCTCAGCATCTCGGATGGATCGGTAGCAGTAGATTCAGATGCCCATGGTATGAAAAGCATAGAGAGATGCGCATCGATTCTGGCAGCGAGAGGACATGTACCCTAAGAGAAGGTAAGAGGGCTTGCGAGTTTCAAGGAGGCGGAGGAGCCGTCAGACAGTGCGGGCCTTCCGGGCGGTAAGACTATCGTACGAGAGCCTTTTTGCTTGGCTAGTAAGGCGTCGCCGCTTCAGGCTTTGGCCGGACAGATTTGGAACTGAGCTTGAGCGTCACCCTCGATTGTCCCCTCATTCAGGGCAATGCCGGTGATCCGACAGGGTCTGACTCTCTCGCTCCTCTCCTTATGAAGTCTGGCGGTATGAACGCAAATCACCGAAGCGTGAGGGCACTTCTGCTTCGGCGGCCGATCCGAACGAAGCAAACTCGGACCCTCTTTGTCGGCTACGCCCGCGCTCTCAGACCTGCGAGCTCGGGGCTAAGCCGAGTCGATTCGGTCCTGCCGTCAAGCTTTCGAATCGGACGACCCGAGCGGGTGTGCCGGTCTAAGGAGTCAGCACTGAGCCTTAGCAAGGCGGCAAACCATCAGCTCCATCCGCCGAGCAACTTCGTGCTAAATCGAGAGCAGTGCAGCGGAGCTGAGATGTCTGTGGGAAAAAAAGTTCGAATTAGGATCGACCAAATGGACAATTTAGCCGGGGTCTCTTTCAATTTCCATCCCGGCGTCGCCACAGCGCGACTCGAACACGGTTGATGCGGCTGCACTCGGCTCTGCGAGGATCAAAATGATCGAGACCTAGACAGGGCAAGAACCCCAGATTTTCGGGCTTTCTGTTTGCACTTTCTGGAAAATCTGCTTTTGGTTTCGGTTCGTGTGACCCGCTGCGCAGCGCGTTGCCTTGGAACATCCTCAGCGGCGGCGATTCCAAGTGCGGCGGCACGACCGACTAGATTGCCTCAGTCGCGGTCGCGCTCCCTTCCGCCTCCGCTTACACCTCTGCTGCTCCACCTTCGATCCAGCTTGTGGCGGCTTGGACGATCCTCCCGCTGCTGCTGGTGAACCATCGTGCCCTGTTGCAACAGCCTCTGAACTGCCCTCGATCCGCAGCTGGCCGTCTTTCCCTCCCACCACATCGTCATCCCTCACACCGCCATCTACTTCAGCTTTTCCACCTACCACCACACACCCACACCATCAGCTCGCTCACCCAGACCAGCCTTACAAGAAGACTCTGTTCGAAGAAGAATCCGTTCGGCTCTCCGCTTCCAACTCTCACCCGACCAAATTCCAGGGCCAAGTTTCCTCAGGGCCCAGTTTCCTCAACGCAAGAGGGCGAAATTTCTCGAAAGCCTAGCCTTTTGTGCGCATTTCCAACGCGTCCAACTACGCATCCGTTCAGCCAGCCAGCTTCTCTCACCTCGTGCATACTCGAGCGACCTTCTCTCCGGCCCTCTCCTCTAACGTCACCAAGTGTTCCAGAGCTACGGCCTCGACACGGCCTCGTACAACCCGATCAACATGTCGCACGCCGCCGCACCTCTCTCCATCAACACCAATTGCGGCAGTAAGAAGCGCAAGGCGTTCGAAGAGGCTTCTTCGATGGATGACTACTCGATTCGACCGAAGCTGAGTCTGCCGCGCAGTGCAGGGTTGGTGTTTAATGGCGAGGCGCAATTTCACCCTTTGCCGGCGGATGTCAATGCGGCGATGTTGGCGCAGATGGGTCAGAGTCCGTTCGCATCCGCTGGGTCGAGCGCCGCTTCGTCGAGCAGCGGCTTTGGGCACGCACACAAGTCTTCCGCTGGCTCAGACTACTTTCCTACCCACTACCCGGATGTTGAACCGTACCCAGCAGCGGCGACGGGCATCCTCGGCCCATCCACCAGCACAGGCGATATGGACATCGACACAGGGAGCACAGGGAGTAGTCCCTCTTCAAATCGCCACGGTCCTCACTGCAAAAGCATCCCCCAGCTCTGCGTTCGATACAACGACGGGGCAGGCTCCGAACTCTGGGCTACCTGCCCCGACTGCGGCACCTGCTCCAAGGTCGAATCCAACCAACCTAGCCGATTGTGCTATTCTCCGTGATCGCCAGGTTCGAAGGTGCTACCCCATGTAGGTGGCCCCCGCTTTTTGTCTTTAGTCTCGCTCGCATCTCTCGTTCTCGCATCGTCCCCGTCCCTGTATTTCTAGTCTTCGTCAGCGATTCGGTGTCACGCTCCGTCAAGAGCGCAGTCGTCATTGGACAATGTCCTGTCCCCTTTGTTTGCGCTGTCGCGCTTCTCAATGTACAACATGATTGATCTTGCCCTCAGAACCACGGTTCGCGTCGTTCGCCATCAGAGATTGAGATGTGGCTGTTTATCGAGGCATCGGGATGAGGCAGGCGTCCCAGTTGACACTGACGGATCCGAACAGAAAGCGACAAGGAACCAGCGACACGTACACAGCGGTACACATAAAAAGGGACTGCAGCACGCACACATACTGGAGTAAACACCGACACACACAGCAACGATGAGCAGACAGGCATGAATGACATTGCGCTAAGCCGATGTGTCTGCCAGACTGAGAGGGGTGAAGGCGTTGAGGGAAGGGGGGGAATGTGCCTGCAGCGGCATGAAGCGATTTTGTGACGGTGTGGTATCATCAACCTTGAGACCGAGAATGGGAACCTAGAGACTTGACGAGACCTGCGCGAGACTGGGAAACGGTGCGGAGAGCGCGGCACGTTTACTGGCTCTGGCCGTTGTAGCCACCGTAACCACCGCCCTGCTGAGGGGCGCCGTAGCCCTGCTGGGGGGCACCGTAGCCCTGCTGAGGAGCACCGTAGCCCTGCTGGGGAGCGCCGTAGCCACCCTGCTGGGGCTGGAAGCCGGGCTGCTGGTAGCCACCGTAGCCGCCCTGCTGCTGGAATCCACCGGGCTGGCCGCCGAAGCCACCGCCGTAGCCACCCTGGCCGCCGTACGAGTTGGCGCCGTACTGGCCAGTGACACCGCCGTAGCCACCGCCCATACCGCCGGCAGGTCGGGAGTTGGCCATGTTGACACGGATGCGACGGCCGTCGAGCTCCTGCTCGTTGAGGGCGGCGATGGCAGCGTCAGCCTCGCCCTGGGAAGCGAAGGTGACAAAGCCGAAACCACGCGAGCGGCCGGTCTCACGGTCCTTCATGACAATGTAGTCGGTGAGCTGACCGTAAGCCGAGAAGGCGTGGGCGAGACTGTCGTCGGTGGTGTTCCACGAGAGGTTTCCGACGTAGACTTTTGCGGCGGCCATCTTGAATGAATTAGGTGGTGGGATTGGACGGGCTGTAGAGGTTTCCGAGGACTATCTGTGGTCGGAATGTGCAATGTGGCGTGAGAGCGAGAGGTGCGAGGATGTCCGAAGAGGACGGATGCGTGTGGCGGGGTGCAAAGCGAAATGTGCGGGAGAGCCGAAGATTGAGTGGAGGCGATGATGAAGCAAGGAAGATGGTGGAGGAAGTGAGAGAACACGGGCAGGGTCAGCGACTGTCTCTTTCTAATGACAACGATACGAGAACCCGCACTCAGATGCATGCGAACTGAGCCATCGCATCGCATATCACCGACGACTCTCTTCTCTCGGAAGCCTGCCGTTACTATTTGGTCGGATGCTCCTGAGCCAACGGCAAAGCCGCACGAGGACTGCTGCGGATGCGTCGGATGCTGCGGACTGCGACGAAGCTGAGGCGGCTGGCGAGTGATGTTCCAAGCAGCCGAGTGCGTAATCATTAAGCGGACCGACACTTACCGATACAATCGAGCCGATGCTGAGAACCGAGGACGGGAAGACGAGACGGACGGGTCTTGAGAACGGTATGCGAGGATGAGAGCGAGAAGCGAGAAAAGAGAAACGAAGCTCGACGATATCGAAACCGGGAACTACGGAACAGAGAGGAGTATGGTGGAAAGAAGCCAAGGATGTGGAACCAACGAGCTGAGCTTTGCTTTGCGGAAAGGGAAAGCGGGCCCGCAACCAGACACGCGGACACCCTTTCTGCGCTCTGGACTCAGTCACTCAGGCTTCTGGTGCGTGCGTGCGGCTGGCTTCCTCTCAACGCTTTGTGTGGGTCTCTCGAAGTTGGCGTGCGCGCGGCCTCTCTGTTGCGAAAGATGTTCTTCTGGCAGCCAAGCGAGAGAGAGTGGGTTGATCATTTGGCCACCTGACCCGCCGCCGCAGAGAAATGGCAACGCAGCCCAGAGCCTGAGCTTCGTCTGGCCACGCATTTGTATTCCAATATTGTTGAAGTTGGTTTACATCTTTTGAATCGAGGTCCTTCGCCTGTATAGAAAATATCTGGTCAATACAATTTGAACTCGAGCTGAATTGGTTCTGCGCTCAACCGCGTCGTAGGGAGCGAATCCGAGCTTCGCTACGTACGTTCTGACAGTAGCTTGGCTGACACTGTGTGCCTCCTGCTGTCTGATAGCATCTGCTGGACCGCCACTTGTGTGCTCAGCTGGGATTCGAGCGTGGCCATGGAGGAATGCGTGGGAGAGGCGCTGTTGTGCAGGCAGAGACTGATGATGGCATGAAGCAGAGGCGCGCAGGCATTTGGGCGGTTTTCGGCCGATACGGTCGAGCCGGCTAGATTGCTCTCGCATTGGGGTTTTCGACTCAATGGATGTCGAAAAAGGCAGCCTGAAATTGGGGTCACAAAAAGATGGTCAGCTAGATTAAATTAGCATGGTGTCGACCAGAGCGACTCTCACATGTTCGCTCCAACGGCCATCGTGAGCCCGACCCGATCGAAAGGATGACAGCTCTCTCGGCCGCCAGGCAACATCAGAAAGTCCAGACTCGCCTTGTGGACCATAACAACGTCGACGCGACACGTGAATGACACGAGCCGGACAGAAAAGTCGGGGGGCGAGCGGAGATCCAACGCGTTGGCGGAGACAGAGCAACTCGCAGCGCCAAGACGTTGTTTGGGGAGGTACGACGCAAGACGACGCTGCTGGACCCACACGCAACAACGATGCACCGTGCAGAGCAAGCAAAACAAGACGTTGTGCCCAAGATTACCTGCGCGCCGATCCAACGGAATCGCCGGGAACGAGACGTGCAAGGTGGTAGGCAGAATCGCTGCCAAGCCTCAGAGACGCGCTGCGACGATCTGCACGCCACGCAGCAGTCTAAGCGAGGAGAAAGCAGCAGAGAGGCGACTCCAGCGGAACCCCTTATCCCTGACAACCCGCGGGACGGTGGTCAGCTCGCTGGCTCGTAGCGTGCTGAGTTGCGCGCGTTGCGCTGGGCAGGACTTTGCCGCAAGGTGTAGTGCGAGACCAAGGCGCCCGGCATCGCCGAGGGGTTGCAGTGCACTGGCCTGGCGTCGCGGCGAATTCACATCGTCCGACACGAGCGAGTCACCGCCGAGCAAACATCCCGAGGCACGAGGCATGAATCGGGCGAGGCGACAAACGGTGTGTCGGTGTTCCGCTGGCAGATCGGCACACGAAGATACCTCTTCAACACATACAGAGGCGAAGGCGAGCAGAGAGCATATGGAGATGCGCGCTGATATAGTCGAGTCAACAATGGCCGAGATGCGTATTGTGTCGGCAGACTAGTCAACCGTCTGCGTCCGAGCATCCGTCCTCTCACAGCACGGCTAAGCCAAGACTTGGACGAGCCGATGCATCGGCAGCGATCATGACCCAATGATCGCCGTGAGCTGCACGTCCATCAAGCGAGCGGCTGATCCAAGGAACGGTTCGGCATGGCAAGTATCGTTTGCCTTGAGGACGAATCAAAGAAGAGCAGCGGCAGCAAACAGCGAACTCAGGCACGAGCCCAACGCTGCCGACGCATTCCCGGCAAAGTGGCCTGTCAATTCAGCGTAGTCAGCCTACGCCTCGATCGCAGCCGCGAAGGCCTGCTCAGCTGCCGTCGGAATTGCGTCGACATGACAGACTTTCGGCCAACGCGCGAGCACGAACAGAGCAAGCTGACTCAAGGCGTCGATCAAGTCCGTTCCGACTGCTCATATTGCAGTTGGAATCTCGCTGTCAAAAATGTTTATCATCAGCGCCAGCGCCAGCACCTTCGAAGAGTCGGAGGAGGCAAAGTCGGCTTGCTTGCCAAAGCAAGAGGCGAGGCGAAGATCAGGGTCAGGGTCAAAGCGGGCAAGCCAGCCAGAAAGTGGCAGCTAGCGGTCACGCCTCGCCCTGCATACGGACTTGTATCTTGTGCATAGGAGCCGGATACAAAGCGGCGATAGTTGTATTCACTCGCGCCCCTTTTGCCGAGCCAACGTTTCGTCGCTGGAATGCCTGCCGAGTTCGAAAAAAGAACGCGATTTCAAATGTGCTCAGCATCGAGCCTGCCTGAGAAACAAAGAATAAATGAAGAGGGAAGCACGGAAGGCAAAAAGGGGTCTGTTGATCTGCAGCACGACAGCAAATTGTCGCGAGCCTCGGTCAAAGTGTCAAAAGCAAAAGTGAGACCAACGCAAGCCTCTTTTTAGAAAAGGGCTGCAGCAGCGGCAGTGTTTGCGTGCATGTGTGATTTTTTTTTTTCATCACTCTTTTCTGGCATCCCACCACCGCCTGCCAGCCAGCGTATTGTATCTGCAGACTGTAATCGACACGGCCCGCACCGATCCTCGAGCGTCCGCCGTTTGGTGCTGCGTGCGTGTTTCTTCTGTTTGCTAGTTTTATTGTTTTTATTACTGATGGTTGGCTCAAATGCTGTGCTTCGCGTGTGCGTGCGTGTTTGACGGTTCACATCTGTGTGGCTTCCGTTTGGCCAGCACTTGACACTCGCTCACCACGCCCTTGCCGTTCCTCGACTGGCCAAGCCAAGAAAACGCAGCTTCACGCCAAACCGAAACGCATTTCCCACTGTGGCTGGCTCTCCCTGTCTCTCCTATTGTTATTGACGGCACCCTGCCTCTGCCTCTGCTGCCGCTCCCGCCCCCCTCCGTGTCGACGTCGGATCCCTTTGCCGTCCGAACCTCGTCGTCCTACTTGCACCTCTTGCCTCACTACACCGCTTCGCTCTCCATCACACACCATCCTTCTTTCGCTCCTTGTCCCTCCCCTCTCTCCCTCTCGTCACCGCCGCATCCACCGTCCCATCCCTCGACATCATCACCACCCACGGACATACCCTTCTGTAGTTTGCGCGCCGCATCGTCTTCCCTTCCGTATAGGAGATTCAACGAACAGCATCCATCCCGACGGATCCGCGCTACGCTCGCTACTCGACAGCATCCCAGCAGCGGCCATTCGCCATTGTCAGGTCTTCTGGCAACACCCTCTTCCACCGCCTGTTCATCTCGACATTGAAAGGCACACAATGACCAAGCAACGCTCCACTTCATCGAGGCGGTCCTCGTCGCTTGCGGCGAAAGTCATGACCTTCGCCACCGCCGCCCTTGCCCTTTCTTCGCACGCATCCGCAGCGAACAAGGCTGGCACATTCGAAATCGTCAACACCAATTCGCTCGCCTCCGCCATGATGCTCGGTGTCATCGACGAAGACACCGTCTTCATCTTGGACAAGGCAGAGAACAACTCGGCTCGTCTCGCAGACGGTCGCCCCGTCTGGGGCTCGTACTACAAGCTCTCGGACAACTCGGTCACCGGAACCGCCGTTCAGACCAACACTTTCTGTGCTGCAGGTGCGACGATGGGTAACGGCTCCTGGCTCGTCGCTGGAGGCAACCAGGCTGTCGGTTATGGTGGCGCTTCCCAGGCTCAGAACCTCAATCCGTACCAGGATTACGATGGTACCAGGGCCATTCGTCTGCTTGAGCCAGGCTCCGACACGTGGATCGACTCGCCCAGCACCAGCATTACACAGGTCAACATGCTCCAATCTGCTCGTTGGTACCCTGGTATCGAGACGCTCGAGGATGGCAGCGTCATCTTCATCGGCGGTGCTGTTTCCGGTGGTTACATCAACCGCAACACTCCCACCACCGACACGCTATACCAGAACGGTGGTGCCAACCCTACCTACGAATACTTCCCCGCCAAGACCGTCGGAAACTTGCCCATCTCTCAGTTCATGAGCAAGACCAACGGTCTCAACATGTACGCCCACACCTACCTCATGCCTTCCGGCAAGATCTTCATGCAGGCCAACACCAGCGCCATCCTCTGGGACCACTACAACAACATCGAAACCACACTCCCCGAGATGCCCGGCGGTGTCGTCCGTGTCTACCCGGCTTCGGGCGCCGTGGCCATGCTTCCTCTCACGCCTCAAAACTCGTACACCCCCACCGTCCTCTTCTGCGGCGGTAGCGTCATGAGTGACACCTTCTGGGGCAACTACAGTGGTCCCGGTGGCAACATCCTTGGCGTCACTGCTTCCGCCGATTGCTCGTCCATCACCCCGGAGGATCACCAAGGCAACCAGACCCCTAACATGCAGTACGTCCAGGAGGAGACTCTGCCTCAGGGCCGAAGCATGGGTCAGTTCATCCACCTCCCCGACGGAACCATGGTCATCGTCAACGGCGCCAACAAGGGTACCGCTGGTTACACCAACGCCACGTACAACACCATCCAGTACCAGGGCCAGACCGTGGTCACCGAGGGTCTCTCGCAGGATCCCACCTACGTGCCCGTTCTCTACGACCCTTCCAAGCCCAAGGGACAGCGTCTCTCGAACACGGGCTTCCAGCCCTCCACCATCGCTCGTCTCTACCACTCGACTGCCGTGCTGCTTTCCGACGGTTCGGTCATGATTGCTGGCTCCAACCCGCACCAGGACGTCTCGCTCAACATGCCCACCGGCACCACCCCGCAGGCCTTCAACACGACGTACGAGATCGAAAAGTGGTACCCTCCCTACTGGGATCAGCCGCGCCCTTACCCTCAGGGCATGCCTTCCTCGGTTCTCTACGGCGGCAACCCCTTCAACATCACCGTCAACGGCACTTTCATGGGGGACTCGGCGAACGCCAAGGCTGCCAACACCAAGTTTGCTATTATCCGAACTGGTTTCTCGACGCACGCTATGAACATGGGCCAGCGTGCCGTTTACCTCGACTACACCTACACTGTCAACGAGGACGCCTCGGTCACCTACATGGTCAACCCCTTGCCCAACACGATCGCCATGAACCGCCTCCTCGTTCCTGGTCCTGCCTATTTCTTCGTCACTGTCGGTGGCGTCCCAAGCTACGGCAAGATGATCTCGGTCGGAACCGCCGCTTTGGGTGGCGTTGTGCCCACGCAGTACAACCTCGGGTCCGCCCTCGTCTCGCTTCCCGCTGCTGTCAACAGCACCAAGTTCACCGCTTCCATCTCGAGGGCCGGTAGCTCCACCTCCGAGTTTGGCCTCGGCAAGATCATCGGCATTGCCGTCGCTGGTGCTGCCGTCTTGGCCTTGATCGCCCTTGGCTGCTGTCTCTGGAGGCGCAAAGGCAAGAGGAACGGCGAGAAGGCTGCTACTGGAGGAGCGGCCGCCCCTTGGTCCAACACCCGAGACCTTGGCTCGGGTGGTCCCGAGTACAAGCGCGTCGAGACGCCTGTTGGCTCGGTCGCCGGCGGTCGCTTTGCTGGCGCGAGGATGGACAGCTCCAACACGTTCGAGAGCTACCGCATGTCGGATCAGATCAGCGAGAGCAAGGATGGCTACTACGACCACTCTCGCAGCGGCAGCCGCGCAGGCTACGCGCCGAGCCCTCTTGCCTACGATCAGTACGGCCGCGCCAGTGCGCAGGGCTCGTATCAACAGCAGGGCTGGGGCGAATACCACGCTGGGGATGCCGGCGCCTACTACGAGGACAACCCGCAAAGGTATGGCAGCGGTGGCGGCAGTGCCGGTCGTGGTGGAGGACGAAGCTACGATTATCCGCCAGAGCAGCAGCAGCACTATTCGCAACAGCAGCAGTACTCACAACAATCGCAGCGTCAATACTACGACAGCCCACGCCATCAGCACTCGGGTAGCTACTCGAGCCGACGTTGATCGCTCACCAAAAAGCAGCGGAGGCGCGCTGTCGCTTCCTCACTTTCTCGGCATGGAAAGCAACTGTCTCGCGAAGACTAGGCCTCCCAATGGACCACCCTCTCTTTCCCTTCACAACTCTCATTAGCATTCTTTCTTTCCTTTGCGCTCGCATCAGGAGCACACCTTGTTGCCTGTTTCACTATCGCTTGGTCTCTGTCTGGACAATTCTGCATCTTATATCTGCCATAAACTTGCGGGCCCGTGGGCTTTGTGCGTGTGAATCGTTGCCGTGAATTGAGTGAAAGGGATGGAACGAATCGACACAAGGCATATCAAAGGCCTTTCTCGCCTCGTCTGACAGCATTCTTGAGAACAAAGGGGAAGCGCCCACATCCGACGGTGGGCCGTTTGTCGTTCCGTCAACTGGATCAAGGGGCCGCCGATCCTGTCGCCTGACACGGCATCCCCTGGTAGCATGTGTGTGAAAGGGGACCAGGAGCACAAAGCAACATGCTCCAATAGCTTCGGTCCGTGGGCCGCTTTGTCCCATTACGAGGAAATGAAGTCAGGGCGTCCACGGCGTGCATAGCCGCCGCCGCCGCTGCTGCTGCTGCCCAACTCTAATCCGACACAAACAAAGGAAAAGCTTGTCGGTACAAACAAAGGAAGGTTTGATCGACAAACCTTTGTCGCACACAACATTGGCGCCCAAAACCTTTGTCCGCACTACTTGTGCTCATCGTCGACATCATGAAAAAAGTCAAAGGGAGCGCGTCAGGTTCTTTGTCCACATGGCGGCGACCACAAACGAAGGGCAAGGGGGCGGGGATGAAAGGGACGTGAAGTGAAGGATGACGGCTGGCGACGTCACCGACTTAGGGGATGGCAAGGGATATATTGATCCACGCGAGCACGCGAGGTGGCGGAACGAGGGAGCCTCTTGCTTCTGCTCCAACGTCTGCTTCGAGGCATCCTCGCCACCACCTTCTTTCGATTCTCTTCGTCCTCTTGGATCTCGACGCTTGCTCCGACATCCTTCTTCGTCGTCTACGTAAGCCTGCACCCTCGACTCACCTCTGCTTCGAACAGCATGACGGTCGCCTTGACTAATATCGGGCGCTCGAGCGCGAACAGCGCCTTTTCGGCTAAGTCGAAGAAGCTAGCCTATCCTAGGGTGGGCGGTCGTAGCATGTCGTATCTAAGCCGACCTCATCAGGGTCCGCAGCCCAGCGGCATCCGCGTGGAAGTCGCGCGCACCACCCTCTCTTCCCGCACGACATTGGCTCATGACTCTCCAGGCGATGCGCTCGAGCTGTCGCCGTCCGCGACACTGACTCCTAAGCGCGAGCACGAGCCGTCGCTAACCCTCTCCGGGCGCACCCGAATCGTCAAGCTCGAGACTCCACCCTCCATGTCGATTGATTCGCTTGTCGAGCCGAGACCAGCGCTGACCGATCAGACACACACGCTCAATCTCCCAACCAAGCGCGCACCTGCCCCCAGCCGATTCATTCCCACCGCCCACGCCGGGCTGCGAAAGAATCTGCTCGGCTATCAGCACCGACGAAAGACGGTCAAGAGGAGGAACGCTGTCTCGCTGAGCAGGGCTCAGGCAGCGCTGCTCGCTGCCAACTTGGCCCGCGTTCAACGTTCCGCTTCTGCATTCGAGGGGAGAAACAAGGAGGAGGAACAGGATGATCCGGCGTGCAAGGAGGAACAACTGGTCTCTAAGCAGGGGGAATTGGAGGACAGCTTCGAAACGTGCGAGCACGAGCCAGAGTCGGAAGAGCAGAAGCGCGAAACCATGACCATGGCAAGCGGCGGGAGGATAGCCGGCGCGAGATTTGCTGCTATCGCCCTCAGACCCGGTTTGTTCCTCGTCACCCGATGCGACGGGCTGCCGCTCGGATGGCCTCTGAAGCCTCTGCCGGTTCCACATGCGTAGCTACCCAATCGCACCCCTGCCTTTCGAGACCCATCTCATGTAACCATAGCTAACGAAAACCAAATTGACGCCAGAGACACTCCCAACGCAGTCGACGATCCAGTATGCAACGGTTTGAAAAGCGAGATGTATTATCAACAAGTGTGACGGGTTGTTTTTTTAGCCCACCTCTGCGGATGAAGGCGAAGGTGGAGGGTAGAAGTACATGCAACAAAGGAAACCAGCTTGAACGACCGGACGAACCAAAGCACGATCTGCAGTCATCTCGCTTTTCAATATCAAGAAATGTGTGCGTGTGAGAAACGCCCTGCGAATGTGTGGTGGATCCATCTGGTCGAAACAAATTGAATGCTGGAGGTGTTGCGCGGGGATCACACGATGCCTCTGTCGAGAAGAGTCATCGTGCGGGGTGTGTATGATGGTGTGCGTGTGCGTGTGGTGGAAAGAATGCTGAAGGGGAACAAGGGAACGGATGCTGAAAGAACGGGAGCGCGACTACATTTACTCGTCGTCGATCTCGATCTCGCCGGCGTCGATGCCCTCGATGATCGCGTGGGGGTTCTGGCCGTTGACGGTGCAGCCGACGGACTGGGCAGTGCCGAGGATCTCCTTGACGGTACCGGCGAGGGACTTGGCGAACGACTTGAAGCGCATCTTGCGGGCAATCTCGACGATCTCGTCGAGGGGGATGTTGCCACCGTGCTTGATGTTCTTCTCCTTCTTGCGGTCACGAGGGGGCTCCTTGAGCGCCTTGATGACGAGCGACGAGGCCGAGGGCACGACCGAGACGGCAGCCTGACGGTTCTGCACGGTCAGCTGAACGGTGACGCGAAGTCCCTTCCAGTCACCGGTCGCCTTGGCAATGTCTTCTCCGACCTTCTTGGGCGAAAGACCAAGAGGACCGATCTTGGGGGCAAGCGCCGACGAGGCACCCACCTCACCACCGGTGGCACGGAGGTAGATGATCTATGAAACGGCGAAGAATGGATAGGCAAAGGTCAGCATATTGTGTTGGAGGGATGAGAAGTGCGACGCATGGGCAGGATGTTGGGCTGCGTCGAAGAAGGTTGGCTGCACAGATCAATGCCGGTCGGGGTCCATGGTCGAATGCGGAGTTGCTGGTCGATGCTGGAGGCTGCTGAAGATTGCGATGGCTCGTCCGCCAAATATGAGGTTGCGCTGGAGGTGGCACGTCGAGCAGAGGGTACCAGAGGAGCAGTCCACCTCGATACCGCGCCAGACACGGCCAGCCGATCTCTGAACCAAGCGCAAGGTCAACGGACGCGGTTCTTCAACCTTAGGCTGCAAGCCTGTCTTGGCGTTCCCATCGAAGTAACGATCTTCTGCTGATGCATGCTCATCCGCCTGCTGAATCCCGACGCTCTCGGACGTCCACACACGCCATTTCAGGTCATCATCTTGTGACTATGCTCTGATGTCGCATCCTTTAGCATCCGATTCTCCTCCATCTGATTCATCGCTGCTGCCCATCGAGTCGTACAACGGATCGTCGGATGGACGGCTGCTATGTCGGAAGGTGTCGGCACCATCGTGTCCGATCCGTATCTTTGCTATGCAATGTCGGTTCGAAGGTGGCGGTGATCTGTGCAGCAAGTCGGTTGATCTAGCAGCTCTGCCCGTGTGTCATGTCGTGTGGATAATCACCTTGATCTCGTTGGGGTCGATCTTGGGCGCCATTGTGAATAGGTATAGATGTGATGGTGATCTGGACGGTGGGGAAGGCAGGTGTCAGACTCGGTCTTGAAACGACGCTCGCTCGCACTGTGAGAGGTTAGGCAAGCCTTCTCAATCGACATGTACTGGCTGGGCTGCCTTGAGAATTCCTTGCGGCCTCACAGCGCTTTCTTGATCGCTGCTTCTCAGTCCCAGTCTCAGGGCTCCAGGCTGCAGACAGGTCCGGCCAGAGGCGAGAGGACCGGGCAGCCCGCTTTCGAATTTCGCGGCAGCAGAGGCAGAGAGCACCCTCGGCCGAGCTCTTGTGGGTCGACTAGCGTAGATCACGTGCGACCCCAAATGTCGATTTGGCAGGCTTGAAGCCTGGCTCGCGTCGAATTTCAGAAGAAATAGCCAGACCGAAGCGAAGTCGCCATTTGCTGCCGGGACTTGTCGATGTGCTTGCAGCGTGCGATGTTAGCCCATTCGAGCATAGTGACCAACCAAGACCGCTGTCTGCTGTGCCGTTTGGCGTGCAGGGCTGCAACGTCGAATTCCGCGAGCGGCCAGGCTAGCAAGACAGGCTGAGAGTTGCATATCGCGTCGAACTGAAGCCTCAACCTCGCTCTCGACACCACCTAAACCATCTCATATTAGCAAACATGTAAGTTGCACTTTGCTGCAATAGCAAACGCCGCTCCACGACAAGGGTCAGCATGCTGTAGGAGGCCGACGACGATGTGGAACAGACGAAGGAAGGGAGGTTACCAGACGTTAGTGCGGACGGGTCCGGAGGTTTGTCTGAAGACAAAGGATCAGTGGGGACTTGCGCGGCTATTGCACGGCGATCAGGATTCGGCGCCAGGTGCGGGAGGTAATGCGAACCAACGCGATGGCAATGCGACACGGTCACGGTGACCGTTGGGAAATGCGGTACATCGATGGTATCGAGAACGCAGACAACCGATTCTCGAGCTAGTAGGAAGCTATGCAGCCAATCTTGCTGCTCAACCTTGCCGACGAGCGCGCCATGACAGCCTATGCATTGTTGCCGCCAGGTCAGCTTCGAGGTAGATCAGCAATAGCGCGAGAAGGAGCCGAAGAGAGGATCAGAAGCAAGAGTTGGTTTAGACAAAGATACAGAATTGCCTCGATACAGCATGCTGTTCTGTCCCAGGAGATGGTCGCCTCGGCAACGCAGTGGGCTCGGTCTTTCCTCTGTATCAGAACACTGACATTCTCCACCTCACTCTCTACCACCTCCTCAGGTCTGAGTCTCTCGTTTACAAGGGTTCGCTCGCCGGCCACAAGGGCTGGATCACCGCCATCGCCACCTCGCAGGAGAATCCCGACCTTCTCCTCACCGCCTCGCGCGACCGCACCATCATCGTCTGGCAGCTCTCCCGCGACGACTCCAACTACGGTTACCCCAAGCGCATCCTCCACGGCCACAACCACTTTGTCTCGGACATTGTCATCTCGTCCGACGGCCAGTTCGCTCTTTCCGCCTCGTGGGACAAGACCCTGCGTCTCTGGGACCTGAACACCGGCACCACCACCCGCCGCTTTGTCGGCCACACCGCCGACGTTCTCTCCGTCTCCTTCTCGGCTGACAACCGCCAGATCGTCTCCGGTTCGCGCGACCGCACCATCAAGCTCTGGAACACCCTCGGCGAGTGCAAGTTCAACATCACCGACGACGGCCACTCCGAGTGGGTCAGCTGCGTCCGCTTCAGCCCCAACCCCGAGAACCCCGTCATTGTCTCTGCCGGCTGGGACAAGGTCGTCAAGGTAAGTTTGACCCAAAAGATCAGAGGGAGGAGAACAGGAAAGGACAGGAGAAGGAGGATGGACGGACGGGCGCTTGCGATGAAGAGTGCTTTTTCAAATATTTGCTACTATAGAGAGGCATCGCCTCGATGAGAATATCTCAAAGTCACCAAGATCACTGAGCATTCGCCCTTTTTGGAGGGATGCAATTGGAGGTGGAGCGATGGGAAGGAGGCAGGACTTCCGATCTGCAAGTGTTCGACCCGAAGCATGAAGCAGTCGCTGACTTTCAATTCCTCTCACTCTTATTACGACGCAGGTCTGGGAGCTCAGCAAGTGCAAGTTGAAGACCAACCACTACGGCCACACTGGCTACATCAACACTGTCACCGTCTCGCCCGATGGATCGCTCTGCGCCTCTGGTGGCAAGGACGGCATCACCATGCTCTGGGAGCTGTCCGACGGCAAGCACCTTTACAGCCTCGAGGCCGGTGACACTGTCAACGCGCTCGTCTTCTCGCCCAACCGCTACTGGCTGTGCGCTGCCACCGCCAGCTGCATCAAGATCTTCGACCTCGAGTCCAAGAGCATCGTCGACGAGCTCAAGCCCGAGTTCACCGGTGTTGGCAAGAACTCGGCTGACCCCGAGTGCCTCTCGCTCGCCTGGTCCGCCGACGGCCAGTCCCTCTTTGCCGGTTACGCCGACAACATCGTCCGTGTCTTCACCGTCCTCTAAACGTGTTAGCGCGAGACTTCCCTTCCCTGCTCCCAACGTTTCGTCATGGACGAAGCAAATGAGGTTCCGAGCTCCCACCTGGGAGTGCCTCAATCATCACATTCTCCTCTCCTCAATGTTTTAAAAAAGGGGTTTCTGTCGTGGCCCTTGTGCAATTCCTACACGATGACCGCTCTGCGCTTTGTGTGATGGTCTCGGTGTGATTTGTTTGAAAGTCTCGGCTAACTTCGTGATGAAGTCTCAGTGTAGTAGGCCTCGGTGTACTTTCTGTGAAGGTCTGAGCACGACCTGTCACACAAAGCGACTCTCTCGCCAAATTCCTGTGTATGAGTGTGGCTGTCTATGAGCATCTACGATGTGACAAAGACTAGACGCTCATCTTCATATCGATCTTTCCATGGCACTTGTAACCATCGACCTTGAAATCCTCGAACTTGAAGTCGTCGATATCCGTCACCTCCCTATCGATCCTCAACGTTGGGAAAGGCAGGGGATCCCGCTCCAACTGCACCTTCAACGGCTCGACGTGGTCCTTGTAGACATGCGCATCGCCCATGGCCAACACCAGCTCCTTGGGCTCGCAATCGGTCACCTTGGCAATCATGTACGTCAGCAGTGCGTAGCTTGCGATGTTGAACGGCACCCCAAGACCCAGGTCGCACGATCGCTGGTACATCTGGCACGACAACTGCTTCTTCCCAGGACCAGAGAGGTTCGAGACGAAGAACTGGGCGAACATGTGACACGGTGGAAGCGCCATCAGGGTCAGATCGGCCGGATTCCACGCACTGAGCAAAATGCGACGGTCCGTGGGGTTGTTCTTGATCTTATCGATGACCGATGCGAGCTGGTCGACGCCTTGACCTGTGTAGTCCGTGTCGCAGTCCTGATAAGTTGCGCCAAAGTGACGCCATTGAAAGCCGTATACTGGTCCAAGATCACCAGTGCGACGATGGGAGAGACCACGCGAGTCGAGGAACTCGCGCGATCCATTGCCGTCCCAAATATGAACGCCCTTGTCGGTGAGGAGCTGCGAATCCGTCTTGCCAGCCACAAACCAGAGGAGCTCCTCGAGCACACCGCGGAAGAAGACACGCTTGGTGGTGAGCAGCGGCAGCGTCCCGTTGGTCAGGTCGAACCGAAGGCTCGGTTGCGGGGCGAACAGGGCGAGGGTGCCGGTTCCCGTTCGGTCCGGTCGGCTTTCGCCCATCGAGATGACCCGTTGAACGAGTTCGAGGTACTGCAACTCTTCGTGTTTGACCGAGCCGCACGAGCCAGGGTTGCCCTCGACGTCACCGCGTGGGCCGGTCTTGGAGGAGAACATGCCACCGATGGTCGGCTCGGCGAAGTTGTGATGCGCGTAGCCGAGAACGACCATTCCGCCTGCATCCATCTCGAACAGTCTCCCCTGGGTTAGAGGCAATCCGAGCCACCGAGCGATGAAGACGCGGTTGAAGTGGCCATGACACACGAGCAGCACGTCGCATGTTTTGCTGCCGACGTCGTGGCCCTGCTTCCGCTTGTCGACGTGGGTCGACTGGAGCGAGCGGATCTTGGCGATTACCCCGTCGATGCGGGCGCACATGTGCTCCGCCGACTCTCCTGGGAACTCTTCCGGCTTGTCAGGATGATCCGGCGTACCATCGCGCCAAATGTCCCATCCAGGGTGTCTCGCCCGGATCTCATCCGTCTTCAACCCCTCGTACGCACCGTAGTCCCACTCGCGGCAGTCCTGCTCGATTTCGACCGGTGGGATCCCCGCGCGTGCCGACGAGGGTACGTGCTCGAGCATGATCTCGAGCGTTCGCTGACTGCGCTTGCGCGGACTGACAAAGATGTGGTTGAGCTTGGTCGGGTCGATCAGCTTGCCGTTGCCCACACCGACGATGGTGGGTGCCAGTTGTCGCATCACTTCCTCGCCGTGGGGGGTGAGGGAGATGTCCGATCGACCAGTGTGCTGGCCCGAGATGGACCATTCGGTCTCGCCGTGCCGCGCGAGGAACACTCGTGGCATCGCCATGGTTGCGAATGCTGAGCGTCTTGTGAGGCGAGTGAGAGTGGGACGAGGAGAAGGTGGAGTGAGAAGAAGCGATTCGATGACCCGCTTACCACTTTCTCTCTGGCGATCCCAGCGGACCTTGGAAAGCGCAAAGTCCAACACGCAATTTACGCGCAGTGCTCCCAACGCGTCTATGTTCGACGGAATGTCTCCTCAAATCAACGTTATATGTGCAGTCTGAGCCGCCCGCGACAATGCAAGTCTTCGTGGCCTAGTTGGTAGGGCGTAGGTCTCATACTTTGAGAAGCTACCAAAGCTAAATCAACGATCCTGTTACACGGGAATCAACCTATTAGACATCCTAAGATCGCGAGTTCGAGCCTCGCCGAGGACACTTTTTTGAGTACTTTTTGGTTACGACCAGCACGACCAGCGAACGCAGAAGCACGAGCGCAACGCCCTCCCATTTTTTCGATCAAGTTTCATAAGAAAGTGGCCGAGTGATGGTCAAAACCATTTTTCCCGAGATGGTGTAGCAAACGTCGTCAAACAACGCCAATGGCAACTTGAGATCACCGAGCTCAACCTTGAAAGACTTTAAACGCCGTTGAACAGCTCTCGCTTCAATGTGCACCATCGAGGGAACCACGAAAGCAACCGCACGTTGATTCCGACAAACAAAGGTACAGACGTTGCATGACGAGAATGATATTCGTGACAGAGACAGGTCAGGGCAACTCAGAAACGTCGCAGTGAGCCTAACGGTCGGGCTTGTTGCGGAATCGCAGCAGCGGCGCGAGGCTCGACAGCTGGCAGGCCGACTGCAGGAACGGATGGTGCAGCAGCTCGTCCGCCGACGCACGGCTCTTGACATCCGCGCAAAGACACACGGCCAAGAAGCTCTTGAGGTTCTTGGACAGCGTCTCGGGCTTCTTGAGCGTCGGCGTGCCGTTGGTCGCAATCAGGTACAGCGCCTTGAGCGGCTCCTCGTCCAGGTACGGCGGCTCGTTCTCGATCATCTCGATCGCCATGATGCCCAAACTCCAAATGTCCACCTTGGCTCCGTACTCCTTCTGCTTGACCACCTCGGGCGCCATCCAGTAAGGTGTACCTACCATCGTTGCACGCTTCGACTTTTGGTCCGTGAGCTTGGCGCAGAAGCCAAAGTCGGTGATCTTGACCTGACCGCTGGCGTTGAGCAGCACGTTGTCCGACTTGATGTCGCGGTGAATGATGCTCTGGCTGTGCAGATGCTCCAGGCCCTTGCACGTCTCCATGCAGATGGCAGCGATCTGGTCCTCCTCGAGCGTGTTGTTGTCAATGACATCCGTCAGCGCACCTCCCTCCATGAACTCCATGATGACCCACAACTCGTTGTTGCGCACCAGGAAGGAATCCAAAAAGTTGACAATGTTGGGATGCTGGGACTCCTTCATGACGAGGATTTCGTTCACGATGAGCTCCTTGCGGGGCTGCTGCGACAGGTCCATCGTCTTGATGGCGACACGTTGACCCGTGGCGAGCGTCTTGGCGACAAAGACGGATCCCGAAGCGCCTTGGCCGACCTTCTTGATCTTGCTGTACAGCATGTTGGGGTCGTCCTGGCTCACCACCGATCGCAGCTTCTCCATGATCTGCGCTTCCGACATGGTGCTGATGCGTCGGTCTGCCTCCTTCTGCTGCGTCTTGGCGGCCGTGTCCTTCTTGGCCATCTGCAGGGGCTTGACCTGCGCCGCCTGAGCGGCACTTGGCGCCGCCACCGGCGATGGCTGTTTGGCGACGGGCACTGCTTTGGAAGAAGGCGAAATGCCAGCCGACTCGCTTCCGAGCTTGAGCTCCTTGGTCTTGACATTGAGACCCTGCACACCACCGTCGTTGGCCATCCTGCTGGAGGGCACCGACGAGTTGGGCGGAGGGGGTGCGGGTCGAGTGGAGGCGAGCGATGATGCCGGTGTAGGCCCCTTGTTGGGAGCGCCAGGAGCTGCGGGTGCTTTGCGCGATGGTACCAGATCCGGGTGTGCGCTCGAGGGCGAGTGGCTGGTACCGGGTGCATTGCGCCCGTACTGAGAATCGTTGGACGCGGAACCACCGCCCAGACGCGAAGAGGAAGCCTGCGACGAGGCTGGGCTCGAGGCGCCAGGGCCTCGACCGTCGTCCGAGGGTCGTCGGATCATGGCCGTACTCTGTGCGGGTCTCAAGGAAGACGCAGCAGAGGACGATGAGGAGGAGGAGGGAGGAGCAGGCGCTCTGCGGAAAGCGTCCGAAGGCGGCTTTGGCGCGGATCCGCCGGGGTAGAGATTGGCCTGGCTGCTCAGCGTCGAAGCCGAGTCTACACTGTCGCTTCCGGCGAAACCCGTGCCCGCTTTGAATCGCGGTGCGGACTGAGCACTTGGCACCTCGCTAGGCTTGCGTCCAGGCTGAATGTTCATGGTGGGCGTGCCGAGACCGTAGTCGTCGCGTTCGCGCTTCTGGATGTCGGTGTAGAATTCGAGGACGTCGAGCACGGCTTGCGGGTTCTTTTCGTAGTCCTCGCGCGTGATGGCCGAAGTGGTGAGCAATTTCGACCACTGCTCGGGCAGACCCGTGAACGCTCCGCTGATCGGATCAAAGCCGACGTGCACTTGGTGTACAAAGTTGGTGGGCGAGGAGACGCCCATGAGCGGCGAGCGAGAGTAGATGTCGTCCATCCAGCCGTAGAGCTCCTCGTCGCTCTTGAGCTGAAGGTAGAAGGTCTTGTCTTTGGTCTCGACTTCGATGCAGTATGGCTTGAGATCGGTGCGGGACACGTTGGAAATGTCCTTGAGGAAGACGAGGGCGACGGCTTGGTAGGTGGTCTCGTTCTTGTGGAAGGTGAGGGTCTGCTCGCGAAGGGCGAGCCAACGCTTGCTCCAGATCCAAGATCGAATGCCATCCTCCTTGACACTGACCCAGCCTTTTCGTACGACGGCAGCACCGCTGGTAGTGGCGCCGGGGCCCGCTTGCTGCCAGCCCGAGTTGTTGCCGCCCATGTGGTTGGCCGGTGCTGCGCCAGGAGCGGTAGCGCCAGGTCCGGCAGGGCGGAGCGGTCCGGTGTACGAACCGCCGCCGGCGCCCTTGCCCATGGAACTGGATGCCGAGTTGTATTGCGAGAGGGGAGGCAGGAAAGGATCATTGTGCTTGCCGGTGGGCACGGGCGGTGCGGGACGTGATGGCGTCAGAGATCCGAAAGAGGCGCCTTGCGATCCGGTTGGCGGCGCGCCATTCGACGCGTTACGAAAGCCAGACATGATGACGATGGCTGGCTCGACGAGGCTGTCTGCGGTTCGTGGGTGAGTGTCGAGTGTGGCGATCCGTTGTTGGACAACGAAGAGGAGGCGCGTCCGTTGAAAAAAGGAGCGCGTGTCGAGCAAAGTTGGGCACAGAGTAGCAGTGAAGGCGAAAGAGGTACAAGGCGAAGAGCGAGGTCAGCGAGGTCCTTCCAGCATAGAACAAAGGGGACGTCGAGAGAAGCCGAAGTCGTATCGCGTCCCCCCAGCACTTGGACGCGCCGGATCTTCGCACCGAGTCGCCCGAGGGACTGGACACATGGCAGTGCAGGCACTACTCACCTTTGAGCAATTGCACGTGAAGATCGTGGAAGTGCTCGCTGGACCGAACGAGATCGACCTTGTTTGTGGTTGCGGCAAACCTTGACGCGGCGCGCCGATCCGACTGCGAGTGAGCTAGTGCGGCGATGCGTCCAGGTTTGGGCGGCGTGAAGAAGCTTAGGCTCGAAAGCTACGAATCCGAGGGTCGTCGAGTGCCGATCCCGTTTGGCGACACCGTTGCGATCGTTAGGATGAGGTGGTAAGGAAGGAAAAAGTGGCGAAGACCTAACTCGAAGTTCACGATGAAAGGAACGCGGCGGCGGCGAGACGAGCGACCCCAGAGCAACACTTGAAAGGAGAGAGGGGTACCGATAATAGTCGAAGCGAGAAAGCGAGAACGAGGGCAGAATTCCTGTCAAAATTCAAACAGCTCGGCGGGGTTACACGCCTGCGTTTGGCGTCCTGATCTTTTAACGTGTGTGCGCGTGTGGACAACCAAGGGTCGCGGTCAGCTGCTAGGTTAGACCAAGAAGCACTTTGGCCGCCCCCTTTCTGGACCATTTCGGTGCCACCCAGCAGGCAACAAGCCCGACGCGGCGGTGACACTTTTTGACTTGGCACCCTCTCTTGACGCCGCCTCAGAATCATCTCCGACCGATCTCGTCTACGCCTTCATTGCTTACCTAGCCTTTCCTGCGTGCTGCCTGGAGGCACTCACACAGTCGTGTTCGAGTGAGTCTTTCCGCCGAGGTCGTCCTCGCTTCTCTTTCCAAGGAGGATGAAGACGAAGACGAGTAAACGTCTCAGCGTCGAGGCCTGTCTCATCGCGCATCGACCAATGCCAAAGGCGAGACACTCTGCCGCTTGCCACGCTCACCCAACGACCAGGGCGCTCCAACTCGGCTCAAGACCCTGAAATTTGACGAGACGAACACGTCAAAAATGAAGCTCAGCTGCGGTGGGACCCTGACTTCACTTCTTCTTTGTTTCGAAAGCACGGTCCAACGGTGTCGACTCCCACGGGCTATCCCACTCGGCACCGCTGTGTCAGTCGCAACCACAAGCATTCGACAGACGCACACAGAGTCTGTGTCGCACATCAGCATGCGTAGAGGCTGATCAATTCAGCAGCCAAGCGGTCGAGATGGCGGTCAAGATGCCCTCCAACCGGGCTCGAGATCATCCGCGCTGGAAAACGCTCGTCGAGAGCAGCACCCGGAGCGAGGCTGGCAAGTCCACATTGGAACGTCAGCATCGTTTAGCTGAGCTGAAGCAGCGACTTGGCCTTCCTACCGCGAGGAACGATGCAGTTTCGAGAGAGGCAGCTCACGCCAAAGCAGCAGCATCGTCCGTCGGCACGGACAAACACAAATCGTCCTCCCACCAGTCAGCTTTGGGCCCCAACTACAGCTCGCAGGAGCACACGCTGCGCAACGACTACTCGCAACACTTTGTGGATACAGGCGCCGGTCTGCTGCCAGGCAATGCGGTACGAAACCCTTCGTCGAGCTCACGCTTCGACGAGTATCCCAAACTCAAGCGTCTCGTTCAGCTCAAGGACTCGCTCGTCACCTACGTCGCACATCCTCCCACCTACCTCCAGACGGATCTGAGGCCTTCACTCGGACCCTTTCGAGATGCAACTCGGTCCACAGAACAGTTCCACCTCGGCAGCCTGATCCCTGTCAAGTACGACGTCGTGCTCATCGACCCCCCTCTCGAGGCATATGATTGGGAAGCACCACCAGCTTCATCCACCTCTGGTGCTGCGAACTCGACGTGGTCTTGGGAGGAGATTGCCGCTCTGCCGGTGCCGCAACTAGCAGCCAAGGAGAGTTTCGTGTTCCTCTGGGTGGGTTCCGGAGCTGGAGACGGACTCGAACGAGGACGAGAGGTGCTAGCCAAATGGGGCTACAGGCGCTGCGAGGACATTGTCTGCATTCGTACCAACCCTCAGACCGATGGAGCCGAGACATCGAGCCAGCAGCCCTCGACCAGCTCGGCCTTCACACGGACCAGCCAGCATTGCTTGATGGGCATTCGAGGCACGGTGCGCAGATCGACCGACACTCGCTTTGTCCACTGCAACATCGACACCGATGTCATCCTCTGGCCTGGGCCTGAAGGGGAAGATGTTGCTCAGATGCAAGCGGACGAGGTTTCGGGTCCATCGCGGCCGACATCGCTGCCAGACATGATCAGCAAGCCACCAGAGCTGTATCAGACGATCGAAAACTTCTGCCTTGGCACCCGTCGCCTCGAGTTGTTTGGCCGTAACCGCAACTTGCGGCGCGGCTGGCTGACAATCGGTCTGGAAGTAGGGCCGGATGCTCCTGGATGGCTCGAGGGCGGCAAAGTCGCTTTACCAGGCGCTGGTCTGCCCGTCTTGGCGGAGAACGGCATGAGCGAGCAGCTACAAGCTCACCTCGACCGCTTGCAGATTCCTCGACCCTACGACAAGGTCGAATATGACGCCAACTTTGGAGTCGACCGCCCAGGCTGCGACTTGCGCGATCGCTCCAATCTAGTCCCCTTCATCGAAGAGGTCGATCAGCTTCGTCCGAAATCGCCGCCACCCAGAGGCGCAGCCGACGCCGCGGCCAGGTATCGACCGCAGTCCCAGCTCAACGAAACATATAAGCATCCAGCGGCTGGACGGATGATGCCGAGCGGACTCAGTCACCATTCCGCACTCCACGCTCCACCTACACCATTTGCTCAGCATCCAGTGGCGCAGACCTACGGCGGGCCAGGTCTGGGAGCCGTATCGGCGCATCCGATCGGATTCGAACATCCTGTCACATCAACGCTTGGCGCAAGGGCTGGTCTTGGTGGAGCAGGACTCTCGGGCTTGGGTGCGGGAGGAGAGAGGACTGTGAGCGTTCAGAGCGGAAGTGACACGCTGAGCGGACCTCAGGCGAGCGTACTCAAGGCCAAAGCGATCGCTGAAGCCGCGGCCGGGTCGCCCGACGCTTCGATCGGATAGCACCCGACACAGTCGAGACTGCTTGCCTTATCTCAACAATTCTTATTGTCACATATTCCGTTGACCTTTGCGTCCGTGCAGTGCGATCACACAGGAGAGGAAAAGAAAGAGTGACAAGCCAAGAATGAGCGCGTTATGAACCTGATCCTCGCAGTGGCGTGAGAACGTGACGCATAGTGATTCGACTGCAAGCCGAGGATTCGCCGTGACTTCGCGGCTGGGTCTGACGCTGCCGCTACGCCCTTTGTTCCCTCCGAGTCACAACGCCGCTTCTCGATTCCCTCGGCGCCTTGGCAGAGCCTTCTGACTCCCAAGCTCCCTGACTGTGATCGCCAGTGGAATCAGTGGCTATGCGCGTCCGTCTGCTGAGTTCGCCGCCCAGGCCATCACTTGTCTCGAACACTCTCATGATACCTGTGTCCCATGCTCAGCTCTCCTGTTCCCGCTCCCTCGGCTTCTTTCCACGTCTATTTAATCCTCATCCCCTCCGACTTTGCATCTTTCCCACCTTCCCATCAAACATCGATATCCACTTCGTCCTGATTGCATGCAAATTTTGATCGCCTCCTCCCTTTCCTCTGCTCCATATTTCGATACGACCAGCTCTGCTCCGACGCAAGTAGTGCGGGAAGCACGAGCAGCGTCGCTCAGACCCGCCCTCGTCTTGCTCGTCCCAGTCAGATGTGTACGCAATTGTACCATCCTTTCTGAACGTCAACCGTCCACGTTGCTGACACACTGGTGCCCCTGTTTACGTTGCAGCATCTTCAGTCGATCCAGTTCGGGCAGCATACGGAGCCACAGACCCGTCGGGCTACGTAGCCTCTTCGTCCAGCGCAAGCATTGTCGAGGAGCCTTTGGTCGGTCGGACAAGCGACTCAGTGACGCAAGGGGAGGCAACTCCGATCTTATCCCTGACGCTTGAAGGTACGAACCTGAGCGCTCGAGACCTCACCTCGCCAGCCGCATTTCTGTCGGGTCACTTCGCGGATTCCGAGGCTCGGTTGTCATTCGTAGGACGCATCGATCTGGCTAAGGAGCGAGCCTTTGATGATAGTGTCTACTTGGACCTCTTCTTCGACGACCTAAGATCTACTCGCCTCGTCATTCGCCCTCGTTCGCAACTGTTTGGCAGTCCTTTCGCTCCGGACTACCACTTCAAAGACAAAGATGTGATCTTGCTCAAGGACGTGGTACACACTTCGCTTACTCGGGTCCAGGGCGGATACCCGTACACGTACAATGTCACCGATTCCTTTGGGTACGGGCTGTCGTTCGACGCGTTTTCTTATTGCTTCAACTTCACCCAGAAGAGTTATGACACGACTTTCGCCGACGTGGTCGACATGAACAAGCGTCTCGACAGCCTTTTCTTCCCCTGGATACCCGATGACTATCATCGGCCCAAGCGATCAGTCCATCCGATTACGCAAGGCTCTCGCACTCATGTCAGCGCGTCCGTCCACATGACATCCGCCAACGATCCGGCTCGAACGGACAGCAGCTGGACCGACTCCGACCAGAAAGCTCACACCGATCGATCTGTCACGACGAGGCGAGGGACGAAGAGGGCTGCAGCGACCGCGCCTACTTCGTCGAGGGCCAAGGTGGAGAAGAGATTCGGCGGCCTCTGAGCAATTGTCAACAGGGATTCCGAGATTTGACCATGCCCCATGATCAGTGCTTTCGATGTGTCCATTCTATTCCGTCAAAAGTGTCATGCAGCTCACAAGTCAATGCCATTCCATTCTCTATCATAGTGTGTGCGAATCAAGCGCGTGGTCATCAAGTGAGACGCAAGGCCCAACAACCTCATCGCTCTCCGATCCGGCACCCATCACCCAAGGCCAGCTCTTGCGTACTCGACACTGGCACACCTGCAGGCTTCCAAATTTTAACCCTTGACACTCTCATACAGTATCTTCCACGCACCCAGACACAAACTCGAAGCGACGTGTGATGACAGCATGACAGATCTCATTTGCGTGCAACCTGACAGAGTGTCCCCGATCAGGATCCGAGCGGGCGTTCCAGGGTCAGGGCGATCCTGCGTTTCTTCTTGGGTGCTTCGGCGTCGTCCCCGCCCGCAGCGGCGGCTGTTGCTGTTGCTGGTGCTGGTGCTGGCGCAGTCGATGGTGCAGCCGAAGAGGAAGCTGGAGGCATGGCCAGCCCCAACCCGGCGGGCGTGGCCCCAACGGCGCTGGCATACGCCTCGGCGGCAGATCCACCCGTTGCTGCAGGGGCCAACATTGCCGGGCTGGCCATCTTGGGCGTGTTCGGCGCGCTCCCCGTCGACTTGCCCTCCGCAATATGCGCTGGCGCAGGCACACCTGGCGCAGGAGCCTTCAACGCCGGTTGCGCCGAAAACGCATACGGCACGCCCAACTCCGCATAATCAAACACGACCACCGAACAGTACCCGTCCGTCGACGACATCATGAGCGTCTGCCCGTCCGGCGACCAGGTGAGGTCGGTGAAGCTGGCATAGTGCATGTTGCTGAAGCAGCAGATGGGGCCGGCTTGCTGCGTGTCGTAGATCCACACGCTGTCTTGGGTGGCGACGGCGTAGACCATTCGGTAGGGGAGGCCGAAGACGCTGATCCCGCGCGGTGGGGAGCGTGCGTCCTGACGTGGGACGTGGGGTGAGATCTTCTCGGGCTGCGACGGCGATGCTGACGGCGCCAAAGGGTCTTTCGATGGAGTCGATCCGAGCGACGGAGAGAACGCTGCAGTCGAGGATTCGGTGCGAAGAGAGACCGTCTTTTGCTTGCCTGCCTCGAGCGGGATGGTCGGGTGAGGGGCGATGCCTTCGTCGTCGCCGTCGGACGAAGTGCGCGGTGTCTTGCGCAGCTCGTATAAAATCGGCGAGAATCGCACGACCAACGTCGCTGTCTTGTGACCAGGCAGCACAGCGATGGGGGCATTCGACCGAGTCAGGTTGCCCCTTGCATACAGGTACACGGCACTCTTGTTGGCTGGACCTAATTGAGGACTGGTCGACGGGTGACTCGTGGCGGCTGCGGCGGTAGCAGGCGTCAGCGTCGCAGGGCTCTTCATGGGCGACAGGTTGACACTAGGAGATGCGGACGGCGGCGGAGGATCAAAAAGACCGCTGGGCGTCACCAGCAAGCCACCATCGGGGCTGAAAGAAAGGCGACGGAAGAACCCGCTAAAGTTCTCGTCACCGTACAGACGCATCGATGCCTTTGCCAGTGGCCCACCCAGGCCCGATGCTGCTGCTGCTTGCATGCGCTGTTTGGGAGAGGGAGGTGCGCGGATGGCGGGCAGAGGTGGAATAGGCGAAGGCGACCGCATGCTCCGGGTTCGCGATGCGGAGCGGCTGACGCTGCCTGCTCTGCGACCAGCGTCGCTCGCAGCGGTTCCGCCCGTCACCGAAAGAGTGTGCTCGAGAGCGCTTGCTGCGGACTTGACGCCATGCGAGCCCGCCAGGGTGGACGCGGGCGCCAAGGAGGTGGTGCTGGTAGGCGGCGAACCAACGTCAAAGTTGCTACCGCTGAAGCTCGATCGACGGCTGGGCGTGGTCTGTGGTGGGTTCATCGCGTGCGCAGCAACGGCGGCGCTGTTGGATGAAAAGGGGCTGGGCGGTATTGAGGCTGCGGGCGTGGGAGTGCTGGCCCGCCCGGATGTGGGTGCAGCAGCGGCGGCGGCAGCGGACGACGCCGAAGCTGCTGAGGGTGGTGCTGGCACTGCAGCTGCCGGCGTACTCGCGCGTGCAATCGCAGTGCTCGTGTGGCTGGGGTCGATAGGTGTGCTGCTGCGTTTGGTCCTGCCTCGAAGACCGGCGACAAAGCTTTCCCTTGCGCCTTCTCCGTCACTGGCTTGACTGGCATGGCTGCTGGTACGTCTTGGCAAAGCAGGCTTGGAATAATGCTGATCCCATACGAAGCCGCCAGCGCTACCGTTCCTGCGATGCAGATCGAGCTTGGAGTTCTTGCTGATGACGTCTGTGCTAGACGAGCCAGCGTTGCTGTCACGGTCGTGTCGCCGTGTTTGCAGGCTGTGAACATGCACGGTGCGGTCGCTGCTTTGCGTCGCAATGAACTCGTTGAGTGGATCCCAGGCAATTCCCTGAACGTAGTGGTTATGCTCGGAGATTTCACGAATGACGTGGCCCTCCTGGACGTTGATGATGCGCGCGACAAAGTCAGTGCCGCCCACGGCAAGGGTCTCGCCGTTGGGACTCCAAGCCATGTCATAGAGCTCTTGCTGCGTGGCACGGCACATGAGCTTGACTCGCCAGTGCTCTTTCTCGAATTGAGCTTCGCCTTCGAGGTTGGTGGAGACGTCGCCGAGTCCAGGCTTGCTGCGGTCGCTGGGCACCCACAGGAGGACATTTCCGTCGTCGCCGGCGGTTGCTAGCAGCTCGCCTTTGGGACAAAAGCGAACGACATTCACCACACCCGAGTGCCTTTGGAGTGTAGCAAGGTATTCGACACGAGGGGCGTGAGGCGCGACGACGGCGGATCCCGAGACAGCGGCAGCGCTTGCCATTGCAGCGGGGGACGGGATGTTGGGGTGGACCATCCAGATGCGCGCGTTGTTGTCACCACCTGCGGTCGCAAGCCTCCAGCTTTGACCTCCAGCCATGACGGGCGGCTGCGTGAGCTTGGACGATGATGCTACGGGCGTCAAAGCGGAGGCTTGCGCCGAGGAGGACGTTGAAGTCATGGCGGCGGCAGCGGCAGAGTCGATTTCAGACAAGCCTTTGCCCGGTGCAAGACCAGCGGCCTGGCCCATGTTGTGGTCGAGGACGCGCTTGAGGTGATTGGCAGGAAGGGGTTGGAAGGAGCAGCTGTAGATGGGCTGGGTGTCGTGCCACCTGATCTCGAAGGTGACGGAGCGAACCATGTTTGCGTGCGTGCTAATGAGATTAGATGTGGAACGGTATCAAGGCCTATTGGCGAGGATGGGGTGCTGGTTGGCAGCGATGCGAGCGCTCGTGCCTATCGATGAGGAGATTGTGTCGGCGACAGAAACGCAAGCAATCGAGTCTCCTGGCGAGACTGCGGACGCTATCTGCTTGACAGGAATGGGCCGAAACTTCACAGGTATTACGTCCTTCCGCAAAGCCGAAGGAGGGAGTCGGCGGTAGCACTGAGGAGATACGTCGAAGCAGTCCGAGAAGTAGGCTGCGCTAGGTGGCCTCAGATGTTGCTTTATAGTCTTCCGCCTCGGGCCTCAGGGTAGCTGGGCGCTAAAGGTGAAGAAGAGTGCCTGTTGGCGGTTTGTGACTTTGACCGAGGCGCGAGAGTCGGTTATCCCGTGGCGTGCGAGTGATGGAACAGGGTGATCCTTTGCTACTGGGAGGGGCGTTGTGGGGTGCTGAAGGTGGAGACGCAACGATGGCTGAAGGCGATTGCGAGGTGAGGTGATGGAGGAGGAGGGTGATGTAAACGATCAGGCTTGTCTCGACTCAATTTTGGAAATAATTTGGCGGCGGGCCTGGACAAAGCGCGAAACATACGCGAGCAACCTCGTTGAGAGAAGCAAACGTGAAATAATCGGCCACACTGAGCCGCCGTGAGAACAAGGCGAGGCATGCCGAGGTGTGTGACGGTGTTGGTATTCAACGGCGCTGCCCGATCTTGGGAGGTTAGTCCGTGTGGTTGCTAGTTTTCTTTCGAGAAAAGGACAGGGAGGCCAGCAACTTCGCAGCAGTCCATCAGCGGCACCAGACGTATCATGTGAAGAAGGGTGCTAGCATGCAGGGCGACAATGTGACCGTGGCTTGCTGCCAAAGGCTATGACTCAACTCAACTGCAGCATAAGCTGGCAAGAAACGTGTGCAGACAAAAGCAAGGTTCTGTACATGATCAACCATAAGCCGAACAGCGTGGTCACCTTGAAGGCGCAGCAGACAGCCTCGAAGGCAAGAATGTCACGCCTCGAAACAAGAGCGTGGGCGTGGGCATTCAAGCGAGCACTGTGACTCTGCCTCATGCAAGCGAGCACCTTTGGGATTGAGTTATTCTGAGTTGCAGAGCAACAATGAAAAGCCGCCTCTCCCGACCCACTTTTCGCATCAACAGGCAGCGATAAGGGGGGCAATGATCGGATGAGCGGATCGGTCTGACAGCACGCCTCGCCAGGAACCCATCGCCCACAACTCAGCCGGCCCTGCAACTGGCGTATCACTTCACGCCGACTTGACAAGGTCGACTCAGCTTCTTTCCAGCTTCTTTCGGCCGTCTTGGCTTCGATACCGGTTCTCCTCAAACTCCAATTCGTGCAATCAGAAAGGTCGAAACCTTCCGCAACACAGCGCCTGCTCCTCTCTGCTGTTGAGACACCGGCATCGCACCGTCAGACCATCCTACGACGCCATGCTCTACATCTGCCCATCACATTGGCCTCGGTCACAGCCTGCCTTGAGGCCCCCCTTTCCACCATCGCCTCCTTGCTTGGAAACGTTGATCAAAATTTAAGGGTCTCTCTTTCTCGAAATTTTGAACTTTCGTCCCGCTCGGACCACAAGCCGACTGGCGTGCAAGGACGCCCACAGGAAACGAGTGCGAGCATGGCAATGCCAAACTTCTCAACATCGACGTCTTCTTCTCGTACTCAGAGCTGCGGCTTGCCTTGTCGGGACCCATTGACTTCTATGCTGTCATCTACGAGCGCTGAACCGACCGGGATACCGAGCGGATTGGCTTTCACTAGACGCGTCGCGTACAGCACGCACGCGCCAGCTCAACATTCAGCCGATCTCACATTCCAGAAAAATGGTTCGCTCTCATGAGAAGACTCTGCAAGGAATGAGATTGCAGCACAGGCTCACGGCTTCATCCTTGCCGGAACCCATCGTCGAATGGCCACCTCCTTGACCGCGTAGCTCTCTCCCTTGCGCAGCGACTCGAAGAACGTCTCTGGCGTCGTGAGCTTTTCGAGCGGACATCGCTTCAGCGAAGGCACAAAGACGTGCGCCAGAATGAGCGTCTTGAGCACCTGGCTCTGCACACGGTTCACCGTGCTGAACCACGTCCAGTCCTTGCGGCCCGCGTTGGGATGCGGTGCGAACGGGCTCGACTTCTCGTCGGCGGGATCTTCGTACGAAGGGATGATGACCACCGCAAATTCGGCATGCGAAAAGACAGGTCCGCGCTTGTAGAGCAGCAGATCGGCGCAGAACTTGATGCCCGTCTTGACCACCCAGCCGAGCGAGCGAAAGTGGTGGTAGGCGACGTAGTTGATCAGGAACGGGTTGTCGGGTCGAGCGTAGAGCGATTCGAGATGTCGTTCGGCGAGTCCGCGGTTACGAAGATCCAGCAGGGCGTGCGGCAAGCTCGATTGCAGGCAGGCCGTGTAGAAGTCGTCGAGGCTGAGCGGCAGGGTGACGCTCCCATTCTCGGCGGTGACCATGTCGAGGCAGCCAAACATGGACGAAAGGAAGAACGCTTCCACCAGCGAAAGCTGCATGCGCTCCACGTCGACCACATCGATATCTGCTGTGTCGTCGGTGTCCTCGTCCAGCAGCATCTTCTCGTCGTCCTGCTGTGTTGCAGTCGTGCTGGCCGACTTGCGCGCCTGCGTAGCCTTGACTTCTTCCGCAAAGTACTTGAGACCCTTGATGCGGGCCACGCCAGGCACGATGTCCGGCACCTCTTCTTGACCCGTCCATAGCTCATTCATGCCTCCTGTCTTCGCTGCGGCTGTCGACTCTGGCCCTTCCTGCTCTTCCGCGTCTTCGCCATCCAGCTGCTCCTCCACCTGCCTCTCAATATCCGCCATCAATCGATCGTGCGATGCACCAGGCGCGCGGTCCGCCTCCGTCACCTCTCCTCCCAGCGCCAAGATACCATCAGGCAGCTGCTGACCTGCTCGTACCGCTGCTCTCGCTCGCTCAATCTTGAGCGCCTTTCTCTCCTCTCTCCTCTGCTGTGTAAGCTGCTCGGCGGTCATTCGACCTTTGCGCAACGCATCGATTTCGTTGACCTTGCGCTGGCGCCACGTCGGTTCGGAGCGCGAGAGATTGCCTTTGCCGAAGAAGCCACGTTGCCATAGCAGTCGGATGCCTTCATCCAGATCTTCGACCCAGACGGTCTGCAGTTGGCGATCGTAGAAGACCGAGACCTTTTCCTTGCCCTTGTGGCTCTTCTGGACGGGGCTGCTAGAGGCGCTGGACGATGCGTAGTAGCCTAGTGTCAAAAGCGAACAGAGCGACGACCATAGCGTGTCCTGTGCTTTGCTACTTACAGCGGCGTCAGGGCTCGTGACGTCGAGTGCGACTGGGATCGGCTTCGAGTAGAGCTGATTCTTCTGCGCGGTTGCCTTTTTGCCAGCTCCGGTCACTCGAGAGGCGGGTCCTCTTGCGCCGGACTTGGACGACTCGGCTGCGTTGTTGTACGACCAGCCGGTGGTGTTCCTTTGCCTAGGCATGATGGTGAGGTCGTGTGTCGCTCGAGGCCGAAGAGATGCCTATGTGCTGGAAGAGTCGAAGAGAAGGTCGGCAAGCTGCTGCAACATCAGCACCCAAGCCTCGACCCTGAAATTATGCTGTCGCTACGTAAAAAAATGTGGAGCTGTCAAGAAGAAAAAGAAGCGCTTTAACCTTGGCTTAGTCACGATTATTTTGCTGAATGTGGCGGTTAGAGCTTAGTTTGAAGGCCGCGGTCATCCTTCTCGCTGCGCTGTAAACCACCTTCTTTTGCGCTCCATCATCGCCCTCAAGCCTATCCGTCAACACACTTCGCATCCCAGCGCCACCCGTACTTGAAGCGCACTTCTCTGTCGAACCGACACGCCTCTTAGGATCGCTACACCCGCACTTCAGCTCAAAATGTCGGTAGCCGCCCCATCAAAGTCGCAGATCTTGAATCTGTACCGCCGATACTTGAGGACATCGCAGTCATTTGTAAGTTTTCGTTCTCAACCGACTGCTCTTCACGCTGCAGTTCCACTAACTATCTCTCATCTCTTTTCACTGGCAGTCGTCGTACAACTTCCGCACATACTTCCTGCGTCGGTCGCGCGACATGTTCCGATCGACGCTTCTGCCCGCCTCGCAAGCGGCGCAATCATCTCCCTTCTCCAAGCAGGGTTCGACCACCACGCCCGTTTCGCCCTCGACGTTGCTCTCACCGGAAACGATTCGTCAGCCAGGGGGCTCGGATGAGTCCATCTCTGCAGCATCGCTCACAGACACGGAAAAGCTGTCCAAGTTCTACCAGACCGCACTCGAGGATCTCAAGGTGCTCCAAAGATCGGCGCTCATGAACCGCATGTACGAGGGCGAGAAGCTGGTGGTGGAGAAGCCGAGGTTGATCGTGGGAGGCGGTGGTGCCGGTGCAGAGGCGAGTGTGGGTGGTGGTGGTCAGCCTGTGGCAGGACCCCAGAGCAGCGGTGGCGCGCCTCCCAGTGGTTAGTTGTGGTGTACTTTACGCTCTCAGAATCATGACTTTACGGAATACGATCGCCCGAGACGCTGTGCGAACTGATTTGCGTCGCGAACTGGTTCACAGACAGGACAACCATGTACAAAAAGAGGCGAGAGTACGGCATAGATGGCCGTTTGAATGTGTCCTTGGCATGAGAGGAAGTGTGGGATTACAATACAGAAGTGGAAGCTTGTGAGCCTTTTTGAGTGTGTGCAATGGCGGATGCTTGTCTTGTAATAGTGGACTGATGCAGACCCTTGTGTCGACGCTTCTTCGTCGTAAGAGTCTGAGCGCAGCTGCCATCTTTCAATAGTAGTAACCTCGACCACGGCCACGACCGCGTCCACGGAACGGACGGCCACGCCCGCGACCTCGACCGCGCCCTCGTGCTGCCATGCCCGGCATATTCGTGCGTTTGGCGGTGACCTTGATCAGTCGGCCGCGGAACAGGGATTCGTTGAGCACCATGGCGTTGGCGACCAGCGATGGGTCTGCGAACTCGACATATGCGAATCTGCATCCAGAAAGCAAGAGACACAGCAGAACAAGAATGAGAGTCAGCCATCGCCATCTATACGAATCGGAGTAGAAGCACGCGCCAGACGTACCCTTTTGGATGCCCAGTAAACTTGTCGCAGAGGATCGTGACTCGATTGATGGTGCCACAGCTCTGGAAGTGTTGCTGCACCTCTTCTGGCGTCGCACCGTAGTCGACGTTGCCAACGTAGATGCTCCTCGAGTCGACCTCTTCGCGCTCCTCCTCGGTGGGATGGAGGCCTGCGCCACCCGCCTCGCCCGCCGCCTGCTGCAGCTCGCGAAGCTTGGCCGCTTCCGCCTCCATCTCCGCTACTCTCTGTTTCATCGCCTCGATCTCAGCGTCCTCGTCGGTCATGGCTGTGCCATCAGCGCCTGATGCGCCAGTGTCATTTGCTGGTGCATCTGCCTCGACGTTGCGTGTGTGATGGAGGTCGCTGGTGCCAGGCTCCGAGAGCGAGACTTCTTCGTGTGATGCCATCTTGCGGATGTCTGTGTCGTTCCTTCAGGGTGCGTCGTGAACAGCCGTCGAGCTTCTGGGTATGACTGAGCCGATCGAGAGCGAGTATCGACTGCAAGCGGATGCTGTGGATGGGCAAGAATGATGAGTGAGAGGAGAAGCAAGCTCAGTCGAAGGTGGAGAGTGTGCCAACCTCACTTTTCGCAGGTCGAGGCCGCAATTCCCGTTTTCCGCCCATTTGGCGCTGGGGCGCGTCACGTGATGCTGCTTCGAAGGGGTCTCCATCCCGTCCACTTGTGTCTGTCCCTCCTTCAATCACCATTCATCTACCTCTGCCGACCTGTCCGCGTCTGCAACCGGCGACGAACAAACCCGTACGCTCAGACGTATTATAGTGTTGCCAAAGACGACCTCTCCAATTCATGCTTTAGCCGACCACGAAGCTCGGGACGTGAACGACCATCTTCCATCGCACCACCCAATGCAGTAAACGACAACGATCTCGCAGGGTGACACTACCACCTCTGCTACCTTCTCAGGTCGGAGAACGTCCGGATCGACCGCCTTACCGCAGCCGTCTGGGTGGTCGTCGAGATGGTGACAAGATCCAAGCCGACGGCGGCGGCCTACTCCGCATCGCACATGTCGGTAGCCATACTGGCTCTCTTGTCGTCAGCAGGCTTCTCGAGGTCCTCAGCTGGCGCGGCGGATCTCCTCTCAGAGGTGATGCAACGCTATATCCAGCTCATCGGCTCCTCCTGCGTTCAGCACGCCAACCACGCCGGTCGCACCATCGTCTCACCGCAGGACCTTCGTGCGTCCTTGGAACACATCCTGGGAGGAGAGCCAATCGATGAAGTGCTGGACTGGGCGGAGGAAGAAGGAAGGCTCGATACCCAGGAGCATCACACACAGCTATCGGCAACTCAAGCCAATGGCGTGAACGGAACCCATCCGCAAGCGTCGACCAGCGCACTACCCGCAGCATTGCAGGATCCCATGCGCGGCAAGGATCTTCTTCGCGTCCTCAACACGGGACGCGTTCCTCCCTCGCCATCCGACCTTGAAGAGGTTCACTTCACATCAATACCGGCCAAAGACTTCGAACAGGCAGCAGCAGAAGGGGTACTCCGGGATCATCTCGCCAGACGGCTCGTTTGGCCCTCTCCGTCGGATGCAATGCCGGATGCATCCGGGCTCGCATCCGGATCACGAGGAGGCGGGACTTCATCGACATTCGGCGAGTCATCTACACAGGGATCCAGCTTCACGGCAGACGCCGAGTCGCTGCTCTTGTCCGACCTTGATGATGACAACGAGGGCGAATCGCCTTCATCGCCCCACGGCAGCAATGGCGACGTCTCACATCAGGCTCTACAGCAACCAAGGAAGCGCAGGCGGCTGGACGCCGAAGAGACTGTACCTGCCAGACGCTTCGGTGAAGCCGTCATTGACTACGTACCGGCGTATCTTCCTGTCTTCCCAGACATCGCTTCAAGCGCAGACGCAGCAGCCGCGCCTTTGCAAAACGGCGCGGACCTCGAATCACTCAAAGCAGAAGAGGATGACGGAACCCGCGTCAAGCTAGAGCCCGTGGAGGTTGATCCGGAGTACATCCTGGAAGAACAACGGCGCAGGGAGCTCGCGCAAAGGAAGGCAGACGAAGCGGCGGCCGAGGCAGCGGCAGCAGCAGCCGAAGCGGCCAAAGGAGAAAACGCAAATGGCGATGGCCCCGAGGCAGAAGCACCTGCCGTTCAAAAGACCGCAGAAGAACGGGCAGCGGAAGCAGAAAAGGCGTTCGAAGCGCTGCAAGCACGCAGAGTCCTGCGCGACAGCTGGAGAGAGAGCGTGGCCTACGATGCATCGACGCTGGCAGCAACGTACGCCAAGGACGAGCTGCGCGACTTGGAACAAAACGTCAATGAGGTGCTCAGCGACGCATCCATCGCCTCCATTGCTCCAGCGACATCGTCACTTCGTGCATTTGCAGCCGACTACCAGGCCCTCGTGGAGGACCCTACATCGAGCAGTTCAGCCGGCATCTTCCTCACACCATCCGGACCAGCCCATCAGGATGCACTGACGAAGCGCAAACGACTAGCGCATGCTCTGGCGGACGCGTCGAGATACGCACCCAACGATAGTCTGTACGCCGCCGTAGCAGCACGACCTTCCGTCATCCCCTTCAACCCGGGACCCAGCTGGCTCGTGTCCACCCTCCCCCCGCCCACGCTGTACGAAGACAACATCGAAGTCGCCAACGCGCTCTCCGCGCCGGTCCTCACGCCGGTCCGCCCGCAGGGACGGCCAGCGGCGCTCATTCCGCCCTCTGGCTCCCTCGTCCCCACGCTCGGCCATCGTCATCCGTCGCACCTCACCACCGGCGCGCGTGTCGTCGCCAGTGCAGAACTCCTCAAGCGCATCTCGCGCTTCGACGATCCCATCCCGATCCTGGACGACAAGCACGCCGAGCGGTTCTTCCACGGTGTTCCAGCGTCACGCGATCTTCTTGGTGGTTCGGGCTCGAGCTCCGATCTCTCCTCCAACATCTCCTCCACGCGGTCCAGCGGCGGCGGCGGCTCCGGAAGTGGCAACTCGACCCTCCGCCCCGCCCTCGAGCGATTGGTCCTGCAGATGCGCGAGAAGGAAGCGGAGATCCTGCCCGAAGAAGACAAGGAAGAGCTGCAGAGACGCCAGCAGGAGTTGCAGCTGCAACTGCAGGCGGCGATGGCGTCCGAGAGCGCAGGTGGAAAGGGCGAGACGGTGCTTTCCACGGGTCTCATTGCGGATAGCTACGCGAGCAGGATTCGAAACGGCAACATTACGATGGTGCACACGTGGGATTGGACGCCCAGGGATCCGTTCGATACGGGATTGCCGGGGAAGAAGGTCAAGATGCCAGGGAGGAGAGGCGTGGGTCCGGTGGCGTTGGAGAAGCGGACGCGGACGGAGAGCGGGGATGGCGATGTGGGCGAGATAGGGGCGACGAATGGGCACAGCGGGTGACGGACCATCCACCTAGCACACAATCACACACACGTCTCAGCACATTTTGGTCACATAAGCAAGTGTCGCAGTGAGCGGTTGGATTGCTACGACGACTTGATAGAGAGATTGCGAACGACCGACCAAGAGCGATTGTGGAAGCCTCTCAGGTTCCACTGCGAGATCTTTTCCTGTTCGACGCCGGATGCCGTTACTGAGACCGAAACAAGAGGCAAGAGCATCGAGGCTGTCAGCATTACACATGTCGTCGTGCCGAAGCGAAACCAAGCGAAACCAAGGCGGAAAGTTACCACAACGAGCTATCAAAGCCCACTTCTTGTCCGAAGGTGGGACGGGCAGATCCAATTGCCATAGCGTCCAGGCCCAGCTCCATTTGCTGTCCGCTTTTCGCTGATCCGACTGTCCGTCTTGCGTTCGGATTGCGGCTTGCTTCCACTCCAGATCTGCCGCTAGCGAAGCGAGGACGTCCTCGGACGACTTTTCTTCCTCTGCCTCTGGCACGATAGCGACGAAGACCTGTGTAGCGGGAGACCCATCCTGCCCGACCGCATACCCTTTCACCTCAACCATCCCCTTCTCACCCACCTCGATCGTCTGCCCGTCCTTCCAAGGCATCGTAATCGAGCAGCTCGCCTCCAACCTCTGCAGCGGCCTCTCCTTCCTCAGCTCCTCCTTCCTGAACTCGGACCCATCCTTAGCTTTCTCCTTTAACTCCTTCTCCCCGTCCTCCGCGCCGCTTGGCACGAGCAGCTTGTAATCCTGTCTCATGGGCGGCGACTCGTTCTCTCGTGCACTGACGCGCACGCCATTCAGCCACTTGACCCACCTTGCACCCACATGGCCGGGGATGACAGCTCGTAGTGGGGCACCGTGGCGCTGTGTGAGCGGTGTTCCGTTGTACTCGTACGCCAGCAGGCAGTGCTGATTCGGATGCAGCGCGGTGGGCAGGGGGATGGAGGCGGCGAAGTACTCTTTGCGGGTGGGATCGTCGGATTCGGTGCTTTCCTGGGCGGAGAAGAGGTGCAGGTGGAGAGGTCGGGCCCACTCGGCGCAGTCGGAAAGGGAGGCTTCGGCCGAGGGTTCGAGCTGGGTCAGGTCCGAGTGGTGGGAAAAGGGATCCGGGACGCCAGCGCGCAGCAGAACCGAGCGCAGGGAGGCACCACCCCAGACGACGTTGGCGATCACCGCGTTGCCCCATTGAATGCCTTCTGCTGGCTGATGCGAGGAGGCGAGCTCCGCTCGGCGGTTGCCGGCGCATTCGAGCGTCGCAGTCACCTCGACCAAGTCATGCTCTTTCTTTAGCGAGTCCAGCGGCAGAGACTGCGATGATAGGTGCAAGTCCTTCAAGCGCTCGTCGTCCTCGATCGAGATGCCTATCGACCAGTTGGTGTCGTTCGATTCTGGGGCATCCGCTTTGATGACAGAATCATGGTTGCGATTGAAGACGAGATCGTTCGGGGTAACGAACGAGGTTGCCAGCTCTTTGGAGTAGGGCTCCGTGTTGAGAGGCTGTCGACGAGTGCGGTCTTTTGTCAGTCCGCCATCGCTGTCGTCTACGAGCTCATTTCGCCGAACTCACACTCTCTTGCCGCACGAGCTGAGACATATCGCTTGATCGTCGAGGGCCGTCCGGTGTTGCTAGTCGCTCGTTGCTCATGGATAGAGGTGTCTCGAGTCGACGCCTTGGCTTGCATATCTGCACGTCAAGCGCTGCTGCATGATCTGTTCTCATCTGGACGATCTGGACGGTGGAGGCTGACTAAGCGTTAACAGGCAGACGTCAAGTTGAGGCTCTAACATCTCGGCTGTGTCCGAAAGTCGCCGGCTGTGGTTATGTAATGCGCTGGCTCGCTTGTTTCGAATTGCTTCCTAAAATTAAAGCTGCACCGCCAGTCTGGCCAATGCCGAGCGAAAGTCAGCCCACTCGCTTTTGTAAATTCCGAGGCAGCAGATGGCAACGAGCGTCCGTCCAACACACACAGGCAGGCACACAGGCACGACAGCCACCGAGGCAAGCATGACGGTGGAAGCGCGTGAGTGAGTCCTAAATTTGGGCCAAACATTCTCAAGCCGAGCTTCGGTCTATGATGCGCCAATCACCATCACACCTCGCGCTAACAACCGTTTCGACCTTACCACCATCACGAGCATCATCTACCACACATATACCCAACCCTCACCCATACGCATCGCATTCAACACTAATTAGCATCATACCAACACGATAATCATCCACTACTAGGCTCTTACCCCGACCGAGCTGGTCCATCACGCACCTCATCTGCAGCACCTCACGCATCACCAACACATCAGCACCACCCATCATGCCGACTGCTACCTCCTCGAAGCACGACATTGTCGTGGTCGGCGCAGGCATCGTTGGCTCCGCGCTCGCCTACTCGCTCGGCAAGTCGGGTCGCAAAGTGGCCCTTCTCGAGCGTGACTTTGACGAGCCGGACCGCATTGTCGGCGAGCTCCTGCAGCCCGGCGGTGTGCGCGCCCTCTCCAAGATGGGCATCGTCGACACGCTCGACGATATCGACGCTGTACCCGTCGAAGGCTACCACGTCTTCTACGGTCCTCGCTCCGTACCCATCCCTTATCCGCAGGAGAAGTCGGACGACGCCGGCAGGGGCATCGCCAGCAGCAGCGGCAAGGTCGAAGGTCGCAGTTTCCACCACGGCAAGTTTGTTCAGTCATTACGCAAGAAGGCGCTCGCGCAGAAGAACGTCACGCCGTACGAAGCGACCGTGCGCGACCTGATCAAGGACACTGCCGGCAAAGTCGTTGGCATCAGCGCCACATGGAAGAAGGCACCCGAGGGCGAGGCCGAAGCCTTCGAGCTCCGCGCCCCACTCACCATCGTCGCCGACGGCTGTTTCTCGAAGTTTCGTCGCACCCATGGCAGCTCGATTCAGCCCATGGTGCGATCCAACTTTGTCGGTCTCGAACTCGAAGATGCGCCTCTGCCCGCACCGCACCACGGTCACGTCGTGCTGTCCAAGAACGGACCAGTGCTGCTCTATCAGATCGGCACGCACTCGACGCGCATCCTCATCGACGTCGCTGGCGAGAAGTTGCCGTCCGTTGCCAAGGGCGACCTGCAGAAGCACGTCAACGAGAACGTCATCCCTCAGCTGCCCGAGCAGCTGCGCGAGTGCGTCGCACGCGAGATGGCCAAGGGCCAACGATTGCGTAGCATGCCCAACTCTTTCTTGCCGCCGAGCATGCAGGGGCAGTCCGACCAGGCGCAGGGCGTGATTGTGGTGGGCGACGCGATGAACATGCGTCACCCGCTGACGGGCGGTGGAATGACGGTTGGGCTGTGGGACGCTGTGCACCTTACGGAAGCCTTGGGTGGGTCGGAGTGGGCGCCCCTCTCCGCGGCTGGATTGCGAACACCCCTGGATCTCAACAACTGGTCCGCCATTCGACCCGCACTGCGATCCTGGCATTGGAGTCGAAAGGGCCTTGCGTCGGTGATCAACATCCTCGCCCAGGCGCTGTACAGCCTGTTCGGCGCCGACGACGCCAATCTGGAAGTGCTGCGCGAAGGCTGCTTCAAGTACTTTGAGATGGGCGGCGAGTGCGTCAACGGTCCTGTGTCGTTGCTGTCCGGTTTGGCACCGAGACCGATGTTGTTGGTGGGCCATTTCTTTGCTGTTGCGCTGTATAGCATTTGGGCACTGTTCATGCACCCCAAGTGGTACGAAAGCGAACAGAGGAGTCGGAAGCCAGGGGTGCTGGAGTACCCAGGGTTGGTGTGGAGGTCGGTGATGGTGTTTTATACCGCTTGTGTGGTGTTGTTGCCAGTGGTGTTTACGGAGATGAAGAGCAATATTCCGCGTCTCACGGCAGCGACATCGACGAGAAAGGGCAAGGGGTCACATGGTGGGTTTGTCACGGACAACTTTGCGCTGGTCAGCGCATCGTTGTTGTTGATCGGCACGGTGATGCTGTGGGGCAACACGAGGGACCCGGCTACGGCGAGGACGTTGAGTAGTTGGATGGTCTTTCCCAAAGTAGCTGCCCAGCCGATTTGATGTGTTGTATACCCGCCGTCGACTCCGCTTATGTTTTTGTTTGCGTAGATGGTTCATACGCTTAACGCCTCTCCTAATCTCAGTGTTATCGCTTCACATCGTCTGACTGCTCTCATCGCGTCGCTTGTGATGTTCGTGATGTTTGGCCTGGTGTCATTGAGAAAGCGCTATGGGTTGACACGGGCCATCTTCTTATCGTGCCCTCGCTGACGAGCCTTGTTGCCTGCCTTTTCCTTCTGCTTGGCGGACCGATCGGTGCCCGAGTTGCCGGTGCCTCTTCCGCGAGTTGCGTTCTTGGACTGGCCGCTGCCGGATCCACCTCCTCCACTGGCACTGCCGCCACGACCGCCACCTCCTCTTCCGCCGCGACTCGCGCCACGCAAGATCCGACCACCGCGCCCGCGATCCGGGCCCCACTGTCTCTGCTGCGATCCGTCATCGTCGTCCTCTGCCTCGCTGACGTTGCGCGAAATGCGAGAGGCGAGCTGGTCATCCAGCGCCGACTGCGATGCTGCCGCCAACAGACGGTCCTTCCTCGGATTGCGATCGAGCATCACCGCCCACGACTCGATCAGATCATCACTCATGCCGGCCTCCTGCTTCAGTCGCTGCCTCCCATCGCTACGCCTGGTGCTGGCATCCGCAGAGAATGCGCTAGACCCATGCTGGACGTAGTGCCGCAGCAGCACGCGCTCGCGCATCCTCGCTTCCTCCTCCTCATCGTCTTCCTCGTCGTCATCCGTCGTCCGACGCGGCGCGGTTCTTTCGCGTCCATCATTGTCAAGATCCAACTCGTCCTCCACACCCACCGTCCGCGCTGGCGCAAAGGGGTTCCATTCCTCTCCCGCTTCTTCTTCGTCCGCAGCCTCGGCGCGGGCGATGATGGCCGCTTTGAGCTCCGGCGCAAGCTCATCCACTTTGCCGCTGCGAGCGAGCTTCGGCTGGACGATGGTCGACGGGTCAAAGGCAAAGTCGCCAAAGAGGTTGGCGCGCGATTTGACGAGGGATGGTGCTGCTGATGACGAATGCGGGGCTGGTGAGGGTAGTGCGATGGGTGCTGGTTGTTGAGACGGTGCGGCAGGTGTTGGCGGTGCCGCCGCATGAGGCTGAGCGATTGTGGAGGACGACGGATCCGATTCACCTTCGTCACCTTCGAGAAGTCGCTGAATGACGAGTTCTGCGTTTTGGCCGGCGAACGACGGCCGAGAGAGGATGACTCTCAAACGGTCCATACCGTAGTGCGGCAGGATCGAATCGACGGACGCCAGCACATCCTCTGAGATGGATGAGGCGGCAGGCTCCTGGATCTCTTTCGCCGGGCTTGGCGCCTGCGATGCCACGTAGCGTTGCAAAGCATCCCAAGCTGCGCCGGTAAATTTGGGGACCAAGGTCGCAAGTGTGTCGACGGAAGCGATTGTTCCGTTGTTGTGTCCCTTTTTGCTGGTGACGCTGGACGACAGTTCCGACCGCAATGACGGCCACGACTCCGAGGTCGCAGCAAGATCGAGCAGGACCGTCGAGTTGAGCAATGTCGAAAACCCACCCTTCTTCAGCAGCATCTCGGTATCGGCAAGACTCTCCCGTGATGCGTCGACCAGCTTGGATGAGCCCCTCAGGTATTCGAGCAGGATCGACACGAGCTGCAGCAGATCCACGCGGCATGTGAGCCAGTGAAGCTGCCACTCTTGTGCTTCCAAATTGAGCGAGTCTGGCTCCGACAAGATTGTTGTTCCGTCGCGACTGAGGGTCCTGGCGACTTGCGGGAGAATTTTGTCGTAGATCTGTACGCAGGTGCGAGCCCATGGTTGGAGGAGAGCGACATTGCCTTTGAGGAGTCGGGCCGGGCAGACCCTGAGGAAGGCGGAGGAAAGACGTGCGAGCGTACGGATGACGGACGGTAGAGTTGCGGCATCCTGCTGATCTTGGGTCGAGACGAGGCCGCTAAACTGAGCTGAAAGACCACTGACAATCTCCTTGACACTGGTAGCATCAAGAAGGCGCTCGAGGATGGCTGCGACGGCCGCCGTTGTGTCGGCAGGAGCCGCGACCGCGAGATCCACCAGAGAGCCTTGCGTGGGGACAAATTTCCTCGCCAGAGACGGATCGCCTCGCTCGATCAGGCGTGCAAGGATGTCGACATGACTTTTGCCGAGCTGTTGCTCGTTGACATTCGGTAGCGGGCTCGATGCGGCCTCGACAGCGAGTTGATGCAGCGAAGCAGCAAAAACACGAGCTACGTCCGGCTTTTGAAGGGTAAAGCGGACAAGGTCGGAGGTGGAGAGCCGGGCCAAGGAGTGTACGAGATGATGGCTATCCTGTGCTGGACCGAGCGCGTTGTCGGCCGCCATCTTTCAGCCAGCCTGCTCCTTACGCACGTTTCCTTCGCCGTCTCTCGATGCTATGAAAGCGGTGTGAGGATCACTGCGATGCTCCTAGGAGGTCCGTGACTTGAGCTTGGTTTGCGGACTCTGCGCTTGTGGGTTGGTGGTGTTGAATAGAAAGGCTGAGCCGAGTCGATGCGCTTTCTTCTTAAAATCACACCTGCGCCTTGTGGAGGGAAATTTCGTGGTCCGACTCTCTCATGTTACATCACAAGTCGCATCGCAATCCTTTTCGATAGCTTGCGCTCTCATGAGAGGGAACACATGGCTCGTTCTGGCACTCGAGAAGCCCTTGACGTGTACAGGCGACTACCTCCTGTCTCGATCCCACCTGGAGAGAAGAGAAGGAGGTCCAGTGGTGAGAAGACAAGCATCGATGTTGCTGAATATTCCGTCCGCCGCAAGCGCATCCAGAGGCCTGCTTGATCGTGTGGATCGGGAGGGCTCGAGAGCCTTTTTCCGATTTCTGAGGTGTTGGTCTCGCCAAAAAGTTGACTCTCTTCCTGGTCCGTGCCTGCACCCTTTCTTCCTCATCATCCGTACCATCGGCATCGAGCAACACTACAGGCAGCGGCAGCGTAGCCACATCGAGCAGCACGACCATCATCAGGATCCCATTGTCAGCAAGCAGAGTCACCCATAGCGACGTCGTATCATTGCGAACGCGAGCCTCGATCGACAGCATTTTGGTGTTGAGCACCGTCTCGCTCAACGGCATCCCAACAGCAGCATCAGGTAGGATCTGAGCATCATCGCATCGACAAAAAGAGGAGATACACCACTATGACGGCGGCAGCATCCACCTCCGCTCTCGAGCTGACCACGCTTACGCTCGACCATATCGTCTCTGACCTCGAATCCCTCCCCTCCAACCACGGCCTCTTCTCTCTCGCATCGACGTCCACACAGCCTCCGTCCGGTGTACCACAAGACCGTCACGACCTGTTACGATCTTTCGAATCCGGCACAGCCCCTTCCAGCCGTGCACAGTACGTCGAGCTATCGCACTCGCTCATTGCGGCGCACCGCACGGCGCAGCGACTCAACAGCGAGCGCGTCTCGGCATCCGACGTCGGTCTCGTCCTGCCCTCGGACCGATCATCGAATGCAGGTGACAAAGCGACGCGGACCGACCTGCTGCATGCCAAGGTGGCGAGTCTGCAGACGCAGGTGGATGCGTGGGACGGAGCGCTCCAGCAGGCGGTTGCGACGATCGAATCGGGCACCACAGACGGGATCGAATCGATACCAGATCCGACCGAGCCGGCAGGCGGTTCCGTTCCGAACGAGTCATCGGACGCCGCGAACGAGGAGCTGGACGATCCATGGGCCGACCCCTAGCCAATGTATCTTACGGTAATCCATCACCCAGAATGTTTGTCAAGGTGAGATCGGTGGCGCGCGCGCGATTCGTTGGTACGCTAGATTGCGCGAGGGCGGAGTGGTGGAAAGCAGATTCATGCGATGAGCACGCGACCTCGCGCTCCCCCTCCAGGAGTTTGTCATCGGCTCGGCGAGGCGATTCGACGCGTGGAAGAGCTCCCCAAGCAACCGGCACGAGTGGTGATGGCGGAGATCGAATCCCACTGACCCTCACGCCATCGTGGGCCATCGCATGAGACGCGCACCTGGATCGTACGCTGCATTTTGCAAACCATGCCACAAATACACCCTCGGCGATGGGGGATAAGCGAGATGCGCACGCCACTTTGATGGATGGATCGGGAGCGGGTGTAAGCGAGATTCTTGGGAGGGAGAGCCTCGGCGAGGTTGAAGTGTGAGGGTAAACGCGTAGATTAGCCGCCGCGAGGAGTGGTAGACGCGCCAAGGGTTCTATATTGGCATGCCGAGCAACTGGCACCAGTGCCAAGACGCGGCACGGGGTCTGCTGGCTGTCGTTTGTCCAGCCAGCTAGAGTGGATCGTAAACCCGGAGCAGCGGCTCACCGTACCCAACTTCCTAGGTCGTGTGCAGGGGGGTGAGAATTGACCGACGTGAGCGCTCGCTCCGATCCCATGGGATGCCACGTCATCCGACCCTACTTTTGCGAGAGCCCATTCAGCAGGGACAATGGATCGACTGCGATACGATCAGGCGACTCCTGATCCCGAACAGGTGACTGTCGCTGCACAATGGACGGGGTCGTTGCACCCTGAGCGTTCTGGGCCTGACACTGTTGCGACTGGCATCACTTTCTCAACCTGACATGCCCTTCTAGGCGACGCGAGAGGTGGCGAGGTTCGAGCAGCTGTCGCTATCGCATGGCGTCTCCCGCCACAGACGCAGCCTGTTCGGTGTGGCGAGACCGCTGCGTCTCCACTGTGGCACACACGCATGCCGATGCCAGATCCAGCTGGGGCGCGCCACTGCGGGCTGTGTGGCGGTGCGGATGTATGAGGTGAAACAGTCCCCCAGCCCCGCCATCTTAGCGCCCGAACGCGACGCAAAAAGACAAAAATGCAGGGTCTCTCGATTTTCATCCCCAGCTCGCAGCGCAGGCGAGCCCTTTCTGTCCCTTCCCGCCCGAGGAGGCGCGGTGGCGACGCGAGATGCCGTACAATGCCAGTGGTGGCTTTTGTTGTTCCGTATGCGAGGCAATATCAATGGGCCACGGCGAGGAACTTCGGCTGTTGGAGTTGCTATTCATCGTTATTGGCACTCAATGTAGTTCCCGACGAGAGCATGAAGAGCTTCCCACGATATCCGCTTTGTCTTCAACAGCGGGCCTTACCGACAACTGCAACGCAGTCATGTGTCCTGTCAAACGGCTGATCCGTGGACCGCGATTTCCTCGGGTCGGACCCAAGGGTGACCGTGTGCCTGAGGGACGCCTTACCCACACGCGACTGTGTTGCGGTTGTTGCCGTCTTTGTCGGACGCTCGTGGCCTGAAATTCCGACAGCCGCCCCTACTCAGAGGGACGCCACACGAGAACGAAGCAACCGCGGTCGCTTGACACATGTCCTTCCCGTCCGCCTTGCGCGCCTCCTATTCTTGCGTCTCCTGACCCCCTCAGCAGGTCGCAACTCAGCCAAACCCAGAAACGCTCTATCATAAACTGTGCTATGTAACAATGACAATGCGATTGGTGTGCAAACTGAAGAACAAAAATACAAAAAAGTGGGGGGCCAACAAGTGCGAGTGTGTGTTCCAGAAGGGTGACGGTCTATATTGTGTGCGAGATGGTATCCATGTTGTACGGTGATCAGTGACGTTCGGTGTATCGTGCGGCTTGAGCGACGTAGTGCTGAGCGGCGACGAGCGAGGCGTGGGAGCGGTAGGAGGGGATGGCGGAGGGGGCAGCGGCGCCGCCGCGGCGGCTGGGCACGCTGCCAAATTGGTCGCGTGCAGCGGCCCAGCCGGCAATGGCGGGAGAAGAGTCTTTGGAAGGAATGATGCCTGCATCATCCTCTTGTGGGGTTTGCGCCCAACAGCTCTGCAGCCAGCGTGCAGGCAGGGCACGGGAGGCCGTCTTGCCTTCGATGGCCATGATGGTCTCGTCGGCGTCGGCACCGTCAGCAAACAGCGCCGCCGCCGCTGCCTTGATGGGAGCACGTCGACTGGCGGGGGTAGGCGAGCCGCCGTCCACACCGTTGATTCTGAACAGTGCGTCCTCCTCAACGCTGTGTGAGACAAATTGAGGAGTGGGTGGCAGACCCGTGTACGAGGCTGAGCTGCGACGAGACTCGCCGCTACCACTGCGGCTGGAGCAGTCGTCCAGAGATCCCTCACGATCGTCCATGGCGGCGGAGCTGTGGGTGGACCGCAAGGGTGACGACGCGACAGCGGTGGTAGTGTCGGCGGGCTGCTGCTGGTGTCGGTGAACGTCGCTCATGCTGGTGAGGTTCGAGGCGACTCGTTGAGCATCGACGGGCTTGGTGATGGGGTGCTGCGACCAGTCGATGTCATTCTCGGTGGGCGAGAAGGAGCCGGCGCCGCCCTCGCCACTGCTGCTACTCTCCTGAAGCTCCTCCGCCTCCGAGTCCGAAGAGTAGCTGTCGTAGCAAGACGAAGTGTGGTTGGCGTAGACGATGGGCTGGGTCGCGACGATCTGGTCGAGCGTGGCCACCTGAGGTTGGTAGGCAGCGCGAGCACATTCTGGCTTGCGAGCGGCAACGACGTGGTGACGGATGACCTGGGTTGTAGGAGCGGTGGCGGCAGCAGCGGCAGCACGGGCAGCCTCGAGGGCCGACTGCTGCTGCTTGCGTTGCTGGTAAGCGGCGGCGGCGGCAGCAGCTTCCTTCTCGGCTTGGCGGGCGGCGTGAGCTTCGGCGGCGGCCTGGCGAGCGACCTGCTGGCGGTGCTTGATCTCGGCAGAGGTGGCGGTGAGCCTGTCGACGCTGCGGACCATCTTTCTCAAGTCGGCGATGGTGCAACGAGCCTCGGCGCGGAAGGTGAAGACGCGCTTGAGGATCGAGTTGACGCCTTCCGAGATGGGAAGGATCTCTTTGAGAAAGTCGGGGTTGCGCAGGTACTCGCGGAAGGTGTCGTCGGCGGGGCAAGCCTGCTTCCATGGGTTGCGACCGCAGATGAGGTTGACGAGGATGACACCCAAGGACCACACATCATTGGCGGCGGTGCTGTAGCTGGTGAGGCGGCGGGTGATGCCACCTTGGCACTCTGGACCCATGTAGAAGGTGCTGCCACAACCGAAGTCGGAGCTGGTCTTGTCGCCGGTGGCCAGACCAAAGTCGGCGAGCACCACCTTGGCGCCTCCTCGTAGGCAGAGGATGTTCTCTGGCTTGAGGTCGCGGTGGTAGATGCCCATGGAATGGCAAAAGTCGACGGCGTCGAGGATCTGGTCAAAGACGTCACGGATGAGGGTGTCCATCTTGAGGCGTTCCGAGGTGAAGGCGACGTCGATGCCTTGCTCTTCGGCGGCGCGCGTGACGGAGCTGGGGAGCATGTAGCGCTGGGTTTCGGTGATCATGCTGAAGAGGTCGCCATCGGGGCAGTAGTCGAGGACGACGTAGACGCAAGGGTCCTGCGGGTCGTCAATGACACGGTGGAGGGTAACGACGTTGGGATGACTGGAGGCCATGGTGTGGAGCATGATTTCACGACGCTGGAAGGCACGCTGACGAGCATCGAGACCGACCTTGTTGAGGCACTTTACGGCATAGTAGCCGGAAGCGTGGCCCTGTTTGGCGGCGGCGAGCGAGGCAGCTGCTGAGTGGTTGGAGGTGGAGGCGTAAGCGCCGTGGTGGTGGTGGAGGTCGCGGGCGAGGTAGACGACGCCGTACGCGCCGAGGCCGAGGACCTGGACGAGCTCCAAACGACCATCGGCGATGCGATGGCCGAGGAGGTTCTTGTGTTGTTGATTTGCGCTGGTGGACGACATTGTGGCGGCGGCGGAGAAGTGTTCGCGTGACTCGAGTGAGCAGTCAGCGGCGCCAAGTGGAAAAGAGAAAAGAGAGCGCTCAAGAGAAGCTAGCGATGAGAGGTAGATGATGCGAGCTGGGCTATCTCATGAGCTGGCGAGTGTGTCAAGTGCAACGAGGAGCTGAGCTGAAAGGCGAGTTCGAGTCGGCAAGAGAGTGTGATGAGTGAATGCGAGCTGTGGTCGACACGAGGCTGCGATGGTAGTGGTGATGAGGACAAGACGACGAGATGTTGAAGTTGATGATGATGATGATGAAGGTGCGATGAAAAGCAATCGAACGTCGACGAGGCAGAGAGAAGAAGGTATAGGATGAGGTCGAGAGACAAGATGGATGGGCTTGGCGAGGATGGTGATGGCCAAGGGATGTCAATTATGAAGCTGGTCGCATGGAGAGAGTGAGAAAGAGAGGGACGACAGCCATGACCCAGCTGTAGCGAACGAGAGACAGGAGGAGGGGGAGGAGGAGGAGTGCACAGCGACGCCGAAAGTGGCAGCCCGCCAAAAAAGTCAGCCCAGCAGCAGCAGCGGCTGCAGTTGGCGGATGGGCAGGCAGGCAGGCAGGCAGGCAGGCAGGCAGGCACGAGTAAGCCAAAAGGCCAAGTCCGGATGCGCAGTGACTGACAGACACACCCAGGCGTACTTGTGCATTGCATGCATCCAGAGCCAGAGCCAGCCACTCGTCCGTCCGCCTTTTGCTGGGCCTGAATTGAGAAAGGAAAGTGAGCGAAAAGAGAGAAAAAGGGGAGGGGCGTGGGACCAGTCGAGCCAGACAATGATGGGCCAAGAGAAGCGACACCAGCAGCAGCAGAAGCAGCATGCGGAAAGGCCTTAGGCGGAATGTGCAGAGCGTGCCGTCTTGATCGAGACCGACTCATCCCATGAATAATCCGAAAGCCTCTGGCGAACTGCAGGAACTTGGCGCCTAAGGAAGCCGCTAAAATTTACAAATAAATCGGTTGTCTGCAAAAGCGTTTTTGGATGACGACTGTTCACATGCCTTGTGATGCTAACGGTTTTGGCCAAGAACAATTGATAAATTAATCATCAGGTGCCTCGAGATGCCATACAAGAAATCCAATTTGAAAAAGAATGCGCACCCCCGGAAGCAGCTGGCAGGACTGCGCCATGGAAGCCTGCTGCTGTGTCAGAGAGAGAGCCACCATGAATCCCAGGCTATCATCGGGCGATTCTCGCGACCTTCTGTCACTTCAAGGGCGGTGCATCAGCAGCACCAGCTCCCGCATCATCACACCGTCACGCTCGCTCGGTCATGACCTCTGCTACAGCGGAGTAACAAGCACACTTTGCCCTGCGCACAATCCTCTGTACTGGGGAGCAGCCACTCGCGGCACAGCAAAGGTTTGAACAAGGGTCGCGGCCGCTGCCGCCGCGATCGAAAACGCGACACACCATCATTGTCCTTCTCGCTATCTATTCTCGAAGCTTCTTTGTCGATCCCGGCGTCGACCAGATTGTCCGTGCGAGCTCAGTCCCCTTTGTACCATTTACCGCGATGAGGGAGGCGTGGGAAGGCCTTGTTACTGTCGCTTCTGATCGCTTGGCCGTTGTCGACAACGACCCGGAACTCTCTTTGAATTCCGGCCTCGAGCGGGCAGAGCGCCTATGATGTCTCTGCCTCGGACTCGGCTAGCTCGACTTCGACCGACACCTGTGTGGAACAGTAGCAGAGCAGAGCGCAAGAGAGACACACCGCGGTTCGAAACGACCCACGCAACGCCCTCGAGCTCCAACCCCAAACTCCGCCTTCGTTGGCTGCTGGTTCTTCAAAATCTGCGACAGCCCCTTGCGTCTCCTGACACTGGCTGACGTGGGCGAGGCCCTCTCTTGACAAAAATAGCGAAAGGGGCTGGATCTGAATCAAACGGGGGCGATCGCTGCCAGCCACCATCACCACAACCCAGCACCGGTCTTTGAATCCAGTAGGGTCATGGGCTGTACTGCCACACATCACATCGGAACGTAAGCAGTTCTTCCCGCTTGCGTTTGCGTCTCACTTTCGGGCATGACAGTACCACCAAGGATGGCCGACGTCGATCTCTCCGGTTTCGGTGACCTTGCCCAGTTCCAACAGCATGCTACACGGCTCCCAGTGGATCCAGATTTGTTGATCGACAAGGTTTGGTCAACGCTCTGTACCATAGCATCATGGTGACGAACCCACCGCGCATGTCGATGCGGATGGAAGCTTCGTCGTTGCCGTTGGACGACCCGATTGATGTCAGCGACCGGGCCGGCTACCGCTCCCAAGGCTCCGTATTTAAATTTAGGCTCGCAGTCTAAGCGAACTCGTACTGCAGCTCTGATCTTCCTCGCAGATCGGAGTCCCAGCTGACCTGCAGCTCGCAGCCAGCCCTCTTTTCGCTCCCACTTGGGCTCCCCCCGCGCTGGTAAGTTCCATGCATGCAACATTATTACGCTACGCATGCGCCGCGCCCATCCGCAACAAGCTTGCCTGCTTGCATCGCATTGCATCGCCGCGCGCGCGCGGTACTGGTGAACTTGCATCCCATGAGCGCGTGGCACCCTGCGGCGCCCGCCATTTCCAATGCAGAAGCATGCGATCTAAGGTGATGGTGTATCAGTACTACCGCAAGGGTGAGCAAGGCATACTCACGGACCACGAGCTCGGAGTAGCGTTGGTCTTCTATCGACATCGTTAGCATATAGTCCAACACCCACCGGAACAACCAAACATGGTCCAGGGAGGTGTCAAGTTGGGAAGGCCAGCTGCACTTTACGCGGTAGCATACACGCGCGCGCGGGAACCGATGGACGCAGCACACCTTCCATTCGGCTTGTTGGCGAGACACGTTTGGACTCACTTTGCGCACCATCTCAGGCACCGACGAGTGTACAGCGCCATCGGCGAGCGAGATTCGATGGGCAGGACCAAGCGAACAAACGCAAACAGGCCCCGTGATGTCGCACAGCAACAATAGCGTGGGCACAAACCGAGAGCAGCACAATGACAGAGGTCTACGTCGGACATCGAACCCCAACCTCGCGTATTTTTTTGGCGATAGGCACTTGGGGCAGAGGCGCCGTCGCGTTAATTGCGATCGCGATGGCTCCGATCGTGGGCTCCGAGCTGGTCTGCTTTCGAACCCCGTTCCATCCGTTCAGTTAGATAGACATGGATCACCAGATTGAACAGCGCCCCGTCTCTTCAGGAATCCGAGAACGGGCGATACACAACTCGAGTGCTGCACGGCTCACAGCCATCTAGGGCGGACTCCAAGTCCACAGCCCGCATCCAACAGAGATCCATGCGGGCCTATGGACCCTCTCTCTGTGCAGGAAGCAAACAAATGGGAGAGTGCAGCAGCGGTACCTCTCTCTTGCCTTTCCTTCCGCCTGCCGCTGCCGCTCCGCTCTGCACACCTCGTGACCTATTTTTCCCCTTCGACGCTCGGTCAGCTGAGGGAATGCATCGGTCAACCATCCCTGCTTCAAAGTAGATCTCAGTTGAAGCATCCTGGCTGGTACTACCGTCGTCGCTTTCCGCACTCCGCACATCGATCCAATTTGCGGTGTCCGTCCCCTTGGACAGGGTCGCGGAAAAAGCCGTCGACAACTCAGGCGAAAGTCTCTTCTCACCGCTGCCCGCGTAACGCGACACAGACAACCATCAGCTCTCCGCGGCTCATGCGATGCTCGAGGACGTCGAGGTTGCCCATTCATGCGACCCGCCCTTTTGGTGACAACGCAAGCCGCCCAATCCCAACTCCGAGCTAGTCTGGGGCGGGTATCGGGCCGTCGACTTTGAGCGTCGCCAAGGCGGTGGATGCCCATCGTAGGCCGCCACAAGTCTCTTTCCAACACGGTCGGCGCAGGCTTCGATCGCCATCGTCGATGCACCCTGATTCACCCCGGCTGCCACGTTGGAGGCTGCTCGCTATCTTCTGACGTGCCGGATTCCAGGGTTGGACAAAGTGCGATCTGCATGGCCCGGCACCCTTCTTTTCAATGCCTCGCGGTGGGATGCGGGATGGCGTGCGTAGGTGGGCTTGCCACGTTGTGCCGATTCTTGAGTTGGGCATCATCGCGCGCATCGCAATGCCCCTTGCATTGCTTGCCGTCTGCTCCGAAGATCGTTATCCGCCTCGCTTAGAGTCTCCATGCTGATGGTTCCAGCCACGAAATTGCAGCGCTACCCGCTTCTCGGCTGTTGGGTAAGACGACAGATCCAGCTCCGTGGGCTTTCTTTGCCGCGCGGCGACGAGCGGCGCCTTCGTGCGTGACGCGGCGTAACATTTGTGGCTCGTCAATTTCGTCTCAGGCCTAACAGATCAAGTTCAAAATCACGCCCACGCCAGCTGTCCCGCCCAAGCCCCTTCCGAACGGACGTGCATCGGCTGCATGCTTGCAGGCGGGTGCCGCCATCCCGAACAGCCCGAACAAGCTGCACGCCATGCCAAGCGAACGAGGCTTCCACATGAACAGAGTCGAGACCTTTCTTCCAGCCCTCGTGGCGCGGAACAAAGTCGGGAGTGGCAGCTGGCCCGAGATGCCCGCTTGTCAACGAAGCCCTCGTGTCAAAGGCGGTGGCAGCACCCGGGAGCGGTGCGCACGGTGGAGACGCAGAGGTCTAGACACTGGCCCGCGAGCTCGGCGGTGGTGGTGGTGGAGGAGCGCATCCAGATACGAACGCTCGAAAGGCGGTCCCTCGAACTGAGAGGTGTCGACAGCGATCAGCCTTGTGCTTCAATGCCACCGGCACGGCTAATTCAACCGCAGACAGGACCGCACACAACACGCAACCTCGCTCAGGACGCTCACAGGCGATCAGGTGACCATGAGCCAGGCCCCCCCGCGTCGTCTGGTACAACGGGTCAACTGACAAGCACCTCGAACGAGATTCGGAGTTTTTGCAATCCTCAAATGGACGGGGTCGAGACCCACGTCGCGCTAACTGGCGGCTCGGAGGCCGAATCCGAGGCCCAGCAGATCCATCCCACCCCTAGAGAACATCTTGTTACAGGCCTCAGCTTGGTCGTCAGCGTCGGCCGCTCAAATGAACACTCCCAATCGCGAGAAAGAAAGTCGGTCGTACAAGTCATATGTCCATTGCAACATTGCATGCTTGCATTACAGCTCCCACCGCTGCTTCTGGGCCCACATCCTGCCCATCCACCGCGTGAACTCCGGTCCCACGCTCTCAGCCCATCGATCGGTCAGATCGTCATTGATGCACACGAACACCGGTCGATTCGAGTCGAATCTGCGCTGACTTTGAAGCCACGCGCCTGCCTCGCTCGAGTTCTTCTCCCGCTGCTCGAAGCGTTCCAGTGCCGAGGGCCGCTTCAGCGCGTGCTCGAGCTCACGCATCGTCTGCCGCGAACTGTACTGCGTCTCGAGCTGTTTGAACTGCAGAGGCGATTCGGCGATCGTGTAGGCGTACCGCTGGATGAGCTGGCTCGCGAACAGCCGGAGCGGCGTACCGTGACCGAAGCCGGAGTTGGCCAGGACGCAGGCGACGGTGAAGCAGGTCGGTTCGGGTGAGGATGCGGTGTCGGGCGAGGACGCGTTCCAGGTTGATGTGAGTGGGAGGTGTGGAACGCGGTTGAGATGCTGCGCGTTCGGATCCGTCTTGCCAGTGTAGACCCGGTCAGCGGTGGGAAGAAACGCGTTGAATCCGCGCTCACCACTCCGACCCACGAGGTGGTGGATGAGACAGTCACCACAAGCACCATCGACATAGGCAAACTGCTTGAACACCTCCTCCCACGCCACTTTGCCCTTCTGCAGTCCTGCAAACGGTCGAACGAGACATCGGTCCAGATCGAGCTCGCATGCAGGCCGCTCGAAGCGCCGGTTCCACCACACGTTGCTCGGATGGGCCGTCGGATCATCGACAAAGTTCGGCCAGCCAAAGTAGCTCTCTTCCCCACGACCGTTTTCGGGCTGCGGGCTGTGCACGTATCGGCGACGCATCGCGGCCGAGTCGCGTCGGTAGATGACTTTGCTCGAGATGTCACCTAGCGGATAGCCGTCTTGCGAGCTGAAGGCGTAGCGGCTTTTCAAGGGAACAGGCCAGCCAGTGCGGATGAGCGCAGCGTTGGCAGCGTCGTCTTTGAGCGTCGTGCGTTTTGGCAATCGGACGCTGACAGTGAGGTTTCGGTTTGACGCGGAGAAGGCGGTAGCGCTTTGCTTTGCGGTGAGACCCATCTGCGACAAAGCCCCTGCCAGCTCGTGCGCCGACCCTACCAAGCCATCGCCATCTTCGTCCAGCTTCAGCATGAAGAAACTCCACAGCAATGCTTCTCGATGACGCTCGATCATGTTGTAGTACGAGAGGAAATGCGTGACGATGTTGTCGCCGCCGTTGCGGAAGCGGTTGAGCGCCAGTTTGGCGTGTTCATGCGCCCAACTCATGCGTGCCTCGATCAGCAAGGACCGTGAGAAGCTCTTGTGGACGTGCTGGATGTACGGGCGTTTGCGTTTGCCGAAGCGCTGGTCCAGCAACCAGTTGGTGTGCCACAGTGCGGACCATTCGCCTGGTGTCGCGTCGGGCGAGTGCTTGCCTTGGACGACGAGGTTGTAGTCGAGACGCAGCACGGGTCCGTAGAGAGGCGAGCTGATGTCGCCCGTGCTCACGTCGTCGGTGATGAAGAAGTCGTCGTTCGAGTAGACGAAGGTGTCGTGCAGACCGGGATGATCGCCAAGCATCGCCTCGGCCGCCATCGAGTTGAATGTCGGCAGCGCGGCACGACGGTAGTCGTCGCGATGCTTGCGTTCGGCAGCGGTGAGTGGGTGAGTGACAAGCCAGTTGTCGGTGAAGGCGTTCCAGTCGTGGTGCAGGCGCACTTTGGGCGGAGCTGTGGAGGACGAGGTAGACACCGGCGACGAGAAGAGCCGAGTCAGGGATGCGGAGAAGGAGTGTGAGGATGACTTTATGTCGTCCGTGGCGGCTGCTTGGCCTGCGAGCACGTCCGCGTCGTCTGCGATCGAAAGCCACTGGGGAAGCTGGCCTTCGCGGATCTGGCCCTCGTCCGTGGTGAAGCGGTCGGTGCCAAGTCCCTGGACGCGGCGCAGTTGAGAGGGCAGTCCCAGGAACCCCTCGGCGAGTTTTTCCACCTTGAGATCGAACGCCGGCTTGGAGGAACGGCGGCCCAACTTCAGATCCGGCGATGATGACAGGCTTCGCTCCTTTTTGGGACCGTCTGACGCACGAGCACCGGGCTGAAGGTGGTAGGGCGCGGAAAAGTCGGGCGCGACAATGTGGATGGTGGAAAGGCCGTGCAGATGCTTGGCTGCGGATCGCATCGAGAAGCGCAGCTCTTCATGGTCGCGGAAACGGCTCTGAATGGATACTCCTGATCTGCGTGTCAACTTTGAAGCGGTATCCTGTTCGGCACCTTGCAACGTTCGGCGGGTGGGCGGCCTTGACACGTGTTGTGATGACGCGTCTCGGCTCGGTGACGAAGGGAAGAGATCGTCCTCGACATATTCCTGCCAGTGACCCACTGGACGATATCCATGCATCCATTTGGCGCTCGAATGACGCCAGTCAGATCCATTGACCCATGTGTAGAGAAGGTCGACGTTGGCTAGGTCGGGCTGCTTGCGAAAGAAGCCGTCCAGCTCTTTGCAGACGCTACCGTTGGCGACCCACGCTTCGATGCAAGCTTGCGTGTCGAACAGGTACTGCTGGGAGGGTATCGTGTCGAGCTGTCTTTTGTTGGGTGCTGATGGCGACGGTACGAGCGGTGCGACCGTCAGAGAGTCCTCGTGATGCAGATCGAAGGGCAGAATCTGACTAGGCTCCTCAGGATGCTCGGGTCGTAGCATCGCAGGCAGCTGAACTGAGGCATCCTGCAAAGAGTCTTCGTCGTGCAAAGAGGAGCAGAAGGAATCGGTCGCGCTGCAATGCGTTGCTGGTGGGGCTGCTTTGTGGATCTGACGTGTCCCGATGCCGAGCAAAAGTGCGGCGAGAAGAAGAACGCAGACGACCTTTTTGCCGTGTGCGATGCGACGCATGAGCGGCGGGACGTCGTCACTGGCAGCGAGCTTCTGGTAGCCGGAGCTACCCAGTAGCGTAGGGAGCTTGTTCCTGAGGCTGGGGAAATGGTTGGTGATGAAGTTGCCCGTCAGTGAATCTGACGACTCGCAGGAGTCAGACCAGCGTCGTTGGTCGCGGTGGAATGCATCGTCACGAAAGTGGATCGAATCTTCGCCGTCGATGATGGTGGTTGAAGACAGCGAGGTGCGCGAGGACAGCAGCGGCGAGGACGGTCCGGCGTGGGAAGAGGGCCCAGTCTGGGGATCGCGCTGGTCAGCCGTCACGAAGAAGATGCGCGTGTCGTCGCTGAAGTTGGCGCGCATGATGGTGTGTCGAGGCGGCAGGATGCTCGATGACTACGCGTTGGACGGGAGAGGCGATGTCGACGATGTCGACTGTTGGTGGATGCGAATGCGTCGAGGTGGTGATCTCGATAAGATGATAGGAACGGTATCCACGCAAGAGGGGTGGGTATATAGGCGTCGACTGAGCCGTGACAAGGGTGATAGTCGTGTAGAATGTGATGTGACTTGTACGGCAAAGCATGTGACGGAGAGGGAGGACGAGCGCTGAAGCTAATGCTACGTTGTGTCAGCCATTGACGCCCATGTGGCTCGAGGTTCGGCAGTTCCGAGGATGGATGGCTCGCGCGTTTCGACGTCGATGCAAAGGGAGTCTGTGTTGACACGATGGTCCGGCGTGCAGCTGTCGTGGCGATAGTTGGGTCCGAGAAGTGGACAAGGCTGAGGAAGGAGAGGCGGCAGCGATGAACACGTTCGTCCGCAGGCAGGGCAGACGAACAGTGCGATAACTAATGACTAGAGCACAAGCAGCTTCACAGCCATTTGAGCCACGAGGGAAGGCAGGAGTGCGTCTGTCGTGTCAGGTGGGAAGACAAGGAGGGACTGAGCGACGGAGGACAACATCGAGCATGGCGTTGGCGCTGTTTTGGACGCAAGGTCGAAGAGGTACTGTAGGCGGCCGAGTGGTCCAACCCGGCGGCGCGGGAGCGGGGGCGAGATTCATGCGGCATGGGAGGGAAGGGGTTGCACAAGGTCGGACGAGGGTGACCATGCGGATGCTAAGCTGGCGGATCTGCGTGATAAGGGCCATGCCGGCGGCAGAAACCTCGGCAGGAATGCGACCACATGGTGGGCGATTCGAGGTGCCGAGCTGAGATGGCGCGGTGGTCCCAAATCGAACGGACAAGTGGGTCTGCGTTTGGCTTGTCCCGTGTCTGGTTGATGCATTGCCGTCGGCTGGACTGGTAGACTGGGCTGGCGAGTCGAGCAGAAGGGAGAGAGTGACAGGTTGCTTGCAGAGAGGGACAAGGAAGTTTGAAAGGACAGACTGCAAACGCGGCACGACTCGGCCCACGCTCTCTGCATTTGGCTGCTAAAATTCATTCAAGGTCGGAGTTTGGTCATTTGGCATGCTGCCTCAATACGTGATTGCGGTGACCACGCTGCCTGATCCTCTTGCAACGACGAGGCGCTTATACCTTGCACTTTTTTCCTCTTTCACCGTCAGCTTCTGAAGCTGAGTCTACTCGTGGTCGATATCAATCAACGACGCGATCTTTGACATGGACGGGACAAATCGAACATCTCTGAACCCGTCACCCTCGTTGTTTACAGCGATCCTCGGCAAGAGTCGCCCGACTGACCGCCGGCATGGTCGGACTTTGCAAAAATCTCGCTTAGCCGCCGACTCTGCTTTTCCTTTTCAAGTTTTTCTTTTCTCGTCCGCCTTTTTTGAGCCCTTTTCCTGGCAGACTTGAATCTGCCAGCGAATGAGGGAATCTCGCACATCTCAACTAGGCTGCCTTTTCCTCAAAAAATGCGGATCGCCGATACTTAACCCTCGACCAAATCGAGATACGCGAAGGCGCCCTAACACCCTTCCTTCGGGCGAAATCTGCCTCGACAGGACCCTGAAAGGTTGCTCACTTCTTCGCTCCTCACCATCCCCTTCGCCTACCTACCCATCTCGTCGCGCGCACATCTTTGCATACCCAGCATCACGATGGCGTCAACACCAGCACAGTCCGTCGCAAGCGCAAGTCGCACCGACAAACCCTCTCTACCACAACCTTCGTCGCATCAGCTCTCTAAAAGGCAGCAGTACGACACCCTTCTACACGCAGAGACTGGCGCTTCTTCCAGCACTACCTCGTTAGGCGCACCTTCGTCCCATCCTTCGTATCCCGCCGTAGCGCCATTATGTCGACGATATCCCACTCAAGCACCAGCCATCTTTCAAGCGTACATTGACCTCAAAAATGGCGCTGCTGCCTGGGACCTCGTCGAAGCCCTAGCACTATCCACACATCCGACACCAGACACAGAGGCGTCCGCTGAGACCGCCAGAAGAGACCTCGCCGACATCAGTGACGCAGAAGCTCAAGACCTCATCAGCTCAAAACTGCAAGCGCTCAAAACAGGGACCGCCAGACTGGGTCTCGTCGCATCCACCAACAATCAAGACGAAGCGCAAGAACTGCTCCAGGCCGGCATAGCAGCCATCAAGGGACGTCGCAAAGATGCCAAAGCCCACGAGTTTGTCGTCCCGCTCACCATCACCCAGCACCTTCGACCGTCTCAAATTGACGCCATCTTTACCCTCGTCGAAGCCCACGCGGCAGCTTGCCCAGGCGAAGACGTCGACACCTCGCGCGTGATGCTCGCCATCATTGCGCCCGACTCGACACTTGTATACTATCAGATCTCCAAGGGCATGGTCAAGCCCATCAATTGAATGCAAAGGCGTCAGCAGGAGAGAGAGAGACAGCAGCGAGAGAACGTGATTCATTACCAAGCCTGTGATCTTACCACGATCGCGTCTCAGAGCTGGATCATGACGAGAAGCACAGCCAGCGAACACACCATCGACGGAAGAGGAAACGATGCAATGCATTGCAATTGAGAGAGGGAAACAGGAATGTCCATCGGTCGAGCCTAGCCCGACCAGTCATAACAAAACGGGGACCAGAGTCATCTACGACATCTAAAGCGCTCACATGAACACCATCGCCGCACCACCCACAGCAGCGACCACCATCGACACGGTCCAACCCACCACGCTGCCCGGCATCTTCGCCGTAGCACCGCTGAACGTGCGGTACGGATCCGAGCTGGCGCTGGGCGAACCGCCCGCGCCCGCGCTCGAGCCCGTGTTGGTCGATCCACTCGATGTCAGGTTCGAGCCGTTCGGTCCAATGGGTCGGGTCGAATCGTCGAACGCACAAGCCGAACCCGTGCACAGACACTTGGCCCCGACCGGGTCCCAGAACGGCGTGTCGCAGTTGGCCGGAATGCGCGTTCGCAGCGTCTTGTCGTTGTTCCTCTGCGGCGGGTTGGGCTGTTGAGGCGAAGGAGTCGTCTCCGGGCACCCGTAGCACGTGTAGAACGGCGAGTTGTTCAGCGCATCCCCCGCCGTGTTGGAAATACAGTGCTCGAGCAGGTTGTTGTTCGAGGCAAAACCGTTGCAGATGCGCTGCGACACGGCGGGCGTCGTGCACTTGAACGCGTCCAGCGTGTTGAGCTGGCTCGCGGGGACGGGGTTGCGCATCCATGCTAGCAACTGCTCGTTGCTGACGATCCACACGTTCTGCATGGACGAAGAGGTCGTCGCCCAGTCGAGGAATTGGTTGAGCATCTTGATCTGGTCCACGGGGTCTGTGAGGCCTGGGTAGCCGGTCGCCAGGTGAATGGGGTGCGTGTAGATTCCGAAGGGCTGGCGCTTGCCATTGTAGTGGTCCATGAAGGTGTTCTGCATCCAGGAGAGGACGTCCGAGGCGTTGGCACTGTCCAGCCACGGGTCCATCAGGTGCGCGCCAGCGGCTCCGCGCTCGTCAAAGATCGCATACATGGGGATCTCCCAGAAGCCAGGCAGCTTGGGCTGGCCGCCGCAGATGTTGTCCACCGAGTTGCAGTCGTTGGCCATGCCATTGTCGAGCGTGTACGGCCAGAAGGCATCCGTGTTGGGGTCGGTTACGGGGACGGACGCCGTCGAACTGCTGTCGTAAAGGAAGTTGGTCGCAGCGAGGTGTTCCAGGTTTCCACGGCTGTAGTTGAGGAAGGGAGCGCGGTAGCCAGTGATCGACTTGAACGGGATACCGGCGAGCGCGTTGAGCGTGATGAGGTTGCCGTCGATCTCGGCGTTGGTGGCAGGCTGTTCCTGGTGCGTCATGGTGTGGTCGGCCACGTCGTTGCCATTGACGTACAGCTCCGTGACCTGGGCGTAGTTGGTGTAATTGAGCGAGACAAAGTAGGTCATGACGGGTTTGCATCCGTTGGGGTTCTTGCGTTGAGCCAGGAACTGGTCCACCGACTTGATCGTGTAGTCCTGCACTGCATCGTCGGCGGTGAAGACGATGAACTGAGGAACATCCTTGGGGTCGAGGCCGCCAGGTGGGTTGGTGTCGGCGCAGTGGCAGTTGGGTAGTTGGCAGGTGGAAGGGTCGCAGCTATAACGAGCAGCCGAGGCGCCACCACCGGCTGTGACCGACTGTCCCTCGCCGCCGGACTGAAGCTGTCGTTTGTCGAGGTTGAATGCGCGCTTCTCCATGGGGCGACAGCTTCGGTCCATGCCATGCGCCGTGGCGAGGCCAGCGCAGGCGAGTGAAAGCAAAGCAGATACCAACGACGACCTCATCGTGGTCGACGGCTCTACAGGGGATGGTGATGGTGGGGAGGGATGGGATGGTGTGTGGGAAGTGAGAACGAGTGACGTGGCTGGGTGGACACAAAGCGAATGACCTGCGTGTGTGTGTCCCTGTGTGTCCCTTTTACAGGGGAGTCGTGTGGGTGGGACCCGACTCATGCACGCGCGCCGCCTAAATTTTCGTCCAACGCCGCACGCCAAGTTGCGACGGGATCCCGAAAACAACACTCGAACCTCGGCAAATTGCTTAAGCGCCCCATCGCACAGGCGGACTTGAAAGCCACCTCGGCTCTCCACTGTGCGCATAAATCAGAATTTGCCGATCATGGCATCGCACCAATCACATGTCACGACCTTATTCGACACCAGGTCTTCAATCTCAAACTCGAGCAGCGCAAATTGTGTGGAAGGATTTGATTCAGCCTGGCCAGGCGAAGAAACAAGAGACAAAAAGGATAGTGAAGGGGCGGTCCGTTTGACGTCGAGATGAGGTCAAGGTCGGACGCGAACGAGTAGAATTCGAAGGGACAAGGCCAAGTCATCGGTGTCGTCGCCACCGAGACACGTCGGCTATCGCCTCGACGATCGACGCGATTGCGTCCATCGGAGTCGAAGTCTGTCGGAACATCACACAGAGAGAGCCTAGCGGCGTCAGTATCAAGGTCATCAGAGGCCGGCGATGCGACAACCGTCAGCTAGACTTACCATCTTAGGCAACAACGCAAGAGCTGTAGCCGAGGGGAGCACCGCCGGCGTTGACGGGAGCCTCCTGGGTCTCGGCAGCCGAGGTCTGAGCAGTCTGAGCGAAGATGGCGAACATTTTGAAAGAGATTTGGGTTTGGGGTTCGAAAGAACGAGTGAGAGAGTTGTGTATAGAAGAGTGAGTGAGTGAGAGTGGATGGGGTTCGATTCCTCGACTTGACCTTGAGTCGTGCTCCTTATATGTCTTTTCCATCGTCACACCAACGCCGATAGCAGATTTGCCGCTCCGAGTCTGCAAGCCTCCTCCGTCGCGGTCAAGAAGCGTACCGAAAACACCCCGTCGAGTGGCAGTCGTTTCGAGTGAAAGTATCAAAGGGATCCTCAGGCTCCTTACTTCCACCGCAAGGACTTCGCACTCACTGGAAGATCGTCTCCTCGCTTGTGCATTGAGCCCTTTGTGCAGTCCGTTTCAGCCTCGCGTCCAGATGTGCTTCTTTCTAGATGAAAGGGATGCCGTCGTGTTCGAGAAAATGTTCGTAGATAGTGGACACAAGATTGCCTACGCGTTCAATTGACAGGTTCTCACGCCACAAGTCCCTTTCACTTCGGAACGCGAGGCCTGCCGCCCTTTCTTTTCCGCGCAATCTCGAGTCTACTGCAAGCGCACCATGATGATCCTTTGTTCCAACGACATCCCTTTCAGAGAGCACATACTAACGACCTGCTGCACCGATAAGCTCCGCTCGTGCATGTCCCTATCACATCCAAGAGGGCTCTTTATGCACGTCCGAGTCAAGCACTCATGCAATCCATCAATTGGAATCGCAAATGGTCCCTTTCATAGCTTGCCTCATTGTTCCGCCGCAATGCGCTGTCAAGCCTAGCTCCATTACAGGCGTTGATCAACTGCCTTGGTGCGACGAGTGAAACAACAATAGCACAAAGGGACTCCGAACATCAGGGCAAATCAGAAAGTCGGTCTTTCCCTTGGCTCGGAGGTGCCCTGCTCTGCCGCCCTGCTTGATCTAGCGCGTTCAGATAGCTTCGCTTTGCCCAGCAGCTGGATGTCCCTTTGTCATGGCCACGTACTGGATGATCATCGGTGTTCTCGATGTATCTGCTCTGAGATGGGGCTGGGTGGCTTGCTGCACCGTCTCGAACCTGGCCTTAGCTCGTTTCGAACTTGGCCTTGCCTCGTCTCGAAAAGATAAATAACCGGCAGAGTTTTGCTTCTCCTTCCCTCAACTCACCAAACAACATCTCTCTCATCTTACAATCTCTTCTCGTCTCCCAATCTTTCTCCAAAGACATTTTCATCTTTCGAAATGGCTGCCTTCACTCTCTTTGCACCCATCAGCGTTGGCGCTGTCGCTTCTGACGCTCAGCCTGTCAACGCCGAGCGCCCTGACAAGCAGACTTACCCGTGGAATTCATGTGTTGTTCGTAAGTTGGTCTTCTTCACGAGGTCACGCAATGTAGAAGAGTCACAACAGACTGACTCGACCGGCCCTTCTTTCTTTCCGCTTTTTGTTTGCTGCTGTCTCATGGTAGTATGATCAGACCTCGAACATCAATCTCTTGGCCGCATTCTAGTCTGCCAGCGTCTTCCCTTCGACTTCTCTATTAGAGCCTTCTGTTGCTCATACTTTTTTCACCTGTCCCAAATGTCCTCCAACCGTCAATCACAGCGCTTTAAGCGAATAGTTCTCACTGTCTGTCAAAAATTGTCCTGTGTGCTACATCCTCACTGGATATGGTCGAGCTTCTGAATGGGAACTCGAATCGTTGCGAGCCTCGCGACTCATCTGGTCCATTTGTGTGGGCCGAATCGGGAAGGTTTGAGCCATCTCCCGCATCGAAAGCTAATTGTGGTGCTCAGCAGAGCGGCTCCGGTCAGAGTCTTCTCACTGCACATAGCGACACTTTGCAGAATTCCCTGCGCTGCACAAATCTAAGACCCAACCAACATTCAGCCTTCGAGGGCCGATCGAAACATCGGCTTGACCTCTGTGATCGCACAAGCGCTGCCAGATTGGATCCCGAACGAATCGAGAACCGGAAAGCAGGCAACTGAAACGAGCTCTTTCGTTCTCGAGTACCTTTAACGAGATGGCGTTACCTTGATCGAGATAGCGATGGGTTGTCATACAGCGATACCTTCTCCTGCCTGAACGGAGCGCACGACCGTATGGCGCAGGAGGCGCAATGCAACAGTTTGCACACAGCTCAGACTAAAAGTATGTGAATGTTCAAATGAATGGAGATAACGGACACTACGTATGGATCATGATCAACACGAAGGTAGGCGTGCGGGTGCGAGACAAAAGGCGCCCTCTAGGCGTCTTCAAGAGCGTGCTTGTTGAAGCTGAACTTTTCTGAGTGTGGACTAGGCGCGCCACAAGTCTCGCGGGAACGAAAGGTGACTACTTCAATATCGGCGACAATAGGTCTGTGATACCCATCAAAGGTGGAGAGTTTGTTTCAGTCAGTATCTTGGTCGGATCATGTCGTCATAGCGATGGCCGTGGAACTTACCCAGGTGGCGGCAGGTTGGTCACCTTTCGGAGCTTGCAAAAGCTCAGTACTCTGCCAAAAGCTTGCTTGTAGCCCTGACGTACTTCCTGGCCGAAACCAAACATGGCGAAGAAAATCAAGCCCGAGATAGGGCACACGAGTCTCGACAGAATCAATCCCCTCTGCCCCGAGCTTTGTAGCTTCACAAGATCCGCGGGTACCTGCAAGACTTCGCCGAAGTTCTGATGCTGGAACTGCCATGAGCCGTACCCAACGGTGATCGCATCTTTGATCTGCTTTGCGATGCTGCCGATGTAGACGGGAAAGAAGATCAACATGTCGACAGCTGTGAGGGCGAGAAGCCGGATGTAGCGATTCCTGTTTATGTTCGAGGCGTTGCTTTGCAACACCGCCTGAAATTGGCGTCGACGAATCCAGAACCAGCGAAATGCAAGTACTGTTCAAGAAAGTCTGTCAGTCTCCTGCGTAGGCCCTCGAAAGATGGAAAGATTTACTGTACGTACCACTGTAAATCGCAGAGACGAGGCAGACCAGGATGACGGGAAGTGCCACAAGTAGAACCCAAACCCAGGACGTGGTAAGGACCGGCCAGCAACCGATCTCTTGAATGATCGAGTAGGATCGGGCTTGATTGACTACCATGAGCGCACCGAAGACGAAGGGAATGCCGACGCAGATCATGAGATCAACGACGACCGCCCTTCTTCGATCCGCGGCCGCTACTCGAATTTGGCGAGTTGAAGCAATTGCCTCGAGCTTCTTGGCAATGACGAGGTTCGATGCAGGAATAGCGATGAACATCACATGCCGGAGTCTGACGCTGATCTCGCAGAAGCCGGGAGCTTTGTCCGCTGTTGACGACCACCAGGCGAACGAGTTTATGATCGTGTCGAGATTGCCGAGCAAGAGCCAGACTGATAGCGCGATGGTGCCGACATTCCGACTTCTGACGTGCCAGGCCAGAGGCATCAGGACTAGTAGAAACGCAAGGAGTGATAGAAATGGGCTTACGTGGTCTAGCATGTCGAATGAAATGCCGGCGTTCGAGTTCGGACCGATTGAGTTGATGCAAAGACGGATGATGTGTCGACCGTTCGGTATATATCAGATGGATGACAGAGCGCACATACAGTTCCTGCCAGTCATTGGTAAGAGCGGCTGTACACTCAGCTGAGCCAGATATACCACAGCTTCTAGCCCTTTGTTCTCATTGTGTTCATGAAAATGAAAGGACGTTGAGGCGTGGGAGCAGACACGCGTACTGGGTACGATTCCGAATGATGCAGGACTAATTTTCCCACAATGGCTCGACAAAGGGACAGTCTACGCAGTGCCTGGGTTCAAGTTCCCTTTCTTTGGTCCAGAGAAAGAACCAGCATGCCTACAAAGCGTTTTCAGCCCCAGCACTCGTCCTACGCGTTCTTCGAGCGAAGTGCATGGAACACCGGGAAGAGCATCTCCCATCTCCCTCACTAGATTTGATATGGCTCTCGAAAAAGTCTCATCCGACTGGAATGTTTCTTGCTGCAGTTTGAGCGAACGCATCGCTTTTCCGCTGGCCTCTAGGGGAGTCCTCGCCCACATTGATTCTGTTTGTGCTTCTCCTCTTCGTCACTGTCCCCCTCTCATGTAGGTTGGCCGACCAAAGAATCCCAATCCTTTTCCTCCTTCTTCAGTGTGTGCGAGCTGCGTAAATGCCTACGCCTAGGATTTCGCTTAATCTGACAGGCCACGTGGCGGCCCGCGTTCTCGGAATAGTGGATTTCCGATTCTTCGAAAGACAGATCTGAATCGCGCACTTCGCTTCTTCCCGATTTGGGAACCGTCGATCCCTCAACCACCATCTCTATTCTCAACGTACCTCCACGCGGCTTTTCCGTCCACATCTCCAAGAACCAGACCTCGTCACGCACCGAAAGAGACGACGCCATGTCGTACAGACGAGTCGAAACATCCGACCCACGACGCCCGGAGTTGGTCCGCCCGCTGGTGCTGCCCGCATCGTGGAAGACGGACGAGATCGACATCTACGCGTCCTTCCTGGGATCGGTGAGCATGATGAGCGGTGCCGCCATGCTGACTCGGGCGCCCTACATCGCGTACGCGGGCTTGATCTTCGCCTGCGCTCACATTGCGCACGACAAGCCTTTCAAGTCGAGCAAGACGAGAGAGGCGTCGACGGGCGGTCCTTGGATGTCGTTGATCTTTTCGCTTGTGGCTATGATGGCGCTGATTTTGCCAAAGGTAAGTGATATCTGGATGGCGAGGCGGAGCCAGACATGGACAACTGATCACCTGAAGGCTTCCTTCATGACTCCTTTCGGCGTGCCTGCAATCACGCCAACAGCTCTCGGTTGACGGCCCACTCAATGTAACCCGACAGCGCATTCCCATCTGAGACCTCTCCATCCATCTTGTTCGTCATAATCGAGTGCGCAAATGCAATCATTGAACCATTTACTCTCGGGACCTGCAATGGGCGACGACATGACTTGGGTGCAAGTGCAGCGTGGGCGAGGTCTTGCGGCTCAAAGCCATAGAGACCAAGTAGACTGGGCTTGCAAGCGCGAAAGTGTTGAGATGTTGCAATTTTGAGTCCGTGCGGAGAAACAAGGCTTTCACCGGGAATTTCACTGTTTGCAATTCTTCCACGTCTTTGGCTCGTCCAACCTTCTTGACCACGCTCCCCCTCATCCTCCTAACACGATGGCGCAGCGGGATGCACGGGTTGCACGTAGCTTGCTCACACAAGCATTTGGCTCCCCGGTGGTCGGTAGCGGACCAGCCACTGGCACATCGACCAGACCAACCAAGACAATCACGCTGCGCAACCTGTCCTCTTCGACAGTGCGCCCAACGTCTCGATACGTGACACAACGTCGGCTTTTTCCCATGCACTCGACACATCGACCTTCAACACCCACAGCAAGCATATTCAGCTCGAGAGCCTTCTCGTCTTCGGCCGACTCGCCTGTCGCCGACTCTCCGATCCCCATCTTCACCACAGTGCGAGACTACCGAGCATGGCGAGCACAAGCCACCAGGGAGGGCAAGTCGGTCGGCTTTGTCGCGACCATGGGCGCGCTTCACGATGGGCATCTCAAGCTCGTACGAGCTAGCTTGGAAGAAAACGACTACACCGTCGTGTCGATCTTTGTCAATCCAGCTCAGTTTGCTCCCACTGAGGACCTTGCTTCGTATCCACGCACCGTCGAATCGGACATCGCCAAGCTCGCCTCGATATCTCACCCTTCCGGCCGCAAAGTGGATACCGCATTCGTACCTAGCGTCAAGGAGATGTATCCAAACGGCTTCACACAGGTCGTAGCGGACCAGATTGGCGCGTTTGTAGAGGTCAAGGGTCTCAGTCACCAGATGGAGGGCGGGAGCAGACCCACCTTCTTCCGCGGCGTAGCAACCGTCGTCACCAAGCTCTTTCACATCATTCAGCCCGACCGCACCTACTTTGGTCAGAAGGACATCCAACAGTGTGTTGTGCTTCGTCGTCTCGTCTCGGACCTCGTCTTTTCGCACCCACCTTCACCGGAACATTTTCGCGTCATTCCAACAGGTCGTGATCCAAAGGACAATCTTGCGCTTAGCAGTCGCAACGCATACTTGACACCAGACTCACGGAAGGTCGCGCCGGTACTCTATCGCGCGCTCAGGGCAGGACAGGAGGTGTGGGAGCAGTCGCATTGGTCAGACACGGACAAGCAGGAGCGGATCAAGAAGACGCTGGATACTGCGAGAGCGGTAGTTCTTGAGGAGGTAGACCGGTGCAAGCAGGATGGCAAGAGTGTGGACCTCAAGTTGGACTACATCTCGTTGAACCATCCAAAGACACTGGAGAACGTGGAGTCGCTGTTGGCGGACAAGGGCGCATCGGCGATCGACGTGAGCCAAGGAGCTATCCTCAGCGGAGCAGCGTTGATCAGTCAGGGCAACGGCGGCAAGGTCACTCGACTCATTGACAATCTCTTGCTCGGATTCAAGCTGTAATGCAAGCAAGTCCCTGATTGGCATCAAGCCTACACATCGTGCAGGGTGAGAAGATGGGGGAGGACACACACCGGGCTGAGAAGTCGAGCCTTGGCTCTCAAAATCAGCAGGTGAGGGATAGCAGCGCTAACATCTTGAGAATTCAATTCCTCCACATGGGCCTGCTGACCAAAAGGCTCAGCGTAGGCTCTCGTGTGGTTTTTGGAACAAAGGGCGGTTGAGTTGCAGTCGATAGACTTGCTTGCTTTTTGCTGCAGAGCTCCCCTTTGATGTCGCTCCCACACAACCACCTGCACGAATCACAAAGGGGACCGCTCTTTGTTCGTCTTCGACAATCGACTACCCCTGACACCGCATTGGTACCCTCAACCCACCACAACCTTGCAGCAACACCTCGGTTGAACTGCAACCGCTTCCGACGGATACGAATCTTGCCTTTGTCGAGCATCAACCCGCGCCTTGTCCGCAAACTAGACCCTTTGCCGAACTTTCTCAGACCCGCTCGCCCGGCAACAAAGCATCCGAATCCTTTTCCTTTCCTCCCACCACACCTTCCCTTTTAGCTTCCCTTTCATCGACCGCGCAATTATGTCGGGGTCGCCTTGGCCGAGAGCGCTTTTCGGAGGCGCGGTTACAATCGCCATCGGATACGCCATCATGAAAGGTACGTCCCTTTCGGAGTTGCTTCCGCCGGAGCGCGCTTCCTTTGACGGCGCCTGCTACGCTTTGTCGTCGCTGACCCCATGCGTTCCACGCTCTGCATCCCTTTGACATTCGACAGCAACCACTCCGACGGATCAGCAGTTCTACGATGTACGTTTTGCGCACCTGCGCTTCCCTTTGACGGCGTTGCTTCTGCGCCCACGCAAAGGGGCACATGTAGCGCCGCTCCTTTGACGCTTGGGCTTCCACGCTTACAATCGCTTTGTCCCTCCTTTCTTCTTGCGCCTTTCCCTTTCACGACCTTGCTGCATCAACGCCACCTCGACGCTTCCTTTCATGGCACACTCCGAATGCCCTTTGACGACACGACGGTCTGGTTTGCTCTCATCTCGACTTCTTTCTACACGGCATTGCAACGATGCACCCTGCACCCTGCATCCCCCGGATGTCGGCGATCCTATTCCTTTGACGTCGCTTCCTCACACGGCTATCGCGGCGCACACAACAGGCCCTTTCACCCGATCTCAAGCGCCAAGTCGACGCCCAGCGATTGGCAGCCTCTCGCAAAGCGGCGTACGCCGAGCAGCTCAAGGTGAGTCTCGACTGTCCCCCCGCACCCGCTCTTTCTCGTCCGATCTATTGACCACCTTTCCCTCGTTGCGACGCCGACGATGTAACAGAGGGCCAAGGAGCAGGACGACACAGCGCCCGTGTGGGCCGAAGGCGCAAAGTACAGAAACTCGACGCCGCCGCCTCGCATCTAGATAGAAATGCAAAGAGTGGTTACGCGAATCGGGGATGTGCGTGGATCGACTGGATCGGCGGCTGCCTTGCCTGAAGCAGCAGCGTGCGAGGACCGCTTCGACTTTGTACATCGCCATGACTTCCGACCCAGCAACGACCAGCAGAGCTCACAACGGCAGTCACGACGGGAGTCACGGTCAGCTTCAGGTGGCACAACGCATCGTTAGGCCGTGGAGCGCATGGAAGGGCGACACTGTCGACCCGCCGCACCAGGCAGCCGTGCAACCAACTCACATCGACAGCACCCGTCACGATCCTTGGTCGCAGCGACAACCGACAACCGCGTGCGATTCACGAACACTTGCCCAGCTCGTCGATCGACCAACGACGTGCAGCACGCACCGCCCTGCCTCGCTCTTGCGGTTCACACAACCCCGAAAACAGCACAGGTACGGATAAGATGATTCAATGCAAAGATGGGAAACAAGAGCACATCACAGAGTTCGCCTAAGCCTTGTTGCCGCGCAGCTCTCTCCTCTTGAGCACGGCAGCGTTGAGCTTGTCGAGCATCTCGACCGTCGTCTCCCAGCCCACGCAACCATCCGTAATCGAGACGCCGTACTTGAGCTGGTCGATGGCGCCGTTCTTGGGCTCGCCCTGCTTGCCCTCGTTGAGATGCGATTCGATCATGACACCCGTAATCGCGGTCTCACCCTGGGCGAGCTGCTCGGCGATCGAGTCGACCACCTTGGGCTGGTTGCGGTAGTCCTTGTTGGAGTTGCCGTGCGAGCAGTCGATCATGATGCTCGGGTGACGGTCGGGTAGCGCCTTTGTGAGCTGTGCCTTGGACGACTGGACGGATTCGGCGTCGTAGTTGGTGCCCTTGGAGCCGCCGCGGTGGACGATGTGGAGGTCGGCGTTGCCGACGGTGCGGACGATGGCGGCGAGACCCTGGCTGGTGACACCCATGAAAGCGTGGGGTTGCGACGAGGCGCGAATCGCGTCGACGGCGACACCGAGACCGCCGTCGGTGCCGTTCTTGAAACCGATGGGCATCGAAAGACCCGAGACGAGTTCGCGGTGCAGCTGCGACTCGGTGGTGCGCGCACCGATGGCACCCCACGAGTAGAGGTCCGAGGTGTACTGGGGCGAGATGGTGTCGAGCACCTCGCATGCGACGGGCACACCCTGTGCTGTGAGGTCGACGAGCAAATTACGTGCAATTTTGAGACCGCGGTTGATCTGGAAGCTGCCGTTGATGTCGGGGTCGTTGATGAGACCTTTCCAGCCGACCGTGGTGCGTGGCTTTTCGAAGTAGGCGCGCATGATGACGACGAGTCCCTGCGACCATTTCTCGTCGATTCCAGCCTTGAGCAGCTTGGCGTACTCCTTGGCCTGGTCGACATCGTGGATGGAGCAAGGACCGACAACGACGAGGAGGCGGTCGTCGTGGCCGTTGATGATGGCGCTCGACTGACCTCTTGCGCGAGCGATGGTGGCCTGGGACTCTTTGGGGACGGGGATCTCGTGAAGCAACAGCCCGGGCGAGATCAAAGGCTCGAAGCCAGCGACACGCACATCGTTGACGTAGGCGTATTCGTCGTTAGCGCCGTTGTTGAGGATGGCCTGGGCGAGGGGCTCGGCGGATCGGCCGTTGGCGGTGTTGGCCGCGATGCTCGACGACATGGTGTCTGTGTGTGCGCGGATGGAAGTGGGAGCTTGAGACGCGGCAAGCTGCACTTAAGGAGATGATGGCGGTGGTGATAAAAGAGAAGGAAGGAAGAAGTGGCTTCAAGATGAACTCAGACAAGGAACGTGCATGCCGTTCTGATTTTTCTCTCAATCACAAGGGGGCATTTCATTCGGCTAGCCGTCGTTGCGTTGCTTGCCTTTGGGAACATGGCTAGTATCAGCAGGTGACAATCTCCGAATTCGACGCCGCTGTTGGCCTGACTGATGTTCAGCAGCAGTAACATTCAGGATCAGCATCAAGGTACGGCGACAATGCGAATGGCCCTGTTTCAGATGACGCCGTATATGAAAAATTCTCTGGAAGCCAGGCAGCACCCTGACTGCAGCCGTGCATCGAGTTCTTCCAGATTTTAAAGATTTTCTTCTCAAACAAATGTGACTCGGGTTTTCACGCCTCGACGATCTAGAACAAGTCGACGTCGACTTCAGCAACACCACTCCCCTTTCTCGGTATCATTGTGACCTGCAATGCGGTGTGAATCGTCGTTGTCGAGCAGCGTGGTGGTCATCGATCCAATGTTGCTGCGACGTGTGCTCGACAACGATGGCACCGTGTGGTGGGCGGTGTTGGGGTGGACACGTCGACAATCGACCTTGCAAAGCAGCGGGCTGAGAAAACGACCTCGACTGCTGAGTGCGTCTGCCAACCACCGAAGTGGCGCCGAGACAGGTCGAATTTCACCACACGTGCAGTGACAAAGGAGGTCTAACAATATGGAAAAAGAGAGGCGGCGCGGAACTCGGACTGGCAGACTGCTCGGGCTGAGCTTTCTTCTTTTCAGTCACAAGCCTTCACAGCTGCTGAGCACCACCACCGACTCACACACATATCGAGCATCATGCTATCAACATCAATACTCAGGTCACGCTCTGCGTGGAAGGGTAGGTTGGCGCGTTTATAGCTCAAGACAGAGCATCGCGAGTGACAAGAAGCTGACATCATTCTTCTTCGCTTCATCGCGACAGGCCCTTTTTTCGTTGCATTCCCCAACCTCGCCGAGGCGCTCAAGAACAACACCGCCATCCGTACCAACGCAAGGAGCTGCACCATCTTGCCCAACTTTGTCGGCCTCAAGTTCCTCGTGCACAACGGCAAGCACCACATCCCATTGACCGTCACCGAAGAGATGGTCGGACACAAGCTCGGCGAGTTTGCACCAACAAGGAAACCTTTCCGATACAGGCTCACCAAGAACAAGTGATTCCGACTCATCGCATTGACACCACACCGAAACAGACGCCTTCACGAGGGCGCTCCACATCATCTGTACTTGTATCTCGACATCTTCGCAATCGACTCGTCCCGCTCACCGATTACTGACTCGACAGCAGAAACTACCCTGACTATTTGCGCACACGGCTGACACGCATGGAAGCGTCGAAATAATGGCTCACGGCAACGCATACACATAGCCCTACGCCGCCCCTGGGGCCGGCGCAAAGCCTTCATCCGGCACCTGGAGCAGCGGCACCTCGTTGGCATCCGCCGTGTCCATAAACACCGTATTCCCCCACCACTCCAACTCCAACGCCCCGTCCTTCGGCAGCTGCAGCACAAAGTAGATCATCATGCACGACAGCAGCGTGCCGAAATCCAGCGCACCCGCCAGCACAAAGTTGTACCTCGCCCACCAGCCCACGCGGTGTCGTCGCATCCAGTATTGGAACACGAAGCCGACGACGATGGCCGAGGTAAAGTTGATCCCTGATGCAGGCGGTGCCATGCTCATGCCGCCAAAGAAGATTGGGGTCGCAATGAGCTTTGTCCACGACCACTTTAGCTTTCTCGACGCAAACCACGTCACGACCGGCACAACAGCGCCCACGAGCAGACCGAAGAACAGCGGACGGTAGGGCGACGTAGGCCCAAAGCTGCGCTCCACTCCGATGGCACCCCACAGCACCGAGGCGGTGTAGAAGAGGTTGACGCCCGGACACGTGAAGTACTGCGGCTGATCCGGATCGCACAGATCGACGATGTGGTCCCGCATAAAGTTCTTCGTCAGCATCTGCACGACGCTGTTGACGAGGATCGAGAGCACCTGGACGAGAAAGATCGGTTGAGGCGCCACCTTCATGTAGTGCGCCAGCTTCTGATCCTGCGCGAACAGCAGCGCGAACGAGAGCGTCTGCTGGCCGATCGCTTTGAACATCATCACCGGCAGCGGTCTGCCGGGAAGGACCCACGAGGCAAGCAGCTCCGAGACGAGGTTGACGCCGGGCGGGTAGCCACTCGTGGCAAAGATGAAGCCCAGCGGAATGATGTAGATGATAGGGATGAGGATGGCCAGGCACAACGCCCAGATGGGTAGCCCTGTGCCGTAAGCAGTCGCCAGACAGACCGACATGGCGAGACCGGCGATCAGCAGCACGGCGTGCCAGAGCAAGGGAACGCCAGCATATCGCCGCATCAATCGCGCATGCACATCGTCCGGCAAGCCCCTATTCGATCGCATCCTCCCCCATACGAACCGGCCATGGTACAGCGCTGTGTGGACAATCGTCGTAGTGATGGCCGCAAACCCGCCAAAGTAGGTGACGATCAGCCCTGCAGAGATGTACACCTGCGAATAGCCCTCGTAAGCCTCCTCGAGCAGCGTGTGGCGATCGGGCGAGACGAGGGTGACGTTGTAATGCTGGCCGAAGCGGTCGAAGCTGGCCCCCGACAAGATCGGTAGATAGGCGGTGTGCAGCGCGTTGGTAAAGTATAAGATCGGCGCAGCGATCCAAATGCCCGCCACGAACCCGGCAAACAGGTTGACCTGCGCCCACCAAGGCGCCACCAGCGGCGAACTCAGATAGGTCACCTGCGTCCAGTCGAACGTCAACACGCTCGCACCCAACCCGCTCGCAGTGCCAAAGACGACGTTGACAGGCACATTGTTCGGCCAGATCCAACAGACCCAGTTGAACACCGAGAGCGAGATGGCGAGGTAGCCGGGGAAGAGGTAGACGACAAAGGCGACGAGCGAGACCAGGTTGAAGAAGGCGAGACGGGACATCTGGCGTTGGCCTCGACGCGGGATGGAATCCTCATCGGCATGAAGGGTGTTCAGCACGGTCGAAACGGCTAGGTTTTGCGGCCAGACCATCGACGCTGGTTCGACAAGGACCTGGCGCACAAAGCCGGTCAGCGCGAGACCGATCAGCTGCGTCGCCGAAATCGAAAGGAAGCCGTACAGGAATGGACGCCGATCATCCCAGAACAGGGGCAGGTCTTGCGCTAGGAGCAACGACAACGAGTAGGAAGGATTGAGGCCCGTCGTGGTGGCGACCATGACGACGGTGTGCTCCTTGATGTTCCACGGTCCCGGGTTGACCGACCAGGTGTGCGACGTGGTTCTGCGCTTGCCGCTTCGGTCTCTTCGCAGTTTCGGCAACTTGATGCGAAACGATCGAATGGGAAGGACCTTTGCCAAGAGCATGCCGATCGGATGGACGAGAATCTGGATAATGATGCCGGCGATCTGCATAGGAGGATTGCGCTGCGAGAGAAACGTGTTGACCGCCGACGCAAAGGCGGACAGAGTCAGCCCGAACACGATCGAGCGGAAAGTGATGGCTGGCATGGAAGGGTCGTCGACGTTGGACACGGACGCGCGCACTTCGGGGTAGGGCGAGTCTTCTTCTTCTTCCAGCTCGAGCTCGACACGACGCGAGAAGGGCTGCGACCGCATACGAAGCAAGTCGGCACTGTCTGAAGTAGGAGTCGTGGTGCCGGCTTGATTGCTGCAGGCAGCGCCGTCATGCCACGTCGAGGAGGCCGGAGAGCCGGGCAAGTCACGATGTTTGCCAGAGCCAGAGCCATCGCCTACGCCGCCGCCACCTTCGTGCGTCGAAGGACCCCACTTGATCGAGGTGGAGCGCTGAATAGGTCGATTCGTCTGCTGCTCGACAGCGTCTGGAGCCTCGTGCGTCGGCTCTTGCACGTGCACGAGGTTGGCTCTGCCGTCGTTGACGGCGGCGTTTTGTTGATCGTCACAGAGGATACTTTTGCGCTGATCCTCGGCCGGATGTTCGATGTTGCTGAAAGCGGGAGGCGGGGGCGCTGGCAAGCTCGACGGTGCCGGGACAACCTGAATCGCTGGAATGCCGAGACCAGGAGGAGCAAAAGCAAAAACGTCGTCATCTTCGTCTGTGGCTTGATGATGCTGTTGATCCCGATCATTGTCGTCGCTGTCACCCTCGTAGGTGGAATCGCTCGACGAATAGAGAATTTCTTTGTCATCCGTCGTGGGAGTCTGCTCGTTTTGCGGAGCTCGGGATGCTGTCTGGCCGACTGTCGGATCGATCCGACCGCCAGAGGTCGAAGGACGAAGGGTCGCCGTCTTTGGTCTTGTCATGTCGTCAAGGATGCTGAGATCGGGGCGCAGGTCGATGTCATGATAGCAAAGGTAGCCGTGCAGATCCTAAGGACAGTCTTTTGTAAGGAAGCATTCTCCGGTTGACGCAAACATTGACTCGACAAATGAGTTGTGGGTCCTCGATTTGCTGCAAGCCGGTTCCTGGACCGTGGATGAGTGGCAACGTGGGTGATCGTGAGCCTCATTTGGCCTGTTCGGACCGCTCGCCGAGCCGCAACAGTGCTCGCGACGTCCCTCACCACTTGGGCCATAGCGCTGACCGGCCTGACGACGTCGGTCAGACACAGGCGAGAGCCGCATCGCCATAACGACACCGTCAGTGGACTGTAGTCGGACCTCGGCCCGAAGCTCATACAGGGCGGGACCAAGTGGGAAACAAATTGAGGGTCGGCTTTTCGGTGGGTTCAGTCCCACAGGCGTGGATCCTTCCCTGTTGCCGCGGCTGCACACACAGTGACCTCGATCTCAAGAGAACGAAGACCAGTCACATCGTGGAATCATTTAAGGTTCACTTCGCAATCATATACGTTTGCGATCGTCGCCTGGACTTCCGATAGTGCCGATTGGTCTGTGCAAGATCGCGCCGCGTCTGGATGGATCAAATAAGCGTACGGTTCAGCGAGTCGGCAGAGGTGCAGTCATTTGGTGGCAATAGGCTTGATGAGGCTTTTGACAGAAAGAACTTGGCACCGAGCTTAAGCAAGACCAATCCGTCCATGATGAGGGCCGGCAACGGTCGCTAACTTTCAACTTGGGCTCGTACGAGGTGATGTGTCTCGAATAGTCAGGATGAGCGAAGCTTTTGCTCAGGCTTCAAGTGTCAACCTGCTCATCACCGTCGCGAGATCGAAGCAAACAAAGCTTGACGCCGACATGCTCCGAGATCGAGCCTTGGCATCGGCAAAGGCTGCACAAACAAGGTTTGATGGGTTCGCTGCTTTTGGTCGGACGCTTGGCGACAATCGATGAAGACCTTTATGATCGACGAGTGCGGAACGAACATCCTTTGTCTTCCGCACCTCGTGTCCGCCATACCTTAGTTATATAAGCTCGTGAAAGGATCCTCCTCGTTCCCTCTATCTTACTCTCACAGCATCAGTCGCATTGCTCTCCTCCTCAGCCAGACTCAACATGCCGTTCTTCGAGTTGATGGCAGATTGGATCATGGACATGACCGTTGCGCTTCTGCTGCGGTTCTTTGCCGTCACCGTCATCTTCGTTACCCTCACGGGCGCCGCCGCCCTCCTCATGAGCTCCGTCTACCATGGTTTCCGAGAAGTCGCGCCTCCTGATGTCGCCGCAACAGCATCTTTCCTCTTCACGATGCCAGTGCGATTCGGCGATGCTATCGTGCGTGCTCTCCTTGGTGCAAGAACGGGTGAGCTCCATCGTTGTGCACGTTGACTTGCTGGGGGCTTTGGCTAGGATTGTGACTGACTGTTGCCCTTTCGTGCCTCTGAACTCCACATCCCACTTACAGAGCATTCAACGATGGCAACGGAGCAATGCTGTCCGCATCGACACGGCTGTTCGCGACTGTTGGGCACTTCGATCACGCACGAGCGCGTCAACGCGCCCATTGCCTTGGCCAAGCGCCATCCGTCGGTGCTTCACCCGCATCGCCTGTCCTTCGTCGGCTGTCTCGAGGGTACCCTGCAACAAGATGGACCGGATGTCAAGATTGGTCTGCTGCAGCTCTCGTCCGACCTGACCGTACCCCTCCGCGTCCCCAGCACCTCGCCCCTATACCGTGACCGCCGCATCGGCAAGCATCCTCGCACCATCCTCTTCGTCCAATCGGTCGCACTCAACGCCATCAACGATGCGGTACTGCTCTTCGATCGCGATGCATCGTACGAGATTGTCTCCGAGGACGCGCACTGCTCATTTGACGCGGTGATGCAGTTTGCGGCCCAGTTGGACAAATTGTGGACCGCAGACACGAGGGGTGTTCGGACGATCAGGGCGACGAACGCGAAGAAGTCGGCCGGGCGTGGCCGAGCCAGTGTGCCAGATGGTCAGCCCGGCAGCTTGGCCTCCCCTTTCCCGTGCGATGACTAGCTTCTCAAGCTCGTGTACTTCTCCTGATTCAATGTCAACTCGGTTTCTGTGTCTTTACATCGAAGATCACGTGCTCTGAGAAACCGAAGGCAAAGAGCCATGAGACGAGGTCAATGGCGTGGAAGACTTTAGACTGTGCACATCACTGAATGTCGACTGCCAAGCAGAACGAACGCGGACCGAGGTCGCGTTCCCTTCCAGCCAGGTCGCGGGATCACCGATGCCCCAGATACAAAGCCAAAGACGCCGAGGGTGACCAAAACCACGCGATTCGCCACGTTGCAACATGAACGCCGCGCTTGGCTAAGCGAGGGCAAGTTGTCTCTTCAGCCGAGCCTCATGATGCGAGCAACAGTAGCCGGCCCTTCCAGGATGACCAAACAAACAGGATCTACCAAGCGAGGGACGGCTCTTTTTCTCATTGCAGTGAGTGACATGCATGCGTGGTGTTGGAGCCAGGAAGTCGGTCAGGCGGCGATAAATTGAGCGGGGTCTGCATGAAAGCAACGTCTCCGACCGGAACGCAAGAGGCCGACATGGCACATGAGCGAGGAGGCGAGACATTTGGATGCGGCTTGCTCGGTCGCTTGATGAACCGCACCCAAGTTTGCATGGTGATGGTGTCACGACCTCGGCCAATTCCGACTCCCGTGATAGCCGGTCAACCTCGCCCGCCAGGCACGAGAGAGCACGCTTGGTCGGGTACTCGCTCCTATCAGATATCGCTCGCCGCGACAGAAGCTCGATTGCCAAACGATGGAGCTCGGCCTTATGTCAAACGATGGATGGGGCGTGCAAGAGGGCGAGTTCGACGTGAAAGAGGTCGTCAATGCCACGCGAGAAAGGGCGATTGGCAGGAGGACTAAGCGAAGCGTGACAGGCTGTCGTGACACACTCAGCCGCGCCATTCGATTTAAACTCTCCATGTGGTCGTGTTTGAAACTCCGATGGCGACCGCGGCTATCTATCGCCTCGCCTCAGGGGTTGCGTTCGAATCTGATTAGTTGCTGACGTGCGGGCCTGCTCGGTCTGGATGGTCGCAGGTTGACCGGTCGGTGGCCTCGCTCTTCGCCGACTTCCGGACAGGAGGCGATGCAGGATGCTCAAAGGGAAACAATGGAGATGGGCGGCTCTCGCGTTGGACTACGAGATGATTACCCGAGAGGCTCTCATTGGATCGGCCTGCGTGGTGCAACAACATCCGAGAAGCGCATGGTTGTCGTCATCTCGTGGGAGCTGGTGGTGACGCACAATTGGAGCCATGTGCTGGGAGGCATGATGGTTCTCGGGGATGTTCTCTGCAGGCATGGACGATTGGCTCTTCCGACATTGTTTCCGCGGAACAATGGAGCGGTCTGCGTCGACCATGGATCGAACGCATGAAAGTGACTATTTGGCGCGCCGAACGGATCGGAGCAGGCTTGCATGCGCGCTCGAAAGAGATTCCCGCATCGACGTGAGCAAAGAGGCGCATTGTTGCGGCTCGACCGCAGTAGAAGGCCAGACAACGCAGCGATCGGCAACCAAGAAGGGCACATGTGGATTCGACACTTCGCAAAGAAAGCTCGGGTTTGCCCTGTGCATTGGAGATGGCCTCGTTCTGTCTTATTTGGTCGTGGCTGGGAAAGGGGTCCGATATCGACTCCGACGCAAGGACGTGGAGAACGGGCAAAAAGGAGTGGCATGAGATAAGCTCGAGCAAAGCTCAGACGATCGCTGGCGACCCGAGCATCCGTATGTCGTGACTTGGACTCGGTACCGCAGGCAAACAAGGGGGATTGGAAGCTCGTGGCCTCGGCTAAGGACCAAATGCCGAAAAGGGCGCGGTCGGGTGCCGTGGGAGGAGAAGCTCGCTTGGGAAATCGAAATTGCGCTCGTTTGGTGCCACGCGTGCGGGCTCCAGTGTGCCGGAAGAGACGGAGAACGATGTTGGCTACCGCCTACCGCGGTTCATGATGCTTCAATATCGGGAAGCTCGACCACCGGCTTTACGGTGGGTTGGTGCCTGTATCAAGATGAAGGAAAGGGCCGATCATGTCGAATGGGTGGCTGAGGCGGTTGCCATACAACCACGCATGAGCCTCTGTCGTCATCTGCCGGTCCGCAGGAAATGCAAAGCCGACGCAGGACGGAATTGAATGCGGTCAAGAGAGGCTGTTGGTTCGGAGGTTGAGCCGGCGAACATTCGACGATCAGCTGAGGCGAACCACGACGGGAGTTGCATCGCTTGCATGCTTGCATTGCATCGCATCGCACTGTCAGGGAGCGACATGCAGGGATGACCTGGGTGAGAGCAAAAGCGGCTTGGAGTCGGCTAAGGAAGGCATTGTTCTGTTTCGCATGCATAGAGTGGAATCGCATGTCACTCTCGTCTGTGCGCCCACACCACGTACAGCCGAGTGAGATGCGGTGGTGTCACTAGAATGGCCGAGTCTTGGTTCTCCTACGGGCTTGTCTCAGCCGGCAATCTGTGCATGTTGCCGCCTGATTTGCTTGGTTCGGCAATGATCCGTCAAGCTCGCCCCGTCTTGTTCGGGAAGCAAGCCGACCGCGATGAGCATCTTTCGGGCTGAGCACTAAGCGACCCTCCCCCTCCTTCCCGGCCATCATCATCATCATCATCGTCGTCGTCGTCTCCACCAGCAACTCTGGTATCCATTGTTCCCACATTCGCTTGCTGATCCTCGACTCGTCTTCGCTACGGAGATCCGACGTGGGCGTCAACGGGATTACCGGTCAGCTTGGCGGCCAACTCCATCATCGGTCATCGACCTCGACTTCCGCAAGTGCAGAACGCATATCTTGGCCCTGTCACATCCACATCGGTCCGCTTCCGAAAGACAACTATCTCGGCGTCTGTCACTTAAGGTTGGTGGCTGCACATCCATCAGCTTTCCTTTCTTCTACAGTCACATTCTCTCGCTCTCATCCATCTTTGCTTTGGCCGATAAAGCAGCGCATTCGAACCATCAGTCGAGCGTCAGTTGACTTTCTCAGCCACTTGCCGACCATTCTCTGCAGCTCGTCGTCACCGCTTCATTCCGCGCATCCCACTGTGCTTTATCGAGCGCCCGTCTCCTCGGCTGGTCCCCCACATTCGGTGCAGCTCTTGGCTTTTTGCGCATATCTCATCTCGGTCGTTTCAGCGCCGAGATTGAGTGGATTCGGCGAGAAGCCCGATTGTCATTGTGCGCGAACCGAGCCGACGGATACGCTTCGGAATCGTTTGCCGGTCGATCCGCACTCCCGTCACATCACCGGTGGTGGTGTTGCAGTCCCAGGGAGACGGCCAAGCCGACCAGTCTGTCGGATCTCTGCGCAGCGCTCCTCTTCTTTTCTTGGCTATACAAGACGGCGCATATCACATCAGTCAGCGCTTGCTTCTCTCTCTGACTCAATCACACTTGCGACGACACCTCACCTCTACCCATCACACCCCTTTCGCCCATCATTTCGTCGCTCACCTTCGATCCGGCTCAGCGGAGCAGCAGCAGAAAGCTTCTGCCGCCGCCCCTCGCCATGGACCGGTCTCCTTACTACACCCATCCTCGAGGCTCAACAGGCAACCGAGCATCTGGATCGACCACCAGGGAAGAGCACGATGCGAGGCGCGAGCGTGACTCGGAGCGACTGCCGCCCTTGTTGCCACACAGCCACCACCCCATAGCACGATCCGACCCACTCGCACCACCTCCAGCCAGCGGCTCTCGTCTTCCTCCCATCAACCCTTCCGCCGCTGCCAATGCTACTTCCCCTTACGCATCGCATCGTTCCTATGCCCCCGCTCCGGATCATTCGACTGCATTTGACCTTGCTCGTCGAACAAGCCCGCCATCCTCATTGCCCGTCGGCATGGTCTCAGCCGACTATATGCATTCAAGGCGGTCTCCTGGCGAACGGCCGGCCCCGTACCCTTCTTCTTCCTCCTCTTCCTCTTCGGCTTACCGCCCTTCTCACATGTACCCCCACCACCACCACCCACCTCCTCAACCCGATCCTTATCACCAAGACGCTTTGCGAGCGCATCCATCGTCACATGCACCTCACCATCGCCTTTTTCATGATCAACTTCCTGCTCCTCCTCCTACTCTGGGCCATGCTCCCCCCGACCTCGACCACATCTCGGCGTCGACCCCAGTTAAGCGACCTCGCGTCTCATTGGCATGCCTCGCCTGCCGCAACAGGAAGTCTCGCTGCGATGGTGTCCGCCCCACTTGCAAGACGTGCGCCAACATGAGTAAGTCTTCATAGCAGCTATTGCATACACAGCGCTTTCATCTTGCTGACCAGTGCTCCTCTTACTCTTGCCTTTGTACGGCGCAGAAATCGAATGCAAGTGGCCCGAAGTCGACTTTCGTCGTGCCAAAACGGGCGATGCTGCCAAAGCACGCAGAAAAACCCCGCCAGGTGCTTCGACGCAGCGTTCTCCTGTATCGGTCGATCTCAAGCACCACAGCAGGCTCGACGCTAGCGTGTCCGACGACAATGCCTACAGGCGCACCTCTGATGGTGCACTGCCAGCTTCGCAGTCCATGCCGACCGCGTCGTTCGCTCCGGCTGCCCTGCCAGTCTCCGATTCCCAGGTCTCGAGCCCCAAATCGAATCGCGGATATCGCTATCGCACCCATTCCGATGGCGATCGACAAGCTCGCCACGCTGAAGCTCCTGTGCACGCCGCTCGTAGTCCAACCGAGCGCTTTGCGTATCCTGGACCTCAGGAAAGGCGCGCGGATCCGTATGCTCGTGCCGAAGCATACGCACGCCCTTACAGCTCCACTGGTATGCCCGACGCGCGTCAAGATGTGCCGATGCTCGACGACCGTGCGCAGCCTTACCCGCAAGAGCACCGAGCACCCGTCTGGGAAGACCGCACCAGTCGACCGATTCGAGCCTTGCCGGAACTTCGCCCTCCTCAACGCGATCCAGCCGCCATCCGGTGCAGGAACAGGGCAGCCCAAATCGCCGTCCTTGCTCGTCCCGCTACCGACTCGGAGCGCATTGCTGTAGAGGCTCACTTGAGCACGGAATCGAACCTCGAGGATCTCGCTGATCAGGCTACGGCGGGTGAGCGCTTAGATCATGCCTTTGCAACCGACTGGGACGCGATTGGCGGTCTTGCACCTGCAGCACGACGCCCTTTCATGGATGTCGCTGCTGGCCTAGTGGGCGTGCTCGAGATCTCGGACATGGATGCGCAGCGAGGTCACGCTCGTGTTTCCGCAGAGTCAGTAGGTCGCCTGCATCTCTTTCGACTGCGACACGGCTCGACGGACGCTGTTCCGGATCTGCGTCACCTCAACATCGCCATGGATCTACCCCTCGCCGAACGACGTGAGCTGCTCGAGACCACCTCGTCGCCGTACAACACGCTCAGCTATCCTATTCCCGTCGATCGCCTTTCTCGGCCGCTTGTCGAGGTCATGCGACGAGGTCATCACGAAAAGCAAGAGGAGCAACAAGTCAAACATGGGAGGGCCTCGAATGTTGGAACTGGTGCGGCTCTGCGTTCCTTTCCGCCCCCTTCGGACAGCATCCCCATCGTGCGCAAAGAAGACATCAAGCCACCACAAGCGATCCAGGAGCTCTTCCTCCAGGCTTACATTCGCGCCATCGGAGAACAGATGCCCGGCTTGAACACCAACGTGGTAGCAGCTCGCATCCGCGATGGCTCCATTTCGGCGCTCCTCGCCAACGCGCTCTGTGCTATTGGTGCGAGTCTCTACGAGCGTCGTGGCCAGCGCCCTAGCATCGGCGAAGCGTTGAGCAGCAAAGTCTACGTCGAACGCGCGCGTGCCCTTCTCGGCGCGGCGATTCAGAATCCGGATATCGAGGCGATCCTGGCGCTCGGTGTCATGGCGATCAGGGACATTCTGCTGGGACAGACGATCTCGGCTGCTGTGATCGTGTCGTCAGCTGTTCGACTCTGTATGCAGCTGGATCTGCATCGCTCACGTGCAAAGAAACCCCCTTCCACACAGGAGGGGGATGATGCCGTTACAAAGCTCAAGGCGGACGACATGTTCTGGATGATCTACTGCTTGGACCGCATCACCTCGATCGCCACAGCCCGCCCGCTCGCCATCAAGGACCGCGACATCGACACGCCCTTTCCGGCCACCATGCGCAACAACGAGCCGTGCATCTTTGCGGCGCTGGTCCGACAGCTGCACTATCTAGGCCGGCTAGTCGACATCGCTGTCTCTGGTGCAGGCACGAATGCTGATCGCACACGCGACCTCGAGCTCGCAGCCATCGCCGCCGACCTGAACGCACATTACACCTCCCTGCCTGCCACACTCCTTCTCAGCAAGACCAACCTCAACCTCGCGCAGGACCGCGGCGAACCGCTGTCGTATCTCCAGCTGCACCTCACGCATCACCTCGCGCTGCTACACCGCTTCCTCCTTTCGCGGGGAGGCATGACGAGCGGCGAGCATGACGCAATGCGTGCTGCGGCCGCGGCGGTGGTGCAGATCTGCAAGATGGGCGAGGAGGTGAATGCGACGCTGCTGGCGGACACGCCGCTGAGTGCGGCCGCGTGCTTCTTGGCTGGATGTGTGCAGCTGGCGGAGATCGAGGCGGGGGATGATGAGGCAGCGCAGAGCGCGTTGGAGTGCGTGATGACGACGCTGAGCAGGCACGCTGAGTTCTGGCCTGTAGCGGGTGGGCTAGCGGACGTGCTGCACGCCGAAAGGTCGAGGTTCAGAACGCAGCTGCTGTCGGCGAAAGCGCTGGGCAAGATCGTGAGCCAGGTCGAGGCGGTGCACGTCGTGGTGCGGAGGCCCTCGGAGGAGTTGGATGGTCAGCAGGCGGTAAAGGTGGTCAAGGTGGACGATCTGGACGTCGTACGCGGTGCCTTTCCACATCTGTGCTGAGGTTCGGGATGCAATCTTTTCGTCCATTCAAAGCGTCTAAGCTTCGGTGTCGTCAATGAGAGGCGCGTGATGGAAGGCGCGAAATCGATTCGTTCAGAACGCATGTCTTAGTCGTCCGCGTGACTGCGTGTGAATGTCGTGAAGGTGCAGTTGACGACAAAGGTCCATGTCAAAGTTGACTATGAGCGCTGCATCGTGCGAGAGAAGATATGAGTATGCAGGCCATTCAGGAGGAGTCGATCCTCGGCCTAAGCTTTCTGCTCCATGGTGATAGAATGCTGTATCGTATTTTCAAAGTCTGCGCGATATAGGCGGCTGAGATATCTAGAGCGTACGGCGATCCGACATGACGCGAACAATGCAGCCTGTGCCGGCGACCTCGGTGAGCTGTGCGGAACAGAAAGATGGATGTGTTGTCATCGTCAGCTTTCGGTCATCTTTGTGCGAATTGGGCGGGAGGAGCGTAGATGACGATTTGGTCTGGTTGCGGCTGCTTCGAGGCTGTTCGAGGGTTGACTGAACCTTGATCGAGGCTGATCCAGGTTTCTGCGAGGCTCCTGCGAAGCTCCATCGAGGCTCGCTCGAGGCGTCGTCGAGGCACCTTCAAGCCTCGCCTCGAACCTCATCCCGAACCTGCCTGTTCACTTCTCCATCAGCCCCTCTCCCCGAACACCTTTTGAACTTCGCACGAGCCTCTGCTCGAACGTCCTCTCGACCCTCTCTTCGTCCCAATCCCTTCTCCTCTCCGCATCTCCCTCCTCCCCTCTTTCCCCACTCCTCGTCTCTCTATTGCTGGAAGCACTCACCCGTTCATGCCAGCCCAAAAGCACGGCGCAGTTGACGCCATCCGCGCCCTCGCCGCCGAGCTGGAGGCCCTTGTAGAGGAACTTCATGAGCGCGTCGCGCTGGTCGATCGAAATCGCCTTGACTGCCGCGCTGATGTCGCTCGACTTGGTGCTGTTGACGATCTCGAGGAGGCTGTGAAGGGTGATTTGCTGTTTCGAATTGCAAATGGGTGGGAGTCAGTATGTTGAGAGCGACGGTGCGGGATTGGTTGTGCGGAAGGTCGTGCTGAGTAGGTCGTTGGTGGATGGTGCGGGTTGTATGTTTGGGGGTGACGTACCTTTGCCTCCTCGACCGTGGGTCCGTAGGGATAGTCGCTGAGTATAAGTGCAAGGGCTCCCGCCGTATCGCTCCTGTCGTACCACACATCGAAGTCAACATTGTCAGCTTTCCCCCTTTTCCCCCAGACCACCTTCATCCATACCCTTCTTCGCAGCGTCAGATACTCACCGCCCAATCAAGCCGCGCACCTCGGTGGATTTCGCCCGCGCCTCGGCGGTCGCCTGTTCCGCCGCTTTCGGGTACGACTCCACCAGCTCCTCGGGCGAAATCGCCTCCTCGTCGTACTGGTCAATGTCGATCTTGCGGAAGTTGTCCATCGTGCGCTCGTCTGCCGTTCGTACTGCTGATTTGGCTTGCTTCGGTGCGATATGCGTCCTGCGAGAGTCAAGCGTACGTCGTGTGACTGATGAGAAGCGCCGATGAGATGGATGCAGGTGATAGTCGGATGGCAAGAAGAAGGGATGGAAGAGACGAGGCAAAGTGGAGTTGAGAAGGTGCCAGGTGAGGCTGTGGCCCGGCTCATGCGCCGAATGGGGTGCACGGACTTTTTGTTTGAGTTTGTTAGATCATCGAAAATTGGGTCAAACGTTGGCTAAAAATCTAGACGGGCGACAGCAACGACTCGAGCGAGGTGACATGGCGACAAAGAGGTCTTGATGGTCTTTTGAGGATGCACACATTGCTCACAAACACATACAGTTTCCATCTCATGACGGTCGGCGGTGGCGACAGCGCAACAGCACACCGAGTCGGTAACAATACGCACGCCCCCAAAATGGAAAAAAGTGGTCGCGATTGATTTCGCCTACTGAACCCCCCTCGCCCACTTCAAATCCCTCGCTCGGAAACCAACCATCTCCTCCAAGGCCTCCTGAACATCTGTCTGAGCCAAAAAGTACGCCGCCTCCGTCCCTCTGCTCTTCTCGAGATCCACCGTGGTGCACGTCACCGGCGCAAACAGGTCGAGCGTGTTGACGTACGCGAGCAGCTTCTCGTCCTGGCTGAGCGCGAGGACGAAATCAAACGTGTGCGTCTGGTGGTAGTGATGCGGCAGGTGGACCGAGATGGATCCGGCGTGGCTTCGCATCGGTACGGCAGGCGATGCGGAGCGTGTGCTGTGCGCGTGCGCGGCGAGCGGCATCGGCCAGTGGTTCGACGGCTGCTTGTAGGCGCTCTCCAGCGAAGGAGGGTGCGGCTGGTCCGCAAGTCGTTGCGCAATGTCGTTCGGCTTGTGTGCCGTGAGCGAGGGGGTCGATGTGGACGACGGCTGACCGCTGCTGCTGTGCGCGCCGGGCGTAGGCACCGATCCGATGATGCTCATCTGCATGATGATGTGCTGCACGGCCGCAACGCGGCTGGCGTGACGAGGGAGGATGAGGCAGTTGGTGCGGCAGGGAATCACGCGCAGCGAGTGCGAGAAACGCTCGTGAATCAGATTCGCCACCTCGGCCGACTGCCGACGCGCCCACTGCGCTTCGTGCGAGTTGCGGTCGCCCATCTTGTCGTTCCAGAATCGCCAGCACATGGAAGCGCCCCGCTCCTCAATGTAGGATCCGGGGGTGCGCTCGGAAAAGTAGGAGAGGATCTCGCGCACCGGTCGCAGATCGAACGGCGCAACAAGGCCGTTCCAGTAGTTCTCGCCGGCGTGCTTGACGAAGCAGCCATCTTCAGCAACGAACCCGATGCTGTCGAGGCGCGAGGCGAGACGATCCAGGTCGTCGGTGCCCATGCCGCTGAGGACGTAGACGACATTCTTGCTGTCTGCCGCCAAGTCGTGGAGAAGTTTGAAAAGCCATTCGGGTGGTCGGAAGCCGCCTTGCTCGTGAGCGGCCAGAGGATCATATGTGACCAGCGTCTCCTCCAGATCGATGAGCAAGAGACGCGAATGGGCAGCCCGCCATTCTGACACGAGCTGCGCCACTTCGAGCCGAGGCACAAACATGTTCTCGAGCCTTTCCTGTTCGAGATGCGCTCGTTCCAGGTGGCCGAGCAAGGACGTGATCCACTGCTGCGCCGTCTGCGTGACGACGACGCGATGTAAATCGGTCCAGCGCTGCACCATCTCGGACTCGCTCATGGTGAGCGCCTTGTGGATGGCGTGGGCCACTTGCTTGGTGTTCCAAGGGTTGATGCCGATGCAGGCACGGAGACCCGAGTAGGTGCCGGTAAACTCGGAGAGGACGAGCGGACGGTGGCTGACCTCCTGGCAGACGACAAACTCGTGTGAAGTCAAGTTCATGCCTTCGCGCAGACTGGTGGCGAGGAAGCAGTCGGCTACGGTGAGCAGGGCGAGGTACTGGCTAAAGGTGATGTCCTGGACGTGCAAGAACACCACGGGCTGGTAGGTGAGCGTACTGTACTTGTTGTTGATGCGGGAGACAACGTCGGTGGCCTCGCCGATCTCCTCGTTCTCTTCGGTAGTGGCGAGCGCGACCTGAATAAGGACCACTTCGCCGGCCCACTTGGGGTGCTCGTCGAGGAAAGCCTCAAAGGCGAGCAGCTTCTGCCGGACACCCTTGATCCAGTCGAGCTTGTCTCTGCCGACAATGATGCGTTTGCCTGCGTACTTGTCTCGCAGCTGAGCGACCCATTCGCTGACCTCGGGGTCTTGACGTTTGGCATTGAGACTTCGCACATCGATGCCGATAGGGAAGGGCGCAACCGTGACGAGACTTCCTTCGAGCTGCACACCTTTGGGAGTCGCTTCGAGCTGCAAGATGCGGCTGACCGTCTGCAGAAAATGGCGGCAAAAGTTGTGCGTCTGGAAGCCAATGAGATCGGCGCCGAGCATGCCCTTGAGCAAGGTCTCGCGCATGCTCAAGCAACGGAAGATTTCTGATGAAGGGAAAGCAATGTGGACGAAGAGACCGATGGTAGCATGCGGCAATCGCTCTCTCACCATCTGCGGAACGAGCAGCAGATGATAGTCATTGATCCAAACAATGTCGCCCTCCTGGTAGACGTCCTCGATGGCGTCGGCGAAGCGTCGGTTGACCTCCCAATAGGCGCGGAAAGCTTCGTGTTCGTTGTCGAGACCTTTCGACGTGGGCGAAGTGTAGTGGAAAGTGGGCCAGAGGATCTGCTTGCAAAAGCGGTTGTAGCTCAGGTCAAAGTCGTCGTCTTCGAGCCAGACGGGCATCGACGAACGCTCCTTCATGTACCTCTGCTCGATCTTGCGCTTCTCGGAGGGTCCTAGCCAGCCTTCTGTGGACAATGCTGGGGTGCCAACGTAGAGCTTACCAGCGCGAAGACGTTCTCGCTCGATGCTCTTGACGGCGTTGATGAGACCTCCGTTGGCGGACGGGTTGCTGATGAACTCAAAGGGCGGTAAAGCGGCGTCGTCATCGTCGTCGGCGACGGTTTCGAGCGATGCAGTAGAAGTGCGCCTGTGGAGATGCGAGGATGAACGGCTAGCGGACGAGGTTCGACGGGCGCTGCCTCGGCGGGTTGCGGACCGCATGCTTCGGTTGCGAGTAAAGACGGAAGAGGGGGCAGCGGGTGGGCCCTGGTGAGTGCTGCTGGCAGACTGGCCGTGGTGATGATGATGATGATGCGATCGGCCTTTAGTGGAGGTGCTCGGCGATGAGGCGAGCGAGCGTTCTCGCGGTGCCGGCGTTTTGGCATGGCCGAGCAGCTCTCGTGACGAGGGTCTCTCACTTGTGGAGGCAGACGGCTTGCGAGCGTCCGCGGGCGATGCGGGGATTCCTCTGCCATGGTCGTTGATGGATCCGCTGGCGACTGCGCTGGCTGTCTTGGTGGTTCGCAATGCTGGCAGTGACGGGCCGGGTGTCTTGGAGCCAGAGCCGCCGGAGGTCCCTGATGCTGCATTCGATTTGGAGGAGGTCATGCTGAGGCTTTTGAGCGTGGGCAATAGACCGGGTCCGGCCGACTTGGTGCCCGACGGGTTTGCCTTGGTCATGCTGAGCGACGAAGGGAAGGCGCGAGCGAGTCCTGGCCTGCTGCCGTTGGCCGGAGTCTGAGCGCCTGCCATGGGAGTGACAGCGCCAGACCCGAATGGATGGTGCCTCTCGCTATCGGCTTCTTGGACGGGAGGAGGAACCGGTCCACCACGTCTGGCGGCCAGGTCCGAAATGATGCTGACGGGCTGAGTCATGGCGAGCTTGCCACCAGCCCTGGCGCCTGGCGTACGTGTGCCGGTGCCTTCTGCAATGGAGGCGGGCGGTGCCAGCGCAGTACCACTGCTGGTGTTGGTGTTGAAGCTGGAGCGACGGCTCTTGGGTGCTGCGCCACCTGCCGCAGCAGCAGCAGCCGCAGCTGAGATGGGAGCAGTCTGTCCGGGCAGAGGTGAAGTGCCAAAGGGACTCGAACCAGCCATCGTATCCGGTGTAAATGCGGCTCGGCCGTGGTCCGATGCAGGTGCGACGGGGATATCCGATCCTTCGGGACCGCTGCCGACGGTGTTGGCATGTTCCGACATGGAGCCTCGACGAGAATGACTGAGCGGACTCGATGCTCCCGAAATAGCAGCGCCATCGCGCACGTCGAGTTTCGGAACGGCAGCTTCGTACATGAGCTCGCTCATGTTGATCTTAGTATCTGTGAACGAAGGTCGATGGTTCTTGGGTGTCCTCGCGGGGACGGGCATGGAGCGCGAGGGGCGGTCGTTGGAGGACAATGACATGGACGCTGCCAGTCGCGAGGAGAGTTCGTGCAGCGGCAAAGGTGCATCTGTTCCCAATGAATCCGGCGATGGAGGAGCGGTGGATTCTTCGGGCGATTCCGCCAGCGCCGACTCGAATTCGGGCTCGACAAAGTGAAGCGTATCGGGGAGGAAGAGCGAGGCGATCACCACGCGGTGACCGCCGAGATTGCCTCGACGCGGCATGCTTGTCGGATGCTATCCAGGTGCTCTGGGCCGGAAGGGAGGGTAGCGACGGAGGAAGACTGCTGGCGTCGGGAAGAGAAGGGTCAGAAGATCCCTAGGGTGTCGTGATGGCAAGCAAGAGTCGATGATGGTGGCGGTGGTGTCGGTGATGCTGCGGGATGGCGGTGATGAACGACAGATGGGAGCGCGAAGAGTCTACAAGGCTAGCGGCGCTGATGGGCAGCAAGAACCTAGAGATTCTCCTCCATCTGGCACATCGAGCGGGCGCGGCTGCTGATCTCCTATGCGATATGAGCGAGGGGCAGACGTCGGGCCTGCAGTCTGGGACGCGAGGCTGACACAAAGTATGAGTGTTGGTCTCTCTCGCAACTGCAAAGGGCGATGCCGAAGGAGGAGCGGAAGGGGTCTGTTGGTGGCAGAAGAGGAGGAAAAGAGAAGGAGGCGCAACAATGTGTCACTTTTTGTGAGTGCGCCAAACATAGCGCAGGAACGTGCATCATACGAAGAACCAGACTGGAAAAATTCGGGCGCTGACTGACGAGTGCAGCAGCCACCAACATGACATCTGTCTCGGCAGTCATGAGACACACGAAGCTTGCAGATCTTCTCATTCCACATCCGTGCGCTTGGGCCTGACGTTCGGCGAAAGAGAGACCAAGATGATGATGATGCTAGGTGGCCGATGGTCGACACCACAGTCACCGGTGACCCAACTGCCATACGGGCACCAAGGCGGCCAAGCCAAGCCCGTCGTGACCGAAAAATCTGGAAAAAACAAAAGAGAGACAACGAAGAGGGCGTGCGCCATGCACGGTCTGAGTTTAAAGTTGCGCAAGACTGTGGAGGATTCCCGAGAACAAAAGAGCCCTTCCGAACCGCGCCGATGATCGTTCTTTCTGCAGCGCGGCCAAGCTCAAAGGCCTTTGATGAACACAGCGGCCAGGTCGAGCAGCTTGGACAGCTCTCTGCCAAGAACCAGGCGAGCAGCTGCGGTTGTGACTTTGAAGAGGGGAACGGCAAAAACAAGGTTCGCGGTCCGGAGAGGCCGAAAGAAATTTGGCGCGTCCAAGCCCTCGATCCCGCTCAAAGCCTTTCACTTTCGCTTTGTTCGCACTGATGGTCTGCAAATGATGCTAGAATGCTTCCGATGCCGCGAGAGCCTGCCGACTTCGTCCTTTTTCTCCGATATGGCTGTGTCGCTCAAGGACGTCGCCGCTTGTCGGCGCGGACTGCGATGGGAAAGTCGCCGAGGCGAGGCGAATTTTCTGGAGGGTGGCTGATCCTTCTGAGGGTCTAACATCCCGGCAATATTCCTTGAGTCTGGCTGAGTCGAGAAGAAAGGGGAGGCAGCACGGTCCAACCAAGCCGCCGGACCCTGTCGTCTTGCTGTTGTCACTCTCTCGTCCGTCATTCAACAGCGCAAACATCGGCACGTCGACGAAGACGAAAGAGTCATCCTCGTCCTACACTTCACGAGATGGCGACCGCCAAGATCGCCACGCTGGCCATCCGCACGCTCGCCAAGCCCATCGCGACGCAGCTCAAGAGCCAAGCGGCGCAGCATGAGTCGTTCAAAAAGGTCAGCTTCCCCCCGGGCAGCACGAGGTTGACCTAGCCACAGACTGACCTTACATGACTTCTCCTTGTGTCGATCCACACAGATCTGCATCGCCCTGGCCCAACGCATGCATCGCACCGAGATGGCGTTGCGGACCAACCTCCTCCCTAACGGCGTGCAGCAAAAGGTGCGACCGCTCAACGATGCCAAAGCGATCGCCAACGGCGCCAATGCCATCTCGGAAGGATTTCTCTTCTTTGTCGCTGCAGCGCTGATCCTCGGCGAGACGTATAGGGGGTCACGGAAGAAGGCGGAGCAGCGCGATCGAACGGAGGACTCGCTCAACCAACTGACGGACCAGGTGGAGAGGCTGGCCACCGTGCTCGGGATCGATCTGGAGGAGTTGCAGAGCTTGTCGGAGCAGGACCGGGATGGAAGTTCGCGTGGTTGTCCGCAAGGTAGTGAATCGATACCAGGGAGACGTGAGATGGAAGGCGATGTCACCGAGGAGGCCGACCCCTCGTCAATAGAGGCCAGGTTGAAGGTGTACAGGGATCGGCAGGACGAAGATTTGAAGAGCAAGCAGCTGCAAGCAGCCGTGTCGGTGCTGCTCGATCTTGCACTCAAGAATCGATGGGTGGTGGGAGCAGAAGCATTGGAGCTGGAGGGCATTCTAGGCAGAACGGCGGCCGCATCACCGTCATCATCATCCACAGCGCCAGAAGCACCAACAGCGCCTGGCGCAGCAGTCCAGCCCCAACCATACCCAGCAACAACATCATCAGCGGACGACTCTTCGCAAACTCTTCAGCCCTCCATCATCCAACGAGTCGCCTTAGAAAGAGCAAAAGCGTTAGCAAGAGAAGTCCGAGGCGAAGTAGATGCAAGTTCGCAGCCCGCCGACGCATCATTAGCCAGCTTGCTAACACAACACCGACAGAGCACAGCCGCATGACCCTGCCCCGCCGATACATACCACCACTCTTTCTGCATCCATCGCATCGCATCTCGCTCAAAGCTGCGACACCACGGCAGCTTCCGACTTGCACACTCGTCTGTACAACAGCTCGTGACAGTAGGAATTCAACACTAGCATAGAAAACGGGATCCTAAATAGGTACATATGAACAGGCTACAGGAAAGGACAGACTGCTTGGCTACCGACGGCCGATAGACAGAGCACATTAGACCGAGACCGATCGAAAATAGGCACGGAATCACGAGGAAGGGAGGACCTTGAAGGACCGAGGGGGAATGTCGCAGCTGGGGGGCAGCTTTGATCCGCTGCAGGCGAAAAAGCGAGGCGAACCGTTGGGTATCTCTTCCCGCACAGAGCGGACGTGGAAAACGGTCGCGAAGAGTGTCGCCTTGGTCGAAGCGGGCTGGTATCCGGAGGAGGCGGAGATCGCAGTTGTATCACGCTCGCCGTCTGGCACGTTTAAGCAGCACGAGGGCGAACGGCGATAGCCTCGTACTGAGCGAAACCGAATACGGTGGCCGTAGCCCAGATCTGCAGGTCGACACCGAGGTGAGCGAGCACATAGTCGTAGGAGAACAGCTTGCGAAGACCGCGAATGAGGGCGAACTCGGGCACCTCACCAGCAGCGACGCCCAGCACGGCGGGCGACGGCACGCCGAGCGCAGTCAAGGTGCTGTTGGGCAGGACGCGAGCCAGGAAGACGAGCGCCGAGAGACGCGCCAGCAGGAACGTGTAGACCGAGGGCTGGCTGCGGCGGTCAAACGTGACGAGGTGAGCGACGGCGAGGGGCACCAGCACGCTGTACACGGCCCACAGGATCAAGGGACGGTAAAAGTCGAAGCTGATCAGACCGCGCGGGTCGGGCAGCGTGATGGCCCAGTGAGGCAGGTAGCCGTTGATGCCCGTCTTGGGGTTGACGATGGGGATCTTGGGGCCACGGCTGCCCACCTCGACGTACGAGGTGGGGAGTGTAGCGAGCACGAGCAGGAGACCCTCGAAAGCGACCAGGAGGCGGACGAGGTTCTTGGTGTCGCTGCAAAAGGTGCGAGCGCGGACAAAGACCTTGTTGCCCTGCTGCTTGACCTTGCGGAAGCGCTTGGTGGCCTCGCCCTGGACAGCCTGGAGGCTGGCGGTGACTTCGCTCTGGACGTCCTGCACCTCGGTGGTGAGCTCCTTGGCGGTGGAGCGCGCGTTGTCCGTGAGCGAGTCGGCGAGCTTGTCGAGCGACTTGCGCGCCTTGAGGCCGCGCTGCTTGACGCTGTTGGCCAGGTCAGTGACGTTGGCGGGAATGGCGTTGGTCAAGGGGGTCGAGGGGAGGCCCAGGGTGGAGGGACGGCCCGAGTGCTTGCGGGGAGAGCGCACGGACGATTCGGGTGAGTCCGAGGCGTCCGAGTCGCTGTTGTGCGGTGTCAATCATAGCAAACATGGTCAGCAAAACGGTTCAGGACGTGCGGACGGGTACGGAGGTTGGGCGCGAGCTGATCGAGCCTGGTCCACCTCTAGAGACGCGACTACTTACGCGTTGCCGTTGACGCTGCTGGAGCGGGCGGATCGCTTGCGGCCCGAGTCGAGGCTGTCAATGAGACCCTTGAAATCGTTGTTGGACGAGTACTGGCTCTTGTGACTGATGAGGTGTTCGCGGATGAGGTCCTCGAGCTCCTCCTTCTTTTGCGACGAGTCGAGACCGATGCCGAGGGCCTGGGCGATCTCGGTGAGCTCGCCCTTTCTCTTGGCCTTGAGCGAGCCTTTGAAAGGAGTAGACGACATGCTTGCGTAGCGTGGAGTGGGCGTTGCGAGATGGATGGACAGCAAAAGAGGGCAGAGCTTCCGTTGGACAACCGCAGATGAGTAGATGGAGGTGTAACCGCAAAGGAGCAACGAGGATCGGGCGGATGGATATGATATCTGCGCAGATGCAGCCGCTTCTTAAGGGTCGTCCGCTCACGTCGAAAAGTGGATGGAAATTGGGTCGCGACGTCCCCACATGGCTGTCACCCAACTCATCCTTTCGTCATAGGGTCGCACAGTCAACCCTGTTTCCGGATCTGTCGTGGGGCCGAATCCGAAAAAGGCAATTCAGAGATGTAACATCCAGGGTCGCCCAGAGGCTTACATAAGCCAGACAGACACCAAGGGTTCAAGTCGCTCTTTGACATCTGGCAGCTTCTTCTTGCAGCGCATTCGACACCCATCATCCCAACAGAGCCTCTCGCTCTATACAAAACCATCACACGCCACAGCAGACTTCAGATTTGACATTCCGATCGTCTTGCATTTCCACGAAGGACCTTTTCGACCGAGTCCAATCGCACACGAGGAGGATCATCCCCGTGGAAGTCGATCTGATCCGCCATGTCGCAAACCCTGACGCTGCATCCCGTCACCGCCTTCACATTCACAACCAAAGACGCGCAACCCGAGGAAGATCCATCCGTCGCAGCTCGACTGCAGCGGCTGCAGAACAACTATGAGGATCTCGGCATGCGAAGGACAGTAGAGGCAGTGCTGGTGGTGCACGAACACGGGCATCCACACGTGCTGATGCTCCAGATCGCGAATGCTTTCTTCAAGCTGTAAGTTAGAGCCAACAGCTGATGGCAAAGGATCGCTCGAGAGGCGCAAGCTCTGACTGACACCTCTGTTGCTCTAACCGGTCCATCTGTGCATCTGAACAGCCCCGGAGACTACCTCAAACCGGGCGAGGACGAAGTGGAAGGCATGAAGGCGAGACTGGACGAGCGGTTGGGGCCAGTAGAGAGCGACCCTAACTCCTTTGGTCCCAACGGCGAGGGGCGCAACAAAGAGGACGGCGACTGGGAGATTCAGGACTGTCTCGCTCAGTGGTGGAGGCCAAACTTTGAGACATTCATGGTGAGTTCGCTGGATCACGTATCGGCCTGCTCACCGCAGCAGGGCAAAGCGACGACGGCCGGCTGACGCTTCGAACTCTTCACAACCGAACGCGCATAACAGTATCCATACGCACCACCACACGTCACAAAGCCAAAAGAGTGCAAGAAGCTCTTCCTCGTCACCATCCCTCCCACCAGTAAGTCTCTCACCGTGGCCAGCACCACACATCATTTGCTGGCGCTCACACTCCTCCATCTCTATCCTACTCTTGCCTTGATTTTCGTGCCGAACAGAGGTGCTCGCAGTACCCAAGAACATGAAGCTGCTAGCAGTGCCACTCTTCGAGCTTTACGACAACTCGCAGCGCTACGGTCCGCAACTCGCCGCCATCCCACATCTGCTCTCTCGATACAACTTTATCTACTCTGATTGAGTGCGGGGCCGCGCATCAGCCTCGCGTCCCCCTTTGTACATTCTGTAATCCTAGTCAACACCGTCACCGATAGTGTAAGCTTGTGCGAACAATGATCCGAGTAGCTCGGGCAGGTCGTGCTCAATCTCCCAAGAAGCCGGCTCTCGAAATGCGTTCTCAACGAGTCCACGTCGAATGTCCTGCTCTCATATCGACACAGGAAGCAAGGCGCAGACAGAAAGGAAGGATCGTGTGCGTCGGATCGACAACAGTGCGGTTGCAAAAGAGAAGAGCGGTACTAGTACAATGTTGGTTTGAATGATTTTCTGTGTAATGCAGCAATGGGATGCTGATGGAGGGAAGGCAGGGCGACGGGAAAAGACGGCGCGGGTATGCTTGCTCGAATCCTGGCGTTGGTACAACGAAGCTTCCACGGATCGGACAAACGAGGTGAAGAAAGAGTCATCTATGGTGGCCGATCGCGACAACTATCGGCACACCGAGAGGCGCGGAGTGGGACGACCAGGCCAAAAGTGCGATAGGGGGCGGAAGAGGAGGACTAGCTTGCTCTTTGATGGTGCTGGGTTCCTTCGAGCCTGAAGCACATCGCAGAGCGAAGGAAGGATGAATGCTGCGGATACTGCTGTTGCTGATGGTGATGATTAATGGAGAAGTGATGCTGCGGAAGAGGGTGGGTAATTTGAAGGCGCACGGCCTCGATCAAGGCTTGCGGAACTCAGCCAGTACAGGCAAGATGAGATTAAACGCCTGGTAAATCTCCTCTCGTACCTTGGCACCGGTGAGCACGATCTTGCCAGAGACAAAGATCAGAAGCACAACCTTAGGCTTGACCATGCGGTAGATGAGACCGGGGAACAGCTCGGGCTCGTACGACGAGTAGACACCGTGACTGTAGGCGAGGCCCTCGAGACGGATGGGGAAGCGCACGTCGCACGAGCCGACAATGTTCTGAATCTTGAACTCGCTGAATTTGGCCTCGAAGCCGAGCTTTTGGATGATACGGGCGTACTTTCGACTAGCAAGACGGCTATCATCCTCCGACTTGGCACCCGTGACCACCATCTTGCCCGAGGCAAAGATGAGTGCTGTGGTCTTGGGCTCGCGGATACGCATGATGACGGCGGCGAAACGCTTGGGATTGTACTCGGCATTGCGCGCGTGCAGGGCGATGGTCTTCAAGTCGAGACGCACCTCGAGGTTGACGGTCGCGACGATGTTTCTGGGTGGGGTGAAGTGGCGTGGGATGGGTTGTGGGTTAGAGCTCAACAGTGTCAATACGGCATGATCAAAGATAATGCGGAACGGTAGCAGGCCCGCAATGACGCCAGCCCTCGGAGCATCATCCCGGGCGCATATCCGGTTGAGATGACGAGCGAGGACATGCATCGACGGGTAGGATCGTTTAGCGGGTCTGCCAAGGAACAAGATACTCACTGCAACGTAGGCACAATGCCGTGTACACTCGAGAGGCCTTGCTGATCCATCCCGGCAGCGTCCTTGCCAGTAGCGACCACCTTCTTGTCATCGTTGCCGGCGCCATTGGCACTGGTCAGAGCACCAGCGTTGGCGTTGCCCTTGGAGCTGGTTGCGTTGTTGGCAGAGTTGCCCGAACCGGGCAGAGCGACACCTCCGAAAGCCATCTTGATAGCGAGCGGTAGCGAAGCGGAAGTAGCGGGATGAAGAGGAAGAGACGACGACGGTGGTGACGACGAAAGGACGAGGCTGAAGCCGGCGGATGGGGCGGCGTCGGCGTCGAGAATTGCGAAGGCGAAAAGTGTGCCGAGTTGCAATCAGGCGAAGAAGGTGACCAAGGTCACAGAGGGAGAAGCGGAAAGGATGCGGACGAGACGTCGCACAACGAGAAGGGGCCTGAATAGGCGAAGGACTTTCGATGGGGAAAGATCACTTTTTTGGTATTGCGATGGCAAAAACGGACGATGCGGTGCGCCGAAGGGGAATCCTTCCGCTGGTGAATGACAATCAACAGTCAAGGTGATCGCCAAAGCAGAAAGGGGCTCCAAGTACACACGGGATGTCACCGTCGACAAACAGAACTAGTCGATGCTGGCTGCTGCTGGTGCGTGGGGATGCGTGCCGGACTGACTTCCAGAAAAAAGCAAGCAGCAAACAGGCGGGTCGAGGTCGAAGGCGAGTCAACGAAGACCTCTTCGATCCAGAGACGGCTTTTGGTCGCGCTGATGAGCTTCGTAGGATGAGCAGCAGACGAACACCTTCGATGAGCGGAATGCCAAGAAGATGCGTTGACAAGCTGTAGTGCTAGTGTTGAACAAGAGCGGATACAGGCTTGCTGGAGGGCAGCGAGCAGCAAATATCGCGTAGACTGAGTGTCGAAGCGGATGAATGTGGTGAGAAGGGAAGGCGGAGATTTCGAATTCGAATTGGGGGGGATGCCCGCTGACCCTCCTCGTGTATATATACCAGAGCGGAACCGTCACTGTACACACCGCCCAACTGCAGCAAAGATTTTTTCGGAGGCACTTGAACAGAGCTTTGTGAGTCGATCAAATTGGATCTCATCCGCACTTCTTGAATTTGGCTGAGTCGTGGCATTCAAATTTGGTCAAGACAGGAGCAGCTGTTTGAATTGGGAGCTCCATCGAGAATACAAACCGCAGACGTGTCTGATTTTCAGCTCTGGAAGAGAGACGCGCGTGTAGAAGCTCATTGCACGCGGGTTTCACGCCATCAAGGCCAGCCAAGTCGCAAAGCCAGTCGCAAGCGACTCTTTGCTGCAGGCCTGCCTGCACGTCGCGTTCTTGACCGTCTTCAGTTTCGCCCGATTCCAGCCTAGCCTTGTTAAGCCATCTAAGGCTGCGGAGCCCCGCCTCGATGCTACGGCTCGGTTCGTCTGGCTTCCTTATCTGATGGAGGATAGCGAGGTTCGGCTGAACTGTTCAGCACGATGAACTGGAGCACATCCACAGCTGGGGGCCGGGGCCGTCTCTGGCTCTCCAGCCACAATAGATTCGCAGACCGGATGGGCGCTACATCGTAGATGAAACGACAAATATCACATTGTTCAGAACCCAAAACTCTCCGTGATGAGAGTGACATTCTCGACGCCCGCCAAATTGCCACGTAGAATGTCGGCTTGGAGGTCTGCTACCGCATTGGAAGCGTCCTTGACCATGCCAGATGGCCCGCACACGACAACAGCAGCAGCAGCAGAACCTGAGCTCTCGAAGGGTTCTGCACTCGCGCTCGACATGCTAGATGACGCTTTCTCGACGTCGACTTGTTTGCTCGGGTTGGATGCCTCGCGGGCCAGATCTGTCACTGCAGCTGCAGCATCAGGGTGCGTGCCCCAGTGCACTTCCCAGCTTGCGGGCAACGCCAGATCCCGCGGAACAGCGTCCCGCCCGCTGATGTAGATCGAGATTCGGAGTGCATTCGCCGACGGTGCCAGTGCAGTGACGGTCACGAGGTATGGACGGACCCATTCCAGCGATTCTGCATCTCGAATGGACCAGACGAAATGGACATGACGAGTGGCCGCTGCCTTCTTCTGCCACTGCCACGACAGCTCCAGCAAAGAGGCCAGCACAAAGGTGATGCCGCTTCCACCTGCCAGCAGCAAGACGTGTTGATGATCCGAGACGCTGGCATCCTGCCCGTAAGGGCCATCGAGCACGGCAGAGAGAGCGAGACCGCCTCCTCTGTGAGGTACTTGCTCTGCCTGCACGCGGGACGCTCGGTCGTAGAGACGTTTCGTGATGCCTTTGCGAGCCTTGGCCATGAGCACCACCGTCGACATGAGCTGCTGATCGTCCGCCGACGGCATGCTTACGATCGTAAAGGGATGCGCTGACAGCGGCGCAAGGCCTGGAAAGCGCACAAAGACGTGCTGTCCGGGCCTCCATCGTAACGCCGAGTCGACCGTCATCTTGGTGAGCCCACCTGGCAGCGCTTCGACCCGACACGTTGCCAGCGAGAGGAAGCTGTTCTGCTGTAGCTGAGCGGCGAAGCGCAGGAACACGGACAGCATGTACAGTGCTGCTGTGGCCCACAGATATCGCCACGATGTCAGCAAAGCCTGGCAATGCACAAACATGTAGCCGAGGAACAGGATGGCAACGGGCACGTGGATGAGCAGGAAGAGTTCGTAACACCTCTCGCGGATGCCCGTCATGCTCGCAAACGAAAGCACAAAGAGGCAGACGTACGCAATGACGCCCGTCGTGTTGATCCTGTCGGAGGAGAACCATTCTCGCAGCGCAGCCGCGCCACCCTCAGAAAGCGGCTGATAGATGAATGGGATCATGTGGACGGTGGCGAGGAACAGCATGAAGCGCGCGAGCCATTGGTGGTAGACTTGAAGCCTCTCGTGGCTCACACCAGTGAGCAGAGAGATAAAGTTGACCTTGGAGCCTAGCACGTAGATGAAAGGCATGAGACCGAGCGCCATCATACCGGCGCGAAGGGCCAGAGGCGGGCTTCCGAAGCTGCTGTTGTCTCGATAGTAGGGTTGCACGACGAAGGCCCAGATGGTGAAACCGAGCATGAAGGCCGAGAGCGCCAAAGTAGCTCCGAGGACGGGCAGACGCAGGTTGAGGAAGCCCCAACGATAGGATGGCAGCCTTCGATAGGCCAGCATTCGGTAGGCCGCGGCGGGTCGAGCCAGCCAGCCCGAGGTTGAGGATCTTGTCGCTTTCTCGAGGATAGTCGAGTCGCTGGCATGGCGCTGATGTTGGTACCGTTGCCAACGCGAGTGCACCGAAGCTAGCGCAAAGAGAAAGATGATGATCGAGATGGACGCCGTCATTCCTTTGCTGTACTTCGGCTGGCCAGCCCACGGATCGCCAGTCCGTGTATTGGGCAGCAAGCCGATGCCGGCGGTCGTTGGCGAGCCGTGTCTCCGCTCCATGGTGATCGTCCTTGTGATGCGGATGACGACGGACAAAATCAACCTTGGGATGGGTAGTGGTCGTGGTACGAGATGGGGTCTAGTCTCTTCATCGACAGGCAATGGCGAAGGCTTGTCGACCCACCTCAACGAAGCACACGCTGCTGCTCGGAGCCTTTTTCTCATCACGGCGGGCCGATCCGCCAAAGTGACAGGCGGCTCGGACCCTTTTTGGCAGTCGAAGAAGGTTGGAGCCATGTGGGCTTGACAGCGGCTCGATTTTCCGTGACGAAAAAGTCTCCGAGCGCAGGCCTACGAGGATACCAGCATTACTATCTCGCCACGGCTACCAACCACCTCAGGCAACGGTCGACCGCTGTCACGTTGGGACGAAGCCGAGTGCAAGAGAAACAGATGCCGGTCGGGACAGCTCGACGCTCCCTCATGGCGCGAGTCGTGCTGCAGTAAGAGGGGCCCACGGTGGTAGCCAGCCCGTAATCTCTATCGTACGAGACAGCCCTCGCTCGGCTATCCACATTCGATCCTTCGATGTTCTCGTGGTGGCCGGCTGCTCAACTTGACCTGCAGGGCAGCTCGTGGAAAGAAGTAGGGCCGAGACATTAGTCGCCGGCGGCGAGAACGATCTCAAAGTAGCAACAGTAGCAGCAGGTCACATTTCGACATGCGTCCTCTTCTCCACGACACCCCGAACGCTACATCCTCCGTACCGTCCGTTCCTCCAAGTTGCTTTCTTCTTTCCCAATCTCGCCATCCAACCATGTCTGCTCACGCTGCCATCAAAGCTGGCAACCTGGCCGTCATCAGCGGCGGTGCTAGCGGAATCGGTCTTGCCGCCGCCAAATACTACCTAGGACAAGGCATGAAGGTCGCGATCGGCGATCGGAACGAATCGAGTCTTCAGTCGGCCACCAAGGCGCTGTCGGACAAGGGCGAGTCGTACATTGGCTTGCTAGACGTCACCGACCAGAACAGCGTCACTGCGTTCCGCAAGAGCGTCTTTGAAAAGTTTGGCGGGACCAAGCTGACCGTGCTCATGGCCAACGCAGGTGTAGGCGGTCCCACCAAAGCCTCGACTTCGGACGGATGGGATCGCATCCTCAGCACCAACTTTTACGGCGTCGTCAACGTAAGCCAAGCCTTCTTGCCTGACCTCAAGGAGCACGGCCAGTCCGCGCTCTTGATCAACACGGGCTCAAAGCAAGGTATCACCACACCGCCTGGTACCGGACCCGCCTACAACGTCTCTAAAGCCGCGGTCAAGGTCTTCACCGAGTCATTGGCCCACGAGCTGCGCGAAGACAAGTCGAGCAAAGTCGACGTCAAGCTGCTGATCCCGGGATGGGTGCACACTGGACTGACAGGAGCTGCCGACGGCAAGCCCAAACCCGATGGCGCCTGGACGCCCGAACAGACGGTCGAATTCATGATCGAGCGTATCAATGCCGGCTCGTTCTACATCCTCTGCCCCGACAACGAGACACCTCGCGAGACCGACTTGGCTCGCATGGAATGGAACGTCAACGACGTGATCCAGGATCGACCTGCCCTGTCGCGATGGCACGACGACTACTCGAACGAGTTTAACGACTTTGTCAAGAACAAGACGTCGTGAGTTGCCGCGTCGTGGAGCCTTCATCTTGTAGCATCCATCTGCCGGCTCAAGCATCGCATCTACAGTAGAATGACATTCGGAAACGATGCAGACATGATGTGTGTGATACTCCAGAAGCTTGGTGCTGTGGAAGGTGCCCCGGCGTCATCGTGCGGTGAGGCTGTGAGGACTGCAAGTGGAGGACTGCCCAAAAAAAGTGGCCCCGGCGCGTTGTTAGAATTTGGCGTCTCGGCTGTCCTACGCCTCGTCATTCTGCACGCTCAAACAGACACACACATGGCCGCGACCCTCGGTTAGTCATTCCACGTCTCAGATTAGCCTGCGAAGGTAGACCTGAAAAGACATCGCATTTGGACCTTCTTCTCGATCCACCATCCTTTTGGTTCAGCAAGCACATCCTCAACTCGCTTTGTCGTTCACAAGACTTCTCTCGAGATGACGCTTTACTACAGCATCGTATTCGCACTTTTGTGCTTCGAGATGGCCATGTTCATGGTCCTCATCGTCAGTGTTTAAGCCGAGTTATTCAGAGCCGTTTTCAATGTACTGACAGACGACACTTCTGCTGTCCGCTACACAGGTACCCCTTCCATTCACCTGGAGACGCAAGCTCTTCCACTTCCTCGCCGTCAACCCGGTTGTCGCCAAGATCCAATACGGTCTCAAGATAACATTCATGTGAGTATACGCACTTTGTCTCGCGAGGTAGGACGAACCTGGCTGACCATCTCATCTCGACCTCGTCACCTTTCTTTCCTTCAATTTAGCTTCGTTGCGGTCCTCTTTGTCGATGCCGTTCAACGCATGGTCAAGGTCATGTCGGAAGGCGAAACTGCCCGCGACAACCGCGGCGTTCAGGACGTCCGTACCGAAACCAACTACGCTGCGCGCAAATTCTACAGCCAGCGCAACATGTACTTGACCGGCTTCACCCTTTTCCTCAGCCTGATCCTTTCGCGCACCTACTCGCTCATCCTCGACCTCATCAACACGCAGGAGGAGCTCGTCGCGCTCAAGAAGGGTTCCAAGACCGCCGGTAGCGGAGCCGACATCGAGAAGAAGTACCAGACCGAAATCGACACGCTCAAGAAGCAAACCAAGCAGCAACAGCAGGAGTACAACCGCCTCAGCGACGAACTCGCCAAAGCCACCGGCCAGACTTCCACCAAAAAGGACTAAACGCTGCATCATTTTTGGAGTCGTGGCGCAGCTTTAGGCTGCCTGCCCGCGATTCGCGCTTACCATGGCTTTTGTCTGGGATCGCCCCTCCGCCACTCGCCCCTGTAGCTAAGATGCCAAATATGGATCCAGCTCTGCTTTCTCACCGCAACGATATGAGCAAGCGATAAACATATGCGATTGAGATGCGTGGGGAGAAGTACAAATGCGAACAGACAAGAGAGATTGAGCAATGATGCTTCCGTTTGAATCAGGATGGAGACGGGTCAGAGGGCGGCAGATGTGAAGGCAAAGTGCGTTTGCTCAGATCTTGAGCTCGCGAAAGCCGCACACTTCGGCGGGCGAAGGACGGTTGGTCGTTGCCGCTGCACCGCCTTTATCCGTCTTGGAATTGGCCTTGGCTGCTTCACGAGATCGAGTGACTTTCTCGAGCTGGCGCTCGCGTTTGCGTGCTTGAGCTGCGTCGCGCTTTTCTCGCGCCGTCGGAACGCGACGTACGATGGTCGACTTGTTCGGAAGACCGTCCTTGCGTGGACGTCCTCGCCCGCGCTTGATGATCTCGTAGGTCTCTGGTTCGTCGTCGCGAGGCTCGGCAGCAGCTTGCGATGCGGCCGTGGTCGCTTCCGTCTTGCCGGATTGCGACTCTGCTTCGGCGTCAAACTCGGGCGATCTGCTCTGCGAACGACGCTTGGGACTGCGGATCATGCTCATGGTCATGGCATCGGACGAGGCGGCCCGCTTGCTGCTGAGCCTCTCGACGCCAGGTGTGCTGCCACGCGAAAGGCTCGATGCGTCGGGGGAAGCGCAGGCTGTGACGTCGCCGCCGTCGTCGGTGGTAGCGGTGGTGGATGGTGAATCGCCCTCACCGCTGCTATGCGTGGCCGAAGTGTCGACGGAAGAAGGCGAAGTGGCACGCCAGTGACGCATGTGATCCGGCAACGGTGGCGGCGGTGGCACAGCTAGTCGATTGGACGCAGTCGAAAGGTCGCCAGAAGAGGGCAGGGCCTGCAATTCGGCTCCGACGGCTTCCTCCTCATCGATGGCAGCATCCTTCTCAAGGATGAGCTCTACGACCTGATCCCACTTGTTTTCGTTCTCGCTGAGCAGCTGTCGAATCTCGTCGAGGTCGTGATCGCCGCTGACGCTCTGCAGCACCATCTTTTCCTCCAAGGTTGGCTCCGTGGGATTGGACGCACCCTTGGCGGAAGCTTTGCTGTCTTCATCTGCGGCAGCGGAGCCGGCGGCCGCCGCAATAATCTGCTCTTTGATGCGTGGGAGGCCAGAATGCGGGCCGTCGAGATTCCGGATCGAGCTGTAGTGCTCCCAATTGTGGTAGGCAATGTACAAGGGTCCGTATGCTTCTGCAGGTTGGGCAGGCGAGCTGGAAGCTGTCGCTTCTCGGGGCGATGCGAGTGTCGACGACGATGCTTGGCTGCTGGATGCGAGGTCGCTTGCCTCTGCTATGGATGGATCTGATGATGTCGCTGTCGGTGCCGGTGCTTCTGCTGATGCGGATGCTGTGGCTGATGTGGATGCCGCGGTTGTCGCTGATGTGGATGCTTCGTCGGTGGCACTGAGTTGCGACGATTTCTTGTCCCGCTTGGTGTCCTCCCTCTTTTGTCTGCGCCGTTGCCGTTCGGTGAGTGGGGCGCCCTCGGTGCCGGCTTGGATGGTGTTCTGAACGCGTAATCGCTCTTGCTCCTTGTGCTCTCTCGCGCGTCTCGCTTCGGGCGAGTCGTCGACGTCTTCCACAACGTACACCAGCCCGGGCTGCACAATCTTGATCTGCTTCTGCTTCATTTGGGCGAAGGCATGAAGCTCCAAGTGACCGCCATAGGTGCCGTTCTCGCGCATCAGCCGAACGTACTGGTCAAAAGGCTTGTCGTCGACAAAGCCGGCAAACTTTTCAGGACGCGCCGCGAGATGATCGCAGGTTTCCTGACGTAGCTGTGCATGGCTGGACGAGTGACCGTAGAGCTGGTCGGAGAGGGCGCGAAAGAGACAGTTGCCGTCGCCAGTGGTGTTGGCAGCGTAGAGACCCATGCGCTTGAGCTGGGCGTTGAGATCGCGTTCAACTTGTTCGGGGTCGTCAAGTGCATGGCTGTTCTTGGATCTGCTGCTGCGAGTGATGCGTTCGTTCTTGATGGTCGAGGCGGGTCTCGCGCTGCGTCGGCTGGGCCCCGCCGCGGCGTTGCGCGGAGGCCTGCCCATGGTATCGGCAACCTTATTGGAAGAGTTCAAGGTCGTTTAGGCACGATCGGAGGCGTGTAGCTCGAGATGGGGCCTCATGGAGTGCAGCGCGATGGTGGAAAAGCGAGGAGGAGGCGAGGCAAGTGAATGGGTGTCTAGGCGTCGCTCTACGTCTTATAGGAGGATGACAAGCGCGATATCGGAAGGGCCGAGTGACTCTCGAGGGGGGTGCAACGCGCGGTTCGGCTCGCCCAGGTCAGCGTGCTACGGTCGTTGTTGCGCAGATATCAAAGGGGCGATCCAACGGGATCCGATGCATCCAGGGTCGTGAAGAGTCCTGGCAAAGGTGCAGGCGATGCTGTTAACACCAATGGGCGCGGAGACAAGGAGAGGCCCGGCGGTGCTAAAGCTGCAGGCCGAAAAAGTGGTTGGTTGGACGGTGTCTGACAGAAGTCTAGCCACACGTGTATAGCCGTGTCGAGGTCGAATGGTCCTGCTGCAGCCCAGCTGACGATGATGTAGCCAACGCGTAAGAAGCAGCGCGGTATAGGTCGACCCTGCGTGCGCTTGATGGGAGTGCGAGGGCGTGGATGATATGCGAGCTAACCTAGATCAGGGTCATGGCTCACTTGGTCGTCTTTGACGTGTCTTGGGTCTCTCGAGCCCACCACACGCCGTGCCGCGGCGGACGACACGCAGCAGCAGCAGCAGCAGCAGGTCCGGCTGATCTGGTTGGCTGGCCGTGTGACTGGCTGACAGAAGCTGAAAGCTGAATTTCAAGAAAAAAAAATTCACAGGAGACTCGACTCCGCACACACAGAGTTGGCTGGTCACAGTGTCACAGTGCATGCACTGCTCGAAAATTCGCCATTGTTAGACCGAGCTTTGTCAGAAAACATTTTGCTCTGAACTTGCTTCCGCTCACTTGACCCAAATTTTGAAAATGACCGGCGTGCCTCGATATCGTATGGCTTTGGTTGCCTGGATCATCGATGAAGCAGCCGTCAACGACCGACCGACGATCGCTTGGTGTATGGTGACTTGCTCGCTCTTTTCGCCGGATCACACGACTTGCTGAGCTCGGAGGCTGGCGTGGCCCACTCATTGCGCACATCGTCATTGTTCCTACGATATGGAGCTGCAACTGTCCCCGCCGTCGACTCTCCAACCCACTACGACAGCGGACAAACAACAGGCATCGCCCACCTCCATCGTAATCGGTCTGCATCTGACGATGACTTGAGCGAGCAAAGATGCGCACAGAGCTCTTGCCATGCATAACTTATCGAGAAAGAGTGGGAGCAAGATGCAGCGTGCAGCGCGCGGAGAAATGATGCGGCGGCGACTTGTGGGCCCCAAATCAATTTGTTTCCTTCTCCGCAAATAGACGCCGCCCCTCGAGCTGAGCTGCTGTGGCTCGCACATAGCCGCTGCTTCTCAAACTGATAGCCTACAGGGTCCAGCAAACTTAGCATTCGTTGTCATCATCACATCAGTCTCGTACCCTCGTTCCTCTCCGAGCTCTTTCTTCGCGAGCACCATCACTCATCGATACGAGCCCGATGGCAAGCTCATGATCGAGCTCTGTCCGAGTCTCCGGCTGTAACGCCATGCGATCCTCTGCGCGCTACCAACCAGGCTTGCCACTTGGTCGTCGGCTTTAGCCACCTTTGCCCCACCAACATTCACCTCAAGTGACATCGGCGCACGAGGCTGCTTGCCCCACCCACTCGCCCTTCACTGCACCCGTATATGCCCCAATTGCGGGTTTGATCGCCACTGCTCTACCTGCTAGCTGAAGACGACCAACAATTCCTTCGGAGAGCTCGCGCGGCTGGCTGCAGTTTCTCGACGCAACCTTCCTATCCCCACCAACAACGCGGTGCGGCGCAGACACACTCTCAAGCGCAACCGACGGCCGCTTCATCTCGATCTGCGCATGACATTTCATCAGTGTCCCAGACGCTCGGATTCTCCCTTCATTGTCTTTTCCTTCGCTCGTTCGAGTCAGCACCAACGCCACTTCGGGCAGCCAAACCGTGTTCACGCCAAGCGCAGTCCCTTGTCGCAACCGCTCCTTCTCTCTGTTCGGGCACCTCTTTCCCCCATGACACGCTTCCGTAGTGAAGCTTACCAAAAGACGTAAAAGCACACGGGCAAGACCCCAACTCATCTGCCATCCTTTCGCACCCACCCCTCCGCTCCCCGCATCGCCGTCCCCTACCCCATCCTTGTAGCGGACAGCTCTTTCGACGCACACCGCAACCGTCAAGCGCTGCTCATCTCTCCGGCTTTCTCTATAGATCTCTTTGGACAACATGCCCTCCCATTCGCCCATCCCCGAGGCCGCTGCGGCGGTTTCTTCCTCCTCGTCTTCGATGCACGCAAGCTCGAACAAGCCTCGAGTATGGAGCCTCTCTGTCTTCGTGACCGTGCTCACCATCGCTTTGAGCGGCGCCACGTACGGTCTCGAGAACTCCCTCATGAGTCCGCTTGCGGCCATGCCCGAGTTTGTCAAAAAGTACCAAGGTCTCAATCGGGCCACGCGCGACTACACTTTCACCGCAAGCCATCAGTCGATGATCTTCTCGATTCCGCTGATCGGCACCATCTGCGGCGCTCTGCTATCGCCATTCTTGCAGAACAAGCTCGGTCGTAAATGGTCGCTCTGCGCTGCGTATGTGTTCAGCATTCCATCGACGCAACTGCAGCTGTGGGCACCCAACCTCGTTGCCTTCATCTTTGGCCGTGTGATGAACGGGCTCGCGTACGGCTGCGCCCTCTCCATCGGACCCCTCTATCTCGCCGATGTGGTCCCCACCAGCATTCGCGGAGGCGCTGTCGCCACCTCCAATCTCCTCACCATTCTTGCTAATCTGATGGCGGCCATCTGCTGCTGGGCAACGGATCGAACCTATCAGGACACCCGCAAGTACAAGGTGCCTCTCGCGGTACAGGCCGCGCTGCCTTTCCTTCTCTTACTGCCGACTCCTTTCCTGCCCGAGTCGCCCGTGTGGTGCGTACAAAAGGGTCGCATCGGCCAAGCTCGCATGGCTCTCAGGCGTGTCCGCCCCGTCTCGGACATCGAGATTGAAGAGGAACTCCAAACAATCATGCGCGCCGAGCAAGAGCGCGCCCACCTCGCCAAGGAGACCAAGTTCACCGACATCCTCAGCCGCAAACACCTCTTGCGCACCATGGTAGCCGGCTCCTTCTTCTCGCTCAATCAAATCAGTGGTATCATCTTGAGCACCACCTATGCCACCATCTTCCTGACGCAGCTCCGTCTCGGCGATCCTTTCGTCTTGACGGTGTATGCCTACATCTGTCAGGTGGCGGGAGCAGCACTGGCCATTGTCGCGCTCGAAAAGGTGGGACGCAGATCGCTTGCTCTGCCCGGCTTCGTCCTTCTGACCATCATCGACTTCGTGGCTGGTACGCTCGCTTTCTACACTAGCGACGTCAATGTGGCGAAAGCCATTTCAGGCCTAGCCATGGTGTTCAACTTTGTCTGGACGCTGTGCTTCTACTCGATCTCGCTGCTGATGCCTTCGGAACTGCCAACGCAACGTCTGCGCAATTACACCATGTCGTACGCCGTTGGATGGGGCCAAGCGACGGCCGTGGTGACGACGCTCGCACTGCCTCAGATCACGGCTAGCGATGCAGGCAATTTGGCGGCTAAGGCGTACCTCATCTTTGGCGGATGCATGCTGGTCATCACCGTTCTCGCCTTCTTCCTGCTGCCGGAGACACGTGGCAAGACGTTTTTGGAGATCGATCAGCTCTATGCCCACCGTGTCCCGGCTTGGCAGTGGTCCAAGTACGAGCTCGGCACCGCCTCGGGCGCGTCGCCCTCGGAGCGTGAATCACACCTCGACAGCGATCCGCACGCTGTCGGCCTGGTCAGCGTCGACAAGAAGAGCAGCAGCCACGTTGCCCCTTCTGAGTCGGCGCAGTCGACTCCGCACTAGACGCGCCGATCTTCTTTGTATTACTAGACTCCTGCGACCGCGGCATGAGTTGAGCGAGTTGCCTCTGCTTGATACACCGAGGTTGCTAGCTCAGCTCGTCGTCGTCGCTGTACCTTTAGCAATTGATCGCTTCTCTTTCATTCATCCGTTCGAGGCCTGCATCGCGACGGGCCTGCACCGCAGTGTGGATGGGAACAGCCCAGATGCTGAGCAAGCAATGGATCGCCGTCGATGTCGGGAGGTGCTGAGGCGTAGCCGCGAAACGAACGGAATTGTTAGGCCTCCGAATGCTTTCTTTGTAGTCGCCCACTCAGAATTATGTAATTCTGCGACCTCGAGGCGGGTGACGCAACAGATAAATCGAAGCAGCCCACCGCGAAATGAAATTGTCGGGCGAGTGTGTGCGCGATGTGTTTGTCTTTGAGAGGCTCAGCTGCAAGCGCGAAAAAATAGCCAAAAGTCACACTCAGCAGAGCACAGAAGGCCAAGGCGAACACTCCAAGGCGGGACGAGAGCAACACATCAACATTTCACGCAGTCGCACCTTCTGCGCTTGCTCGCCCCGCTCAGACCTTGGTCACTTTCTTCTTCGTCGTTCCGCTTTCCACTCCATCAGCGCAGCCTCTGTTCTCCACCTCGTTATTATCGTGACCTTCGCCATCGATTCGCTCGGCTCGGCTCGGCTCGGCTTCACACCGTTCACTGCCGCTTTCTCGAGAATTTGAACGAGCGCTTTCGATCACCCCACCGCCATCGCGGCATCATCTCCTCTGATTGTCGTCGACCCAAAGCATTCACACACATATACACGACTCCTCATCACCAGTCATCAAAATGGACGCAAATCAGCTCTTGACAAATTCGCTCTCGCCGGATCAGGCCATCCGCACAGATGCCGAACAGAAGCTCGAGGCAGCCGCTCGCGATAGCTATCCCGTGTACATGAGCACCCTCGCTGCAGAATTGGCCAACGAACAGTCGCCCTCGCATATTCGAACCGCTGCTGGTCTCGCCGTCAAGAATGCACTCACCGCGCGCGATCAGACCCGAGTCGAAGAATACACCGCACGATGGACACAACTACCACAGACCAGCCGCGATGAGATCAAGCAAAAAGTACTCAGCTCCCTCGGCAGCCAAGAGCACCGCGCAGGCACCGCTGCAGCCCAGGTGATCGCCGCCATTGCTGCTATCGAACTGCCCGTTGGACTCTGGAACGAGCTCATCTCGCAACTCTTGGGGGCCATGGGCGATGCCAACAACATGCGCTTGCGACAGGCCGCTCTTCAAGCCATCGGTTTCACTTGCGAGGGCATCAGCTCCGACGTTCTGGCGGCACAGTCCAACGAGATCCTCACCGCCGTCATCCAGGGCGCCCGCAAGGAAGAGCCAGCGCCCGAAGTCCAGCTCGCTGCCCTCCAGGCGCTCTACAACTCGCTCGAATTCGTCCGTGCCAACTTCGAACGCGAAGGCGAGCGCAACTACATCATGCAGGTCGTCTGCGAAGCGACGCAGAGTCCTAACATCTCGGTCAAGGTCGCAGCATACGAAGCGTTGGTCCGCATCATGCAGCTCTACTACGATAAGATGCGCTTCTACATGGAGCAGGCTCTCTTTGGTCTCACCGTCCTCGGCATGCGCGACTCGGAGCCCAAGGTGGCGTTGCAAGCCGTCGAATTCTGGTCCACCGTCTGCGACGAAGAGATCGAGCTGGCTCTCGAGGCGGAGGAGGCGCTCGAGTTCAACGAAGAGCCCGAACGCGCTTGCTACAACTTTGCCCGCATCGCCCTTCCCGACATTGTACCTGTCCTGCTCGAACTGCTCAAGACCCAGGACGAGGACGCCGACGAAGACGAGTGGGACGTCTCCAAAGCCGCCGGTACCTGTGTTGGTCTTCTCGCCCAGGTGGTCGGCGACGACATTGTCCGCCTGGCCGTTCCCTTTGTCGAGAGCAACATCAAGAACCCCGACTGGCATGCGCGTGAAGCCGCGGTCATGTGTTTCGGTTCCATCATGGAAGGACCCGACCGCAAGACGCTGGCTCCCTTGGTCGAATCGGCACTCCCAACGATCATCGAGATGCTGCGCGACCAGAGCATCGCCGTCAAGGACACGGCCGCTTGGACACTTGGACGCATCTCGGACCTTTGCTGCGACTCGATCAAGACCGACGTTCACCTCCCTGCGCTCGTTCAGGCCCTTGTGCTTGGTCTGCAGGACGAGCCCCGCATTGTCACCAACTGCTGCTGGGCCATCATGAACCTTTCCGAGCAGCTTGGCGCCAACGCAGTGGCCTACGACAGCGCTGGCGAGCCCACGGACGCCGCTTCGGTGGCAACCACGCCTCTCTCGCCATTCTTCGAGGGCATCGTCTCGAGCTTGCTCCAGGCGACTGGGCGCACGTCCAACGAGTCCAACAGCCGCACTTCCGCGTACGAAGCGCTGGCCAGCTCCGTCACCAATTGTGCAGCTGACTGCCTCCACCAGGCCAGCGGCGTCTTGGTGCAGATCCTGGACCGACAGCAGCAGCTCAACGACGTGGCGGGTCAGCTCGTCGGCATGGACGACCGCAACAACTGGTCCGAGCTACAGGGCAACCTGTGCAGTGTCTTGATGGCCTGTGTGCGCCGTCTGGGCCGCGAAACGCTTCCCTTGGGCGACCGTATTATGACCAACCTCCTGACGCTCATCCAAAACGGCGGCAAGCAACCTACGGTCCTTGAAGATGCCTTCTTCACCGTCGGCGCCGTGATCTCGGCCTTTGAGGGCGACTTTGAAAAGTACTTGGGCGCCTTCCTGCCCTTCATGGTCGAAGGCCTTCGCAACCACGAAGAATACCAGCTGTGTTCGATCAGTGTTGGGCTCATCGGCGACATCTGCCGTGCACTCGGCGAGAACTCGGCCAAGTACTGCGACGACTTTATGAACGCTTTGTTCGCCAACCTGCAATCGCCGCAGTTGAACAGGAGTGTCAAGCCGCCGATCCTGTCGTGCTTTGGGGACATTGCGATGGCAATCGGGGCGTCGTTCGAAAAGTACCTCCAGATGGCCATGTCGGTGTTGCAGCAGGCGTCGTTGATCCAGACGGTGGATCCGAACGATTATGACATGCTGGACTACATCAACTCGTTGCGCGAGGGGATCTGCGAGGCGTATGTGGGGACCGTGTCGGGGTTGCGTTCGGGGAACCGGGTGGAAGCGCTCCAACCGTATGTGGAGAGCATGTTTGGGTTCATCACGCTGGTAGCACAGGCACAGACGCAGAGTCAGGCCTCCGAACCGTTGATCCGTGGCGCACTGGGCTTGCTCGGCGACATCGCTAGCGCTTTCCCCAACGGCGAACTCAAAGCTCTGCTGAGCAGCCCTTGGGTGGCGGAGTTTGTCAAGGCAGGAAGAGGTCGTGGCAACGGCCAGGAGACTAGGAAGACCGCCACCTGGGCAAGGGAGATGCTCAAAAAGGCCACAAAGTAAAACCCCACGTTCACTCCCCTGAAGCACATTCATGTAATACCCTCTGCATCATCCAT